AAGTTTAGAAGAATTAATTGATAAAATTAAAGACATTCAGAAATGAGATTGAAGGACTATGATATATGTGTGTGTTAAATTGAATAATAATAATAATAATAATACAAGTTGTGATACTAATTCTAAAAGATTTGATTAATCATTTATCCATAAATGTCCTTGCATTACTGGATTTTTTTCAGATGAAAATAAGATTTGTTAAAGTAAATTTGAAGATCTATATTAATAGAATGTCATATCAAATGTTAAGCTTGTGTAAACTAGAGTGACTAATGCTTAAGTTGTAAATTTTAATTAAATTCCAATCGAAAATCCCTATCTGAGTATTGTAATTGTAAAGATGGCTATTTTGATGATGGAATATAACTTTAATGCTAGCAATGTAATTTTAAATGTAAAATTTGTGTAAATGAATCAAATCATTGTCAAATTTGCTAAAATTCTATACGAATAAATCCACCAAAATGTGAATGCATGAATGGATACTATGAAGATGAGTAATCCACTTGTTAAAGTAATTTTTTATTATTATAAAAGTTTGTGCTACTCAATGTAATACATGTCTATTAGAGCCCACAAATTGTTTGACCTGTAAACCTGGAAGAATTGAATAGGATTGTAAATGTATTGATGGATATTTTGAAACCGGATAAACATTGTGCTCATGTATCAAATTCTAAAAGATATATAGAATGTGCATTTTAATGTGCTACTTGTGATTTCCATCAATTTAATTGTAAGAGTTGTAAAGGGGATAGATTTTAAGAGCCTTAATGTATTTGCTAATCCGGATATTTTGATGATCAATTTAATGAAAATTGCTAAAAATGTGATAGTACTTGTTTAGAATGCAATATTCATGGATGCTTATAGTGTGCTGCCAATAGATTACTTAATCAAGATATGGAATGTATTCCTCCGCCAAACTCGATTTGGTATGATAATACACCTTGGTGTTCAAGTAACATTTTTCTAATATATATTTAGCTTGCCAAGTTGCAGTTATTAAGGCTTATTTATCTGATGATATTGGAAAGATTATTTTACATTTTGATTTTCCTTTGAATCCTAAGGGCTTCAATTCATAAATCGAAATTAATAAATGTTTATAATTATTTGAAGAAGAAACTGTATTAAAATTTGGCTAAAATTCTGTTTGTTATATTAATTAGGAGAATAATTAGCAATTATTAATATCTTTTGGAGAATATTCAAAAATAAAAGTTGGCGAAGATATTTAATTTAAAAGTAATTCTATATCTCATATTAATTGCGAAACTTCTTTAGAAAAGTTTATTTTTGCTACATTAAAAATGCCAATTAACCCTTCTCCTCCATAAATTGAATATAATGTACCTCATCATAAACTGAATCCTTTTTCGGATAATTCAGTTTATTTAAAATCAATCAAAAATAATGGAAATAGAAAATTAGATAATATTATTTGGATTTGCCAAGTCTAAACAAGTGAAGATAGTTCAGCTCTTTGGCAATTTTTAGATTAAATTAATTTTGTTTAGGAATATAATTTATTTATACCCAAGTTTACTTTACCAGTTGGGGCAGAACTAAAATTTAAAATATAATATGAAAATTTCATCTTTATTTCCTCTTATTCAGAATTTACAATTTACACTCATAAAGGAGATCTTCCATAAATTAATATATATGTAAAACCTTCCTATTTTGTCTATGAGACAATTTAAATTGGGACTTCTGCTGGTAATTTAGATTAATAAATTTAAAAAGATAATACTAAGTACTAGATTTAAATGTTTGAAATAGATAGAATTCCATTAAAATCTTCTTCGTCGTAATTAAATATATCAGTTCAATCCTATTCTTTTGAATAAATTAATGCAAATATTTAAAAATACACCTTAAGTCCTAATTCAACTTATACATTTTAAGTTATTGCTACCAATTTAAATACTTAGTAAGTTCAATAATAAAACTTCACACTAGATATACCCTTTGGTGGATTAATATGTTATTTTAATAATCTAGGGGTATAGAATATAAGAAAAGATTTAAATCTCTTAATTTATTGTAAAGATTTAGACACAAAATATGAATGGAACGATGATCCTGATTTGTTGATACATGTAGACTGTAGGGATTTATCATTAAATAGCCCTTGTTAAACTGAATAAAAAAAAACCATCAAAGTTAATACTACAAATACTTATTAATTCATCAAAAGGAATACTATTTCCTCATATTCAGTATAAGAATGGACTGTTAAGGTATCAAAATTTCAACAAACTTCGAAATTTGTTTCTATAATCGTTTATCTTGATAATGATTTTCCTGTATTAGAACTAGAATTTAATAAGGGCTATTAAATGAGAAAAATCAATAATTATGAATAACTTAATTTTACATTTTTAATCCCTTTCCATCAAAAACCTTAATTATTAGAGCTTTCAATTGCAATAATATACAACTATGAAATAATTAAAATACTTCAGCCTAAATATGTTTCACATTAATTCAAGATATTTGATAGTATTAAAGAATTAAATTTTGGGGATAATGTCAATATAAAATTTTTAGCGTAATATACAAATAGTATAATGCCAAGTCTATATAATTTAAAATTATCTATAAATTAGCCTCCTTAATGTTCAAAACTGTTTGTTACTCGTTCAAGTGACCTAGCACTTACAGAAATCAATGTAACAACTACATGTGAGTAATCAAATGATTTTCCTTACAGATATTAACTTAGATTATTTTTGAGAGAATCAGATTTGACAGGGTTTTTGCAAGGATAATTGGACAATTCATTAACTTTTTATTCATTTTAGAATAAAAATTTCTTCTCTGTGTAAATTCCTTAATCTGTTGACTCCTCAACAGTGGGAGTCCTTATTTAAGTGCTTGATAGTGGAGGGTCAATGTCTCAAATTTTTGAAAGAATAACTTCGAAACCTGCTAAAATTAATTGTTCTTAATTTTAATATTAGAATAATAATTTATAATACAAGGTATCATTACTATTTGAAGCAATAAATCAGAATTGTAGTTAACTATATCTAAAACTTTATAGTGATTTGCTTTACGAATAAATTTTGCCAGATCCTAATGATAATAATCTCAAATTTTAAGCTATAAAGTTATATAACAAGTTTTAACACGCATTAATTAAACCTAAAAATCGTTTATTAGATGAAGAAAATCCATAAATATGTTATGATGTAAATACAACCCATTATTATGTTACATAACATTCATCTGAAATTCAGAACAATTTAACATAAAAAATTAAAGACTTAGAAAAAAATACTCTTAATTTAATGAGGGCTTTAAATTATTTAAGCTAAATTAAAAAATAATGTGAAGAGGAGCTTTTACGAAATTAATACATTTGGAATGAAGAGATATTTTAATAGTTATAAAACTCATAAGATAGTTTGATAAATCTGTTATACTTTCTTGATGATATATATTCAGATTTCTCAAACATTAACACTAAAAATGAAACAATTTATAAAATTATTTTTGATTTGTTAAATTATATTCCAAAGATTGTATAGGAAATATAAAACACAATACTTATTAATGATAAACCTATTGTTGTTTAAGGAGAGGAGATCCTTTGGTAGATTAAAAGAAGAACAAAATAAGATTTCAATAAAATTTTTGATATTGAAGCAACAGAAGAGGATTATCTTATAGATTTTATATAATTTGAATAAACATCTTTATTATCAAATCCTTTAAGATTTACTTCAGAACTTGATAATCAATTGTAGAAAGAATTTAATGACGAAACGTTAAAAATTTACTCTAAAAATTACTACTAAATTAAATTATAAAATGTTTATAAAAACAGATTTCTTTAATTTGAAAGTTTTCCTTCCAAGTTCAGTACAAAGTTAGGAACCTATTAACTTTGTTTAAATGATACTTAAATAATAAAAGTATATGAGATGTAGTGTGTACTTAGAACAAATTCTGGAGATTTTCATAAATGTATTTTAAATAGAATTCTTAACAATGACACAATGGAGTAAAATTGTGAGTGTAATAAATTTGGAGAAATTTTCCTTATCACCTCTTACAATTTTAGTCAAGTAATTGTAAATGATACTTTTTAATAACAATAAGGTATTGATAATGTTTTCTTATCATAATATTTTTTGATATTGCTTATTTGTGTAAGCTCTTTAATATTTATGCAAATGGCAATCTACATATTCTATCTAATCAAAGATTGCAAAAACTAACAAATAAATTTTATATAAGATAACATAGATCCGCAAATTAATTTGGATAAAAAATCTCTAATTTATGTTGGAAATTCTGCAGTTTTTAGAGATAAATTTAAAGTAATAATCCATTATATCAATAGTAAATCCATTAAACCATTTCATTATTATATTATAGAGACTAATACATTTAATTTAGTTATAGGATTTTAGAAGTACTCTCATAATTTAATATCTTATTATCTTTAACAATTCTCGAATGCTATGATTAAATTCATTCAATTCTGATTATTTGTGTACTAATTGTTGCAAACCCTGTTATCATTTTGATTTTGAGAATTTTTTATAAAATAGTTGAAGCTATTTATAGATTCCGAAGAATTGCTGCTTTTATTAGTAATTTTATACTAATAATTTTATTGATGACACCCAACCTTGCCTTACTTATATTTTACTAATAAAAGTAATTTATTATACTATTCTAGAATATAAATATAATTAGGATAATATCAAGTTGCCATAATCTTTTTTGGAACCATTGTAATTTGGCAACTTCTTATTGAACCAATTACAGTCTTTGCTAGAATCTTTGTTTATAGGTTGATAGCCTCCAGTATTAAAAATATGGAGATGAATTCTATCTACCATTTTATGCATTTTTTTGTAATGCATAGTAGTTTAGAAGAAATATTTGAAGAGTTCACAAAAATATGACAAATATATATAATATTTAGATATTAAAAATAATTATAGATTTGATATAATTTATGAAACTATTTGAAATTAAATAAAGTAATAGATTTTAATAGGATTAAAAAATAAAAATGAATAATAAAGTAATTTACTTAAATGGTTGAATTTTGTGATTATTTTCCCCTTCTATAACATCTTAAGAATCATGAAGAATATATGATTTATGTTAATAAGATCTTTAGTCAAGATCTTGCATTTGTATCTTCTTTGTAGTTTAAAATGTTGCAAGCATCCATGATATTGGTTTAGTTTTCTTATTAAAAATTATATTCGAATATAAGATTTTCATTGTTTGATTTATTTCATTGTAAACAAAAAAATTAATTTAAATAGCTTTATTTTGGTTTAGTTATATTTTATTTTTATTTATGCAAAAGTGAGGAATTTAATACTTTTAATATGATCCACTCTTTGCTATCAATCTTTAAAATAAAGGTGAAGTGATATAGAAATACATATTGATATACTTTTGAAACTTTGAAGGAATATTTACTTAGAGCTGTATCAAATATTTCAGAAATTTCGCTGCCATACAAACAATAAATTTTAAACTCATAGGTTCTTGCTGCGAACGAATTAGCTATAATATGCTTTGGTGATAATTGTATTAGTATTAACAATTAATTTATTGACTTTATCTAGGAGAAATAATCAGGTAAGTTAATTATAAAAACATCGCTATTTTTCGAAAAATTTTTATAATCAAAATGAAATATATTATTATATTAATTCAAAGTTCCTACAATTTTACATATTTAATTTTTTTAAACAATAATATTCAAAATTTGAAATTATCATCTTGTAAATTATGAGACCAAAATTTTAATATTAAATGAGTTTTAAAATTTGATTTTTTTTCTTTCTTCATAACGTGCTCTTTCATCTATAGCTCAGCTCACCATTACTTGTAGAATTTTCAAAAAATAAGAAATTATTCTATCCTTACAATAATGTAGAATTTTTTGTATTTTTAATGAATATATTGGATTTAAAGGAGGATTTAAAGTGATTAAATTAGATGAAAATGGAGAGATCAAATAACTTAAAAGATCAGATTAGACCATAATTTATTGATTATCGTTTCTACTTTTAGCACTATCAAATAAATATATTAGAAATACTTGCTAAACATCAAAACAAAGAAATCTAGCAATAAAATTAAAGAGGCAGGAATTAAATCGATGGATCCTTTTGGAATACCATGATAATGTGGTAAAATTATATTGATCTATTTTAAATCATAAAAGTAAAATATTTCCTCTTTTCATTTTTTTTATTCTTTAATAGTTCTCTTACTATAATAATAAAAGTTTCATACATAGCTTAAGAAATCTTTTTTTTTGCCTATTACTTGATAATCTTATAGTTTAAGAGAAAAAGTTCTCAGTAAAATATTTCTTCAAAATCATTTTTTTTAGAATTCACTTTCTATCCATAACACAACTCTGTTAAATAAGTAAATTAGTTTACTTTGAATTATGCATAAAAGTGTTAAGATTAATTTTTTGATTATGCTAAGAAATATTAAGTCAGACAAAAATTATTGAACTCCTTTTGAAAGTTCAAAACAACAAAATTTTCTAAAATTTACTCACCAAATGTATTTTTCCTTCAGATAATTAAATTATGAATGTTGTTTCATAATAATAATAAAATGATTTTTTGTAAGAAATTTTTAATTAAAATCTCAGCCAAAATAATAAAAGAAAACTTTAGTTTAAGGAAAAATTAATATGTATTATCTATCTTTAGACTTGATAATATAATAAAATATTCTTCAATTTATTATTAAATGAGAATAATAGTTTTTACTACATATTTATTTATAACAAAATTTTTTCTTAAATTTTGATATGACTACATTTCTAGAAACCCTATAATAGTTTGTTTATACAAAAGAAAGATCAAAAATACTTTATTCTTTCATTTTAATTAGAGATTTCAATATTAATTAATAATCAATATAAATAATGGAAAAAAATATTATTCTCAAATTAACCTATAATTTCATCACTAATATCATCTGTAATGATTAAAAGTATGAAATCAGCAAATTGGCTTTATATCTAATTGGTTTGATGGGATCACTTTTACCTTTTTCATATGCTGTAATACCTAAGATAAGCTAGAGTTAAGAAAATTATTTTGTTATGATAATTGCTAAATTTGCAAGACCATATTTATTTCTAAGTTAAGATTCTCTATTCTTTTCATATATCGATTATGGAATATATGCTCTATTTGGATTTTTAATTGTAAATTATAGTTTTCAAATATTCCAAGAACAATAATAAAATTAATGCTAATTTTTAAGAGTATTTTAAATAGTGAATTTTCATATCAATTAAATTCTTGATATTTGGCTAATAAATATAATTCTTGAATTAACTTTAATGAAACAATAAATACTTTCTTATATTGTATCAAGTTTTTTTANGGTAAAATTATATTGATCTATTTTAAATCATAAAAGTAAAATATTTCCTCTTTTCATTTTTTTTATTCTTTAATAGTTCTCTTACTATAATAATAAAAGTTTCATACATAGCTTAAGAAATCTTTTTTTTTGCCTATTACTTGATAATCTTATAGTTTAAGAGAAAAAGTTCTCAGTAAAATATTTCTTCAAAATCATTTTTTTTAGAATTCACTTTCTATCCATAACACAACTCTGTTAAATAAGTAAATTAGTTTACTTTGAATTATGCATAAAAGTGTTAAGATTAATTTTTTGATTATGCTAAGAAATATTAAGTCAGACAAAAATTATTGAACTCCTTTTGAAAGTTCAAAACAACAAAATTTTCTAAAATTTACTCACCAAATGTATTTTTCCTTCAGATAATTAAATTATGAATGTTGTTTCATAATAATAATAAAATGATTTTTTGTAAGAAATTTTTAATTAAAATCTCAGCCAAAATAATAAAAGAAAACTTTAGTTTAAGGAAAAATTAATATGTATTATCTATCTTTAGACTTGATAATATAATAAAATATTCTTCAATTTATTATTAAATGAGAATAATAGTTTTTACTACATATTTATTTATAACAAAATTTTTTCTTAAATTTTGATATGACTACATTTCTAGAAACCCTATAATAGTTTGTTTATACAAAAGAAAGATCAAAAATACTTTATTCTTTCATTTTAATTAGAGATTTCAATATTAATTAATAATCAATATAAATAATGGAAAAAAATATTATTCTCAAATTAACCTATAATTTCATCACTAATATCATCTGTAATGATTAAAAGTATGAAATCAGCAAATTGGCTTTATATCTAATTGGTTTGATGGGATCACTTTTACCTTTTTCATATGCTGTAATACCTAAGATAAGCTAGAGTTAAGAAAATTATTTTGTTATGATAATTGCTAAATTTGCAAGACCATATTTATTTCTAAGTTAAGATTCTCTATTCTTTTCATATATCGATTATGGAATATATGCTCTATTTGGATTTTTAATTGTAAATTATAGTTTTCAAATATTCCAAGAACAATAATAAAATTAATGCTAATTTTTAAGAGTATTTTAAATAGTGAATTTTCATATCAATTAAATTCTTGATATTTGGCTAATAAATATAATTCTTGAATTAACTTTAATGAAACAATAAATACTTTCTTATATTGTATCAAGTTTTTTTATTTTGTTACTTATCCAACGTTTGATTATAACAAAAGTTAGTATAGAGTTTAAATATTATAGCTTTAATAATTAAAATGATTCAATTTACATTTACATTTAATAGCTATTAAATTTGGCTTAGGTTATGATATTTTCATTTAATCCATCTTAAGAAGAATTTAGAAATGTTTAAGTTGTATTTTCAATTCTTATTTGCGCCTTAAGTAATATAAATATTTTGTTAAATATGCCCTAAGTCAATACAAATCTTTTATTTATGTAATTTTTTACACATTTTAACACAATATTATATTGTTTATCATTTCTTGGTTTCAATTATACTGGAAATACAAGTGGCCAGGAAGCATAAATATTATTTATTATTGCTTGGCCTTTTTGTCTTAAATTGACTACATTTTTTAAAGCAAGATTGTTTTGTAATTAATTTAGGTTTCTAAATTAAAAGTTCATATTTATCCATTATTTCTTTACTCATCAATAATAGTAATATAACTTAAAATCTGTGTATTTTAAATATTCTCTTTAAGAAACCTAGAGTTACAACCTTACGAAAACAGAACAAACTAAATTGCCTAATTAATAATTTCAATTTTAATTGTGCAAATTATTTGATCATGTTCCTGAAAAATAACTACATTTATCTTTATTGTTACTTTTAAAAGAATATTTTACAGCTTATTAATATCAATTAAGTAAACCTTCAAGATAATCTATAATTTCTCATGCTAGATCTAAAATATTGAAATAAATAGTTTTGAATGAATTAAGGAATTAGATGCTGACTAATAATTCAATCTAATTAAATAATATCTTGATTGATAGCTTAATCTCTGTTGAAACGTAGAGTATTTAATATTCAGAATAATTAATTCATTGCTGTTAGAAAAAAGTTGACTTTCATCAAATATGCTTGAGTAATAGGAGAAAAAGTGACATATAAAAGTAAGCAAATGAAATAGTTGAATTATTTGAAAATACAATTTTCTAAATTGAAGATTCCTACAAAAAATATCCTTTAATAAGATACTAAAGATGTCTGTCTTTTGGCTATGCTGAATTATGCAACGACATCTTGCTTGCAATAAGAATAATGAATTAATCTTCATTTCCAGATGAATTTATATATAATAAAATCTTAACTTTAAACTCAGATTTTTTATCCTATAAATCAATCTATTTAATCACTAACTTAGAGAATTAAAACGTTATTAAAGTATCTTCGAATTTTCATGAAAAAATTAAAGATAATATTTAAAATATTATGGAAATTGTTCCTAAAGGTATTTAAGAACATCATTAAGAAATGGTTTAATAATTCATAAAAACAGGAAAATCTAATTTTTTCTAAAAAGCCACTTAAACTATTTATTAGGATAATTTAATAATAAAGCCTATGATTTTAATGAATGATGTGATTATTTAAGATAATAGTTTTCATGCAATATCAATTGGAACTCTTTTAGATGAAGAATAAATAATATTGATTATTAATGATAAATCTAAAGTAAGTAGCTTCAGTTAAGGATTCTTGGATTAAATTAGTTTAGAATTTAAAGATTCTCCCTAAATTCTAGGAGTTGATATAGAATTAATTATTCCACAGTTTACGAATATTTCTTAGATATCATAACCATAATATATTGAAATTAAATTACCAAACTTTTGCTTACTTTAAACTTAATAAGTCTTTAATGGTAAAGAAAGCCATAAATAATCTCATCCTTTTATCCATAAAGATATCTGGTAGGATATATCACGATTGAATACATTTATATCATTATGTATAATTGAAAAATCTGCATATAATTATTATAAGATAAGATTCAGTTATATAAAATGTATAAATAAAACCATAATATTTCCTAATTCAATGAGAACCCAATAAAAACTATCAATCAATTGTTTTGAAGAGGTCGAAGAATAAGTAAACATAGCTGTTCCATATGATCAAATAGATTAAGAGTGTAATTTCGGTTAAAAATAAGATATGTTAAATACTGTTAGATATGAATAGACATTGACTTTGATAAAATATGATGATACAAAAACAGATGGAAACAAAAAGATAGTATAATCAACATAGAAATATGAGGAAAACTCTATTGATAGAGATATGAATTAAATTGCAAAAAGTTCAACTTTTAATAATGGAAAAATCAAATAGAATTATGAAATGAAATTTTATTAGAAATATTCTTTATTCGAAAAAATAAGACATAAAAATAACCTAGTTCAAACTGAAAAAATGTTAATAGTGGTGCTAACATTACATCAACTTTTATTTTTTCTTTAAATCTTATTAACTTTTATTGATTGTATAAATTTACTAAATTTCAACTTAAATGAATTAGAATTATTAAAAATAAAATATGATTTATTCTAACCAGTTGAAACATTTATTGTTACTAGATATACAATTATCAATTATAATAATCAATTTGCAGCAAAATAACTCACCAAACCTTAATTAGACTTTTATTTAAAATTTCCAAATTCTAATTTAAATCTAGGATTTGATGATGTATATTAAAATTAAGAAGCTATTCTTAATAAATTAGAATTACAATCATTTCTATCTGAAGTTTATGAAATTTATATTTATGTAAAAACAGATATTGGTGAGTTGTACAATATAACTATGAGATAAGCCCTAAGCATATTAATAAACTATTAATATACATTTAAAGCAGCATATGTCTATGATGGTAGAACAGTTACAGATTCTCCTTATATTTTTTATTCATATCGTAACTTACTAACTTTATACAATTCATTTGATTTATTAAATAAGAATTTATACTCTTAAGCAATACTTAGAATATCAGATGATTTTGAAAAAGAACTATTTTTATTCTATCCTTTTCTTATTTAATTCATTCTTATTTTTGGAATTGAATTGTATTATGATTTAAAAAATAATAAGATTTTAGGCAAATTTGTTTATTTAATTCTCTATAGTCATTCAGTACTCATTTTATAAGAAATAAGAAAATTGACATGTTATATTGATTATTACATTAATAATCCTGAAAAATTATTTAAATATAAATTTAATATTGAAGAAAAAGAAAAGGAATTATAAGATACTTAATAACTTAATTAAGAAATTATTTAATAAAAAAAATAATTAATCATTAGGAAATCATACTTTAAGAAATGGCATATCATAACTTTACTTCTTTAATTATTTTTTATAATAACATTTGGGATTATCAAACTAAATCTCACATCTACTTACCTTACTAAATACGAAAAAACATGTTAATTTACATTAGAAATATCGCATCTTGGGACTAATATTCCTACAATTTATGCTATGAGAGAAGTTCTATACTATAGATGGAGATATCCTTTTTATAAAGAAAAAGAATTATCTGAAATTTTATAATAAATCCAAGATTGCTTAGAATAAGTGCATAATGTTACAAATGATATCTCATAATTAAGGATGTATATAATGATTTTAATATAGAAATGATTATTTGCTAAGTGACTCATTCGGTTAATATCTACAAGAACTTTATTAAACTAGCTTATGTGAATTACTTCCAGGGGATTTAAAAGAGAGAAGCGAATAATTATGCTAAACTACACTAGGAGGTAGTTTACGTAAAGGATTATATAGTGCTTTAGTTTACATTTACACAAGTATATAAAATGAGATGCAAATTAATTATTTTTTAAATAAAACTGAGAATACTGTGAATGAATTAGAGGGAGTTTTTATGGTTAGTTAAATTATTAAATAAATCAACTCAAAAATGTGGCTGGATATTGTCAATTAAACGGAATATCTTTAACAAAATATATCTGTAAGAAAATGATTTATCTTAGATAATATCTTTTATTTACATTATCGTTGTGATAATTAATCTCATAGCTATATTTATTTTAATAAATAACAAATTACAAAGACAATATTATTTGTCAAAAAGATATTTATATTTGGTACCATAAGCAATCTTATTTGGAAATGATTAATTTGAAAGGTTAGCAAAAGGATTACTTTAAATGAACTGATGATTAAAAATATAAAAATAATTATGTCATCAATGATTGTATAAATATAGATTTTAATTTTCAAGAAAAAAAATAAATATTTTAAAATTAAGTTGTTTTAATGAAAGAAATTCTTGGTTTGGCTACTGTGATACTTATGGGGATTACCCTTTACATGAATGGATAGAGTGAAATTTCTAATTAAAATTAATTTTAATAATGGCAATCACTTCACTCTAAATTTTATACACAAATTGAGGAATAATATCGTAGAATGGTCTTTGAACAAAACAAAAAAATGATTGATGAACATAATGCTAATCCTGAAAATACCTATACAATGGCAATTAATTAATTTGCTGATTTAACAAAGGAAGAATTTGTAGCCACTTATTTAAGTTCTGAATATTCATAAGGATTAAAAAAGAAATCAATTAAAGCTAAGTCTTAATCCATACCAAATGAATCTTATGATTGGAGAAACACAACAACAGTGAGAGACATGAAATCTGGGTGCATATCAAGTTGGGCTTTTTCAACTGTTGGAGCAGCCGAATCATATTTAACTGTGGTGAAATCTTAAAAATTATTACTTTCAGCCTAATAACTATTGGATTGTGATGCAACATCATTTTCTTGCAATGGAGGAGTTCCCTATAAAGGTTTAGATTATATTATTAACTATGGCATTACAGTAGAATCTGTTTATCCATATGTAAGAAATTAATATTAATTTATTAGACAGCTAGATTTTCACCATGCAAAAGAGAAGGAGGACCATATACTATTAATGGTTAAGAAGATGTTGATGATCTTAAAAGTGCTTTGAGATAATATGGAGTCTCAGTATTTGTTGATGCTACAAATTGGCAATTTTATTCAACAGGAATATTTAGTAATTGTGAAGATAATGTAAACTTTGCAGCAACAGCAGTTGGTTTCACTGATCAATATTGGATTGTTTAAAGTTCATATGGTACTGGTTGGGGATAAAATGGATATATTTATTTGGCACCTGGAGATACATGTGGAGTTGAATCATTTGGTGTTAGAGCTCTTTGATTATTTATCATATGAATAATAAAATATCATAACTTAGGTTTGCTTCTTATTTTCTAGACTATTTTTTATAAAACTTCATGTCCAGCATTAACTTCTTTTATTTATGTAACCCTTTACATCCAACTTAAAATGTTAGGATATTTGGAAAAATCCCAATTAACCATGTGTAATTACATGATTTCACAATAAGCACTTAAATCAGCAAGAGTTATTTCATTACCACAGATGTAATCTTAAGTTGAAAATTCTTTATTAAATATAAGACTTTTTACTTGTATCTAAAAATTTTAAAGCGAGTATAGCTTCCTTTTTAGCTTACTCTAAATTAACAGTAGTTTCTATTCCTAATTTTGGGGCCACCATCAAATTGAAAAAGTATTATGATAATTTTCTGGTACCTGAATGATGATAATCTAAATATTCATCAATCTTAGCTGATTTCTAAGGATCTTCAGGATATAAAGGAGTCTTAATATTTCTTGATTTTATAATATATTTGACAATAGTATGACTTTCAGCAAGTTGAAATCCATCTTTATCTACAATAGCAGGTACTAAAAAACATAAATTAATTGATGATGTACCCTTTCTATATGGATTTATTTTAGCATATTCAGGGGTTCGTTATTTTCCTTCTGCAATTCTGATCTCTACTACTTCATGAGGAACCTTTAGTATATTTAACACAATAGAAACAAATCTTGAAGGTTAAGACAACCAATCGATATACAATTTCAATGACATGTTATTTAATAATATGATGTAAATTATACAATCACAAAAAATATTATATAGTTTATAATACTGATGTATGATTTATCAATTAAAATACATTTTCTTAATATGGTTAATCTAAATCAATATTACTAAATTAGGAATAATTTGATATAAATTCTGATTCCCTATTTTAAAAACATCCTAAATTCTGTATGTAAAATGTCATATATTTATAATTGATATGTAATTATTTTATTATGAATTTTATTGATAAGAGCAATTAGTATAATTTAGTCTTATTTTTGATATTTATATATATGATAAAGTTCTTTTTATATGAAATTAATAAGGGAGGGATTTGGGAATTGATAAAAACTCAAATTAAATAAATATATAATGATAACTAATGATAATGTCAACTCTAGATCATATGATCCTCCAGTCATTCCTGATCCTTCTCAAATGCTTGAAGAATCGCAGTTCATCAATATTTCATAAAAGCATCTTCTATTTCCAAATAGTCCTTTTCAGATTGTCAAACCTTAAGATGTAAGTGATTATGAATTCCCTTTTGATCCATAACCATTGCAGATGATGTTTGATTATCCTTAATCAGAATAACTTTCACCAAAACTATAAATAAGGAAACCCTCCAAAAATTCGAATCTATAATTCACTACGCCATAAAAAGTATAGCCTTATAGAAGGTAATTAATTTAAACAATTTAATTAGATATCAATCAGAAAGAGTAGAACGAAGAACTTATAATTATGAATAGTAAAATTAACCCATGAGAAGCCAAAAGGGTAAATATGGACACATAATCAAGCACAGGACTTAGACATTTGTCAATAAAGGTCAAAGAAATCGTGTTTGAATTGAGATCAACTTCCTATAAAGATGTAGCAGAGAGATTAATTTAGGAGTTAAGTAAGGAAGAAGGCAGATTATTAGATTATGATAATGTATGACAATAATAAATTAGAGTAAAAAGATGAATAAAACATTAAGCGTAGAGTATATGATGCTTTGAATGTAATGATAGCATCCAAAGTATTAAGAAAAGAAGGTAAAAAAGTTAAATCAGATGTTTGTTCAGAATTATCTGGAAAGATAAAACTTTAAGATAGAGATGCATAAAGGGAAAAACTAGTAAATTTGCAATATATCATTAGATAATAAAATAAAAGATTGTCTAAGGAAAAAAGAAGCATTTATCAGATCTCATTTAAAAATGGAAAACGGCCAATTCTTTAATAGAAAGAAATAAAAATTTAGAAAAATAATCATAATAATCATTCTATTTTCCATTAATAATATTTTATGCAGATCAGAAACTTCCAAAATTTCTAAAAGATAAAAAAACTTTAAAAATTTAGATGAAAAATAAAATTGAAATTCTTTCAGATCTTGACATTGCAAAACAATTGTTTTTGTATCAATTATGAATTTATCTTAGTGAAACTGTTGACAATGATAAAATATAAGAAGAATGCTTAAAATTGTAATGAATAAATTATATATATTTTTATTATATGAGATTTTTTGTAAAATCATTATATGAATTTAACAGAATTTATAGACTTTTTCTAATTTTAAGATATAGAATAAATAAAATAAAAATGAATACATATTTGAATCTTTTTTCTATCACAAAAAAAGGTAAATCTAAATAAGAAAAACAAAATATATTTAATAATTATTTTTTTTGATTTTTATATCAATAAGAAAGATAAATTAATTATTAATTTTGTGAAAATTAGTTTTTTTTCCTTTCGTAAAGAAAATTATATATATTTATATATATTACTTTTGGAAGAGATTATAAAAAGAAAAATTATAGCAGAATAATTAACAGAAAATCTTAATTGTTATAATTACTAACATAACCAATTGGAAGATAAATAGAATGAAATGAATTCATTAATATTTGAAAAAAATAAATTATTATTATTTAAATGAAGCAGAGAAGATTTGTTCAAAAAAATTAGGCAACTTTTACTCATTTTGTTAGTGTACCCTTAATTTTATAACCTACTTAAGGGAAACTTTAAAAATTAATGGATGACATTCATAAAAAGTACAATTTTGATTAATCTATGAATCCTAATAACCCATTTTTATTTCATATCACAATATCAATGCTTGGATTATCTAATTAAGAAAAAATAAATAAAGCTAGATAAATATTCATAGATAATGAGCAAACAATTAAAAATTATTTAAAAAACTCTTCTATAAAACTTAAAGGTTTAGGATGCTTTCAAAATCGATTAAATTAATAAAATAAATATTACAAAAGAGGCCCTTATGAAGATTTAAATATTATTTATCTAAATGTAGATGAAACTCCTCTATTACCTGTTTCTGATTTTATAATTAGATAATTTTTGTAAGCAGAAATCTTTGATTCAGATGATTTAAAATCAATGAATTTGATAATGGATTAGTAATCAAAAATGTTTAGAGCAGAGAAATTCCATATAACTTTATTTCGATTAAAGGATTGTAAAATAAACTTTCAATAATTATTTGATGAATATAAAGATTACCAATTTGGTGATGTTCCTATACAATATTTTGATATCAGCACAAGATGGTAATATGATAAAGATAAGTTTTATCAACCTTTAGCAAGAATAGTTATTGATTGATTGTAGATTAGAATAATATTAATAAATATATAAATATATTCTGATAAATTGATAATTCTCATAATATCCATTTTTCAGGTGTTCCTATAATGAAGTTACAACTGTTTGTTACAGCATAAATTTTTCCTAAATGAATCAAACTACCATTCTGTACTTGACCAATTTAAGGAGGATTTGTTAGATTTTCAATTGTAAATTATAAATTTTATGAATCCATCATTTTCAATAATTAATATTATCCATTTCCAAAAATTAAGACATTAGAATTATTAATAGCAACTAATCCAACCCCTCTATTTATGTTAATATTAAAAGAGTTCCATTTTAATAATTTAGTATCAAATACTTCTAATGGAGTTGCTTTAATTACATATTGTCTAAAAGTACAAACTGATAAATTAGCACCACCTTAATTCATTTTTGGTAGATTTACTCTAGTATCGATAATAGATCTCACCTTACTCATTTATACTTCTAGACTTTCTATTGTATTTAAATCTTCGTTCTGATTTTATCCTCCAAGAACGTATAATTTATTTTATAAGAATACTCCAGATGAAGAATGTCGAGGATATTATAATTGATCAGTAGATATTAAGGTTTATTATTTCAGATCTAATTTAAAAATTTAAGAGCTTAATTAATTTCCAATATAACCACCGATCACAAATATATCTCCTGATTATGATCGTACAGAAGTACTTTTTAATGGTACTTAACAATTCAATCTAACTTCTTACCATCTTGGATTCTAAACCCATTCTAAATTTAAAAAAAATACTGATTTATCAGTAAAATAATGTAAATATTTTTAACTACATAGAGGATCATAAAAATCTGGTAAATTTATAGTAAAATTGGAGAGACTAGTCTATTAAACTAAAATATTAAATAATAGATTATACATTATTATTCTAATCTTTTATATGGTGATTGTTCTATTTATGCTGTTTAAATTTCACTTGTTAAATATGGATGATTATAAGCTGTATTTTTTGGAATTGATGAAGAAGGTTAAATTTATTAATTTTTATAATACTCTACATTTTTTATTGATGTATATTATGCCAATTGAATTTTAAGAAAGTATAATTCTTATTCATCTATTTAAATATCTAATGTATGTTTTGAGACTTCTTCAATAAATGCTTCACATTCAACTCTCTATTATTATGTTTATTATAGGAAATTTGTAGTTTATAATTGTATAATTTGTTTTAGATACTTAGGAGTTCTTAATTTTTAATCTATCTGTTAAATTTCTTGAATTTTTAAATTTAACGATCTTTCCATTTATTATAATTCAACATCTAAATTTGTTCTATCTAACTTTGTGACTTAATCTAATTCATTTAACAATTCATCAAAAAATTAATCCACCATTTATTATACTCTCAATTTAGCATTGTTAAGCTTTGTGTGTAATTATCCATGAGCATCTGTTTTTGAATCTTTGAATTACTATAATAATTATATGGCTTAATTCAAATTTTTTAATTAAGTATTTATTAGTTGTAATGTTTCTTCATGCATTTCATCAACTGTGACTAAATCTGCAAATTAACCTTATTATCTATGTTTGTCCAAATGTTAAGGAATACATTTTGGACAGAGAGGCATTAAACAACTAGGCTGTTTACAGAAATTAGTTATATTCTAACCTTAATGTGTTACACATGGTGCTTATAACTAAAAAGTTTAACTTAAACCTATTTCACTAGGATTAGGAGAATTTTGAATATTAAACATAAATATTTATGTATAATTAATTAATTGAACAGAAAACAATTGAATCACTGCTGAATATTTTTTTAAGATTATTAACTATTATATGATCATGATTATGAAACTGAAATTCAAAAAATAATACAAAATTATATTATTACAAAAAGAATGAAAAATAGAAAACATAAATTTCAACTAAATTTAATTCAATTTTTCTATCTACAGCTTCCTAAACTCCTAAACTTTTAATCGATTTAAATTTTAAAATCTAACAAAATCTAAAACAAGAGCAGGAAAATCAACTTTGTTTTTAAAAACCTTAAGGAAAATCTCAAGATAAATCTTAGAGAAATTATAATTATAAACATTAATTGTAATAAATATGAATATTAACATCCTTAAATAGTAACTTAAAAGAAATTACATTATATTCAAATATTTTTAATAAGATTATCACAATTATTATTTAATTATTCATTTACTTTATTATTATCTATTGTTATTACAATTATTTTATTTATATTAATCATAAAAATGTATAAAAAAACTTGATTATCATGCCATTATTTATTAATCTTACATTACTGATCTGGCTAGTCTTTCAAAAGCATCATCAAGAAACAAAGTCTATTAAGGTATTAAATAGAGATATCTCTTAGCAATATAATATTGTCGTTTAAGAAAGGGGTTTATGATATAAAATAGAAAAATGATTGATATTACAACAAAGACCAATGCGAAAACACACAAGTACTAAAAATTATAATATGTTTGTTACTATAATGCTTGATAAGATATTATTGGTTTAATTTGTTAAATCAGCCTTCATATAAGTATTTATTTATTTTATAACTTGACTAATAATAAAAACTCCTTCTAATTCATTTCTAGTATTTTCAGTTTTATTTAAAAATTAATTAATCTACATTTCATTTTAGATATTTGTATAAATATAAATTAAAGACCCAGTTAGACCGTTTAAAAAACTTCCACCTAAAGTTATCTAACATAAAGTCATTGATTTCTCTTTCATGCTATCATCTAAAAAGTTACAGATATTTGTTGAAGACATACTTTAAATATAATCACTAAAATCTGAACTTAATAAATATTAATTTCTAATATATATATAAATATATATACATTTATAGGTTTTATATATATGCAGTAACATTTTATACTTAAGCTAAACAATCTATAATTTGATCTAAAATTTATTCCAAATCATCATCATTATAAAATGGATATCTCCATCTGTAATAAAGCACTTCTCTCATAGCATATATTGTAGGTATATTAGTTCCAAGGTCTGTAATTTATTAATAAAAATATGCTGTTGGTTTAAATTGAGTAAAATAGTTTAGATTAACATAATATTTAGCAATCGAAAAGGAGATTAGTATGATAAATTATATTAGTATCAAACAGTATCCAGATTTATTAGAAAGTAATCTTTTCTAATATTATAATCTTTTTATTGAAGTTTCAATTTATAATTATTTTTATTATAATTTTAATTAATTCTCCTTTTTATCAATTTAGAATTAGTATTTAAATAAAGTATCACTACTTTTAGATATACTTTCAACATAATGATTGAATCTATCAACATCTTACTAAATAGTATAAGCTTCATTAAAAGTCATAAAGCCTAACAATGAAGCAATTCTACCTTAATTCTTCAAAAACCAAAAGATTTCAAAACTAATAATAATTAATATTAAAATAACAAAAGGATAAAATAATGTTAATTCTTTATCTAAATCTAATTCAATTCTTAAATTACTTTATATATATAATTCTGAATTTAATAAATCAAATGCATTATACAAAGTTAATAGATTTCTGTAAGAATAAAATATATAAGGTGAATCTGAAACAGTTCTACCATCATATTTATAGGCTGCTTTGAAAGTATATTAATAATTGATTAAAATACTTAATGATTATCTCATTGTAATATTATACAATTCACCTATATCAGTTTTAATATAAATATAGAAGTCATAATATTAAGCTAAGAAATCTTATAGAGTCAATCTATTTAAGATTGCAGCTTAATTTTATTAAACATCATCAAATCCTAAATTTAAATTTGAATTAGGAAAAACTAAATATTTATCTAATTCACTCTTTGTTATTGATTTTGCTGTGAATTATGCATTATAATTGATAATTGTATATCTTGTAACAATAAATGATTCAACAGGTTAAAATAAATAATATTTGATTTAAAGAAGATCTATATTAGTTAAATATTAATTTAAAGTTGATGAACTTTAAGTTAAAGAAACAACAATTTAAACTATAAAGACTATTAATTATAACATCACAAAAAATATAAGTATTTTTTAAATTTGATTTGTATTTGAAGATTATAACATTTTTTCCATAAGAATATATTTTTTATAATAAAATGCCTTTTTTTAACCACTTAATTAACTAACTTATGATGATTATCCTTCCATTTAAACATCTTATGAATCATCATCATTACTTTTTGAATATTATTAATTAATTTTAGATTTTTCAATGAAATATTTTTGTTATTATTATAGAGATTATAAAGGTTAATATGTTTTACTTTGTGATTCATTTTTGGCATGAAATTAATCATCTACTAAAAATCCAATTCCATCATTATTATGTGATTCTCTATTAGATAATAATAAATCTGGATTTTATAGAATAACTATATCATTAATATATTTAGGTTCAGATTCTTCATATGGAATTAACATTTCAATTTGTTCATCCATTTCAATTTCACTTAGATTATTACCATTTTATTAAAAATATGATTTTTATGTTAATGTTCTAGAAGCACTTTAACTACCTCTTCTGGTAGCATTTTTTAAATAATTAAATCTAACTATATAATATTTATCATCATTATTTTAAATACAACAATGAGTAGAATAAGTATCATAATTATATTGATCTAACCAACAACCATCCATAAGATCTGTTATATTTCTTTTTTATTTATAATGAATTAAGAGTGTAACAAAATCAAATAATTTTGGTTTTGTTAAAAATCTAAGTTATATTTACTAAACTTAATTATCTTCAACATAAAATTTAAATTTAGGAATAACATAATCAACTGGAATACCATAAATTAATTCAATTTAATCTGAACTTCCTCCAACTATTTCAAAAAATTCTTCACTTAATCCTACAATCTTATGTTAATTATCTACAACCATTATTATTTAATTTTCATCTTAAATAGATAATAAGATTAATGCATTAAGTTAATTTTTCTCAAATAAAATTTCAGTTACTATATTAACTCCTTCACAAAATCCTTTTTTAGCAATTAAACCTTCTTAAACATTTCTAAAAAATTTAGATTTTCCAGTTTTAATAAATGTTTTTATCATACTAGGATGATAATCTTTTATTCCATTAGGTATTAAATCATCTAATATTAATTAATCTACTTAAAAGAAATCATAAGCATTACTTGAATTTCTAATTATTTACATATTATCTAAATTTACCATTAAATATGTAGTTTTAGTTGAATAAAGATCAATTTTAAGATTTGAAACATTTTTATAAATTTTATCTTCTTATAATGCTGCTTAACAAAATACTTTCATTGCTGATAAATAATCATTAAGTAATTCAGCATAAATAAAAGCCAAAATATTTTACATTCTATTACTTGGATATTATCTATATAGATTTTAAACAAAATCCTTTAATTTATCTAATTCCAATACTAAAGTATTAGATTTTGAATATAATTTATCTATTTAATCATAATCAAAATCTTTAAAATATTCAATCTTCTTTTAACATAAAATAACAATTCTTTTACATAATTCTAAATTTTTAGATTCTATATCCATAAACTTTTTTATATTTAATTCAAAATCTTTATCAGTATCAAAATTATTCTTTTACATCATATGATAATTCAATTTTTGTCTACACTTTCTAGCACATATCAAAAATTTAATTTTATTCAATATTGTTTGTCCTTTCTTGTTTTCCCATTTTGATATGTATAAGAAAGCCTAAAAGTAGAATTCTAATTTCAAAAGGAGGGATAAATGAGATATGAAATCATCTTGAACCAACTAAACACAAATTTGAACGATTTACCTCTTAGTGTTTTAAGCTCAACCTAATATAAAAGTCATAAATATCCTCTTAATTTAGTACTGTTAGTCTCTATGGTTCAACATCAACTTTTTTAATTCCCTTGCTCACTATTGATTCAATCAAAATACGCTATTTTGAATATTAGAATTTAGATTTTAATTCTAAAATCAAATTAACAATTTAAGAAGGATTAGATTATTATGCAATAGTCAATAATTATTTTTTATAGTAATAATATGTTGCTATTTTAAAATTCATAGGCAACTAAAAAATAAAGAGTAATTCTATTTATCCCATACTTAATTCACTTTCTAAAGATATTAAAAAAAAAAGATTATATATTATTGAATTAAAATGAATAGCAAAAACAATAAAGAAAATATTCTTATTCAAATAAGGAAAGTAAATAATTGCATTTGTAAAGATAGCTATATTAATCAATAGGCCTATAATACCCAAATAAAATGTCATGATTCCATCTACTTGAGTATTAAAACAAAAGATTCCAATTTATACAAGATTTAATGTTTAGGATATATAAATTAGAAATGATTGATTAGATAGATTGAATGTATTCTATTATAAAAATAACTACACTTTTGTAATAACTAAGCGATAAAGCAAAAATATTAAATAAATTAGTAAAGTTAAAATTGATAATGCATCTGCTCTTTTTAGCAATATCTCCAAAATAATATTAATTAACCAAATATCATATATTTGATTACAAAAAGTAATAATCTAAAAATAGAGATTTTATTTTAAATCTTCAATATTGTTTTTCGATATAATAAAATTAATTATGTAATGCATAATTATCAGACCTGAAATTATAAACAAAAATATTGAATAACTTGAATCTGTATCTTCTATAAATAAATGAGGTCTTATTATTTTTCCTAAAATTTAAAAGTAAATATTATTATTTGATTAGCCCTCTGCAGGTATAATAGAATATGATATTGGTAGTAATGAACTAAGTGTAGTAAATATAATTAAAGCGAAATCATTAACCTAAAATTCTGTTTCTTAGAGCAGAGAAAACTCTAATATAAATGATATAAACTTCTAAATTTAATATCTGATATTCATAATAATAATAATTAAAATTATGAGTTCCGATTCATTTGAAAAACTAATGTAATTAATTCATGAATAAAATACTGCTTGTGAATAACATTATGATTAAAATAATAAATAGATAATGGATTTGATAGGCAATTTGGATAATAATATGAAGAATTTATAGAAATAAATAGAGTAACCAAGAATTGAACATCATCATACTTTATCAAAAGTAGAAGAAGTAGAGAATGAAGATTAAGAATAATCACAATTTTAAGTATTATAAGAAGACAAGGAAGAATTAGAATTATAAATCAATTAATAACAAGAATAAGAGTAAATTATAATATAAGATCAAATAATAAATGAAGAATGACTTATACTTTAAATTATATAATAATTTTCAATTGTTTTCTAATTAATACGAATAAGATAACACCAATGATTTGGCCATTAATTCTTAATTTTTAAATACTGCTGGTAATAAAATTATACATTCTTCTTTATTTTTAATGAATCCATCTATTGGATCATGTTTCTATTGATTAAAACTAATTTTTTATCCAATTGATTAGATATCAAATGTTAAGATAGGATCACTAATATAACAATTAAACATAATTTCTGATAATTTATTGAAAAATGCTTCGATTAAATCGTTGTTATTTAATTTTAAGTATTTTTATAATTCTAATCTTGTAGATGTTTAATTTCGCATACATTTTTCATAAATTGATTTATAATTTCCTTAAAATGATTTTCTCATCACATTTAGTATTGGACCATCTATATTATTGAAACATCCCACCTAAACAAATTTGTTTATAATATTACCTCCATAATATTTTTGAATAGTGGTTAAAAGTATTCTTGAATGATTTTGTCTATTCGAATCATTGAAGTTGAAAAAAAATATATAATACCTTTGAGATTTAATTCTTAAGTCAACACATCGAAAAATATATCAAAACATTCACATTTATAAAATTCCGCAATAGAATTACTTAATTCGTTTGCCATAGGAAATTATATACTAGTGTTTGAAAAACCAGAAACCATGCATCTAAGATGAGATTACATTTATAATATTTCATGTTATAGATTTTAATTTTCTTTTGTTAGATTCTCTTTTTCTTTTTTTGTTAATTACAATTTATTCATTAAAAGTTTTATTTTTCCTTTTAATTCTTCTTATGTTCCATCCAAATAATCTTAAGGTTTTTAGTAATTTTCTTTGGCATAATTATTCTTCATATTTAAATTATGCTGTTAAAACATTTATTTTTTATATTTTAAATTTAAATCACAATTTACAGTTAATAAAAATGGCTTTATTAAAAGACGATACTGCATTTACTCATGTAATTGCAATAGATTTTGGCACAGGAGCTTCAGGGTATAATATGAGACTAAATTTATTTTAGATTTGGATTAGCTCCAAGAATTTTAGATAAAGAAGGCAAACCTAGAATAGAAGTATTCAATCCATGTGATGATACAGATGATTAAAAAACACCTACTGCAATTCTATTTGATAATAATGGTTAATTTATTGAATTTGGATCTTAAGCACTTTAAAAATATGCAAGTATGTTAGATGATGGTGAAACAGCCCTTTTGTTTTAAAATGTAAATAAATAATTATAAAATTCTTAGTATAAAATGCATTTGTATCATATGCATAATCAAGCCAGATCATTGGATAATCGTGAATTATCATTAATGTAAATAATAAAGGAAACATTAAAATATATAAGCAATAAAGCAATATAGAAATTAAAAGAATAGGTAGGTAAAGTGATACATACAAAAATCAGATGGGTATTAACAGTTCCAGCTTTGTGGAATGAAGAACATAAATAATTTATGAGAAAGGCAGCTGTTGAAGCAGGTATAGTTGATCATATAAATTCTCCAAATTTATTACTTTGTTTAGAACCAGAAGGTGCATCTATTTAATGTAGAGAAGATGCAGAATAAACATTAAAGGAACAAATGGCAAAAAATTCTGTTGTAATGGTATTAGATTGTGGAGGTGGAACTGTTGATATTACAGTTCATAAATTATTATGTGAATCAAATGAAAAGTTCTTATGTAATGAATTAATACCATCATCTGGTGGTTGTGAATGGGGTTCAAAATATGTTGATTTATATTTTGAGGAATTTATGAAAGAATTTTTGGGAGATAAATTATTTAGATAATATTAATAAAATGCTATTGCACGTTTAGATATTTTAAGAGATTTTGAAATATTAAAAAGGAAATTTAAAGGAAATAAGGATGAAAAATGTATGATAAAATTCTCTTATTTGGGAGAAGAATTGAATACAAATAAATTATCATAATTAGTTAAAGATCATAATCAAAAACATCCACCTGAATATTAGGTTAAATTAAAAGGATTATCAAATGTTGAAATACCATCAGCTTTAATGGCTTCATTTTTTTAAACATTATTTGAAAATATAAAAAATAAAGTTGCTTAATTATTAGTACAAATTGAATAAAAAAAAGAAAAAGTAAACTTTATATTTATGGTTGGAGGTTTTAGTGAATCTCCATTCTTGAAGTAAGAAATAATTAAGAGATTCGAAAATAATACAATATAAATTTTGGTACCAAGAAGACCTTAAGTTTCTGTTATAAGAGGAGCTTGTTTATTTGGATTAAGTCCAAGATCAATTACAAGTAGAATAGCAAAGAAAACTTATGGTATTAATACTTTGACAACTTTTGATGCTGAAAGACATCCTATTAAAAAAAAAGTAATTATTGAAGGAGAAGAATTTAGTGAGGATGTATTTGATGCTTTTGTTAGAAAAGGAGATGCTGTTGGGTATATTAATTAAAATATAATTATATAGTTGTGATGAAATTCATACTAAAATATATTGTCCAGTTAGATCTAGATAAACAATAATGAGAATTATCTTTTATGTGACAGAAAAGAGGGAAGTAGACTTTGTAGATGAATAAGGTGTTTAATAATTAGGAGAATTGTGTATTGATATAGGGAAACCTTTATAGTCTGTTGAAGATAAGACTGTAAAAGTTACATTATTATTTGGCAATACTTGTATATATGCAACTGCCACTAATAAAGATGGAACTGAAATAAAAAATTGTGAATTCAAATTCGAATGTGGGTAATGATCATTTTAATTAATAAATGAATAATAATTATATACTTTTTCCAATATTAACTAAGTCTTAATAATATTAATAAAAAAACGAAAATAAAATGAAATATTTTCTTATATTTCTTACATTTTCAATATCTATATGCATCAAATTAGAACTTTTAGAAGTGTTTCATAAATCTATTGATTGGTAAGCTAATTATTAACCAACTTATGAAAAATAAATGAAAAAATTAGAAAGATAAATATCAATTATGAAAGAATAAAGAAGAGCAAAGAATCAATAATGTGATCGCATATAAAGAGGATTAGACTTTATTGTTAGTGAGTAAAAAGTTTATATTAATAAAGAAAGGAAAAAAATGAAAAGTTTACATCATGGTTGACATCTCGTATTGTATAAAACTAGAATAGAGTTGAAAAACTGAATTAAATAAAATGTTAAAGTAGTTCTTCATTTTATGAGACTATGAATGATTAAAATAGAGTTAATAAATTAAACTAATTTTTTGTTAGTTGGATAAGTAGAGATTAGAAATTACTTTAATTATAAGATACTCAAGCTTTCATTTAAGAGATGTAAATTGAAAATGAATATTAAGATGCATTATTAATTTTATCTGGTAATTATATATTTCAATAAATTATAGAATAAATTCGATCATGCAAATTATCACCTTTCAAATAATAGACTATTGATAGAAGTGAAAGTTCAAGAAGAGACTTTGAATAAAATATATTTGATTTAGAAAAGTTATTAAATCAAAATAATGATTAAATGGAACTAAATGAAGTGAGGGTTTAAGATAAAATTACTAAATTTATATAATAATTAGATAAAGAAACAGAATAATTATAAATTCATTATGAATCTATTATGAAGATAATTAATAAAAGTCCTGTTGAAACTACATCAAAATAAAGATTAGATTAATGTAAGAAAGATGTATTGAGTATTGATAAATTAATTGATGCTACATAAGAAGCAATAAAACGTATATAAACTTGTGCTCCAAGTGATGGTATATAATAATATTATTATATTTTTAGGATTGGCATTTAAGTAGAAGAGAATCTTAAGTTAGATTGCAAAAGAATATTCATAAGGTGTTGCTAAATTTGAATAAAAATGAATTCATAAATAAGTTCAATAAATAATACAATTTTCATTTTTTTTTTTGAAATATTATATATAAATTAGTAGTTATTTAAATTAATCGTTAATGGACACAACTCAATTAAAGACAAAAGTGATAAATGAATTTACTAAGAAAAATAAATAGTTATTAGATGAATGGTCTGAAAAAACAGTTTAGGCATATTTAGAGTAATGTAGAAAATTTACAGAAGAAATGTATTCAGGAAATTTAATCATGGTTGATGATGGATACAATTAAACTTAAGAAGAATTATTGATTTTGGAAAACCTTTTTAAAAGTATATTTATTTATATGAATTATAGATTATACAAAAACAAAAGGAGATATATAACATAAACTTCGTATAGGATACTCAATAGCAAGAAAACTTTATATGGAAAATCTTCAATAGAGAGTATTTAAAATATTCAAAGAATAAGTGAAATTTTAAAAATACATTAGAAGTATGAAGGTTTATGCAACAAAACATTATAAGTAAAAATTTATTTAAAAAAATATAGATAGAGACTTCCAAGATAAGTATTTAGTAAGTGGAGAAAATTAGCTCATAATTAAACTAGACATATCATTTTATAATAAGTAAATAGGAAAACTGATAGTGAAATAATGCAAATGCAAAAAGAATATGAGTAATTAATAGGATAATTGGAAACTGTATTAGAAAAAAAATTAATTGAATTAAAAGTCGAAGAAGAATAACATAAAGAATTAGTTTTAAGATATGATGGAATAGTTGAAAAAAGAACAGCAGTAAAGCATTGAATTATACAATTATTATATATTTCTAATTATATACAATTGCTATGCCAATTAGATATGTAGATGTACTAACAGTGGAGTAAGCATTAATTAAAGCTGGAAATGGACACAAATTCTAAATCAGAGCCATCGTTATAATGAGCTTGTAGTATATGGTTGCAGGAATGTTTCATATTGCTATAACGGAATTGTATTTCCATCAAACTTAATATAAATGTATTGACTAACAATATAACATATATTAATGTAATGAAGTGGAGTTTTGCAAATAATATTATAGAGATGATATAGACAAAGAGAAAATTACATTTGCATCTCAATTAGGAGATATAATATAATTCTTTTAATTAGTTTGTGATGACAAAATTATTATATTAATACTTATTACTTCTTATTATTTAGGTGGATGTATAGGATCTTTGTATTATGGAGAGTAGATGGAAATTCGATAAGGGAGATAGTAATTTATTGATAATTATATTAGATCAATTATGATTGAAACATTGGCTTTATTGGGATTTACTTGTTGTTTAACAATCTTAATACCAAATGCATATTTATTAAGTGTAGCATTATTTTTTGCTAATTTCTTTTTAAGAGGATTCTTGAATTCTTCTATGATTTTATTTTTTGAAATATCATCTGAAAATCTATAAAAATTAAGTCCTTCAATTTTATTGACAGCTTATGGAATTGGAACTATAATATCACCAGTGATTATTGATTCATTTTAATTAAATTGGTAATAGAGTATGTTAATTTTATTTGGTGGACCAGCTGTTATGTTTTCAGTTCTTATTAAGTTTATGTAAGAATCACCAAGAATGCTTGTCATTAAAAAGAAATATCATTAAGCAAAAATTGTTCTTCAAATAATAAGTTAATGTAATGGAAGGGAAATGCCTAAAGATTGGATGTTAGAAGATGAAGTAAGAGTAAAGGAACTTAAAGATAAAATGTAAGAAATTACTTAATAATTTGGTGTAAAGGAAGTTGCTAAAGGATACAATTTTTCGTAAATCTTAAATATTATAAATTTAGTTCAATTTTTCGTTATAATTCAACCAGAGTTAGAATGTTTTGTCTTCTTTATTTGTATTCAATTATTATAATTGGATAATTTTAAACTTCTAAAGAAATAGATGCATTTTCTAGATTAGATAGATAAAAGACTGAATTATTGTTATCTACTGTAGCAACAGTAGGATATCTTATAAGTGGTTATGCAAGTTTGAATTATAATAGAAAAGATGTTTTGAAGATTGTTTTAGGTGTAAGTGCTATGTTCAATTTTCTTTATGCAGTTTTTCCAATTTTTTAATTAAGTACAAATGCCATAGCATTAATGTCTTTTTATGATAGATTAATGCATACAATAATTATGATGATATTGATTATGAGTCGATTAATATTAAGTTTTGGATGTGCATTTATTAATGTAAAATAATTAATTTAAATATAGATTTATGCTTTAGAAGTATTTCCTACATCATTAAGACATTATGGTTTTTCTGGAATGGTATTTTTGACTGAATTTTTATTCATTTTTTAAGAAACTTATGTTGTATTTTGTCATACATTTGGATTGAATACATCTATTGGTATGTTCTTTTTATTGTTATTTGGAATTTTAACATTAAATAAATTGAGAGAAACATATGATTAACCATTAAAAGAGAATGTTGAAGAATTGAATGATGAATTACTTAACAATGTATATGTATTATGATATTTATAATACAATATTTTATATATCTCTTTAATAAAATAATAATAATAATAAATTTTATTTAATAAAAATGAGTGAACATTCTTATTTAGTATTCTTATTATTTATAAATATTAGATAGCTGAAAATTTAGAATTGAAAACATAGGTTCAAAATTTGAAATTAGAAATAAATTAATGGTAATCTCATTATGATGATTTGTCTATGAAATATTATTAATTACAATAATCTAAAATTAATCCAAATGATCTTTTAGAATATGAAGATTTAAAAATATAGCAATAAAGATATTAAGAATAAGAAATTCAATAAAGTTTTATCATAAAATAATAAAATTAATTTATTCTTAATTTATAATAAGAAAATAGAGATTTAATTGATAAAGTAGATTAATTAAAATAGAAGGCAAAAAATTATGATTGTTTAAAATAATAATATTAGAATTTAGAATAAGCTAGTCAAAAATATTTCGAAGAATTAGAAATGATTAAATAAAGACCTCCTACTATAATTGTTCCTAATCCAGATGTTACTGCACTTTATAGAGAAATTAATCGTTTAAATGCTATTATTTAATAAATGTGTAAAAATTCTATTGAATCAATTTGTAAGACTTCTTATGAATATAAGAATTACTAAAATGATGAATCTATAATTGAAAATTTTAATGAATAAAAGAAATTTTATGATTAAACAATTAAGAAATCTGATGAAAAGAAATAATTCTATTGATCATTTTTTATTTTCTAATTACGTGTATATAATAATAAAAAAATAATTTATAATGAGTTATGCTGATTTTGGGTAGAATATTATAGATAATGAAATGAAAGAAGTATAATAGAAAGCTCAAGATGGTTGGGATATCGAAGAAGAAGATTTTCCTTCTGATCATGGAAATTAAGATCAGCAGTAATAATTAAACAATTTTAGAGATTATCCAAATTAAAATTAAAAAAATAATGAATGGGAAATTGATGATGATATTGATGATCTTTCTTAAACACCAGCAGAAAGTTAATTAAAACAAGAATAATAAACTAAATTTTAATAAGATGAATAAAAATCTCCAGAATAAATAGATATGTGGGGAAAATTTACAAATACAGTCTAATAAACTTAAACAATTGAAAAACTAATTAAAGAAAGTGCACCATAAAAAATAAAGCAAACTTTTCAAAATCTATTTGGATCATAAAATAGTGGATCTAATAATATTATTATTACATCAGAGTAAACATAAAATAGTAAAGTTTTTGCTAGTGTTTAATAAGTAATTGATATGAAGAAATTATTTGAACTTGAAAAGTAAAGCATTATTATAATTTAGATCTGAACTTGAAGATTAAATGAAATTAAGAAGAATCTAAGAATAGAATGAATTAAATGAGTAAAAAGAGGAATTAGAAAATAAAATAAAACAATTCTAAATAGAGAAGGAATAATTCAATTAATAATTAAAGGAAGCTAAATAATTATTTAAATTAACTGAGCTCATAGAACCTTAAGATAATCATGAATAAATTATATGTAAATTAATCAAAGAGAATGAAAACCTTAATAATGATATAACTAAACTAATAGAAACATAAGAAAAATAAATAAATGATTATGAAGATAATATTGAATAAATGTAATAAGAGATTGAGTATTACAAAAACCAGTTCATAAAATATTAAACAAAATATTAAAATACAAAAGAAAAAATTAGAATAGAGATTCCAAAAATTTAAAATTAATTAATGACTATTAAAAAATTAGAATTACATACATAAGTTACTAATAAATTGACATAATTTTAGAAATATTATAATACAAAATAATAGGATTTATTATAATATGCATTATAAACAACTTCTAAATAATCTAAATAAATAAGTTCACTTAAAGAGGATAATATAAAATTGATGCAATAAATTGATGAATTAGATGAATTAAAAGATGAACATTAATCAAGTTTATATATAATCAAATAATTGAGAGTTTCAGAGGATAAATTAATAGAAGAAAATGAAAGACTTTAAAATCAAAATTAGGATAAAGAGAATTAGAACTTTGAACTTTAAAATAAATTAGATAATTTGAAAAGAGAATATGATTAAGAGAAGTTTAATTTAAATCAATTAATAACATAATTACAATCATAAATAGATTAAATCAATAGAAATTAAGTTGATAAATCAAGTATCAAAAAATTAGAAGATTCTTTGGCACTTATATAAGAGGAAAAAAAAACTTTATTAAGTAGTTTAGAAAATAAAGAAACACAAATAATAGTTTTAGAATAATAAATTTAAGAATTAAATGAAGAATTTACTAAGTAATAGAATATAGATTCTAATGATATATGGAAGTAAGAAGATAGAGGTTGGGAATTAGATGATTCTTTTTAGAGAAAATATGATGAATGTAATTTATATATTAATTTTATAGTGGAGTTATAAATGATTTAATATAGAAATGAAAATCATGAGTTAAAATATTAATTAAAAGAAATGGAAGTTAGAATGCTATAATAACAACATAAGTAAGAAGCATAAGTTGAATAAATGCATTAATTATAAATGTGTTTAGTAGACACAGAATATTAGAAAAACTTTTAAAATGCAGTATAGTATTAAATTAATTTAAATATTTAAGATAAGAAAGAATTTAAGAATTAGAAGAATAAATTTCAATTGAAAAAAGAAAGTTTTCAGATGAAGAAGAAAAGGTTAGTGAATAAAATTTATAAGGTGATGAAGATTCTTAAAGAGCAATAAATCAATTGAGATAGATTGATTATGAAGAAAATGAAGCATAAAGAGAAGATGGAGCATGGGAATTTGAAGATAGTCTTAATGTTGATATTTAAGAAGTATTTTATTTTATCAATTATTTTAGTAAGAAAATATTAATGAAGGTGCTGGTCAATATTAAAATATTTAATTAAGTTAAGGTTAAAATATTCAATAGGATCATTATGAAAAATAAGTAGATGAAAATTCTGATTTTTAAGATGAAATATAATAGAATGATTTCTATATATAGGATGATTCTAAATAAAATGATTAATCAGATAATAATATTCATCAATAAAATGATTTATCTCAAGAATAACAAGAATAAGAAGATAATCAAAATATAGATTAATAAATTCAATAAAATATAGAAAATGATTCAGAGGAACTCTCAGAAAAGGAAGGATTGTTATAAAATTATGATGAAGAAAATGAAGATAATTATGAAAAAATTGAAGAAAGTTAAGATTATGAAATAAATTAAAATAATTAATAAAATGAAGAATTTTATGATGAATATTAAGAATAATAATAAGAATAGTCAGTACATTCATCCTAAGATAATTAAGTAAATGTGTAGGAGATGAATTTGAATTAAAATAATTTAGATAATGAAAATATTTAAGATGATTATTCAGAAATAAAAGAAGGAAGTTAAAAATAAGAGGAAATTTAAAATGAAGAAGGTGATTCTGAATATTAAAATGTTGAATATGAAAGTTAAGAAAATAATGATGATTAAATTTAATAAGATCATTAAGATTAAATATCATCAAATGATTAGATTGAATTGCAACAAGAAGATAAAGAAGGAGATCAAAGGGAGTATAATTCTAATGAAGAATTAAATTAGGAATAGGAAGATTAAAAAGATGATGTTCCTTATGAAATATATTAAAAAAATAATGAAAATGCTGATTAAGTATAATAATAATATTAAGAGTAAAATGATAAAGTTGAATAAGAATAATAGTAAGATGATTAATAAGATGATGAATAAGATGAAGAATAAGAAGATGAATAAGATGATTAATAAGAAGATGAATAAGATGATTAATAAGAAGATGAATAAGATGATGAATTAGGAAATGAACAAAAATAAGAAGATGAATAATAATAAGAAATCAATTCAGATGAATTTAATTAAGAGGATCAATAAAATATATATGAAAATTAAGAAATAAATTCTTAAGAAAAAGATATGATCTCATAAGAATATGATCAGGAATAGAATAATAATTCAAATAAATCATTATAATAAATTGATGTAGAAATAGATAATTAAATAAATTAATATTAAATTAATGATAAAGGAGATATATAAAAATAGGAATAAATCGAAAATGAATTATCTAATGAAGAAATATATTTAAATTAACAAAACATTTAAAATAATTTATAAATAGAATCTAATAATTAAGTAATAAATAAAACTGATGAATTGATAATACAAGATAGTAATAATTAAGAAAATTAAGAAAATAATTAAAATAATGAAGAAATATAAATATAAAATGAGATTAATAAAGAATAAGAGTAACTAGAAATATAATACTAACTTGTTGTTGAGCCAATAAATAATTCTAATTTTGAAAATTAAGTAATAGAAAAGAGTTTAGGTGATTTGGATGTTCTAGATATTCATATTAATAATGATTAGAAGAAGGTTGTTATTAATTCTTCTAATTAAATAGAAAAAAATTATAATATTGAAATTCATTCTCAAAAGAATGCTTTATTATCATAAGATCCTTCTCCATCTTATCAAGAAATAGGTGTTTAAGAAATCATCTCAAAACCACTGTTATTTTCAGATCCAAGGTCTTAAGAGAAAAGTGCAAATGATCAAGAAGATGAAATATAAAATGATTAAGAACATTATGAGATTGATGTAGGTTTGAATGAACAAAAAATTGAAAATTTAGAGAACAAAGAAAATCTTATAGAGAATCCAGATGAAGAAGAAGGTAATTAATGGAATGTGGATGATGATATAGATTTTGAAAATGAATTAGAAAATCCATAAGTTCAAATAATTGAAGAGAAATAAAGTAATTAATAAATTATTGAACCGAAAATATGTGATTAATCATAAAATTAATAAGAGAATGAAAGAAGAAATTAGGAACCACTTGAAAATTGGAAAGTAAACTAATAATTTGAAGAAGAAACTCCTGATGTATAATTTGATGATGATCAAGAAAATTAAGAAGATTAAAGTAATAATAATAATAATCCACCAATTAAGAATGTAGAAAAATTAAGTTAAGGTTAGTTGGATTTAGATGATGAATTAGAAGAAATTGATCCATGGGCAGAATAATAAAAGTAAGGGGAGAATGCAGAATCAGGTTGGGATTTAGATGATATATGATTATTGTCTAATATATATTAAATGTTTATAATTGATACTCAAAAATACAACCCTAAAGCTAAAAATGTGAATACTGTTCCGGATGATAAAAATAATGCTGTAAAAAATCCAGCGATTAATTCCTTTGTTAATGCTCTTTATTCTTTTTATTTAGTAAATTAATAACTATCAATTAGCATATGAGTGTTTACATTACAAAATCTGATAAGAAACAAAACCCAATAAATGTTAGGACAATTGATAAATTGCTGTAATGTTTAGGGTCAATTAAAGGCTAATATGGAGAATATACCATAAATATTAATAATGTATTTATTATATTATTTTATAGTTAATAATTCAAATTTGAATGAGTTTTGTAAACGATTTGGATGATCTATGTGATTTTAGTAAATTAAGTCAAAAGTGGAAATAAAATAAAAATGAATAAGTAAAATAACCTTCTCCAAGTCCATCTAAAACTGAATCAGATATCACTTCTAGTAAATGTGTGTCTAATCCATGGAATAAAGGTTTTATTATTATAGTATTCTAGAAAATTTAATGCCAAATAATGAAGAAGCAAAAAAAATTAATAACAAAATTAGAAATCATGCTCCTTAAATAATTGATGAGGATACAGAATAATTTAAAATAAGATTAGAGCATATTTTAAATGTATTTAAAACAGAGGCAACAAGTGAATTTATGACTATGAAAAGATCTATGTTAGAAGATTAAAAATAAACAATAAAATAAGACACTGAAAAGTATTTATAGATGTATGAATTAAAAAATAATGAATTATAATAAATAAAAGAATAATTGGCAGAATAAATGAGAATTTGCAATTAGATTACTGAAAGATCAGAAAAAATGGCATAATATTGTGGTAAAATGAAGAATACAAAAAGAAAATTAACTGTTTTATCAAATGTATTAAAAAGTTTAAAAATGTATGCAAAATATTCATAAAAGAAGAAAAATGTAATAAAAAATAATATATTATAGAATTAAAAAAAAGGAATTAAACATTATAAATTATATTTATAAAGATGGATATTTAATTTATGGAAAAAGTAGTTTAATATTCAAATTAGAATTAATTAATCTGATAAATTAAAATTATCTCATTAAAATGATGTTGATTTATTGATGGCTAAATTTAAAAAAGAATAATAATTATTGGAATAGAAATTATTTGAAGCTACAACATAATTAGATGAAGCCAATAAAATTAAATTATCAATGTAAGAAAACTTAAAGAGAGCTTTTATGAGAGGAGTTTGTGCTCTTAATTTTGAAGCCATGAATGTATTAAATGGATCATCTCAATAAATGGAATTAGATTCTTTAGCAACTAATATATTGATGAATCCTTATTAATAATCAAGTATATAATAATAATAAATAATTCATTAACCTTAATAATTTAATTAATTAAATGATACATTAAATTTAAATGAAAGTAAAGATTAATGGTAAAGATAAAATTCACCACCTAAAAATATTATTTATCATTAATAAAATAGATTAGAAACGAATGATCATCGTTGGAAGGATGCCCCAATTATTGGTATAAAGTAATTGTCAGAAATTACTGAAAATTAAAGCATAAATATATCAATATCAAAATTAGTATAACAAGGTAATAATTTTAATTTAATTAGATGATTTATAGTTTGATAAAGATGATGAATAAAATGAAGGTAAAGTTATTAAAGTAACCTTTGATAATCCTTCAACTTTACCATCATAGACATAATCTATAAAAAAATAAACAGTTTAAACAAAATAAGCTTAAACTAAATAACCTCAAAAATAGACTATAACAACTAATTCATCAACATTTAAGAAGAAATGAATTTATTAATTATTTTACGATTAATAATCATCAATCTTATTAATATGGTACTTTCTCTATTTTAGCTTTGTTATCATAATTCTTTAAATATTTGGCAATTGATTATATATTATTATTTCCTCCTAATGGTTAGATTATATAATGGTCATTCTCTTATTATTTAATTTAAAATCCATTATGCTTAATAATACTCCTAAATTAATTAGGTAGAAAACCTTTCCCTTTTTATTCTATAACAATATCATAACCTGTAATCTCTTATTTAGGTATCTCTATTTAATTTAATTTAACATTTATTTCTTATTCTTATTTTGATTACCTTCTTGATTGACTTTAAGTAGAATTATATTATGATAAATAACTTTTTTATTTTTAATATTCTGCCTCTAATTATTTCTCTTTATATTCTAATTTCTTATCCCTTAAAGAATCATGTTTAAGAAATGTCAGATCAGAAGCCATAAAATTAGTTTTACCTGGATTTTTGTGCTCTACATAATATTTCCCTAAAGTATTAAATAATACACTTTATTAGGATTATTTATTTTCTACTTTTATATCATCTTTTCTGAATTCTTGATTCAAAGTACCTCTAACATATGAGGGTTATTAATATTAAGGTTCAGTTGTTACTCTGGATGAAAGGTTGGATGATTACTTTTTTTTATTATTTTAATATTGGAGTGCTTATTTATCATTTCTAATTTAAATTTTTGTATCATGGAAAATATTACTCTATAAATAACTTTGTTTATTTTTATTAGCTAAATATTAATTTTCTTCATAATCCTATTTAGAATTGATTGGTTTTGATGGTTTATATTTGATAGCTTCTCCTACTGAATTTGATAACAATTCTTTAATTGTAGATTCTTAATGATATGTTTATGACTTTTTTCTATTTTCAATAGGATAGCGACTTTCAGGGAATAATAACATTAAAAAAGAAATAAAATTTATATATTTTTAATAAAATTGAGATTTAATTCTTAAAATATTTAGACATTATGTTATGATTAAACTAAATTTAGATATTTAAAGATAAATAATATAAAATTAGATTATTTTAATGATAAATGTAATATCAATAAAACATTTTTTTTTCTATTAGAGAAGATCCATGTTCATCATAATCTGATTTATTTAAAGTCCATTGATCATAAATTTATGAACTTGCAACAATAGAAGCTCCTAACCAAGAAGCATGTTAACGATCAAAAAATTTTGGGAGGGTTTATACTTTACTTCTTGAAGATAATCCAAATATTTTAAGATTATTTATTGTTCTTTAAAATCTTTCGACCATATTAACTGTACAACTAGCTCCTCCTATCAATATAACATTTTGAACTAATTCCTTTCTATAATCAGAATCAATCTTTTCTAAACTTGTTTCTAATGCTTTATCCAATCCTTCAAAATTTTCTGTAGGTTCATATAAAAATTCTGGATACTTATACATTTCTTCAGATATTAATAATTTAGTTTAATCTGGTAATTCATATGCTTAATTATCAACAGTTGGATTGAATTTTCTTAAAATATGTTAAGGTATATAATTACAAATTCTCTATAGGTTAATCATATAGTTTAACACATTGATGTTTAATTTCTCTAACTATTTCCAAATCTCCATACATTTAAAGAGATGGAGAGAGTTGACTATAATTTTTAAATCTAGAAAATGCTAAACCTTATTATTTCCAAATTTCATATAATTTATTTGTAATATACTCTCCTCCTATATCACTTCTAAGAATACCTAAAATAAAGTAAATTTAGATTACCTTTTTCAATAACATTACCATCCAATATTGGAGTAATTGTAGTATGAGATGCTCCACAATCAACTACTAATACATTATCTTTTCCTACTATATATTAAGCTAACATAGTGTTTCTGTGAAAAAAAACAGAGGAAACATCTATTTCTTCAAAAAGCATTTCGATGATTTTATTTCTGGTTTCTTTTTTGACATTTCCATTTTCGACAAAAAAAAATGGGAAATGTCTTTCTTAAAATAAAAGATTATTTAGAATGTGTTCTACATATTCTTTCCATATATCGAAATCAACTATCTATCCTCCTAAAAGTATATTCTTAACATCAAATCCAACTGGTTGATATGTACTATTTTATTCAATAAATTTCATATTTCCCTCACTATCCATTAATAAATCAGATGGTAAAACAACTTCTGGACCATCAGTTCCTGCATATCCAACTCTTGTATTTTATTATCCAAACTCAAATATAACAGGGATTTTATATCCTTTATTTTTTTTATATGGTATGAACATAAAATTAATATAAAATTAATATAAAAACAAAAATTATTATTAATATAAAATATATATCATTTAAGTTTCTTTTTCTTTATAAGTTTCTTTGATTATATCTTTATTTAATTTACAACACAATCATAATTATTCTAAGGTTTAAACTATTAATATATTCCAATTTAATCAATATCAAAATTATCTTTAAGATCTTATTTATATAAGATATTATCTAAATCACTATAGTGTTAATTTTATCTAGAAGACAAAGCTGAATATGATCTAGAATTAGATGCTGAAATTGACTTTTTCTTTATATCAGGACTAATGACACTTGACACTGTATTAGTTTATTTTTAAGTTGCTCTCCTAACACCAGTATATGTATTATTTTATCCTTCTCTTCTTTGCACTTCATCAATGCTTGACATACCTACAGAACTAATAGACATGGCAGATTGATATGGATTATTTGCAATTGGGATATTTAATAAGGAATTGCTCTCTTCTGATACTATAGGCAATTGATTTTATACACTTGGTACATAATTAGTAGATGATCTATATTATGGTCTTGCCATTGCCTAATATTCAGGCTATGGAGCAGCTAATACTTATTTCTAATTTTATTCATGATAGAATGGATCATAAGAAAATGTTAATTTAGGTTAAGCATTTCTATTACTACTAACTAATAGTTGATTGGTTCCAAGAGGACTTTGAACATAAGTTTTAGATTAATATAATGATTATTGTGTTTATTATTAAGTTTATTATTATTATTATTATTATTTTAATTATTAACTTTTCTAACTTTAATAAGTATTTTATCCACTTGATGATCTGAAAGTATTACTATTTTAAGTAAATTATTTATGTTATAGTGGAATATTAATAGAATCTCCAAAATACAAATCATCATTTGTTTGAAATCCAGCAGTTTGTAAAGTTTATTTATTGATTTAATGTCTATTTATTTCTTATTATTATTATTATTACCATTATTATTAATAATATTATAATTATTCTTCATTATCAATATGATCATGATAGATAATGTCCCTTAATGTTTAACCTGAAACCATTTCAACACTTTTCTATTTATATATAAATTATATACTCTTGATGGATTAGTCAAATCTTTATATGATTATCTTCCTAATTATATTTCATCATCATTTTCATCTTCATCTTCCTCTTCTTCTTCTTCATCATAATAATCTATTCTATTATTAATTTCTGGTTCTTGAAACATAAATCCATAATTCCTTTTCAATCTCCTTCCACAACTTCTTACTAATTTAAAATTGTATAATGAATTCACTCTCCAATCCCATTTTCTTTCATATTTCTCTCTTTTTTATGGAATTGAATATAAATATCTACTTATAACAATACTATTGTTTAAAACTGAATGAACTTTATTACATCCAGAACTTAAATGATATTATGATCCACAAACATAACAATTTTATAATAATAATTCTATTTTATTCATAAATAAAACCTCATTTTTTATGGAATGAAGTGTTTCTAAATCATTATTAATCTTTTTTATAGTATCTAAAAATAATGAATGTTTTATTTAAATAAGTATAGAATTTCCCTTACTTCTCATTGTTAAATTATGTCCTTGACTCATAAGCAAATTTTCTATTCCAATAGCTTAATTGTTTGGTAAACATTACAAATAAATATTTTTATCATAAATTCCTATTTCACCTTAAAGTACTACATAAATATATTCATCTAATTGACCTTTTTCTACAATTATATCATTTGTTTTATAGAATTTTAGATTTGATTCATATCCAATTTCATCCAAAGATTATTTAGAAAAATATTATTTAAAAAAACTAATCTCTTATAATTTTTTACTCTTCATTAAAAAAAATAAAGGTTTCGTTAAATTTATTGGTAGTGATTACATCAAATTATTAACCTAATTTAAATTTAATTCTTAATTACAGTTGATAATGTATTTGAATATTAATTTTCCTTCAATACTTCCCTTGTATCTTATATAATTTTTAAATCAACCTTATTATTCTCTAAAAAGTCTATAAACATCTTCATTCTAAAATTAACTTACAATAATACTCATTTTTGGAGAATAGAAATTTAATGAATGAAGATAAAAATATCATTTAAAAATAGTAAGATGCAATTTAGAATATTATAGTATATATCTAATTAGATTAATTATGTGACTCAATATTATGAAATGGTAACTTTCTAATTATAGTTAATATTATACACAATTATTCATTGTCCAAATTACTGATTCAATGTAACTGAACTCATCATTTTATATTAATAACCAAATATTAGCAATGTAATTGATATAGATCAATAAAATTAATGAGAATGTAATTGTATTCCAATGGAATTAATATTTAATCCCACTCAATAATAAGAGTAATAATATTAATTTACCTGTATTGCTAAAATCAAAATTTATTAATAAAGTACTTGCAATATAAACAAAATTGCAAGTGATATTCAATTTCTCTAATTTTATTTTAAATATTTAATCAACTTATTCAATAAGTAAAAATAAGAGAATAAAACCTAAGACCCATAACTACACTGAATTTGTTCCAGCTTACAATGGAACTAAAATATATGAAATCAATCTTATATATTAAAAAAATTATCTCAAATGTAAAAGATAGGAAGGTTAGAATTACACCTCTTCCTTTAAGTAATTTTCTTTGAAATAAGTATTAGTAATTGGTTAGTCCATTATATTAGCATTTCTTTTCAGTTTCTATAGAAATGTTTTGATAATTTATTATAAATCAGTATGCTTTGGTAAACCATTTAATTCTTTCCATTTTAATTAATAATATTATTTTGTTGTACCTGTATATTATGGTAGGCTTGGGTTATGTTCACTTACATCTCTTTATCGATTGTTGATTTGAGAAAATTAAGAAAGTCTAGATTTTCGTTAACTATAAATTGTTGGATCTTTGACTTCTCCACTGTCACTCAATCTTTTTCTTGATAAGTCAGAGAATTCAATTTTAAAATTTCTCATTTGTTCATCTATTAAGATTGGGGAAGCATGACCTTGACTTTAACACTGACTTTAATCATTCTAATTAGTTCTTGATTTTCTTAAAAGTCTTTGAGACATTAAATTATATATAAATTAATAAAAAAGTTATTTTAACTGCTTCAAACAAAATATTTAAATTACAATACAATCATTATTTAGTTTTGCTATAAGATCTTTATTGTTCTAAATCAGCAATATCATTAATTTATTTCAATATTACACTACTATTAACTTTTGGATATCTATATTACATATAGTTCATCAATTTATCAGTTTTCTAAGAAAATAAATAAAAATTTCTTACATTTAGTTTTATTTGTGATTTTAAAAACATATATTCTGAATCTCCAATCCATTCGCTACATAATTACTTCTTACTATCTAATAGATTTTAAAAAATAGAGTCTAATTATTTTTCATAAGGTATTGAGAATCTAGGTGGTGCATCAATTTTATTTTATTATTATTATTATTATTATTTTTTATGATAATTTATAGGTTTAACAATTCCAACAAAATATTTATTTGTATAAGTTTATGTAAGAAGTTATTATTATAAAAATATATCTTCTTTTCTTTTTATTTCAGTTTTTAAATTTTCAGATTCAATTTTTTTTTCAGAAGAAGATTTTTTTGTTATTTATTTTTATTAAAATATTTCTGGTAATTTAGAATTTTAAAAATTCTTTTTTATTACAACTTCCTTTGATATTTATTTTGGTGAATGTAAATCAAATTCATTAAATGAATATTAAACTGGATAAGAAATAGTAGTTTCTGAACTATTAATCCAATACATTAAATGTCTTTTTTATTCTAAAGAAAATTCATAATAAGGTCTATTTATTGCTTCCTTTACTTCTCTCATTCTTAAAATCTAAAGAATATTAGGTCTCTAATTTTCTCTTATGGTTAAACAAACATTAATTAATTTTACTAAACCAGGTGAGTAAAAGTCAGAAATATTTATTTGAATTCTTCCTCTACGTAATTATTCCTTAATTTAGTTTTCTTAAGTAGATTATGGAAATAGTAATTTCTAAGAAACCATAAAATATAGAATATGTCCAATCTACCAAATGTGAGACTTTTATGTATATTAACCATCAAAAAAATATTCATGTGGCAAATAGATTGCTGGACAAGGCAATTAACATAATGTCTATCTAGAAGATTTATGAAAATCAGTTATTCTAATTTAATATCCCTCTGTTCTTGCCAATAAGAGTATATTTTCTGGTAACAGAACTCTATGTTGTATACCTAACTCATTAAGTTGTAATAATGCATAAGCCATTTAAAGAAAGAGTGACCATATAATACTCTCTTGCATTTTGTAACCGATATGTTATAAAGTGAATGTTTTTAGATCTCCTTAATCACAATATTCTTAAATGATTACTAATTATTATTCTTCATTCTCCATGTATTCAATAACTTACAATAAAAACTAATTTTTTATTTAAGCCAACATCTTTATAGCATTCAAACCTATTTGATAATCCATTTTAACATATACCTTCATTTTTATTAGAAAGGTATGTTTTCTAAATATATGTCTAATTGTCTGACATTGATCTCACTTTCTCAATTCTAACTCTACCACTTTAATATATTTCTTATAGTATTTCATAATTAAATTACATTTTTTTTAATAATAAAGAAATCAAATCAATAATTGTAAAATGTGCTATTATCTTCACCAAATTAAGCAGTCTTATTTTTTTAATACAACAATTATTATTTTATTTATTTATTGTTCTTTGGCAACTATTCCTCTAATTTTTCAGGCATATCCTAACTTAATGCTCCTAAAAGTGTACATAAAATTAACTATCATAATTAATTATTATATACTTTAAATATGAAAGAAACATAAAGTAAAATTAAGGCTAATCTATTGGGTCCATTTTCTATTGCATAATATTTATCAGTTTCAGTAGCTTCACTACCCCAAAATCCTCTTGAATATTTGATTGCCCATACTAAATCACATAATAATGAAATGCCAACACCTACAGAATAATAGATTAAACGTTATTTGTAAAGTCTATTGAATTCAAATTCAATAATAAAAAAGAAACATAAAATTAACTATTTTTATTAAATTATTTACATCTAAAAATTGAGTTTTTCCAAAACAAATAAATACACTAATTCCCATTACAATTAATATACTTAAACGTGTATATAATTTGTAATCATATTAAGAACTAATATTATTTATTGGTGTCATTACTAAAGTATTAGGAGGTTAATGATTTATAGCTAGATCTTCTTTTTCTATACAACGAATTAATTAAACATAATTTGGAAAAGGTTCATAGAGTGTAGCTAAATCTTTTTCAAAATCAATTAAATCATCTTAGGCTGTTTTTATTTATTCATTCCAAACTTCAATTTATTAACTTAATGATTTTGAATCATTAAATATCCATTATGATCTTAATTTAATTTTAGTTTATGTTTGTTATCCATTTTTATCAAATAATTGACAGCAATCTTCAATTTTAGTTTAATTAGTCAAATGTGATAAAGATAAAGTTACAGTTCCTAATAATTATGGTATATTGGGATGATTAATGGTGTAAAAAAATAATTATAATTCTTCTAAGCCAGTTGAAATTTTACTATAATAATATAATAATATACAAATTTAGATTTTTATTCCATTAAGGTGATGGTCCATTTTGTTATTAAATTTCTTATTTTTAATTTTCCAATTTTAAAATTACTGATACATTTTAAGCTGGAAAATTGATTCCTTCTAATAATTCAACAGTTAAATAACTATCCTCTTTAATTCCATATTAATTTACTCTTTCACTATCTTTTATTGACTTAATTATTTATTTACAATTCATACATCAAATTGATTTGATACATATTTTCTTTATTTATTATAATCTAAAATCTGCTTTTTACAACTTTCAATTTTATTCTTTAAAATCTCCTCTGCTTAGAGAAACACTTTAATAAATTCATCAATAGTTATTTTGTTATTAAAAGTTTTGTTCATTCTTTAATATAATTGATCTCCTAATTCTCTATCAAATTATCTTCTTAACTAAATTTTGATGCAGTTTATACTTTCTTATCTAGACATCTATAAAATTATTCTATCGATAACAATTCATCATGATTTATTTCGATTTCTAAAAATTCCTTTCTTAACACATTTGCCTTTTCAATTGTATTAACCGAAGTTTGCATTTTATTTATATTTTGAATAAATTAATTATGAAGTTAAAGAAATAATCATCTCAAAAAGAGACTTCTAAAAAAGAATAAAAAAAGAGTAATATCAAATTATAACATAGTGAGAAGAGGATTTAAAGCCTGTAAATCTTGTGGATTCGAACTTCATATACATTAAAAAATTTGTAAGAATTGTAATCATGAAAATACATTTGTGAATAAAGTTTCATTTACTTAATCCAAAAACAATACTATTGATTTTTTTAAAAAGATAACAGAAACATAAACTAAAGGTAATTTACAATACTTTATTAATTTAGAAAATATTGAAAAGAAAATAAAAAAAGTTCCTTAAAAATTAATGACACGCATTCATGTTTTTAAGAAATCATTCCTCTATAATAATGAAAGCAATTTAGATGAAAATTTAATCAAATCTATATATAATAATACAATCCAATAAGAAAGAATAGATCTAATATAAAGAAATGAATTTAAATTAAACAAAAAAGAAATTTTGGTAGATTCCCTTCCTGTTGAAAGTGGTCAATTTCATAAATTAGAAAAGGGTTACTTACTTTATTTTGGTTGTTCTTTATTGAATATAGTAATAAATAAAGGTGTTATTTTAGCGAGTATCTAAATGAATTAATATGAAAACTAATAGTTTAGCTAATTACATCTATATGGCAAAACCTATAATGGTTAAGGAGTATTGGGAATCATATAATAATAATAAATTAGATACATGCATCATAATGAAGGTGCAATAAGTTAAATCAAATTCTATCCATAATCAATAACTACAATTGGTACTATCAATTCAAATGGCAGCTTTACAATGCTTTCCTTCATAAACATAATATCTGATGAATTGAAAATATTATGTAAAATAAGTGTTCCTAATCAAATATTAAATTGCTTTGATTGGTGTCCTTGCAAAGAATCTAAAATATCTGTTGGAGATTAAGAAGGGAATATTTATATCATTGAAATTAAAGGTGAAAACTTTTTAATTATCAATTTTTTTGAATCATATCATATGGGAATTATTAAAGATCTTTAATTTTATATTCATAATGATAATAACTCTCCTTTATTATTAAGTGGAGGTTATGATGGTAATCTTAAAATAATTAATCCTTCTAATTCTTAAGAAATATTCAATAGACATATAACATCAAAGGGAATATCATAAGTTAAATGGGATAGAGGTGGAAAATTTATATTATGTATTAATGATGATCCAAATCAAAAAGCTTTAATGTTTTGTTTCTTTTCTATTATAAAAAAAGATTCAATTCAAGTTCTATAGAATGTTGAAAAAAGACTTATACAGCCATTAACTGGTGATGATGAGACTCAAGTAAATATTAAATTTTATTTAGAGCTGTGCATTTAATCCATTCCATCATAAGATCTATTTTGCATCATAGAATGGAACTATCTATGGAGCAGATATTGAATAAATTAGAAAATAAGCTATAAAAAAAGAGAAGAAATAAACATATTAATCAGCAGTAGTTCATTTTGGTTAAGTTCTTTTAGAAAATAACACAATTTCATACATAACATCGAAAACTTCAGGAAACTACAAGAAACCTATTTAGGTATTTCTAATATTCAAATTTAGTATTATGATTGGAGTTAAGGGTATCATTTTATAGATGTAGACGAATCAGGAAATTTAATTTTGGGAAACATTCTAGGAGTTTTAATTATGTTATGATGCTATATTCATTGAATATCTTAAAATGATTAAATGTTATATATACTTCAATTAGAAATACAGAAAAAATTAAACTACATTTATGAATCTTTGAATTTCTATTGACAATTTTAATTATAAATTATCATTGGTTATTGTTTAATCTAATTAGATATCTTATTATTATTTAATGTAGAAAAATTGGGGATTTAAAACAGGGTATTAGTGATATTAACTATTTACTTAGTTGTTTAACTATAGCATCTGGTATAATTATGGGAGCTGCTGGGGGACATAAACCTTGGCCTATTGAGCAAAAACTAATATTTGATAGAGGATTGATGTTCCATTTTTTAAACGGAATAGGAATGATTATATCATCAGTTCAAGGTGTTAACATATTGCCATTTTCCCTTTTTGGAACTGGTGTCTTGCTTTTCTGTGGTCCTCTTTATCACAAAAGCTTTACTGGGAAAAAGACATTGTCAGGTTACTTACCACCATTTGGAGGTTTTGCTATGATCTTTGGTTGGATATTGTTAGCTTTAAGAAAATGATTGAGATAATATTAAATATTTAGATGTTAATTATTGTTCTCTAAGTGTCTTTAGAATTAAACTCCAATAATTTGATATTTTATAATCTATGGAAAGTAGAAATTTAACTCAATTCTAACATTATTCTCATAATGGCACTAATCGATATTCTATTTAGAGAATCGTATATCCACAATATGCAAGTGGTTTAGTTTAAGAAGAAACAGTATCTCAGCATAGAGATTCAACTGATGAAGAATAATTTATAGAAGGTGAGTGTTTTATATATATTGGGGGTCAATAAATATTTACTATAGAGCTTAAGTAACCAGATTTTGTACATTAATAATTATGTATTGATTTAACAAAATGTCAATGTCCATTGGAATGCTTAACTGCTTTTCCATTACCAAACCAGTTTCAGAATCCTCAAAGAATATTACCTTTAAGTACTGGAATATTAGTTGTAAGTAGCGGAAAGAATGGATAACAAATTAACTTATTTGATGATCAATCTAAAGAGATTAATATCAATGTATAAATCAACAAGAGAATAATATGGATGAATTCAAGATATTTATAAGAAGTTATAATTTTAATAGTAGGATTTAATGATTCAAGTGTTGGACTATTTGAGATTGATATCAAAGATAAATAAATTAGATTGATACATGAATTCAATTTTGAACAATTGATTATATTCAATGACATTTCTACTCATAATTAAATTTATTACATAGCTTTAACTTCCTACAATGGAATTATTTCAATTTTATCTATTGATCTCTTTTTTAACATTTAACATCATGTTCATAATATTAATAGAATCACTTCACCACCTAAACTATATTTTTAACACAATAAAGCCAGCTTAATGGTTCCAATTCAAAATGGAGAAATGTTATAATATCTTGAAATAGGAAATCATGGATTATCTAAATGGAATGTAATAAAGTATCAAAATAATAACAAATCTATGATTACAGCATTTGATATAGAACCTAAAAAATGTGATGTATCTTAGAATTAAAGTGAAGAATTTGAGATTTGTATGATTCATTTTGATGGAACCCTCAGTTTTTATGATTATGCTGATAACAGTATTTATATTGAAATATCAAAATAATTGAATGGCTCTAGGTTTTTTGTGTCAAATATGCAACTTTAATTTAAGCAATTCATATTAATGGGATCTGATGATGAAATAGAAATATATCAAATGTCCTTTTATCATATCAATTGATTATATTTTTATTAACCAAAAGACAATTAAAATTGTATATAAATATAGATAAATTATCTTTTTGGTTATATCACCAATCTTCTTAGATTATAATCTGTAATCTTATTAATTTATATAATAAATTTTGAAGACAAACAAAGATTTGTTAGATCATTTTTCTGTAAGCTCTCTATAACCTTTCCAATCTTTGGGAGCTTTTCCACCACAAGAATGAATAACTTCTAAAAGTGTATTGGATGGCCCATCTTTATGTTCAGGTATCATAGTCTAAATTATAATATATATTATTTACTAAAGTCTTCTAGAATATAGATTATGCTTCTCCCCAATTTCCTTTAATGTATTAATCAAATCCCTATTTCCAAATCTCATAAAATTACTAAAAATAATCACAATTAATAATTTACTTAAGTATATGGTTCTCTTGCAGCTGATAATTCATCATCCTTTTCAAAGAGATCAGTTATATTAATTTAATTATTCATTACTTGTTTCATTTATTGATCTCTCTTAAATCTATTAACAACTCTAAATTTCTTTGATTCTTTTTAAGTCATTGATGAAACATCAAATTTATCTCTTAGAGTCTTGATTTTAGATTATAAATTTTTGATAGACATATCCACTGTATGTAATTCTAAAAATAAATTAAAATTCATACCTAAAGGCATAATACTTCCTTTCACTGTAACAATATCTATCATTCTCATCTACTTTTAACATTCCTCAGTCAAATATTACTTTAGAATACCACTAACGAGAATAAGTGATCCAAATTATTTAGTTGCAGCTTCTAATCTTGATGCCATATTAACATTAGGACTGAGATATGAGGCATCAATTTTAAATCCTGAACCAATAGCTCCTTCAATTCCCCAACCCATATGTAAACCAAAACCCATCTTAACAGAATAGTCTTTCATTCTAGCATTTAGTCCTTCGTGTTTCTTATACTTCTCTAGCTTTTTGGAGATAGATATTGCTGTTATAATTTTGAGAAATCCCATCACTGCCATATCTCCTTTCTATTTAATGTATCTATCAGTTTTGAGTTTCAAATTTTTAGGATTGTCAGGGTCAGGATGATAATCATTAGGAGAATATTTCCATACAAGTAAGAAAGCATCACCAATATTTTTATTAGCAGATCCACTCATGGAATCAACAGTTGAATGAACAATCTCAGCTATTTCATTCACAAAAAGCATTACTCCTTATTATAATACTTCAGTGGCCTATAATTTTATATAATTTATTTTTACATCAGTAAAATTTCTAATGTCACAAAATCCAAAAATTGCCAATATCTTCTTACCAGGAATCATAGGATCAACACTACCACCCTTTCTAATATTTTCAGCTATAATCTCAGAACCTGCTTCACCAAACCCAACAGCTAACAAAGCACCTACCTTCATAATTAATCTTTAAAGAACATATGTTTCCATATGTTTTTCAATCTCTTTCTATTTTAATTTCTCAACATCCTAAGATTTTTCTAATTCTTCCATAATTAAATCTTCTTATTCTTCTATATTAACAGCTTCAAGTGGATTTGCTGCTATCATTTCTATCTTTTACATCATTCCTTCAATCGGATCTATAACCAAATCAGATACATCTTTATTGAACATTAAAGCTGATACTGCTAAAACTATGCACACAAAGACTGTTTAAAATATTGATAAAATTGCATTAGTTTAATTATAGGCTACCAAATCTGCTGAGGCATAAATCTGCAAATCTGATCCATCAGATTTAACATAATATTATAAATCTGAAAATCTATATTAGTCATTGTTTTCATAGGTAGGAACTTCAAAAATTTCTGGATTAGTATCATAATTCCATTCATCAAGATTCGTATTACTTCCTCCTTTTAAATTTACATTAACACTATAAATTGGATAAATTTCCCCAATATGAAATTAAGCATATTAATATAAAAGGGACTTCATTACTTCAGAATTGTCTTTAAATTAATAAATTCTGTAAATTCCTGAATCATAACTACTAATTGTTTCTTAATAAGTATCTAAGGAAAGAACAGGAATACTTATTAAGATAGCTAAAATAATTGTAATAACTCTTCTCATAACAAGATCTGATAATTATGCACCTACAATAGATTCTTTTATTTAGTTTTCTGCTTAAGAAGAGACTTAAGATGATTTATTTTAAGAGTTAGAATTTCTATCTGGTGTTTTGGCTGCTTCAATTTCATTTTAAGAATTATTTCTAGATTCATCATTTTATGGTATAATTTATTAAATAGTTAAATTTTATTCTTATTATTATTATTATTATTATTATTAATCTTAACTCTTACTTTATTAAGCTTATCTTAATAAATCTTATAGTAATTTTCTTTACTATTCTCTTTCCATTTACTAACGAGCATGTTTATATAATTTGACTAATCTTACAAGTCTTATAACTCTAATAACCCTAGCTGCCTTTCTTGCTGCTCTAGATGCAGTTCCAATAGATTTAATCTAGGATGCACTTGTTAAATCTCCAGAATACCATGTATCAGTTATCCAACCTAAATCTAAAATCATAGTTAATGTAGAAATAACATCTAAGATAAAATAAAACTAAAAAATTGATATTATTTACATTCAAAATATATTCTGGTTTAGCAATACTAGTAAGTGTAATTTCTACAATAAATGCAACCATGCATATAACAGTTAGTACAAAAAATACATCATCTCCTTACTTATCGACTGATAGTATTCGAACATCATCTCCAAATAATGCATATATAGTGACAATAGCCATAATTATTGAGAACACAGTGCTTTCTGTAATTTTTAGTATTCTTTTTGATAAATCTGATTATTGCTTTTATTAAGAGTGTCGACTCTTAACTCTACTGTTCATTCTTTTAATACGTTTCTATTAGGCTTCTGATAAATTAAATAACACAAGTACATTAATGATGAGGAGATTTAGTGCCTCCTCCTGAACTCTTAATGGAGACATCATCTTAACTATGATGAGCAGATCCTTACATAGGTTTGGGCTATTTTTTAGATTCATCAACTACTTGATCAGGCTTCTTAATTAAAGGTTAAGCTTGCTATTTATCAGTTAACTACATATATTGATATATGTACCAAAGGTGCTTAATTTTGACCATTATTTTCTGAAGGAGGCTTAACTGATCTATCAGATGGTAACTGTAGCTATATTATATAGTGAAAATACAGGATGAGGTTCAGCAACCATTTGATTAAAATTTTTTACAACTTATGATGGTACAAATACTTCTCCCAAACCTTAATCATCTATGCCCAATTTTTCTTGGTCATTTTATGAGTTCATATTTTAATAAAATAATAATATGTTTCATAATATGTCATATACTCACCCTTATTTCGACAGGATAAAAGAACTGAAAAGAAAGAGATAACCTATTATTAATATCTATCAAATTATTATTAATCAAGTGATACTAATGTAATTTTTAAGATTGCTAGTTTCATTATTTTTTAATAAAATATTAATATTCTTTGAAATATAATAAAATGATTACTTTAATTAATTAAACAAACTTCAAATAAAAATTGATTCATTCTTATCAAAATGATTGAAATAAAAATATATTTATTCTAATAGAAATCTTAAAAATGAGTGTTAATTAATAGTATAGATTGATGTTGATAATATTAAAAATAATTAAGTTTGTATTTATGCTATTCATAAATAACCAAATTTATCAAAATTTACTAATGTTACATGAAACTTAACCTTTACATATCCTACTGATTTAACTCTCGTAACTTCTCTTCCTTCACCTGAGGAAATAACTTTATCAAAGTTTTTGAGTTCAGCAGTATTTCCTAACAAATAACCTAAAAATCCTGTGAATCCTGAAATTGGAAGTGGTTTGAATATCCTAATTATTCTTTCATGACTAGAAGACTATTCAGAATTCATACTATCCTGGTTAAGTTGGAACATGAACAGATCCATATCCTTTAGCAACACTTCTTCCCATAAAATCAGGACCTGAAAGTCTTACGACAACTTAAGGCCATCCAAAAATGTTTTTAGTTTAAAAATTGCATTCAAAAGGAAAATTCCAAACAATATTTCTTGAATGCAAATTTCTGGAAGTACTTAATTAGGATATTCCACTTGGTTCTGCATCATCAGCATTATTCTAATTTTATTGTTAATCTTACACTAGTTTTCAAATATGTCCAATCATCACCCCCATATTTAATAGCATATTCAATTCTTAATGATTCTTCATCTTCGCACTTCATTATCAAAATAAGTTTTTACTTCACCACATTCAAGAACCCCACTAAAATTAACAAACATAGAATCAGGTTATATATTTCTTGGATCCATCATTTCTTCTTAAATACGTGAAATTCCATCTTAAAATTATTGAGGTTATGAATATCCAAAGTTTTAATTAGTCTATCCCTTCATTGATCCTTAATCTGATACATCTTTTTTATAATTTCTTGTATTCATCATTATCAATAGTTTTTATAAATAATTAAATGAATTAAAAATACTGAGTATAATTCTAAAATAAATTAATATAACTTATTTATTATGAATATTCAATTCTATTTTATTTATGTAGTTATATCATCATTTTAATATAATGAATTTTTAAAGATAATAGAGAATATATATATTATTTTATTTGATGAAACAACTTATTTGGATAAAATTTTGAAAATTATAGAAATTTGAAAATGCTCATAATTTGATGAATGTTTAGTATAACAACAAATATAATGGATAATCTTATTATTCAAATTAAAGTTTTAAAATAAAACTGATTTAATATTTGAAATCTCTTAAATATTATTAAATAATATACTACATATAGTTTCATTAATATGGTTTCATTCTTTATATTGAGAGTATGAGAGTAGATTATGAAATTAAATTAGAAATAATTTATAATTTTGATAATTTAAACAAATAATTACTATTAGAATAACATAAATTGAAAACTATGATTAAATACAATAATATTTTAAGATCTATTACACTTTTAAATATCAATATACATATTCTAGGTAATACATATTACAGAATTAGAAACTGTTTAAAATAATTAATTAGATCAATGTTACAATGAATGTTTGAAAGAGAAAGCTTCAATATTATTGAAGTGTAAATTTGCATCATCCTAAGCTAATAGATCTAAATCATTGAATGATTCAAACTCTTATTCTACTTATTCAATTGTTTTCATTCTTTCATGAAAATGTTTACTAGTCTCTTTGCAAAATGTTGATTATTATTTTTACATTACTGTTTGACTTTTATTTTAATTTCTTGGTAATTATTATTACATAAATCTTCTATATTTATCAACTTCAACAATATTTTTATGACTTTATTGATAATTTATCATTTTAGATGTTCCTTAAGTATGCATGCTTACTCCCTAATAAAATAAAAAGAAGTAATTTTTACATTTCGACTTCTATTTTCAAAATTTTCAGGTTCAGGAATGATTAAATGATTTGAAGGTTACTTTTTAGGATAATCAACAACAGCAGATGATCTTTTAATAGTACTTCTTACAACAGGTGGATTGGCTAATTAATTTTAGATAATTTATTTTTTGTTCTTAACTTCTGCTAATTTTTCCCAATCAAATTAATAAAATGATTCTTCACATTCTTTTTCATTTATAGCTTTTCTAAATTAATCTTTAAGAAATGCATAATTAGGAGATTCTGAAAATTCTCTTGATTTTGCATGTTATAATAATAATAAATAGCACTAATGAAGTTCTTCAGTCAATTCTTCTAATTTTGTATTTTTCTTCATTTCCAATATAGTTTAATATTTCTCATGTTTATCAGCAATTTAAAGATTCATCCATGGAAGTTTTCCCAAGTTTAAATAAATCAATACATATGCTAAACTCTCTAAATCATCTTTTCTAGATTATTCAAATCCTTAATGAGCTGCTATACTTGCATATCTAGCAGTTCCAATAATTCCTTTTTTATCAGATAGAGGTATATGTTATCCATTACTATCTTTAAAATATTTAGCTAATCCAAAATCAATCAAATATACAATGTGGGTATCAATATATCCAATAACCATGTTTTCAGGTTTTAAATCTCTATGAATAATATTTTTATTATGTAGAGATTCCAATCTCTCAATTAATTAAAGAGATAATTTAAGACATGATAATTATGAAAAGCCTTTACTTCTTCTAAGCAGGTATTCTAAATTATGACCTAAATATGTGATCATGCAATAATTATAATTTTCATCTCTTCCATAATATTGAATTTATGGGAAACCTTTATAATTATAATATTGTTATGATACCATCTACTCCACTTAATTCTAGTAATACTTTGATTTCTCTGACTAGCATGCTTGCTGTGCCATTACTGCGATTCTCTCTTTTCTCAAATTTAGTAGCCACTATTTCTTTTGTTTCAATATTCTCGGTTTTAAATATATATCCAAAGCTACCTTATCCCACTTTTTCCATCAATACAAACTTATCTGCAATAATAGTTCCTGAATGAAGATGTGAAGTAGCATTTGTTTAGAGCTGGGTTTAATGTTTTTTGGTATTCCGATTCATCATATACCAAATATAATATAATAATTTATTTCTTACTAAATAATAATTATAAGATTATAATTAATATGATGTAAGATTGTTTAAATACTTTATGTGCTATGAATTTATAATAAAATATAATATTAATAATATATCTTTTTTTAATTTGATAATTTATGTTATCAAAAGACTTCAGTAAATATTTGTAATTTTGATAAGTCAATTTCTATCTTGACAACTATGAAACAATATAATTACTAATTAATTTTTTATATATGCTTGTTTTAATCTAATCAAATCAAATCACATTTCAAAAGTCAAATTAAACTTAAAAGATCATACTCGTAAATTAATTAAATGAGTTAACATAGTTTTGTAATTGCTAATGCGTAAGAAGAAATGATTTAAAAAAGAGTCAAATCTCTTAAATTTCAACTAAAGGCTCTTGGCTAGAAGAACACTATTCTACATTAAAAAATAAAGGACGTTAACAGAGTAAACTTAGACCATTCTAAATCACCAGTTTCTTAATTGCAAGAGAATTTACACTTTGATAGAAGATAAGTCATTGAACTTTTCAAACCAATAATTGCCAAAGAAGCAATCTACATTAGAAATGAGAAATACAAGACAGAACAATTCATGATGCAATCAAAGATGAATGAAATTTAACAGAAAAAAATTAAGGCCCGATAAATTGAATAATTCGATGCTGACGCAATCAGAAGAGTAGCAGAGTTTAAAGAGAAAAAAGTTATTGAAATTCGTTAAAGAAACATTGCAGAAATAGAAATCAACAAGTCAACAGTTCAGAAAAAGCTTGAACATATCTCAATTTTGGAGAATGAAGAGAAGGAATTAATGAACATGATCTAACAGTATTTTTTATTTCATAAATTTAGAGCTAAACTAAATACTACTTAATTGAAGTAGAGATTCAATAGAGCCATAACATAAACAGATGAAAGCTCCGTGTTACCCAATATAAGAAAATTCAGTTGTAATTAGAGATTCGAATCACCATTTAAAAATCGAACACCTAATCATTATTCAGATAAGTTTTTGGATCATGGTAATACAAGTAATAAGAAACATTCATAATACTTTCTCTGTAGAAGATAATCAAAATCCACCAATAAATTAATTAACACCGATAATTATGAGACAAGTGGTACTCCCAAATGGGCAATTAATTATACATAATATTACAATATAAGTAATAAGGAAAATTTGGAAATTAAAGAGGATTTTTAAGAATAATCAACATAATAGTGATTTTTTATTTGTATATAATTTTCATTATTTATTCTTATTATTAAATCCTTTTAAGAATAAAGAAAAATTAAAATATTGATTATTTATATATAATATTCTAATCAGGTCAGAGGATGGAATGCAAATTCTATGTCTCTATCTTCTTTTAATTAGAGTATGGATTCTTTCAACCATTTCTCAATTGTAGTAAAAGCATCCATATTATGTTTGATGTCTTTAACCCATAAAGCCATTTAAATAAATCCTTTCTTTGTATGACAAACAATGCCATTTATAAATTCATCATAATCACAGTCTGCACCAACAAATGAAAGTAATAATTCTTCAAGAATTTAATTACCAAGACTTTTTCTTACTTTAAATATGAATCTCCCTCCAAATTTATTTTATGGATCTTCCCAAACAGGTGTAATGTTCTTTTTAAATAAAAATATTTAATTGCCCTCTGGTTATTATTCTGGTCTAACAATATGTTAGTAATATGCCCAAAAATCTTCTGCAGTAGAAAATGATCCTTAATTGTCAATTTGCAAACATACCAATAACTTCTTGAACATATTGTCCTTATTTAAAGGTTCCTAACCAAAAAGTGAAATCTGAAGCTAATTAAAGCATATTTGATTAATTATTATATAATTTAATCAAAAATAATGGATTTACATTTATTATATAGTCATGTGAATGTTTTAGTTTAATAATAAAATCATATCGATCATATAAATTCATTGAAAGGTAGGTAATGTTGAATCTTAAAAATTCCATATTAAGAATCTATCATAATAATTATTTATTATCAAAAATGATTATCTTCTAAAATGAAATTTAAAATATAATGATATCAGAAATGAAATCAAATATTTATAGAAATAAAATCAAATTTATACATATCTCCGAAAATGATTATATCTTTAATAGCAGAAATAATAATAAATTATTCTGACTTTTTAATCTTTTTTTTTTACAAAATATTATTAATATAAATGGAAAAATTCCTTATTCAATCTAAATGTGTATTCCTTAAAAGCTTCTATTTGCATTTAAGGAATAATAGATTAATTCCAAATATATTAGTGCCATTTTTATGTGGATTAATACTTTGGTTATCTTACTTCAATTCATTAGATTTTTTAAAATACTCATAAACATTGTAATTGATATTCATACTATTTTAAGTTATATGCCTTTAGCTATTTGTGGAGTTATTAGAAGTTATATGATGATGATAGTTAATGAGAAGAAAGAAAGATAGAAAGAAAATTAATTAATAATGGGATTGAAATTAAGTGCCTATTATACAGGATGGATAGTATCATGTGTAATGTGGACTTGCATATGTGCATCAATCTATATTATCATGATCTCAAGTTTTATAGCATTGAATTGGCATTACTTTGCATTTTATTAATATGCAATCTTTTATCTTCAATACATGTTTTATTCATATGCAGTTGTTGGATAAATGCTATTGATTAGTAGTCTATTTTCAGATGGTCGAAAGGCTACTGATGTATATGCTGTAATCTACATGATCATAGTCTATCTCTATTACTTTACAGATTGGTCAAAGCATAGTGAATACTCAGAATTACTTTTGTCTATTTTTCCATAAAACTTGATAGTTTATTTTTGGTTTCAAAAAATCACATCAAGTACTATTTCAATGAATTACATTTATACTTTAATTGTATTTTGTATTTAAGGGACAATAGGAATTCTGTTATATGTGTATTTAGATTAAGTGATTCCAGATGCAATAGGAATACACAAATCTCCTTTCTTTATTTTTTAATGTTTATTTAAAAAGAAGAAGAATCAAGTAGAATAATTCGAAATAGATTTAGAACTATAATAGTAAAATAGTTTAGGATCTGAATTGTTAAATCCTTAAGATCAAATTTAACCTATTGAAGCTAATGAAAATTAAGTAATAAAATTGACATAATTAACAAAAGTATATAATGGATAAGCAGTAGTAAGTAATCTTAGTTTAAATTTGAATAAAAATACTATTTTTAGTTTATTAGGACATAATGGTGCAGGTAAATCTACTACTGTTAATATGATATGTGGATTAATTGAAAAAACAACAGGATAAATTAATATAAATGGATATGATATTGATAAAAATTTAGATGATATTAGATAGATTTTAGGTTATTGTTCATAAAAAGATGTATTATATGGAGAGATGAGTGTTTATGATCATCTTTAATTTTATGGTCGTTTAAAATTAGTTAATCAATTATAATTGTCAGGATAGATTGAATATGTGTTGAATATGTGTCATCTTTAATAAGAACAACATCAACCTGCTATGTATTTAAGTGGTGGTGGTAAGAGAAAATTATGTTTGGCTATTGCATTGATAGGAAATTCTTAAGTTTTACTTTTAGATGAACCTACTACAGGTTTGGATCCAATAAGTAGATAATAGATATGGAATATATTGAAAGAAATCAAATAAGATAGATGTATTATATTGACAACTCATTATTTGGATGAAGCATAAGAACTTTCAGATTATGTTGGTATTATTTAATAGGGAAAAGTGACAGTTTTTGGAACAGTTGATTACATAAAAAGATAATTCTCTGTTGGTTATAATATTTTATTAGAATGTAAAAATGAATTACATTAAAAACAAATTTTAGATTAAATTTAATCAACTTTGTAATTAATATGTAAAAATGAAATTCATTTTATTCCTCAAAATAGAAATCTAAAGTTGAATATACCTTTAAGTAATAGTATGAATGTGGCTTCTGCTTTGGAATATTTGGAAACAGTATAAAATATTAATATATCATTTGAAATGACAACTCTTGAAGATGCTTATATTAAAATACATTCTTAATCAGATTGGGGTAATAATTAAATTGAAACAGATAATAATACTCTTTTTAATAAAATGTTTTTTGATTTTATTCCACATTTTAACTTTTTTAAATAAGTAAAAGGACTTTTTATGAGAAGATTATGGATATCTGGATAGAATAAATGGTAATATGCTATGTTTTTAATTGCTTGGATCTTATTATTAGGTTGTCTTTTTGGCTTTAACAATATAACTCCAGAAATTATAATCTACTTATATATTTTGATTAAAATAATATTCATTAGTTAACAATCCTATTATCCTATATATGAAAAATAACATAAGATTAAGGATTCTTATATAACACATGGTGCAAAAATAATTTCATATTGGACATCAGTATTTCTGTTTGATACAGTTGTTATAGCATTTGAGTAATTTATATTTTTAGTACTTCTTTTAATAGCTAAATAGATTGATGGAGAAAGAGAATATAGACAATATAATATTTTAGTTTATGTCAGGATTATATTAGTAAATACAATATTTTCATTTGCACTTAATTGTCAAACATATTTTGCAACCTACTTTTTTAAGAATACTTATACATCAAATGTTTAATTACCATTCTTTTTATTAACCTTTCAATTTTTAGGAATCATAATATTTACAATAATATTTCAATGGCATGAATATGTAGGAATCATTTTCCCACCTATTTCACTTGTTTATGGATATGATTGGATCTTTTCAGGTTTAACAAATAAGTATCTATTGCAAACATAAATAAATTCTATCATATCAATCATCTTCTTTTTCTCTATTATTAATTATTTAGAATATCGTTTAATTAGAAAAAATTCAAATATCTTAAATTATTAAGGAAATGTTGAAGTCAAGTAGGTGAATTATACAATAGGAAATAGACCTATTTTACAAAATCTTAATTTTTCAATTGAATCCAAAGAGATTTTTGGATTACTTGGACCGTAAATATATTTATATATATTATAGTAATGGAGCAGGCAAGACTAGTACTTTTAAGATCATCACAAGAGAAGAACAACCTACTTTAGGGTCTGTTGAAATAAAAAATGAATCTACTTAAGTTGGATTGGTTCCATCCTTTTCTCCTCTACATGAAGATCTATCATTAGAGTAACATCTTAAAATATATGGTTCATTAAAAGGTTTAGATTTTGTTTAAATTGATAATTTTATTGATAGCTACACTTCATATATGGATTTAAAAAAGATTAAAGATAAAAGGGTTAAAGTATTGAGTGGAGGAGAAAGAAGAAAAGTTTAGATGGGTATAGCATTAATAGGAAATTCATCAATATTACTTATGGATGAACCTACTAGTGGAGTAGATCCAGTTTTTCGTTAACAATTTCAATAATTAATGTTAAGAAATTGTTAATAAAATGAGAGTTCAATTTTAATTACTACTCATTCAATGAAAGAAGCTTAAAGAATGTGTGAAGTCTTAGGAATTATAATTAATGGTTAATTAAAGTTTAAAGGAAGTTTAAATTAATTAAGATAATAATATGATAATAGAATATAATTAAGTTTCCATTTAAAAAATGTAGAAGATAAGGATAAATTAAGAGAATTAATTGGATAAAATTTAACTAAAAATATTTTTGAACCTTAAGGATTAAGTGGAGATAATTTAACAGTGTTTGTAGATGATTAATCAATTAAATTTTCTTAACTTTTTAGATTTTGTTCTTTAAGGGCAGTAGAAAATATAATTAATGATTTTGAAATTTAGTAGGCTACTTTGGATTAAATATTTAAACACTATGTATAATAATAATAGGTGAATGATTATCCATAATAAATAGTAGAAGTTTAGTAAAGAAGTTTATTAGGCATTTGTTGCTGTCAGATTTGATTAAGTTATAAAAATAAATATATATCTATAAATTATTATTATTATTATTAGATAAACTTTATTATAATTAATATGGAAGAAGATGATTCAAAAGTAAATGATTGGATTATTGTTAAAAATGTTCTTTTAGGAAAAGGAACTTTTGGTAAAGTTCTTCGTTGCCATCGATAGGATAATCCAAATGAATTATTTTGTATTAAGATAATTTCAAAGTTTAACATTGCTTTAAGAGATGATGAAATAAATAAATCTATATCAAATGAAAAAAATGTAATTTAAATATTGGCCTAAGCAAAAGAGTAAGCTGAAAATATTGTATAAATTATAGAATTAATTGATAAACCATAAAACATTTATATAATTATGGAATTGTGTGATCATGATTTATAAAAAGAATTTGATTTAATCAAACCTAATTGGTTTACAATTTAAGAATAGATAGATATTATTCAATAAATTATAAAAGGAGCATGTTTTTTGAAAGACAATTAATTAATTCATAGAGATATAAAGCCCCAAAATATTCTTGTCAAAATTGTAACAGATATAGATCAAAAAAAAAGAAAAATTTTTAAAGTAAAATATGAAATATTGAATTTAGATTGCAGATTTTGGATTATCAAGAACTTTAGAAAATATGTATTAAAAAAGAAATCTTACTTTAGTTGGATCCAAGAATTACTATGCTCCAGAAATCTATTATCAGATATAATTTTCAGCAAAGTGTGATATATATTCATATGGTTTACTTTTCTATCAAATAGCATTTTAAGGAAAACTACCCTTTGATGAAAACGAAGGATAAATGGAACATTTTGATAGAATTAAAAACACAAATTTTAAATGTAATAAAATTTAAGAAAAATACGGAGACTTGATAACTGATCTTATAGAGAAAATGGTAGTTTTTTCAGAAGACAACAGAATTGGTTTTGAAGAATTATAGAAACATAATATAACAAATTTATAATTAAATACGGATAGAGACTCTATTTTCATTCCTATTTGTGATGTCAATACAGAATAAGATATTTAAGCCAAAGAAACTAGAAATTAAAAATAAATATCAGAAAACATATATAAAATAATGAATATCTATTATCGTAAATTTCTATTATGTTAACATATTAGAGATCATTTAAAATCAAAATTTTAAACTCTAGATTAATATCTAAAAATCCTTCTTCTATTAATTGGTTGGATTGGATTTATTTAGATCAAACATGCATTTTCTCTAATTAAATAAATTTTTACTGACTTTGAAGGAATTTTAGCTTAATCTATTTAATTACCTCTTTTATTATAATATTTAAAAACATATAGAGAATAAGTATAGAAAACTGAGTAATATTAGATGATCAATTAGACTATTTAATAAACATATTATCAATTTAATATTATATTAAAAAATGAATTTAATGCCCTTTTAATGTAAATTTATTAAGATACAAATAAGATGATTCTACAAAAATACTAAAAAAATTTAGAATAGAAAATATAATTAATAAAGAGATTAGAAATTTAAAATATAAACTGTAATATATTATATAATGAATTAAATGATTTGATGAACATTGAAATATATTAAAACAAATAAATATTTGATTAAAAAGGTAAATAATCTATAAATATATATATTAGATTTAGATTTAATTAAAAGTATTGAAAATCTCTAAAAAAAGTTTCAGATTGTAGATTATATTACAATTGATGTAAATTAAATTTTTGATCCAAACCAAAATTGATAAAAATTTAATTTAAATTAAAATCATAATATTTAAAACAATTCTGGTAAAAACTTACCATTAGAGTTTATGATTAGATTCACATCATCTACAATATCTGATAATCTTCCTTAATCTATAAAATCAGCTACTAAAAAATTAGGCAATTTCTTGCATTTTTCATAATATTATAAAAATCTCTCTCTGCCATGATTATATGAGTTATATTTCTTTCTATATGACGAATCTAACCTTATTATTATAATATCAAAAGTACTTTAATGAATTTTCTGGACAATAATGAATTTCTAAAAAAGGAGACAATATTTCACCAGTTTCTTAATTTGTTTTACCTCTTGCCACTTCACCATTTTGTACATCTTCTAAAGGATTTAATTCCCAATCTACTTATGCACTTAATATATATGAATAATAAGTATATTTTGATAATTCTCCAAATATTTACTCTTTTGGTTCTATACATATTAATATAGTCTATTGATTCTCTCTACACCATCCTAAAGTTGGAATTTCTCCTTCATTTTCAATTCTAATAGCTCTTTAATCTGCTCTTATTTAAACTAATAAACTATGCAACATAATGCTCATTAGTTAAGGATCCCAAAACTTAGTTCCATTTCTTTTACTTTTGCATAATAATTTGCTCTCTATTTTTAATATGATAATTTCATAAGGATATTAAAAAGATAAATCTACAATCTCTTTTAAACGTATATTTGCTTTTTCTGGTTTTTTGAAACCTCTTTACATTACTGTCAATTTACAATTAGAACGTCCATCAGGTTCATGAGCAACTGCTATCTCAGAATAATAAATTGATATACTTCAGGATTATGGCCTTCAAGATACCAATGCAAAGGTACTTTAAAATGACGAGCTCCATATAATTCAAATTACTCTGTAATAGTAACATTTTATTAGGCATAAGTCCAACCATACTTTTTTGACATTGCACAATTATGAGCACCCACATAAGCAACTTAATTTAATTTAAGATCATCATTAAGATGTCCATTACCTCCTGGTAATTACTTTTACATTTATTAATTTATTTCTATATGATGATAAAAATTTAACTTGATAAACTATTTTAATCATTTCTATATGATACAAAAATTATAAATTTAGTTTTATATACTTTACTCTATTTTAAATATCATTTAATTGTTTATGTTCATATTTCTTTATTTTTAATATGCTTTCAAGTGAAAATAGTTTCTGAATTATTATTTATTAAAATGCCAAAAGAAACAAAAGGCCAATAAAAAGGAGGAAGATCTAAATATGAAACTACAGAATAAACCGAAACATATAGACAATAAGATGCTGTAAATATAGAGACTTATATAATAGAAAGAAAAGAAAATTTTGGGACCTAAAACTAAATTAGATTTAGAGAAATTAGAACCTTACTTCTCTTAAAATAATAATTATGTTGGAATGTTCAAGAAGGATGCAGGAAAGACAGATAATAGTTCAGCTGTAGCATATTCTGTAAAATTTCATCATAACTGTTAGCATCCATTAGATAGATTGGGTATTGTAGAGAATGAATATTGTTAAAAATGTAAGAAAGATAAAGGATTCTGTCCACATAAGAAGGGTACTTAAAATATTGTTAAGGATCAATTCCAATTTCCAATAATTAGGTAAGAATATTTAAATAATTTGCAAGTTCAGCTGAAATTGGATGGAGAGAACCTATTGATAATGTTAATTGGGGATATGGAGTTAAGTAATCTTTCCCAATTTTCAATGCAGATTTCAGAAATACATCTAAAAAAGAGGAAAAGGAGAAGGAGAAGAAATGATTTGTTAGGTCTATCCTTTTTAATAAATATGAATAATTATATAATTTCTTAGATTAAATTAATATACTTAAATAAATTCTTTAAAGAGGAGACTATGTCTTATTTTTTTGTTCAAAAAATAAAAATTAAGACTATGTTTATATAATAAATTTATTTATCATAAATGCAGGAAATTGAAGCTAAAAAATAATTGAAAGCAAGTGAAGGAGCTCACTTCTTTTACACTTTGATCTTTCTTAGTGCATCAGGCATAATAGAGACATAATTTATTGATCAGAAATGTAATTAGAATTTGGCTTTATTTATACATTTGGTTTTCTATGGATTAATAATTTGGGGAACTTATATTTTGATAACTTTAATACCTAGGTTAATAGTTTTATTTATATAGATATAAAAATCCTGCAATAAACTTGTTCTTCAATTTCTTAGACATTTGTTTTGCAATTTACATAACCTTTTTGTTAATTTATGGATACAAACTTTATTCATAATAAAATGATTGTGCAGTTGAGGCTCCTGTACTTTATTTCTTTTTAGAAGTATTTATGCTGGTATAATATCATTAATGAATTAGGTTAATGGGATTATTTTCATCATTTTGGGTCTAGCCTTTATTTCTTACATCTTGAAGAGATTCTCCAAACATTAATAGTCATAAGCTCAAGGGGAGGATGAATACTTAGATGCATGATTTAAATACATAATGATAATCATAATGATAATAATAATAATAATAATAATAATAATAATAATAATAATAATAATCATCCTTTTTTCGAAACAAAACTATTATTTTTAATATAAAATCTCCAAGGTTTATCTTTATATTCTTCTGCATAATCAATATTTATTCGACTAGAAATTCCAATCTCATATTTTATTTAATTATCAATTAGATACATTCCACTATTCTTATCACATAAATTTAATCCATTATGACTTTTGTTAAGCTATAAACATTCTCCACATTTTCCTGGACCATTAGATAATTCTTACAATTTAAATGATTTTATCTTTCTTATATCTTGAACAATTTCAAACTTTAAAGGTTAAATCGCTCTAATAAGAACAGCTTGAGGATCATTTTTTGTAGCAGCTGTGATATTCAAACAATAATTATTTCCATAAATTGAATAGATATACAAATGTCCACCATCTTGCCAAAAATATTATGTTCTCTCAGTCTTTTTATTATTATATGCATGACAGGCTTTATCCTCAGGTGCTTGCTTTATTATCTAATTTACCTTTATAGGCTTCTGCTTCAACAATTAAAGCTCTTACTTCTCCCTATGGAAGTTATCTTACTATAATCTTACCAATTAATTTTTAGGCCAATTCAATAACATCCACCTTATAAAATGCAGAATCCAATATTGTTTCTATTGGCTCGAATTATTCAGCAGGATTATTTTATTTTTATCTTTTCTAATTCAAGTTTTTCTTTATAATTTCATTTTTTGTATTTACATCTTCATTTTTATTTTGAATCTATTTTTATGACTTCTCTAACATTAAAATAAATAATAAAATATGGTATTGTAAATCTATTTTTAATTATTTAAAAAGTTAAATCATTCTGTTATGAAGTAAATATTTTTATGCTATCTCTTGAAATATTTTTTATATTTATATGAATAAGATTTGAAATATCTTTTTACAATATTTATAATTATAGAGAATATTAGTATTTAAAAACAAAAATAATTTTAAGTTAAAATCTCTCATAATATTTAAATTAAATAAGTTTCATAGAAAAAACTTATATAACTTCAAATTTATAATCAATTAAATAAGAAACAAAATATTTTCTAAATTATTTTAGTTACTAAGTTATATCATAATTAGAAATACTTTATAGTTTTTTTTAAAATGATATAAATTGTTTAATTTATGATAAAATAAAATATTAATATTTATTTAGTAAGATATCAAATCATAATATCAATAAATACTATGATTTAATCATAGTATTTATTGACTTCTATATATATATCTTATTCAATAATATAGATTATCAAATTACAATATATAAATTTAATTTTATATTACAAAAATGATAATTGTGTAAAATAAGATGAATTTAAAAAACATTTATTAATATAAGATTTACATTCTTATAGTGTAACTTCTAATATAAAATTGTATATTATCAGAAATTATTGTTATTTCACAGAACTGATAGTTATTAGAATTAACTGTATTTATTTCATTTTATAATAAAAGTTTATTTTTAGAAATGAATGATCCAATGGTGTATTCATAATAAAGAGCTCAAACAGAAACTAATTCTTTAGGGTTCTCTCAATCACTTGAAAATTTAGATACAAATAGTTTGAAAGAAGACCTTAATAAAAGCATTGAATTAGGACGCAAAAAGCGAAAATAGTTGACTCTTGATAATCCTGAATTTAATATCAAATAAGAAATTGAAGATGAAAAATAGAACATTAAGGTACAAACCCTCATAAGGAGAGGAATAGCAGATGCTCTAAAGATATAAGAATTATGTACAATAATAATGTTTATTAATAAGTAAAGTTGAAAATTACAGCAAAAGACAATAATAACCAAATTCACAGTCTCTTTAGATGGTGCATGCTAATATTATATAAGGAAAATCCTGAAATTTATAATTGGTCAGAGTTTAGAGTAAGAACTAATCTTGATTTTGTTAGAAATAAGTTCTTGAAAAGAATAATGGTCAAGACCTTCGAAATCGTTTAGGATATCAAAGTGTTATTCATATAACTTCACTTGAAGGAGAGAAAACAAAATATTTGTTAAATTTAAAAAAACCAATTTTAGAACAAAATAGTAAACCAGAAGAAGTATAACATGTACTATTGAAAATATTTGATATTGTTGAAATAATCTATAAAACTCATGAACATGCAAAAAGAATTAATTAACTAGTTGATAATTTGTTGATGGTAATTGAATTTCTAATGTAATTTATAGCAAGAGAGCAAAATCAAGCAATACAAAGAAGAAATTGATAAAGTTAATTAGGAAATTCAGGTAGCCAAGTCTAGCTTGAAAAGTTTGGAAAGCAAGTCTTTGGATGATGAAATCATTCAAGAATGATATTATAATTAAAATAATTATAATTATTCTTAAAAAAAAAGAATTTTAATTCAAAAATATTGATAATCTAAAAGTAAAATCAAACTTAATATTGATTTGAGTTTACTAATTTCTTAATAATTATAAAAATCATTTTAAAAGATATTTTTATAAAATGAGAAGATGAATGCATAATTTTGACTGATTATTATAAAATTAAATATATATTAAAAAGATATATTATATATTATAAAGGAGGAATATAATATTTGTAGTTAGTTTGTAAATGTATTTATATGTTGAATAATAAATTATTATATATTGCATTGCTTAAAACGGATAATCATTAATTAATTTTTAGATGAAATAGGTAGTCGTATTAGCATTAATGCTAAGCTTGGCTTTGAGTACAAGCATAACATCTCCTTAACTATTGGTGGAATTGTAGGCAAGAACAGAAAATGTGATAGATGATGGTGTTGATCTATTAGAACAACTTCTTGCCACAACAGAATAGTAATATGAACAAGTCATTCAAGAAAATGAAACAGAATAATAACAATTAAAAGATTAAGTAGCTTCAAAAGAGTAATAACTTTATGATCTTTAAAACACTTGTATGGTGATGTCAGACGACTTGGCCTTGCTTAAATAATAAATTGAATTACATGGAGATGACACAGCATACTTTAGAAATGAAATTACAAAAGACAATCGTAGAATTGAAGTACTTGAAGAGCTTCGTTGCTAATAAAGCAAGAATTGGTTGAATTTTATAAAATCAAGCAAATACATTCTTAATTTAATTGAATTCTTAAGAAGAGCTATTTAGAATTATGGTTCATTTGCTGAGATTTAAAACTTCTCAGTAATGTTAGAAACACTAAGTAAAGAAGTAGATGATAATGAATTATTGAACTCTCTTTAAGCAGTTAGTAAATCAAGAGCAATTACACCAGTTAGATAAGAATTACTTTAATTACTTGATTAGATTGAAGAATCAATTAAAGCTAAAATCAATACAAGTTAAACTGATGAAGTAAATAATAAATTATATTTAGATTCTTTCAACATCAAGAATTGCTGATTATTTACATTAACTTAAATAAGAAATTGCATGGTATGAAAATGAAGTTGCAAAACTTAATGAAGCTTGGGGAGATTCACCAGAAGAAACAGTTAAACAAAGATAAAAAGAATTAGATGCATGTGAAAGTGGAATTAATGCTAAAATTGAAGAAGCTAAAGAATTCAGAAATCATGTTAGTGAATAAATTATTCATAATGAATCAAGATAAGCTCGTTTCTTAGAATAAAAAGACTTAGTAGCTTAATTGATTGTTGAATATTAAAATGCTTTCAATAAAATTGGAGAAACATATAAAATTAGAATTGATGATTATGTTGAAGATGGAGTCTTTGATAAGACAGCTGATTTTGATAAAAGGTATTTATTAAATCTAAATAGATCATTAACTGATTTATATGGTGATAAAGAGGATAACTTCTAATAATATGTGGATGATCTTGTGAATGGAGTTGCCACTCCTGTTGAAGTACCAGTAGTTGAAGAAGAACCTGAGTCAGGTGATTTAGATATTGGAAGTGAATCAGAAAGTGAAGAGGCAGAATCTACTGAAGAAGCAGTTGAGACTATTACTGAAGAAACAGTAGAGAATGTTACTGAAGATGTAGTTGAGACCACAACCGAAGAGACAGTTGAGACAACAACTTAATCAGAAGTAGAAACTACAAGTGAGGAAACCAATTATTTTGAATAAGGCGAAGTTCAACAATCTGTTTGATTCTATTAAAATAAATAAATATTTATGTCAAGACACTAAGGTGTTTATAATATGATTAAGCATGGAGCTTATAATGATGATGAATATGAGGATGTAGATGACGGTAACTAATAAGATGATGATGAATAATATGGAGATCATAATTTCACCAGAAGTAATTTTAAGTTAATTATATTTTAAAGGTGAATTGGAAGTCATTAACAATTTGTATGATATATTCCAACTTGATTTTACTCGTAAATAGATTATTGATGCATTATATGAAACTGATGGAGATCATGATGCTGCATTTGAATATTTAAGTAATAAGATTAAAAAGACCCAAAAATAATAATAGCCTCAGAAACCTTAAGCTCCTAAAAAATAACAATAACTAATTTAAGCAGTTAAGAAAGAGGAGTAACCTTAACCATTGCCTTAATTAATAAAATAATCAAATAGTACTGACAAATCAAAGAATCAATTTCATATTGAATACAATGTTGATGAATTCAATTCACCTTATCCAAGCATTAAATATAAGAATGTCATTTAAAGCAATCCTTCTACTAGCATTGTTATTTTAGGTCATGTAGACACAGGTAAAAGTACATTGACAGGAAAGTTACTCTAAATATTTAAAGCTCTGGATGAGAAAGAATTAAGGAAAAATTAAAAGGAAGCTAAGAATTTTGGAAAGGATTCTTCTGCTCTTGCCTATGCTACTGATATGACTAAAGAAGAGAAAGAAAAGGGTGTAACAATGGATATGGCTTATAAAACTATAGTAATTGGAGGCAGACAATATAATCTATTAGATTCACCAGGACATTAAGATTTTGCACCACATTTAATAGTAGGAGCAGCATAAGCAGATTATGCTATTTTAGTAATTGATACAACAAAAAATGCATTTGAAAATAGTATAAAGAGTGGTATGTTAAGAGAAAAATTACAATTAATAAATGCAATGTTAATTAAACAAATTATAGTTGCTTTGAATAAAATGGACTAGATTGATTGGGATTAAAAATAGTTTTAGGAAGCCAAAGAGTACATTAAAACATCAGCAGCTAAATTAGGTTATAATCAAAATCAAATCAAATTTATACCAATCTCTGCATTTCAAGGTTTAAATATATAAAATAAACATAATATTTAATGGTATTAAGGATAAACTTTAGTTTAAGAAATACTAAATTTATCTCCTATTTAAAGAAGAGAAGATTAAGTAATTCTTGTTTAAATTTTTATTAGCCAGTCAGATTCACTATTCTAAATAGATTTCAATAAAGTGAAGGTAAATTAAGAGGAACATGTTTATTAGGTAAATTACATTCAGGATAATTGGAGAAAAATATAAATTATGTAATATTACCATAAGGAATCTTCTGTGAAGTGAAGGATGTTGAAAGATAGAGTATGGAAGGAGATATTGTAGAAATAAAGATTAAAACACTTATTGATTCAGAATTCTAAAATATCACTATTGGATCTGTGTTGAGTTCAATTGAATATCATGTTCCAGTTGCAAATAAATTGGTATGTTAAATTAGTACTCTTGATCTTCAAACTCCAATTATAAGAGGATCTCAATATTTGATGCATTTAGGTGCTCAGAAAGTAATAATTATATTATATTTTAAGGTTGGAGTTGTTGTTAAAAAGTTAAATCATATTTATAATGATGATACTCAAACTATTAAGAAGAAATTCCCAAGGGCTATTGTATCTAATGAATTAGCTGAAGTTGAATTAGAATGTGATGGTTTAGTATGTGTAGAAACATATACAAATTTAGAACAATTAAGTCGAATAATAATGAGAGAAAAATTTAATATTGTAGCTATAGGAAAGGTTACTATTATTAATGTAAATTTAAATAAGTTGAAATAAGGAAAGATTATTCATGAATAGTAAATTTGATGTATATTAATTTAATTATTAATATAAATAATAATGGTATATGATGATTATCACATTGCACTTTATAAATTAAAATAAATAATATAAATATGGGATAGGCAAATCTTAAGTATTCTAAGGCTCCAGATGATATATTACAGATCACCTTACCCATCAGAAATAGTCTTGAAGTAAAATCCAAGTCTAATAATTTATTAGGCAGTTATAGTGAAACTGGATCCATCCGCTTAATATCCTCCTTTAGATTCAAAAGAATGGGTTTAATTCATGTATTAAGTTAACCTCTCCATCGATAAGAAAAATAAGTTGAATCTTCTTAATGATAGTACTAAAATTTAATAATATATAGATTTCAAAGCACAAATTCTATATTAGTATCTAAAATCAAAAAAGAAAAATGTTGAACCTGCCATTTTGGGAACAGAAGAAGGACTAGAAGATCTATTAGTTTATTTGAGATCATTATCAAAATAAGATTTAAATAAATATGTTGTAGAAAAAAATCTGATAGAAAAATTAACAAAGTTATGCCAAAGTGATTGTGAAGGTCATCATGATAAAGAAGTATCAAATAATATTATATATTTTAGTGTCTTATTTTAAATATCATATTATTGGCATTAGAATCTGATAACAATCTCGAAATCCCTACTTCTTCACTTAATGAATTTTGCATGATCTTGAATCCTATCCACATTGTAAATTTTTCATTAATTCTTGAAATTTATGTCTTGATTTGTAAATTTTAAACAGATGAACGCATGCTATAAATAGCATTAGCATGGTTGGATATGAAACGTCAAGGATATTGGAATTATCCCATTGAACCTTTCATATAACAGCTATAAAATAACAAAAGCGTGTTTGCAATAGCCAATATGTGCAGATTTCTCAATTATTTTATGGAAGCCCATGCCGATTAAACTTATAGTTATAAATTGAAAAAGAGTTTCATCTAATATGGATTAAGAATCTTATTATAAGATGTCAAGAATAAGATTCAAAGTGGAACTTATTAAATACAAGATTGTACATATGCAGCTATGGATTAGTAATTAATGGAATAATACTTGATGTTAAAAGATAATCCTACAAGAAAAAGAAAACTATTACCACCAGATGGAAAACCTGTAGAATTAAGTATTTGTGCCAAATTATGCCATGAATTATTTATTGATTTGAACAACCCTAATGCTTCCATTAAATTTTAAAAAGTATGCGAAGAAGCTACCGCATAAATCGATGCATTCTTATTTCTAACAGAAGAAATTAATGAAGAATTGAAAAATTAAAAGTTACCAAACAAGAATGACAATATTAGCTAATTTAGAAGACAACAATCTATCTCCAACATTTATGAAGTTGAAGATTCACAAGAAATAAGAATTCCTAATTTAGACTATAATTCACTAAATACTTAAGTAAGAGAAGCACTAACAATATAAGAAACAGTTAAAATACTTGATGATTATGTGACATAATAAGCTAATGTTGGTGTAAATCCAGTTTCTTAATTAATTTAAACAACTGCTCAAAAACTTTTAGAATTGAAAAAGAATGATCCTACTCAATTAGAATTAGTAGAAGCAGAAAAAAAATGTACATAATTAGAAGTTCAATTAAGAAAGATCTATGAATAAAAAGATAAATATTTTTAAGAAATGAAAGAACTAGAAAATAAATTAGAAGAATAATCTAAACTTATTCAATAATTACAATCAGCAGGCCCAGTTTTATCATTAACTATTACTAATCCTACTCCAACACCTTAAGTAGCACCTCCTCCGCCTCCTCCTCCACCACCTCCTCCTGGAGGTTTATTGACTGCACCTCCTCCTCCTCCACCACCTCCCCCTCCTGGTGGTTCGTTTTCTGCACCTCCTCCACCTCCACCTCCTCCTCCTGGTGGCAAATGTCCTCCTCCACCTCCACCTCCACCTCCTGGTGGTATGCCTCCTCCTCCACCTCCTCCTGGTGGTATGCCTGCTCCACCACCTCCTCCTGGAAGAGCTCCTCCTCCTCCACCAGGTGCAGTAAAGCCAGGTAAATAGAAATGTACTCCAACTAAACCAATGAAATAAGTTCCATGGGTTTTGATTAAAGAGGATAGAATTAAGGGAACAATTTGGGAGAAATTAGATGATTAAAAGATTAAATTAGATATAGAATTATTAGAAGAGAAATTTTCAAGACCAGAACCTGCTTAGAGACATTAATCTACAATAGTTCAACCTGTTAAACCATAAAAAGTATCATAGTTATCTGGTGAAAGATGTAAGAATGTAGAACTTGTAATTTCAAGATTAAAATTAAGTGCATTTACATTAAAAGAGGCACTTTTGACTATAGATTATGATGTATTAACAGAAGAGAAAGTTGGAATGTTAATAAATGCTGTTCCTGAGAAGGAAGAGTAAGAACTGTTTTTACATTATTAACCTGAAGATATGAATTTAGTGGCAGTTCCTGATTAATTTTTTATGGATTTAAGTCCAATTCCATAAATAAAATTGAGAGTGGAAGCAATAACAGTGGCATATGAATGGAAAGAATTAGCTTAAACAATAACTGCAAAATAGGAGAAGATAAAGGTAGGAATTAAAATGTAGAAAGAAGATTCGAAATTACCAATATTATTAGAATATTCATTAGCATATGGAAATTATTTGAATGGACAATCAGCAAAAGGAGGAGCTAGTGCATTTAAATTAGATATTATGTCTTAATTGGATGATGTTAAATCAAATGATAATAAAACAAATTTATTGATTGTGATTTTGGAGAAAATAGAAAAGGAAATAGGATGTCTTTATGATGTTGAATTTTTAGCCAAAATAGATTATGAATTTTTATCAAAGATTTCATTGTAAACAATAGGATAAGATTTAAATGAATTAAAAAGAATGTAAAGAGTAGTTGAAAGAGCTTAGAGATCATAAGGAGAAGATCCAAATGATAAGGCTGGAGAGAAGTAAATAAAAAATAAATATTATATTTAGATTCAAGATTTTATTTGATTAGTTAGATGAGGCTTGTGGTACAATAGAAAAAAATACAAAGGAATTGGATGTTGTTTATAAAGATTTATTGAATCATTATTGTGAAGATTAAAAAACATAGTCTGATGAATTTTTTTAGAAAATTGAGAGAATATGGACAGATTATAAAAATGTATTAATATATAATATATCATTAGGCCAAAGCATAGATGGATAGAACTAAATAAGCATAATAAAAAGAATAAGAAAAATTGATGAGATCATAATCTCATTAAATTTAACCTCAAATGTTAATGACTTAATCAGTGATTTCACCTAGTCAAAATGAATAAATAAAATAAGAAGAAAAGGTATCACCAGCTCCTGTAGTAGAAAAGAAGGATCCAAAGGAAGTATTGGCAGAATTGAAGATGTTATAATCAAAGAAAGCAGAATTGGCAGCAAAAAGATAATAACAAAAGTGAAAATTTATTAATTTTAATATATCCAAAATTATAATATTTATATATATATATATATAAGAATTAATGAATAGTTTATTTCCACTAAATTATTTAAATCATGATTTTTGGATTTTTTGCTTTGTTATCTACATTTATATCAGCAGAAACAACCACAAGTGAAGTAACAAGAGATTATTGCTCTCTTCCTGATCCAATATATGCAGATGGTGTTTCTGCAGCAGATTTTGGGGCTACTGGTTGGAGTTATACTAACGCCGCTAACTGGGCAGGTAATTACAAATAATCAATTAAGATTTTGTTGTAACATGTGGGGGTAGTTTCTAATCACCAATTGATATTATAACAAGTGGCACTACTCAGGAAGCTGTACAACCTCAAATAAATTATTAAAGTAAGGATGCGGCTGTTGGATATGAAGAAGCAAACAGTAATTTATTTGATGACATAATTTTAGAACCATATACCAAAGAATATGAAGGAGAGTATTCAGAGATAGAAGTAACTGATGCTTCTGGTTCAATTATACGTTATTATGCCAAATAATTCCACATTCATACACCATCAGAACATACCATCGATGGAAAATATTATGATTTGGAAATCCATTTTGTTCATTAAGTACATATATATCTTATCATTTAAGGCTATTTAAGATGATGAATAAGATTGTAATAAAGTGAAAAATAAATTAACTGTCTTTGGACTAATGTTTTAAGAATCTTAAAGTGCTGTTGATTATGATGTCTTTAAACCATGGTTTGATTCAAATGCTACTGGTGAAGTCGAATCCTTCGATTTAAAGTAATCCTTTTAAACTTAATTTAGTGATTTCTTTTAAAAAATGTCTGATACAACCTATTATCATTATAATGGAAGTTTAACTACACTTCCATGTTCATAAACTGTAAATTGGGTAGTATTCTAATAACCGTTACCAATTTCATCAACTTAATTAAAACAATTCTAAGATTTCCTAAGTGACTCTACTCTATTTCCAATAAAACATAACAATAGACCCATATAACATTTAAATGGTAGAAAGATTTTGAAAGGAGTAATTTATATTATCAAATATAATTAGACTGCTATTACAGCAAGTGTAAGTGAAATACCAGATGTCGAAGCATCTTTTGTTTAAACACTTTCTATGGCTATCATGATAATGAACATTTTGATTTAATGAACAATTTATAAATACATATATATTTAATCAAAAAAAATTATAAATATTTATTATAATAAAAGTCATAAACTATACTAATTTAAATTAAGAAAAAATAATCATTTTAATAAATGATGATATAATATATCAAATCCCTTTTTCTGTATTCACATGATTAGTTTTTTAAAATAAACATACACAAGAAGTCATAGCTACTCCAATAAAGAATCCTATAATTGCAAAAACTAAAGCATGATTGACATTAACTTTTGGCATTTTCTTTATTTAACTCAATTTACTATTCAATTCTGCTGTATATTATTATAAAGCATAGATTTCTTTTTCCATTCCTTTAATTGTATCAATAAAAGTATTAGCTTCTACAATTTATTATTAAATTGATTATGTAATTCTTATCTCTTCTTCCTTTTTTTTTTCTTATTCTTCAAATTCAATCTATTTCTATCTCTCTAATTCCATCATCTCTCTTAATCTTTATTCCTATTCTTCCTATTCTTTCAACATCTTCTCTAATTTCTATTATTATATTTCCTATTTAGTCTCTTCAGACATCTATGCCAAAGAATCTATCCATTAAACAAAAAAATCATATCTTCTATGATTTTGAAACTATGAAGTTGGTCTATCTTATCCAGGAGGAAAATATAATATTGTAGGAAATGAATGCACTCCAAAATGATGACAAATATGTTAGTTTTGTTACTCATCACAATTCATCTTAGCAATTAAGATATCTGGTCTAGTTGCTTAATAGTGTTCAAACACTTGATTGAATTCTCCTGCCATATGTTGACAATATATACACCAAGGAGTAAAGAAATCTAAAACAACCTGTTTCGTTAATTACTTACATGCTTCTCCTTTCCCAAATGTTATTGATAATTATTTGCAGCTAATGTAAATGCCAAAGTGCTATGGTACCAATCTGCATTAACATCAAATAGTAATATTAGCAATACAATAATCATAATTATTATTTTATCAACTCATCATAAAAATCCTGCTTGAAATGTCTGTCACTATCCAATCAATGCCTTCTAATAATCCATCTCCAGTTACTGCTGAACATGCAATAATACCCCAATGTCTGGTTTGAATTAGATCTAATTCTAAATACTCTCTTATTTATTATAGACTTAATGATTTTGGTACATCTTATTTATTACAAAAAATCAATAATGTTGCTCCTATCAATTTTTCTTATTTTAATAAATTTTATAATTCCTTTTTACAATCATCTAAACGAGCTTTATCAGTTGAATCTACAACCCATATTAATCCATCAGTTTGTTCAAAATAATTCTTCCAATATGATCTTATTGTTTATTATCCACCAACATCTAAAATTATATTAATATGTTACCCCAACAATTTAACTTATAACCATTATAAGTAAGTGTTTTAATATTGAAACCTAAAGTAGGAGAAATTTGAGAAATGTCTTCACCATTAAATTTCTTTAGTATTGTAGTCTTTCCTGCATTATCTAATCCCAAAATTAATAGTCTCATCTCTTTTTCTCTCTCCTTTGTTTTTTTGATAATTTTCAAAAGTCCCATTATAAAAGAAATTAATATTAAAAATATATATATAGATATGATTTATATAATAATCAAATCAAATGAAAATAATTTACAAATTTTAAACTTTTATCATTTATCCATAATTCAAATAATATTTTTATTATGGTTTCATCACTAGCCATATTCCATATGAACTATACTTCCATTCTCTATCGCTTTAATATCCGTCAATAATAATCCATTTTCTCCTTTTTTGAATGTATTATATCATTCCATGATAATTAGAAACTGCTGTAGATTTAAATTATATATCAGAGGATTTGTTTCTTCCAATAGTAAATTTATCTCTTGAGTTTCCAATTTCTAATGATTTTTTTAACTTATCAACTGAAAATGAATTTCTACATTTTTCATATGATTAGATATCTCTTAAATCTTTAGTTGATTAGATATTAATTTTATTTTTTGAGTTTTCCACAAGTAAATAACTTTAAACCTTTATATTATCATCTCTAACTTTTATATATAAGCAATCTTTAAAAGAAAATTCGTAAAATTCCTAATCGATAAATTAAAAATTTTACTTATTCCAATTCTTTTGAATATAAAGTCTTATAAAAGTCATTCTTTGAAATATTTCCTTCAAATGATTATTTAAAAAGCTTATCTAAGCCTGAACATAATCCTAAAACTATAGCCTTTTTTGTTATCTCAAATAATTCTTTGCTTACCAAAAAATCTCTAAAAAGTTGATTATTTTGTTCTACTTATATTTATGATGAAAGACCAATAATATATACGTTCTTTTTTTTTAGAACTTGATTTTCGCATTCTTTTGTTATGTTTATTAAACTTGGGTATCCTATTCTTCCAGAAATATCTTTAATTTATAATCTCTATTCAGAATTAATTGTAAATTATCCAATTTTATCAATTATATGCTGATCTATGTTTAAATTTTGGAAAACTTCCTTATATTCATCTAAAAATTCCTATTTGCTTTTCGGTAACAAAAGCAAAGAGAAATCAAGTTCAAAATGAAATTTACTTAAGCTATCTACAAAAGGTAAATCAACATATTTATGTAAAACAATTTAATCACCAATACTTTTAGAACACCCTATTGTATATGCTTTAATTTAAAAATAAAAATACTTTAAACATCTTCAGAAATAGGTAAACTTTTTTAAATTTGCTTTTTTGCTTGATTTTAAGCTCTAATAGTAATCGAACTAGTTTTCTAGAATCAAAATAAAGCAAATACTTGATGATTCATCTCAATAAAGAAATTTTATTTTTTAAAATTATTTATTATTTTCAAGTTCAGATAAACAACACCTTAATAATTTAGTACTAAAAATATAAATGAACACAATCTTAATGATAGATACATAGTTTATAATATTTATAAGTAATTTTATAAATTACATTTAATATAAAGAATTTTTTTTAAGAAAGATCCAGGTAGGACTTATAAATGCAATTGAGAATATAACTCTCCAAGTTATTTATTTAAAAAATACAATATCTTAGTTTAAGCTAGATAGAATTTTTTGAAAAATAATTATTATTTTTATTATGAATTATGATAAAAATTGAATATAATATATTTAAAAAGCTAGCATGATAAAAGTTCAAGATGGTATACAAACAATTTATGATCTATCTCATTTTCTTATTCACAGATTACAGATTCGAATTTCCATTTTTTATCTCATCTTACTCTAACATTTATTCAGATAAGCCTATATAATTGAATATATGTTAATAAGAGTTTATTCTAATTTTATCAAAAAATGTAAAAATTTAAATTAAATTATTTTTTTATCATTTTTCTAAACTCTAGTTTTAATTCATAATCTTAGAATAAATTAACTTTTGAATTCATAAAAAAAATAATTATGGCTACTTTCAGTCTTGTCTTTTGTAGTGTTGCAATTATTCTTGATTAAAATGATGTTAAAATTATATTATTAAATGATAATTATTATAATCATCAAATTATTTGATATTGATATTGATATCCACCATTTCTATTTTAAAATCCTTTAATGTAAATATTCTTAGAGTATTTATAAAAAATAAATTCAAATTTTTATAAAAATTTTGTAGATTGATTTAAATGTTTAATATTTCAATATATAAGTATCCAATATTTTTATAAAGAAAATAAATGTAAATAATTTTATAAGGTTACAATTCAATAAGTTTAAAAATAGTTGAACTATACTTAATTAATTTTATCAGAAAATACATTTATGTAAAGTTTAAAGATTTTTATCATAAATATTATATTAAAGAATTAATTTATTAAAATAAATGAAAGCGGAAAATGTTTCTGAAAAAAAGCAAAAGTTATTAGAAGAGGAATAAAGACTTATAACTTTAGGTTAAGACTTTTATGATCAATATGGTTTCCAATCAATAAATTTTATAACCAATTTTATACCACATTACTTCGAATATTATATTAATTCATAGAAGAGAGATAAATAAGGAAATTGGTTGCCATTAAAACTTGTATCAAATAGTCCAATCAGAAAAATGTTGGTTAGATTTGATTTAAATTTATTATTTCCAGAAAGAATTTGGGAATTTACAATGACACGTATTTATCTATAAAATGTTAAAAAGCAACTTTCTTATAACAACTAAGTCAAGATGAAGGACTCTCTAAAAATTTGCCATAAATTTTATATTTAATGAAATTGATTTTAAAAGGTGATTTTGAAATTCATCATCAACTTTCATAAGAGTTCTCTAATTAACATATATATAGATTTGCAAAGATTGAATTATATAGACATACTTTACCACATACATAAATTTATAAAGTCTATAATTAATTTAATTCTTCTGAATCAATTATTTTATAAATAATTCCAAAATAAATAGACAATTATAATTCAAAAAGTACAAATTCTAATTTATGGTATGTTGATACTATGGTATTTATCACTTATAATAATAATTAAATGCATAATCATCTTAATGATTATTTAAATGAATAATTAGAAGATCCTTTTATTTAAAATGATCTTTCTATAATATATGAAATCAAACAATCAATTTAATCAAAAGATAGGGTTATCAATCAAAATTTAAATTTCCCCAGAAGATTTGTACTGTTTAATTTTTAAGTAGATTAATATGTATTTCACAAAAAATGTTAAAGATGGATCAAAAAAATTTATATTCATAATTATTAAATAAGAATTTAAACATAAACTGAATTAGAATCTTAATTCTATATATTGAAAAAATACTTATTCACTCCAAATTTTGAATAATATAAAAATTTATTAAAAAATATTAAGAGTGAAAAATTTACAATAAATATGGAATAATTTCAAGCTATTTCCTAAGAAGGTGATACAATTTTAATTGGAAGAAGTGGAACTGGTAAAACTACTATATCATTATTAAAATTATTTATAACTGATGCAATATTTATGTTAAGATAGAATTTAGATTATTTTAAAGAATGTAATTCTAAAATTAATATGTAATATAATTAGTAATTATAAAATGGAATTTAATTAAAAACATTATTTTTAACATCTAGTCCTTTATTAGCTTAATAGATTAAATAGAAATATGAAAATATGGTTAAAGATGTTGAAGAGAATTTAAGATAAAAGAATAGAATTTAAAAGATTTCAGAATAAGAAAAATGCAATTTAGATGATAGTACTATATAAATTCTAGATTTATTGGGAGACTAAGATGAAAATGAAAGTTAATTTGAAATATAAGATGAAGATGAAGAAGATGTTGATTAATTTGAAAAAGAGATGGGATAGTTTTAAACTATTTAAGATATTAAATAATTTCCAGCATTTCTTACTATAAGAAAATTATTATTTCTATTAGATTCTTAATTATAAAATCCTTTTTTTAAAAAAACAGAATAAATACATAGATCAGCATAATGGCATAATGAATATTTTGGAGTTTTATCTTTGAATTAAAATGTTACTAATAATTTAACAGAGAAATTAGATTCTGAAATTAATGATCTGGACTCAAAAGAAATAATATATCACAATAATCAAATGAAGGAAGTTACTTTGGAATGTTTTAAAGAGTTTTTCTGGCCTAAAATTATGTAAGAATTCACATGGTATGAAAAATAATGCATTAGTTCATTAGATCCTATGATAATTTGGTCAGAGATCATCACAATTATAAAAGGAAATGAAACATCCTATAAATATCCAAACTTTCATCTTAATTTAAAAGAATATATGAAAAGATATAATTTTCAAAGTTAGTCACAACCTAATGAGGTTTTTCAAATATTTTTAATATACGAGAAATTAAAATCTAAATATGACTATTATGATATTCTTGATTTAATTAATCATATAAATTACTAATAAGTATATTGTAATGATGCTATTGAGTATATGCATTATATTATTCTTGATGAACTATAAGATGTTCCTAAAGCATTATTAATTCTTCTAAATAGAATAACACAAATTTAGTTATTTTTAGCTGGTGATAATGCTTAAAATATAGTAAAAGGTATAGGGATGAAATTCTTAGATATATAGAATTGTCTTGATATAGAAAGAACTTCTGACTAATCGATTAGATAAAATAATACTAAGACTACATTAATTAAATTATCATATAATTTCAGATCAAGCAATTAAATTTTATAATTAGGTAATACATTGATTAATTCAATTGAAATATTATTTCCAAGTTAACTTGATTGTCTATAAAAAGAGAAATCAAATTAATAAGGACCAAAACCAACTATTATTTAGAGTTGTTAAAATTAGGATCTATTGAATTATTTATTAAAATAATATAGAAATAAATAGAGTAATGTAGAATTTGGTTCTAATTCTGTAATTATTGTAAAAGATTAAGATTCTAAATTAAAAATTCCAATAGAATTATAGAATGCAATAATTTTAACTATTTATGAAGCTAAGGGATTAGAATTTGATGATGTTATTTTGTTTAACTTTTTCACTGATATAAATGAAGATGATAATATATGGAGTTAATTTCAATAATTAGAAATAATCAAAATAAAAATGGATAAACATGATTGGATTACTATATGTATAATTAATTATTTTATTTAGCTAATTAAAACTCTTTTTTACATCATAAAAATATTAGTTAATATGAAGTGGAATTGACAAAGTTATAATTAAGAGAAAAACATCAGAATAACAAGTAGAATGTAATAAAAAATCAAAAATAAATCAATCTTACATTATAACATGAATTGAAATAACTCTATGTAGCTATAACTAGACCAAAAAAGAAATTAATTATATTTGATTAATCATTATAAAATAGACTTCATATTCAGAAGATTTGGCAAGAATTAGATTTAGTAGAAATAATTTAAGAAACTTAATTATAATAAATCTAAGTTTAAAAGTTTGTATTATCATTTTCAATAGATAATAAGTCAAATTGGAAAAAGTAGGGATATAAAATGCTAAAATAGAATAATTATGAATAAGCTTATAAATGTTTTATGCTTGCTACTGAAATAGAATTAGCAAAGAAATGTATGGCTTATAATTTAGCAACATAAGCTACTCTTAATTAAAATAATATTTCATTATTTAATTAAGCAGCATAAATCTTTGAATAAATAAATCTACTAAAAAGAGCAGCTTCTTGTTATTTCTCTGCAAAAAGTTATTAGAAGGCAATGATATTATATTAATAATTAAATTGCAAAAATGAAATGGCTGAATCAGCATATTTTTTGGGATAATATTAATTAGCTGGTCAACTATTCTCAGAATTGGGTGAAATTAGAAGATCTATAGAATGTTTTAATAAATAAAAACTCTGGGATGCTTCTTTAGATTAATTAAATAAAGAATAATTCAATATTGAAGAAAAATTAATGTTCTTAAGTATGATAATTCCAAAATATTTGAAATCAATAATAGAGGATATTGAAAAGCATGAGTTATTAGAATAACAATAAGAAGAACTTAATAATCATAACAGTTAATCAGAATGCTTTTAAATTAATGAAATTTAAATTAGATAATAAAATAATAAGTAAATAATTAATATTGATGATGATTCTTAATCTTTTTAAGTTTTATTAGATGAATCACTAGATCATTTATCTTTTTATGATCCAGATGATGAATGGATTAAAATTCATAATAAATCTTTAATTAAATCTATTGCTACTTCAAGTATAGAATCATAATTTTCAAATGTTTTATTGATGAACTAACCTTTAAATACTCCACTTCTTAAATCTAAATCAAACATTTTTATAAAAAATAATGTAATGGTTCAAATAGGTGAAAGATTTAAATAGTTTTAGAATGAATTTAAACTTTTATTAGAAAAATAAAAAAGTTAAAGTGTATTATTGTCATTTAGAAAATAAGAAGAAAAAGAAATAGATTATATGATTAATTTTTTATATGATTTAGAGAAATATGATATAGAATGTGTTTATTTTGTATTGGATATATTAGAGCATTTTAAAAATTATAAACTTTGTATTTATGTTTGCAATCAATTCAAATTATCTTCACATTTAGGTAGATATTTAATTTCTTTGGCATCTTAATATACTCCTATAAATAAAAATAAATTTAAATTAGAAAATTGGATAATTGGTAACAATTTAAAAAGAAAACGTTTATTAGATCAATCAATTTTAGCTTAATTAACATTCAATAATATTTTAGAATCAATCAATCCAATTTATTTATAATTTAAAAATGAAGATATTCTTCACTCTTCTAATAGTTTTGGAATTGAATCTTATAAATCATTGATAGGATTAGGTTATTGGAAAACTATAATTTATTAATTGAATTATTAAAATGCTGTTAAATTATGTTAATCTTTTAATAACTATTAAGATTTAATAATTCTTATTCAAAAAATTAAAGAATAAAGAGAAACCAAATAGTTGACAGATGAAGAACATTATTAATTAATTAAATATAACTATTTTATTTAAGTGGAATAAAGTTTCTTATTAAATTCCTCTAATAAATGTAATATAAATATTGATAAATCATTCGAAATTACTATTTAATGTGCTTCCTAAAGAAAATTGACAAACAAAAATTTAATATAATTAATTAATAATGCAAAACTATATTAATAAAATTTAACAAATTAAGAGAAGCTCAAATAAATAGAATCTATAATTTTATGTATGTTATGTTGTATGGGAATATTAAAGTTTGAAATAGATTCTTATTCCTTAATTATTGATTTAGTTGTTCAATAATAATATTGTATAAATCAATTACCTTTTGCTCATAACAAAAATAATATAATTGAAGCACTCTAATTCTTATTCAAATTCTCTTTTCCCATAGGAGATATAATGATTGATTTTTCTTAATTTAGCATTATTCATATCACATCTAAACTAATTAGTAATGTAAATGAATAAATGATGTTTATAGATATAGCTTATGAATATATCTTAATACCTTTTGAAACTTTAGGTAAACTATTTAAATAATATATTTGTAATTTCAAATCAATCGTTACATTATCATAAACAATTGAAATTTAAGAAGATTAGCATGAAATTAAAAATATCTTTAATAGTTTAAAATAAAGGTTAAAATATTAATTTGAGAATATCCTTCCACATCTAACAATGAATTAAAAAGATTAAATAGATTATTATTCAAAACTTATATATGGGATTAAATAAAAGAATCTTGTAAATACAGTTGATGATCATGAAACATCCATTTTGCATTTTACTAAAAATGATGAAATGAGAATTTTTCATAAATGGCTATTATAGACAAATATCAGATTCAATATTATGGATAAATAAATTAAATATTATTTAAAAAATGAATGCATCATATTATTTGAATAAGGATTAAATAATCAAAAATAAAAACATGGCTTTTATATTTTAGCATTAAATATGTTACATTTATAAGATAATATCCCATTTGCAATATTTACTTTACTTAATATGAAAGAAAAGGAAGAATCAGAGTATTATTTAAAATATCTAGAATTTTTAGAGTGTTAACATTATGATATTATTGAAGATTCATATGAATGCTTTATTAATTATAGTTAATATTTTGAAGATAAAATATATTTAGATGAATGGATGAATCATTTAATCAGAATTGGCATAAAGTTACTTTTGGCTTAAGAAGGAATAACATAAATCTACATTCCATAAAAATATTAAGATATTATATCATATAAATTAAAGTTTGATTAACCTCTATTTAAAATAACTAAAACTGATATCATCTTAGATTTTATAGAATAACTATTTTATTATATAGATACATGTAATTCTGAGCATTATGAATATTTATCTAATTTATTTTTAATAGTCTTTATGATAAATTTATAGAAAATCACTTATGAAATAAAAGAGAGGTTATGCTAATTTTTTTCTAATGATTCTACATATCCATATTATAAAAAATTACATTAATGTGTGAATCAAAATAATCTAAATTTATAATCAGATTTAATTCATAAAATTGATGTATTATTTATCAAAGGATATTTTGAAGAAAAACTAATTACTTTATAAATTAATTAAAAAGTCTACAATCAAAACACTTATGTAATCTACTAAAATTGTTTAAACAAATGGGATAGTTACTTTATAGAAGCAGAACAAATTAAAAAGAATGGGATTAATTTATTAAAGAAATGGAGAAAATTTAAATCTCAACATAAAATTACATAAAAATTATAAAATAAATCAAATCCTTAAGTTATAAGATTTTATCAATTCCATAAATTATAAATAAAGGATATTTAATCATAATATAAAGACCTCTAATATGAGAGCCTGATAATCAATATTTATAATTTTTAAAAGTATTTATATTATATATAATTAGGGAACTCCTGAAATTGAGATAAAATACTTTAAGAGGAGCTGATCTTTAATTTGTCAATTAAATTTTAAACAATTCAACAAATATACTAAAAGAAATAAAGAATGGCAAAATATAATAGGAAACTTTTGATGAATTAAAATTATAATATTAAAGCTGGAGAGATAATATAAATAATTTTGAATAAAATGAATAAGAACTATTAGAAAGAAATAGATAAATTCTTAAATTGAAATGGTAGAAAGTATAAGCAGGAGTCAAAGTACAATGTAAATTTGATTCTCAACTCATTTAACCAGTATAGGAATATTTAGATGAAGACTCTTAAGATTGAGAATAATTTATAAATATATAAATTTTAAGATATTATTATTACATATCATCATTTATCCATTTTATAAAATATTATTATTAGTATGAATAATTAATTAGTTATTATTATATATATTGATGATTCAATAATAAATAAAACAAATATTAACTGAAGCCTTTTAATTTGGTAATAGATCTTAGATAATCAATCTAACATATCATGGAAAATATAGAGATTAAACTTCATAATAATTTAAATATTCTAATTAACTATTTATAAAAAGAGGACTTTATATATATAATACATTTAGAATAAGAATAGAAATGTAAAAATAATTAATTATAATTATAATAATTTGATTATTTTTACAATATTATATGCATCAGATTCTCAATTAACTGATAAAGAATTAGTTAAAGAATATATTTTATTATATTGTTATCTAGATGAAGAGTGGCATTTGATTTTGTTGTTAGAGTTTATATTTTTTGATTATGAATACTTTAGTCACAATTAAAATGGTTGGATAATTCAATCGAATAGTTCAACCTCTGTAATAAATGATTCAGGATCAAAATGTAAGAATAGGGTTTAAAGTTCTTTAAATTTCTCATCTCTTGTCATAGGGTTTTCAGGTCTTTCTTAATTTTCTTATTCAAATTTTGTAAGTCTATACGTGTTTATTCATTACAAAATACAAAATTTTTCTTGAACTTCGGGAATTTGTTAATGAAGATTCTTACTGTGAAGTACTTTCTTCAAGGATGTTAGAATTTGAACTTTACCAACTGGAACGAGAAGCACTAAATGATAGCTTCAATGGGATTGGTGTATATATGATGGAGGAGTTGTATGATTAAGTATGTTAATTAGACATATAATAATTAATTTATATAAATGTAAACGAATATTAAAAAATTTCTTTAATTCCTTAATCAACTATTATTCTCTAACTTATAACTATTTATTTCCAAATAGTATTGAAATTTTTGAAAGGAAACAAATATATAATTGATTTATTTACATTATTTATATATTATAATGTATGTTAATGTTAAATGGTAAATTCTTAGATCAAATTTAAATAATAAATTTAATTCATAAGCTTATAATCTTTGAACTGAGAGTTAATTTAAAAATAATTAAGATTAATTCTAAATTAGATATGTTAATTTAATGTGTGTAGAATCTGCATTTATATTATTAAATTATTATAAAAGAGAGTATTTTAAATAGCAAATTTGATAAGGAACTCTACTAATATGATATGATTTTATTTGGATATAAATTTATAAGCCTGTTTCTGATAAACAAAATATTAAATAAAGAAATTGAATTCAAACTAGTTTTCATTGATTTGGTTTAATCTATTTAAGAATTGATTTGAGGATTATTTCTTTTTGATATTCCTCTATTTTTTTATTGTTACTAGATTTGATGTGAAACTTCTCCTATTCTTGAATATTTGTACATTAAGAAATTGTGTCCTTTATTGACAACACTTCCTCATCAGGATTAAATACACATACGGTTACAAAATTATCAAATGCTATTCCATAACCAGTGCCTTTGAAAATTTGTCTACCTTTCACATCAAATCTGGGTTGATTGTATTTCATGACTTTTATTATTTTTTATTTAATTAAAATAGGAGAGGGTTCTTCAGGTACATCTTCATCATCATCTTGTTATCTAACTTAATTCTATTAGAGCAAGACTTTTGGACCAATATTTATACTTTTCATTTTATAAGTCTAAGTTTGTTTAGCAATTATTATAATAATAAACGATTTATTTAGAAATTTGAAATGACCATAAAATTCAATAAAATCTATATGTAGTATTAAAAAAACATTCTAGTATTCATGGCTCTTAATTAAATATTACTCTCTTTGCTCTTTTATATTAAAGCTATTTAACAATTTTAAGAGTGAACAATTCCAATTAAGATTAATTATACTCTTGTCCAAGTTTAAACTCTTTTATATCATATTCGATTAAGTAACATAAATGATAAAATTTACTGATTATTATTAATAATACTAATAATTCAATAATTATTAGTATTATTAATAAAATTAGATCCATATGTTCTAATTCAAACAATGCAATGACCATAATTTCTAGTGTAATCAATGAACACAAAAAAGAAAAACTCATTAAAAATACAAACTTTTCTTTTGTATTTAGATTTGAAATGCTCAGTCTTATAATTTATAAAAATATTATACTTTTCATTGATTTAAATTGGAAAGTAATCATTACAATTTTAACATCGAAATAAATTAAGTCCTAATTTAGGATGAAGATTAGCATAATCTAGGATACAAATTATATGGTAATATGTATCTAAACAATTGCATAATTTAATTGCTAAACTTCCTTTCTCACCTTTACATTTTATACATTCATTAGTATTTGTACATAAAGCATTTCTTGATTTACTAACTCTAGCAAGATCACCATCAAGAAAAGTTTTTGGTTTTAAGGTTCTAACTCTATATTTGTGTTATTCAAAAGATTCTACTTTTGGACTTAAAAATGGTGACTCATTATAATCAAAACAAGTTTAGAATTGTTATCTATTCTTAGAAGTTGATTTTGGACTCATTTAATATAATGACTGCATTAATTAAATTTTATTAAAAAATATCACTTTAATCATAAAGTTGAGAGTCTGATAAAATAAATAATTTCATACTTATGAGAAAATGACATTATAAAAAGGTTCTGAAATTTCTATTCATTAATTACTACTCATTATACTGTTTTTAGTAAAGTAATCAAAATAGCTGTTTTTATTATAAAAAATATATCAATTAATTAATTAAATATTATATATTCATTATTATTTTAACAATTCTAGTTTCTTTTAGGCTGCTAAGACTTTCAATTCTAATTAATTCAATTATTCTTTTAATTATTGATTTTCTTCTTTTAGATTGCAATATAGATTTGAAAAATGGTCATCAATATTAACAAATTTTTATCTTTATGTCTTAGCAGTCTAATTTTCTGCTTAGTACCTGGGTGTGTCAAATGGATTTGAATTCAATTTTCTTTAAAAATTTTATTATATCTAAAATACTAAATGAGCAATTTACTATTATTGGTTGAGATGAGAATTTATTACTGAGTAATACCTTTTAAGCTGGTTAATAGTACATAAATTAATTAAATTAATATTAAAAATAACTCACATATCAATAATAAAATTACAAAAAACTTAATATATTCATAATTTTTGCTGACCTTAATTCAAATTCTATATTTAGGTCTTAGAAGATCTTTATATTAAATCATTTAAGCAAATTTTTATTGAATATTTAAATCATATATTAAATCCTTTCTTAAATTTGATAATAAAAATAAGAATAATCTGTATATGAAATAAGAGTTTAAGTTATATATCATGTTGAATAAATCTATTAGACTTTAAAGAATTCGATAAAATAATTATAATATAAAAATAAATTAGAAAAATTACATTTTTTTTATCATAATTAAGAAGAAGGAAGATTGAAGGAGAACTTAATAAGTAAGTTAATTAATTTTAATTAATTCAGCTAGAATATCTTATTAAGAATATTTTTTTATCAAAATAATCTTTCTGAAAATATATCTTAACTATCTTATAATTTTAGAATGGCTTATATAATTCAACAAATATAAATTACTTTTTGTTAATCAACTTATCCATTTTATTCACAAATAAAGTTTTTAAGAGGAAATTACAAAAAAATAAATAACTCTTTTAAGCAACATTTAAGTTTGAAATTTTATTAAATAGTTTTGGAAGAAGTAAAAGTTACTTTTATAATTACACTACATCATATTAAATTATATTTATATTGTCATTATCTCAATAATAGAACAGTAGATAGTGAAACAATTAAACCAATTTGAAATGATAATTAAAAAGGATTTAAATATGAATTGAAATAAAATCCAATTTAAAAACATAGAATTAGAAAAAAATGAAAAGCATATAAGAAATCAACAAAAATGTTATTTATCAAAGGTTTTTATTATATAAAACAAAATTATGTTAAATTAACTAATTAAAAGAAGAATTTAAATTAGAGGATATTGTTTTTATGCTGTTAATTGTTATTTAATTTAAAATGTGAATTAATTAGAAAAGATTTATATTCATTTATTATAATTTATAATATTATGTTGATTATAATTTCTTAAGACTTATTATTCAATAGATCATAACTATTTATTTGAGATATCTAAAATGTAAATAGAATTAAATTGATACAATATTTATTATAATCTACAAATGTTATTTTGTATTTTATATTGAAGATAATTGTAGTTAGAATTTAAGAATATATTTAATATATATTAATTTTATTATAATTTTTTGATTATATGATTCTAGGAACCGTAACTAAGATACACAAAGTAAATTCTACAGTATTAGGCCAAGATAGAATGATAAGGTAATGTAAATTTTATCAATTAGGACTTATACTTTTCTGTTACGGTTCTTCAAATTACATTTATTAAGGAAAATGAAAAGTGGTGAATGCCTTAAGATGTGGTAAAACAAAGTTGATATTATATGTTCACACTTTTCTATGACTAGAAGAGTATTGCAAATCAATATTTTAAGATACTACGATGGTCACGAACAGCATTCTATATACAGATTCTATTGAATAAACTCAAATAGTAATGGAGCAAAAATGAATTAAGATATTATAGAAATCTAAATGATGTTTTATTTTATGCTTACCTAATACTTACGGATATAAATGATTTAATCTTTTGGATGTGTTAAATTGGATTATGTAGAAATGTTAAATTATTGTTAATAACAAAAGAAATTAGTCCAAAATTTTATTTTGTTGAATGCATAGGATGGTTTATAACTTTATGTCTTGAATATAGAGTTAATTAATAAGAAATCTATAAATCACAATTACAAAAGGATCCCAAGAATAAAATAAGAGTTAGATAGATTCAGATCATATAAAATTTAGTAAAATATAGTCTAGATATACCAGTTTCTTATTCTTATGTGAATACAAAAGTCATTTCATAAGAAAAAGCAGTTATTTTAGGAACTATATCAAGTTTCATAAGTTTATATCAGACTTTTCAATAACATTCTGGTGGCTATTAGTGATTAAAAATTGTAACATATTATTTATATAAATTATTATTACATATATATATATAAATATAGATAAATATTGTATATAAAAATCCTGTAATTACATATTCACTTAAATATTTTAAAATATAAGCCAATATTCTATTATAGTATAATTATTGATTTTAAATCAGATTAAATTACATATTTATTTTAAATTTCTGGTACTAAAATTAACAAAATAAGCTATTATATTTTAATAATTTACATTAAAATAATTATTTATCTATTAATTCTTAAAAGAAATTCTTTTTAAATTAATATAGTAATATACGAATATACTGTTAAATGGTGTAATATATATATATATATATATAAACAATTTCAAAATAAAATAATACAATCTTATTTTAAAAACAATAATAATTCATTATAAAAAAGGATACTAATTTTATAAAATATGAAATTTTACTAAATAATGAATTAATTATTAAAAATTATCAATTTTAATTTGAGTCATATAATTACATCGATTAATGGTTTTATTTTTTCTTATCTTAACTATTTATTTTATTATAACAACACATTTATAGACAATTATTACAAGATATATTTGATTAATTATTAGACTTCTTTATTGATTATGAATATCTAATGATTATAAATTATTAATATTACTTTTCATAAGTTGTTTATCCTGTTAATAAATTCATTGTTTAAATGTATAATAAAAGCCAAAGAGGGAAGAGAAATAAAAGCATAATTATAATGGAAAATAAGGATAGAATAAAAAGAATAATAAATGAATCTGTTATGCCTCCATGGTTTTGAATTTATTAAATGACAAAATAAAACTAAGTTGCTAAATTAAAAGTAATATCCAAACAAAGAAGTAATACAAATATGTAAAACTAAAAATGATTGTTTTATCCTATCTTATAATAGAATTAATTATTACACAATTATCAACCCAAGGACAATGATGATCATATACTAATACACAAGATTAACAAATATCACAATGTTTAGATCTTGGAGCTTTAACACAAACACATTCAGGACATATGTCTTTGGCATCATATCTTTATAATATCTCATATAAATTTTTCAGTAGTTCTTATTCATTATTTTCTTATTTTAAGATTTATTTACCAGGATCACTTAACCAAATTATCATAAATAATAACCAAACAAATAATTATGAGACTCCATAATAAATCAAATTATTAATTGAATCATTTGCATAAAAATTATAATAAATAGTAATTCCTTAACAATATATTAACATAGCAGCAAATTTAAACATTTTACTTTTACTTCTATTAACCTTTTAGAATCCTTAACTAATACTAAAATAAGTAATAAAAAAGTTTTATGATTCTGTAAGCATTTTATAAATGGATTAAAAAGAATTTGCTTTAGCAATATCAGCAGCAATTTATCCTTCATTATTTTTAATTGTTCTATCAGCTCCTTGAAGCAATAATTTTTTAACTATTCTACTATTGCCACTCATAGTAGCTAAATGAAGTGCAGTTAAACCTTCTACATCTTTAATATCTAATAATTAATCTGTAAAGGATAATAAATAATTGACTGCCAATTCACAACCATAATAAGATGCCCAATGTAATGCTGTCCCTCCTTTTGAATCTTTTTATGCAAAATCGAAACCAATTTTCTTAAAATAAACAACTGATTTTGGTTAATCACCTTAAGCTGCCAAATGTAATCCATTCATTCCTTAAGCATTTCTAATATATAAATTAGCACCACATTTTTCAAATTCATTTATCATTTCTATATTACCTCTATATGCTGCAAAATGAAATGCCACAAATCCATCTTCTGTTTATTAATTAACCCATTCTGTAAGTATTTTCATATATTTATGTTTATGTTATTTTTTGACATGATTAATCAACAACCTAAATGTAGATAATAGTGTATAAATACTTAACAGTATCTAAGTTGTTATTATATGCAGCTAAATGAAGGAGAGTGTATTTTTTATGATCAATAATTGTATAAATATTGATATTCTCTGCCTCATCTAATAAATTTGATATTTCTGCTAAATCATTGTTCTATATGACTTTTATAAGATATTATTCAGCTCCTTTTGATTCAATTAATCCATGTGTATGTGATTTAGCCTTAGATCTTTCAACAACAATTTCAGATTAAATCTTGGCTGGTGGAGGAGACAGCAACTTTTTAATATCTGTATATGATAAAGCAATTAAACGAGGTTAATCTTCATTAATCTCTTCATTTAAGATTGAAATATTTGGGAACATAAATAAATATATATTTATTTTAATGTAATAAATGTCCATTCAGATTTTTTCTATAGGTTCAATTCCAACCAAATAAAATGATTGTAACAATACCATTCTAATTGCTTCACACAATAACAACCTTGTTTAAGTGTGTTCATCATTCAATATACGATACTAAATTTCATATTTTATAATATATTACTTAATTATAAGCTTCGGCTATCTTAACACAAATGTCATAAATATAATCACATAACCAATTTATTGCTAATTAATCAGTTACTGATTATAGAACATCAACAAATCGTAATAATTATGTAGCTAAATGTCTTTCATGTGGATGTGTTATTTTGAATTTATTTTCTGTTTTATAAACCTCAAAGTCTTAAATTCCACTTTTTCGTAAAATAGATAACATTCGAACATAAGAATACATTAAATATACAGCAGTATTACCCTTTGGATCAAGCATTTTATCATAATCGAAATTATAATCAGATATACGACTCTACTTTAAGTCATAATATTTAATGGCAGCTATTCCCATTCTTTCTGCAGCAGTATCAAATTCTTCTGGAGAAAGAGCAGTTCCAGTTGCAAATTCTTTTCCTTATTAATTTTCTTAAACCCTTTATTTAATTTGTTTTAAAGCTCTCTCTTTAGCTTAATCCAATAGATCAATCAACTTAACTGTATCACCTGATCTTGTCTTAAACTTTTTACCATCAGGACCCAATACTAAACCAAATCCCATATGTTCCATTGATGTAATTGGTGGTTAATGCCATCCCATTAATTTTGCACCTTCAAAAATAAGTTTAAAGTGACTCGATTATCCTACATCAGTTAAATAAAGTAATCTATCACATTTCCATTCTAAAATACGAGTCTTAGCTGCTGCCATATCAGTAGTATCATAATTATAACCACCATCACTCTTAACAATCATTAGAGGTACCTCCTTTTCACCCTTCACTCTTATAATTTTGGCTCCCTTATCTAATTCCACAATTCCTTTTGCTTCACATTCTTTGACTATTTCAGGTAGAATTGGATTATAATAACTTTCTCCATATTCTGTTATTTTAACATTCAACCTTTGATAAATTTTATTATATTCTTATCGACTTAATTCACATATCATTTTCCAAGCATCTATACATACAGGATCCAATGCTTATAATTTTACAACATATTATTAAGATTTAACTTTAAATTCTTCATTTGAATCAAATTTCTTTTTTGCTTCCTTATATAAATCTTCTAATTCTTTAAGAGCAGGTCTATTAGTCTAATAATCTGGATATTCTTCTAATAAATGATTAATCAACATTCCAAATTAGGTACCCCAATCACCAATATGATTAACTCTTACTACTTCTTATCCTTAGAATTCTAATATTCTGCATAACGATTCTCCTAAAATAGTTGATCGTAAATGACCGACATGCATCTCTTTTGCAATATTAGGACTTGAGAAGTCAACAACTACTTTCTAAATTATTGTAAAATACAATATATACTTATTTCTTTTCTAATGGGAACTTTAATCCATTTATTAAGATTGCATTTATTTCATCTTCAATAAATTAATTATTTAATTGAATTGTTAAATATCCTTTCTCAATTGCCTCGACTTTTTAAATAACATTATCTTAACATTCTGTAGATGCTATTTTCTATGCCACTTCAACTTCTGATTTCAAATCTATATTCCATAGTAATACGTGTGATTACCTCCAAATAAATTTTATTTTTTAAATTGATTGAAGATTCTTATAACAGTAGGTGTTTTGTATTCATAATTTAGATTGTTTGATATTGTTTCCAACTATATCTCAAAATTATTCTATGGGAGATTTGGAAATGCTGTTAAAACCCTTGTTTTAATTGCTGATTTAATTAGCTTTTGTACACTTCGCATTGTATTTACACCAATCTAATCCATAAACTATTTAAATTAAAAAATAATGTAAATATTCAAGAATAATTCTTTTATTAATATATAAATTTTATTATATACTAATAAATACAATTGTTAATTCTTTCATAAAAATTAAAAATTGAAATATCAATTTACATAATATAAAATAATAATCAATCTTCAATGTTAATTTATAGAGTATATACAATAATTTTATCTATTTAAAAATTAAAAATAAGGATAATCTATAAAATTATCATGATTAATATTATCTTAACCAACTAATTAATTTGCAATACTTCTATTCTAAGTTTTTCTTACTTCTAGATAAAGGAAATTATATTCAGTCTTCCTACTTATTTTACAAACTTTAGATATTATCTTATTTGTAAAAGTAGTTGGCAAGATAAGGTTTAAGTCAAAAATGAGATGAAAATGAGTTTTATCCCATAAGGTTAAGGACTTAAGAGGATTGAGTTTAATTTTTAATGACATCATATTTCAATAATTACACATTATTTAATGTATACTTTATGCAGAATGAATGTTGTCATTATTTATGCAACACAGATTTAAAAAATAAATCATTTATTTCACCAATGTCGATATAAGAAGTTTAGAATTCTCATCTATTAGGAACTTATTTGAATTCTTAATCTTCCCTATTAGTTTTCTTATGTGTTACAGATGCTCAGATAGAAGATGTCGAATAATTAGCTCAATCTATTTATAAAATTTCATTCAAGTAATTTCGTCATTAATACTTTTTAGAAATACCAATAAAAAGATCGTGCTCTATACTAAATCCCATTAAAACAATGCAACTGTATATAATAAAGTAGTATTAAATAGGCACATCAACTAGAAAAGGATTATGTGATAGTTTAAAAATTATCAGCTGTAAATTATCCAGTTTTTAGAACTTTATTTTATTGTGCTGATCAATCTATAATAGGTGTTCCCTTTTATGCAACCTAATATATGGAAGGAAGAATCTTTTCAGATCAGAAATTTATTGGAATGCCATTAAAAGAAAAAATTATTATATATTAAGAAGTAGCTAAGGCCTTAGCTCATTTACATTCAATTAGCCTAACCTATTTAGGACTCGAATAATTAGATTAGAGGACTTGCAACTATTAAATCGTAAATAAAAAATTTTATAATACTTATAAATTAAATGAAACTAAAATTTCAAAAAATATTGAGGATTTATTATATTGGTTGCCATTGAATTTACCTGAGAATTCTGAATTAGATACACTATGTTTAATTCATGGAGATTTCTCTTTATCAAAAGTACTATTTCATCCAACAGAACCAAGGATTCTAGCTATCTTAGATTGGTAAGCAGCATAATTAGGAAATGCATTTACTGATCTTGCCAATCTTTTATCTCCATATTATATTCCTTATTCTAATGGAATACATTAAATAGATGGATGGTAAGGAGTTGAAATGTTAGTAGATGCTCCCAATTTATAAGATGTCATTAAATCATATTTCGCTGTTAGATCAACTAAAACAATCCCAGACATTAGATATTAAATAATACAGGCAATATTGAAAAAATCAATTGATCAATAAATTTTATTTAAACAAACAAAAAATACTCAGTATTTAGCTAATTCAGAATTTTTATCAGAAGCTGGATACTAAATAATATTAGAATTAACAGAAGGAGATCCATTTGGTATCAAGTTGAGAGCAGAAAAGGATTGTGCATTATGGTCTAATTGGCCAGTTACAGATAGATGCAAAAGCTACTATTATAGAATAAAGGATTTCTTGAAGTAAGAGGTGTTTCCTATTGAAAAGGAAATTTTAGATAAGTCAAGAGCAATGCCAACTACTACTTTAAATAAAGGTATTCCAGAAATAGAAATTTTGTAAAGGAAGGCCAAATCACTTGGATTATGGAATTTATTCATTTCTGATCCAATTTATGGAAAAGGTCTAACAAATTTAGAATATGTATTTTTGTCAGAATTGATGGGACTTAGTTATTTGGCTCATGAAATTTTTAATTGTTTCGCTCCTGAAACTGGTAACATGAAACTTTTGATTGGTTATGGTACACCATATTAAAAGGAGAAATATTTGAAACCATTATTGGAAGGAGAATGTAAGTCTTTCTTTGCAATGACAGAGAAAAATGTTTCATCATCAGATCCAAATAATTTCTAATTTACAATTACTCCTACAAATGGAGGTTATATAATAAATGGAGGTAAATGGTTTGTTTCAAGTGCTCCAGACGAGAGGGCAAAATTTGGAATAGTAATGGGTAAATCATCTTAGGATATGTCAAATCCTATGGAATCATAATCAATGATTATCGTAGATATGCCAAATCCTAAGATATAGATTATAAGATAACTAGGATTATTTAGTTTCTATGATCTTCCACATAGCTATGCTGAAGTTAATTTTGATAATGTTTTTGTACCTAAGGAGAATTTGTTAGGATAATTGGGTGGAGCATTTAAAATGGCATAGGGTAGATTATTAGGTGGAAGATTACATCATTGTGTTAAATAGATTGGATTAACAAGAAGATGTTTAGATTTAATGATTAGTAGAGCATCATAGAGAGTAATTTTTAATTAAAAATTGAAAGATAATGATGCATTTTAAGAGAAATTAGGTTTAACTGAAATTGCTATAGAAAATTGTAGATTATTAAGTCGTAATGCTGGTTTGTTATTGGATTCAGCAGGATCCAGACATCTAAGTACATTTATGGCTGTAAGTTAATGTAAAGCACATATTCCTAAAGCATGTCAAAAGATGATTGACTAATGTATTTAAGCTTTTGGTGCTGAAGGAGTAACTGATGATTAACCTTTGGCTGTATCATTCCGATTTGCAAGAGCAATCAGATTTATGGATGGCCCTTGTGAAGTTCATTTACGATAGATCGCTAGATTTGCTTTTGGTAATCACCTATTCAATGATCTGAATAATGCTTAAGGCTATGGATTAGCTAAATTATGAGTTATTCAGTTTGTAACAAATATTATATATATAACAATTTTTTTATTTAAAGAAATGTAAAATGGAATTCATTCTTTAACTTTTTTTGAGGGTTACTTTTCTTAGTCTGAATCATTTGGCTATTCTTCTTGTTAAGTTAATTTAACTTTAGTTTTTTCAAATCGTTTTTTGTATGGTTCTCTTTAATCATCTGGTAAGAATTTCCATTTCTGTAAGACTAAATCATCAATATCCCTTTGAGATAATGTTTTATCTTTCTTTAACTTTTTGGAATATCTCTCCTTGAAGATCTGGAAAGCATTTTAATATGTTTTTGATTTTTCATTCATGTTTAAAGTAATTTAATTCTGATTAATGATTAAATTATATAGTAATTAGAATTCAATATCGATTAGTTATTTAGTGTATTTTCATTAATAATAATCATATTCAAAAGAGTGTTTGATTAAATAATAGTTGTAAATGCTGAGTATTTCAGAATTAGATAATTTGCTTAAAATAATTTATTTTAAATCTTTAAATTGATGAGTACAGGACTTGCTAAACCAAAAAAACTGAAACTCACAGATTATGAAGTGTTTTAGACCTTGGGTACTGGTATTGTATTGGTGTAATGCTGAACTTTAGGCTCTTTTGGTAGAGTGAAACTGGCAAGGAATAAACAAACAAATAAATATGTTGCTTTGAAAAGTTTAAAGAAAGCTGAGATCATTAGACTTAAGCAAGTTGATCATGTGATTAATGAAAACACAATATTGGGAAATTTGCAACATCCATTTATTGTATTAATTATTCTCATCACATTAGGTAACCTTTGAAGGTTTCTGCTAGGACCCAAGATATATCTATTTAGTCTTAGAATTTGTTTCTGGTGGAGAATTGTTTACCTATTTAAGAAGTATTGGAAGACTTGACACATAACATGCTGCGTATTGCAATCATTCGAGTTTATTATAGGTTTTATGGTGCTTAAGTGGCTTCTATGTTTGAATATCTTCATACCAAGAACATCATATATAGAGATCTTAAGCCAGAAAACTTATTGATTGCAGATGATGGATATCTCAAGTTAACAGATTTCGGTTTTGCAAAAGTGGTTGAAGGAAGAACATATACTTTATGTGGTACTCCTGAATATTTGGCTCCAGAGATTTTATTGAATAAAGGACATGGTAAAGCTGTTGATTGGTGGACTTTGGGAATTTTAATTTATGAGATGAATGCAGGAATCGACCCTTTCTCTGATGAAGATCCTATGGCTATTTATCAAAAAATATTAAAGGGCAAAGTCAAATTCCCCAAGAGCTTTGACAAGTACGAATTTCTTTTACTATCCAAGAAACGCTAAATCTTTGGTAAAGCATTTGCTTGTTGCCGATCTTTCGAAACGATATGGAAATTTAAAAAATGGTATTGTTATACATATTATCTATAACAGGAGCTGCTGATGTAAAAAATCATAGATGGTTTGGAAACTTAGATTGGAATTTACTCACTCAAAAGAAGTTGCCTGTTCCTTACAAACCAGTAGTCAAGTATTATTTCAATATAATATTTTTATAGAGCACCAAATGACACTTCTAATTTTTCATCATATCCAGAATCCGATACACAAAGTCCAGCTCTAAAACCAGCAGACGATCCCTTCTTAGAATGGTGATTAAATAGAGAAATATATATTTAGATTATCATATATTTTAACTTTATTTTTCATTAATGTTTTTTATTCAAGTAATTCTACTATTCTAAACTTAAATTCAATTCAAAACAAGTATTTTTTGCAATGATATATCATTAACATTCACAAAATGATAATATAATTTTTATTTTTTTTATAATTATTTTACTGGGTTTATCAAATATATATTTATATCAGAATTTATTGATGAAACTAATTTGAATATTAGAAATTATTGTTTAGGTATAAGAATTTGGATATGTTTAACAAATATTTTTGAAATTCATATAACTAATGATTTTTTTAATATAAATAATGGTCAGAATTGATTAATTATTTAAATAAAATTTTATTTTTTATAAAATGAAGAATAGTCTTAAATAGTCTTTTTTAATTAAAAAAAACTTAATTAATTTCATAATAGTTTTTATTTGCTTCTTTAATTGACCTTCAATTTATATTTATTGGAGGATTTAAGAACTTTTAAACTATACATTTTGCTTAAAAAAAGATGACGGTCAATTTAGATTAAATAAAAAATTATATCTTAGAAATTTAATCTACATAAGAAGGTCCAAGTCACTAATTTTCAGATGCAAGAAAATAATATATTTATATGACAAAAGCACATAAAACCAATGTATTAGTGAGGTTATTAATTGAATTATTTAAAAAACATAATTTTAAAAGATTTAAATTTAATTTTTTTTTATTTAAGAATAGTCATTAAATTTTGAATACGACTTTATAAGAAAATTTTGCCACAAAATAAAAAGCAAAGAATAATTTCTTAAAAATGCCAAAAGATAAACTTCACGTAAATCTTGTCGTTATTGGACACGTCGATTCAGGAAAATCAACCACCACCGGTCACTTGATCTACAAACTCGGAGGTATTGACGAAAGAACCATCAAGAAGTTCGAAGATGAAGCCAACAAATTAGGTAAGGGATCCTTCAAATATGCTTGGGTGTTGGATAACCTCAAGGCTGAAAGAGAAAGAGGTATCACCATTGATATTTCCCTCTGGAAATTTGAAACCAATAAGTATTACTACACAGTCATTGATGCCCCAGGACACAGAGATTTCATCAAGAATATGATTACAGGAACATCATAAGCCGATGTTGCTTTGTTGATGATTGCATCACCTGCAGGAGAATTCGAAGCTGGTATTTCAAAGGAAGGATAAACCAGAGAACACGTTCTTTTGGCTTACACTTTGGGTGTCAAATAAATGATTTGCGCTACAAACAAGATGGACGAAAAGACAGTCAACTATGCTTAAGCTAGATATGACGAAATCGTCAAGGAAATGAGAGATTATTTAAAGAAGGTCGGATATAACCCAGACAATGTTCCCTTCGTCCCAATTTCAGGATGGGTCGGTGATAACATGTTGGAAAAATCACCAAACTTCGGATGGTACAAGGGACCAACTCTCCTTGAAGCTTTGGATGCAGTTACCCCACCAAAGAGACCAACTGAAAAACCACTCAGATTACCATTACAAGACGTATACAAGATCGGAGGTATTGGTACAGTCCCAGTCGGAAGAGTTGAAACTGGTGTCTTGAAACCAGGTATGGTCGTCTAATTTGCTCCATCAGCCATCACAACTGAAGTTAAATCAGTTGAAATGCATCATGAAGCTCTCCCAGAAGCCGTTCCAGGAGATAACGTCGGATTCAACGTCAAGAACATTGCCGTCAAAGATTTGAAGAGAGGATTCGTCTGCTCAGACTCAAAGAGTGACCCAGCAAGAGAATGCAACTCATTCAATGCTTAAGTCATCATCATCAACCATCCAGGATAAATCCAAAACGGATATTGCCCAGTATTGGATTGCCACACAGCCCACATTGCTTGCAAATTCTAAGAAATTCTTTCAAAGAATGACAGAAGAACAGGTAAAGTCATTGAAGAAGAACCAAAATTCGTTAAATCAGGAGATGCTGCTATGGTCAAGTTAGTCCCAACCAAACCAATGTGCGTTGAAATCTTCTCTGAATATCCCCCACTTGGTAGATTCGCCGTCAGAGATATGAAATAAACCGTTGCCGTCGGTGTCATCAAAGTTGTTGAAAAGAAGGAATTAAAGAAGAAATGATTTATTAAGTGCATGTACATTTAGTAGGAAATTTAAACATATAAATATTATATTTTTTGATTAATTTTTATCATCATTCTATCTTATTATAAATGAATGATGTTAATGATTAAGTTTAAGTTTAAGTTTCAATTTTTAGATGCTTAATAAAATAAAGATAATAAACCATTTAATCTTTATTAAGTATTCTAATGATCTTATGTTAACCTCATTTAAAGGAAATAATGTTACTGAAGTAATATTAAATTATTTAATCAATCCTCTCATATTTAAACCTCAATTTTACAATATATATGAGCAAGAAAGAAAGCCTTTTTGAAGTATTTTAAATAAATATTAGCTCTTCCTAATTAAAATTAATTATTATATAATAAAGATTAGAACCTATTTTTTATTTAATTCAATCATACTTAATTTATGATAAGATACTTAAATTATGTTTTTAGAAAAAGGCATGATCAAAAATGTTAAGAATAATTAAAAAAAATAAATAATCTATATTTCAGCGTAAGATCAATTAAATATTAATATCATTCATTAATGACAAAATATTATATATCGGATTTATTTTAATTACTTTCATAAAACCTAATAATAATTATAATAAATCTGAAAACTTGAAGTCTAAATTATATATAATATGTTGTCATAAGTTCTAAAATCCTAATTTATTTAAGTCTGAGAATGTCTAAATGGCTCAGAAATATAATTTTTTGGATACTTTTAATAATCTAATTCGATTTTTAATTTTAATTAATATTAAAAATGAAGATTAAATTGAGGATAGTTAAATTTGAAAATTTGACAATAAGGTATCAGATACCACGATTTTTGCTTTTTATCAATAAAGAGTAAGAAACTGAAATCTATATTTGAATAATGGATCGAAATCCTTCAAAAGTGTTATAAGTTATGTTTTGTCAAGTTTAATAAAAAACATTTTGTTTCTTTGTTAGAGCAATTTAAATTAAAAAGGCAATGATTTCAAGAATAAAAAGCTGTAAAATCATTAAAAAATTATTTAATTTTAGCATTAAGAATTCTGAAATATAATGGCAAAACAAAAATTAAATATTTCTGTATTTAATTTCAGGAGTTGATGATTTATAAATTTATAATAATTTAAATTTTCAGAAAATATCTTATTCATAAAAATATAATAAGATAGTAGATTGCATATTCAATAAATAAGATAAATTAATCCTTATGATTTAATTTTTTGCATTTATAGCCTTCTCAACTTAAAAACAATATTTATTAATAATCTAATAATCTAAAACAATTAATAATAATGGGAACTTGTGCCAGTAGAAAAAACCCAGGAACGCTATAAAGAAGTGTTGCTTAAAAACACATTGAGATTGATTTCGAAAAGCTTTTGAAATATAATAAAGAGAGGGAAGGTAAAGAAGGAAAAGAACATCTTCAGCAATAACAATCATTTTGTTAAATATTTCTTCAAGACAACAAATAGAATGCCCCATATTCTTTAACCTAAAATTTGGGACCATCCACTTAATTAGAATATAAAAGATAGTGAGAAGTAAATGAAAATGATTGATTCTTATATAAATATTACTCTAAAATAACATATTAAATAAGCCTTTTTGGTTCTAAATTCTTTAGTTGGAAATTGAGATCATTATAGTAGGGAATGTAGAGAATTTCGCTTAAGAAGTATTTATTTGATAAGAAATTGAATGGAGCTTTTAAGGCGATAGTCTTTATTCTCTTCATGATAGATAGTTTTAGTGTTTATATATTTTTGAATATTATGTCATCAATGTACAATAAATCATATGTGTTGTAAATTCTAAGTGAAAACAAATTATTAATTGAATTTGAAGACCTTCTCTATACTTAAAATGCATTTTTTTGAGTTTTGCTAATATATTTGACGTCGAAATTTGTTTAAGTTACTGGGTAATTTCAGTTTGCATAATAAATGGTATAAACATATGAATTATTTAAATTTGGGAGAATTGAGGTATTCTTAAAGAGAGCTATTACAAGCTTTAATGAATTAAGAAGAATTAATATAAAATTGAGTGTTTGTATGTTATCTATTGATTCTTTATTATAGTATAATATTAAAATTTTATTGGATGATCAATAATAATTATTAAAAAACTTGAATATCTAATTAATTAATAAGAAAAATTGAGTTAAAAATACATTTACAAACATATTTAAATAAATATTAATTTTCTTGCCTTTAACTTAAGTAAAATTAGAAATATAGTAATATAATTTATTTATAATTTCTTTATATTAAGAAATACATAATTAATAAAATGGATTTTAATAATACTAGTTTGAATGCTAAAATTCCTACATTAAGATGTAAATATTAATCATTTTATTCATATTAGAAGCTGAAAGCTCATTTTAACGATACAGAAATCCATTAAATGAATGTTAACATAAAAGTGAATCAAATTCTTTTGAACATAAATAAGGTGATATGTAATTTCCTATTCAATAATATACATTCTTTTAATCAACTCCTATTTTTCCAATATTAGGTATTGAATATTCAAATTATAAAGGTGAACCAAAAAATGAGTTTATTGAAACAGCAAATCAATTTATTAAACATGGCATGTAAAATAGCTTAGCAAGCATGATATAAAAGTAGAGTATTGTTTAAAATGAATTCAAATTGAATTAAACTACTTATGGATGCAAAAAAATGTGTGAAATTGATTGCATGTTAGTTGAAAGATATTTTAATCAAAAATATTGGGTAATTGTTAATGTTATACACAGATATTCTAAAATTCAAATTAGAAGTATAAACTTGATTAAACTAAAATAAATAATACAGATTGGTTAAAAGCCAGAATGCAACATAGATATAAATCTCAAATCTATGATGCATTTTCTGAAATGATAGATTTAATATTTAAAGAAGGTGAAATCCAAATGAATTCTAGAACATAGGTAATTAAAATACAGAATCTCAAAGGATTCTAGAATTTAGAGAGACAACTCTAAAAAGCAGTTAAGGCAGAGAAGAAATTTGATGCTTTTCTATTCGAAATTTAAAAGGTTTTAGCAGATTTTATATTTTCAACTATAAATTGATTCATATCACATATTTAACTTAATCATTATTATAGATAATCAAAATCTACAATATAATCAGATCCTAGCTAAGCAGATTTAAGTAAATCTAATCTTTTATCTTCATCAGTAAAATTGCCTATATCTAATAATATAAAAGAAACCTGGTAAAAAGGAACAACACTTTTCTGTTTCTGGTATTAATCCCATCAATTGATAAATATAAGCAATCAATTCAGAACAAAAAAACTTTTATCTTGTACTTCTCTTAAAGAATTTCATCATACTCAAAGAGTAACCTTTTCCAATTTGTGCTTCAGCATAAGCATGCATAATGATACGATCATTTTCAGACATATTTAGTAAGGGCTTGTATAGAATCCTTAAATTTGAAAGAACTATTACTTTTCATAATTTTTGTATGATTTGGCTCTGACAAAGCGTTCTAAAGTATATCACTAAAAAGAATACTAAAACTAAAGGAGATGACACCATATTAATTACTAGATTCAAAGAGCATTGGATCTTCCCATGGATTCTTAAGAAACATTACAATGTGATCGTAATCACTTCTTGTGATAGATCTTTATAAATTTTATAGAGTTCCTTTTGTACGAAATATTAACAAATCACCTGTTTAAGCTTAATTTAAAATTTGTGGGTCTAAAATTCTTTCATGTCTCCAAAACCTATGATATTTTGACATGCTCATAATATTATTTAAATATCCATCTGATTGCTAGATGTACTATTGTATTAATTAAATCCATTATTTTGACTATTCTCTAGTTCTAGTAGGAACTACAAATTCAAATTTCTTCTCACAGCCTTCTGGCTATAATCTTTTATATTTAATTGTATACATAAAACTTTGAATGTAAGTTTCATCCTTTGATTTTACAAAAGAGAAAATGTATTTTTAATAATCAAAGTCCAAAATTCCTAAAGGTTTATTTTTATTTTTAATGTTGTAATAAGTAAATCTTTTTGATTATAAAGTACAATAATAAGTCTGTAAAATAGATGATAAACTTTACAGAATTAGTTTCCAAAAAATGAGGACTAACTTTGTAAAATTCACCCTCTAAATCAGGTTATGGTAGTTACTCATAATTTTTATGTATTTATTAAGTATTTAAATTTAAATGATGTTCTTATTCATTATTTCTCTCTAAAACTTTATTGTTTTATTCTGGTAATTACTCTTGAAATTAATCATCATTTAGATTATAAACTTGAAAATACTTAAAATAATAAATACTGTCAAGAACAGATTAGAATTCTAGATTCTCTACTATATTATTAGGTTAACCATCTTAATGATTGTTTTAATTTTGCTGCATTATTTAAGATGTAAAATAATAAATATTAAATGCAATAATATGTATAAAAATATCTATGATGAAACTAATTACATTAATTTGTATTTATAATCTCTAACAATATAATAAATAACAAATCTTCTTTTTATTTAAATCTGTGTCTTCTAAGACCTTAAACAGAATTTTTGTAGTATATTCTATTAATAATTATCAATCCTATCTGTTTTCAAAAGTATTACATCTAAGAAAAAACTAATAGATAATCAAGTCATTCTATTTAGAGAAGTTTTCAAAATATCATAAAGTCTGAAGATTAAAGGACTGTGAAAATTATAATCATATCATGAAAGTACTGATTACATTAATTAAACATATGATATTGAAATTTAATACTGTTAATAAAGGTAATCAATTTTAAAAAGCATAAAAATAAAAGATTATCCTATTTTACATAAAATGATGAAAGCGTTTTAGAATAATTTAAATAATTGATTGGCTTCAATATAGTTTCTTTAAGTATGAGTGAATTCAGAGATATAATAATTGAAAATAGTATTATTTATTTTATGCTTCAATTGAATTAGTCCATGTATTTTATACATTAAAATATAAATGTATAAAAATTAAGTTTCTCTAAAATAAGATAAGATAGAAACTTTCTCTAAATAATTTAGAACAATTTGTAAAGAGTGAAAAGCTACATATGGAGATTTAAATTATGTCTAATTATTCTTTTACTTTTCAAGTTATTGCAATATATAAAGAATGAAACCTATAGATATTTGATAATTATTTTAATTAATAATCATCAATAGATCTTATGATAAGATTTAAAGTAACATAATAAGAAATAATAAATTTAATTTAGCTAAGTGTTATCAAAGATAAATACAGAAATTAAATTTTAATAATTGTTAACAAAAAGTATGAAAAATGGAGAATATCTTAATATAATAATTATATGAAAAAAGTAGTATAATAGTATTGAAGGGAATTTGTTGATTGACACAACAATTAACAATATTTGATTATATTACATAAACTTTGTTTGTATATTTTGTTTTTTTTCATTTTTTCAAATAGACTAGGATATTTGTCATATTGTCACAGCCTGTTCCTTAACTTGTATCTGGGGCTAATAATTGATCTAATAGATCTTCAGCAGCCTTTTTCAATAAATCTTCAGTCACTTAAGATTGTCCCAAAGTTGAGTTGACTTACTTCAATAATTCTTAATGATTCAAAGTTTCGAAAACACCATCGCAACCCATTAAAATAAATCTAAATTTAATTATTATATACTTGTCTTATGGTCCTAATTCAACTTTCTTAACATCTGGAAGAGCAATAATTAATTATTCATTAGCTCTTAACTTGCTATCACGTTTATATTCTAAATCTCCCAAGGCTCTAGATAAATTTAGGTTACCTATATTAAATTTATAATAAATAAATACCATTAACACGACCATCACTTACAAAACCACCTGCTCTTTCAATTCTGGTTTTCTCTTCAGGATTATCTGGCTTATGATCAACACTCATATCATAATTAGAATTATTTCTGCATAAAACTGATCTTGAATCTCCAGCATTGGCAACATAAAGAGTATTCTTATGAATCAAGGCTACATTGGCTGTGCATCCGGCATAAGATTCTAAAATAAAATAACAATATACCATCAGTATCAGTTGCTTTGTATTAATTTAACTCTTTCTATCCTTCTGGAGTCATTAACAATTCATCCATCTTTAAAAAGGTTTCTTTGAGAGCCTCTTCAAATTTTTGATCCTTAAAATTTTTATTTTTCATTAATTCATCCACGAAGTGTTTCTCCACAAAATAAGCAACTTCTCTACCTCCATGTCCATCAAATACACCAAAAACAGAGACATCTTATACAATATCAGGTTTATGAATATGAGCATCTTCCATCGTGTTTCTCCAGCCTATTGTTCCATATACTTCATACCTTGCATTTCTGAGGCAGCAAATATAACAGACTTTCCTTAACCTGTTGTTGTTGTTTTATCTCTTTTTGGTTAGCTTAGATATGGCCCCATTTAATTTAATTTTATTTAATATCATTTATATCCACTTATTTCTTTATATACGAAAATTTCAGTATCATCCTAATCTTAAGATTATTTTCTAATTGTGTTGTTTTTTTTATCACTTTTTTAAACTTAACCATCATATACTATAATAAATCATTAGAATTCAATTGATATCCAAAATCATTTATTGCCTATTTTAACTTAATGAATATATATATACTTCATAGTATATTATGGTCAATTTTAGAAATAAATATTAAATCAATAAATAATTATCTCTTAGAGTTATTTCAATAAAGGAATAAGTCTCTCAAGTAAAATATTTTACAATTATATATATTTATAAAAATTATGATATTATGATAAATTTTATAATGGATAGTTCATTATGGACCCCTAACATCAGGTAATTAAGTCTCAACATGACTCTTATTCAATAATTAAGGGTAAACAATTTATGGTACTTATTGAGCATATTATTAATATATTGGATATCCAGCAACAGGTTATTAAGGATTTTAAATGTTTTGAGTAGACTATTATTATTATAATAATAATTATTGTTTTATCTATTATTATTATTATTATTATAATAATGCTTCTTATTGTTATTTTTACAATTTCATCCAATTTTTAAATTGTTCATATTATTCAATGGGAACAGCATAAAATTAAGGTTGTTGGACATTACCATCAATTGGTTCTCCAAAAGCTACAGATTCTGATAATTAATTCTTTCCCTGCTTTTTCATTCTCTTCATATGTCTTCTTCTTCTTATTATTTTTCTAATTACTATAAAAGCCACAACTGCAAATATAGAAATCAAAATCCACTTAAATACTAGTTTATATTAACTTATTTACCATGTCCTTTCTTGTGTTTATAATGTTCTCGTTTATTATAATGTTAATCACCAAGAACTAAGATTAGGAGTAATGCTAAAATGAGAATTTATTTCATTTAATAATTAATAAAAATCAAAATTATTTTCTAATTAACTATTATATAACCATTTTCTAATAATTTTTATCAACTAAAATTATTATAAAACAATTTTATAAGATTATTATTACATCATTAAGTTTATACATATGTATTTATATAAAAATTTAGTGAAATAATGTATCTAAAGAAAAATCATCATTTTCAACTTTATTTTTCAATAATTAAGCTTTAATTGCAGTAATTTTTATGATTAATCTTTGACAATCCTTTTAGCGAAGGGTTCGAAGGATTATTTGATAAGTAAGTACCTCTTTGAACACTTTTGCTATTTTTACTTCTTTCTAAATCTTTTGCTAATTTATCATAATTATCTTTTAATTTAATATAAGCTTCATCTTTTTAAATAATTGATATTTTAATCCTTTCTTAGTCTATTTTACCTTATTGTATGATCTTTAATTAATCTTATATTTATAATCTAAGTTATAATATATCATCTTAATATTTTTAATTTTCATTTTCAATAGATTTTATATTCTATAAGAGTTCATAAATATGTCTCTACATTTTTTTATTATTCTCTTACACAATTGAAAGCTAAGCTAAAAAAATAGAAATTATTATATTACATTTTTATTAATTTAGTTAGATGATTATCTATTTGTTAGTTTTCAATTCTTTATTTTGTTTAACCAGAGTTTAATAACAAAGAGCATCTCTTTTTAAATTCTCATATTCTAACTTTGATACTGAACTAAATAAACTATTTGACATACTTCTAACAGTGTCATCCTTAATTTCAAAGATTGAATCTTAACTTGGATGTCTATTTGTATTATTTGTAGGGTTAGTTGTATAATTATCTTCCTTCTTGGAATCTGAAGAGAAAGGGCATATCTAAATAATAATCCAATATTTATACTTCCTACTGGAATTCAGGTAAATGTGTACTTTATTCAACCTCCCTAAAAGAGGGGATTTCGAGTTTTTTAACATCAGTTGTTTTAAATTCACAAATTTTAAATAACTCATGAATTTAAGTCTATGTCAAATAGATGTTAGAAGACATTTCAATATTAACAAAAATAATTATATTATATTAATTATATAAAAAGAATAATTTTTACTATAAAATAAACCAATAAAATTAATAAGTATATGATTAGTTATGAATCTATTGATGATTATTAGATAATTTAATACAATTGTTTAAAAATACTAATAATAAAGATGGAAGAAATATTTAAAAATACAATATTAAATTATTTAGATTTCTGTCTTTAAATAAATTAAATATAGATATTTATTGTATATATATTATGATAAAATTACTTAATAGATAATAAAGAGGTAAAGTATTTTGAATTATAATTTTAATATGCATATAAATATTTTATAAAATTGATAATTGCATCATTTATTCAAATAATTGATGCAATCACATTTTCTTCAATACCTAAATGATTAGATCCTCTTAAAATTTTAAACTTTCCATTGATACCCCAACCATCATTCCATGAATTTACTACTTCCCAATAAGGTATTCCATTTTCTGTTCCCCAACCTATTATTTTAACTGCATGTCTTCCTCTTAATGATCCAGTTGTATATTAATAGACACCAGATTTATAACTTAAGAAATCATCATAAACTAAAAACACTGCTTATACAGGTCCATTCAAATATATTTCATTTTTTATTTGCTCTTAATCTCTTATAAGTTAATATGGATTATCTCTTGATTTGATTTTATCAACTTCATAAGTTCTATAAGATTAAGAATGACATTTTCTTGAGCATAAAGGTGTATTAGATAACATGAAAATGTCTTCATCACATTTAGAGTATTTTCCTGAATTATTTCCATGACTACAAGGAGGAAATGAATATGATTTACAAAAAGTAAAATCATTATATATACCTCCTGTTACTATACCTTCTATTTTAAAATACTTCCAAGCTCCCATAGGATAACCCCCATCACAACCATCTCCACAATTAATACCACAACAACTTAAAAGATCTTCAGCAGAAATTTGTCTCTTATCTGTTTAACCAGAGGCAATGCAAAGACGATCAGTCATTGTAGAGACAGCTGATACTGCCCAACAAGAACCACAGTTCCCTTGATCATGAATTAATTTAATGGATGAACAACCAGGCCATTTTTCATAGGCTGAAAAGCTTGATGGTAAAGCTTCTAAATTTTCATAATATTTATATTGAATTGGATCACTATGATCTACAATAACATTGAAAAATTTAGAGTAAAATTCTTCTGATTTATCATTCCATCTTTCATAATTAACAGCCTAAATAAATAGAAGAATTATATACTGTCCAAGTTGTTTTGATTGAGTTTACAAATGCTGTAATAAATGGATTTCTTGCAGATACTAAAGATATAATTAGGCATATAAATTATATCATTTTATAAATCAATTATCCAATTCTGAAAGTAGTTTTTTAGTTTTAGTAATTTATTTCAATTACTCTATAACACTCAGAATTGATTATTCTTCTATTAATGAATCATCGGATTCGTTTTCATCATCTTCTACTACTGAAGATAAACTACTTAAAGAACTCTATTTTTAAGGATCTATTAATTCTTGATTCTTCATATTTATAATAGTATTACCCATGGATAAGATTTTAAATTTGTTGTATTATTGTTTTTCTACATCATTTTATAAAAGTATGATTTAAGTTCATCATAATTAATTACTTTGTATTAATCAAGATTAGATAATTTAACATTATAATAAAATTAAATTATTTCTTTTGGTAATGATGGAAATGCTTTCTCTATTATTAGATTCATTTTTTATAATTCAACTTCTTTTATTTTATCACTTTTTGTTTTCTTCTACTTTGTCTTAAATAGTCTACCACCAATATAAAAGTTAATCAGAATATAAGCCAATGATTCTAGATCATCTCTAGGACAAGGTTCTTTATTTAACTTATTGCTTTACTTATCCCTAAATGCAAATTTAAACTTGAATATTTATTTAATGCGAGAGCATATTGAAATTTGTTTTTAGTATTCTAGTTTAATATCTACCTTAATTTGTATTTTTAGGCAAATTTTAGGTCAGTTAAAAGTAATTGAACTCCTCTATATAGTGTCACAAATTTCTTAGGCTTTAAATAACAATGAACTATAGATGCTGAATGCATTTTCTCCAACACAGATATCTAAATATACATTCTCAGTATTTACAGCTTCTATTGCTATAGTAGCAAATACTTAATCAGAAAACTTTCGATTTTAATGTTGAAAACAAAGTTTAAGAGATGGTCCACATCTTTCCTTTATATTATATCGATATTCCATATTCTTATATTTATATATTCCTGATTGTATTGTCTTTGGAATTAGTTATACTAAAATCAATGTATATATAATTAGTACAATCATGCATTTTTTTTACAATCCTTTCATCACAAACAAAGGAATTATATTACTCTTAACTATAGTATATAGTAATTCTTAATACCTTTTCATTTCTACTAAATAGTAGGTATTCGGATCATCCTTATTTAAAGCTACACTTCCTATTAGATTTACATAATTACCTAAATATAAGTTATGACTCCGTCCCTTATAAATTAAACGAACAAGAAAATATTTATGATCTAAAATTACAGCATTAGCATTTCTTTCAAATGAATTTGACTCAGTTATTGAATCACTCATATTTATTAAAAATCTTAATTATATAAAGACAAATAAATAAGTAATTAAAATCTCGAGAACATACTAATAACTAAATATATTAACTCCATTATAATTATATTCAGATTTTTAAGCTTCTTCAATAAAAACTAATATAAAATAATATTAATCATTACTTAAGTTATAAGTCTATTTTTATTAATTTTTGATTGATTAAATAATATTTGTAAAAATATACAATTTTTTAGTTAGATTTTATAGATGTAAATATATTACAATTTAAAAAAAAACATGCTAACAATAATACTTTTTAATAGTGTTAAGTTGCAAATATAAATTGTACTTAAAGTTTTTAAGAAGTATATAATACTTCTAAAATTATTATTATTTAATTATTCATGTTTCATAAAGTGTCATTAATAGAAAATATTTAACCACTATTCATAATAATTAATAAGAAAATCAAAACAATCTAAAAATTAAAATTAATAAAAATAAAATAACAATTTTATTAAACTTTTGATAATATCATAGGATGACTATTTAATTAGTGTAATAATAATTTTATTATAAATCACTTATTATGTATATAGTAATATATGATTTCTCAAATTTGTATACAAAAATTAGCAATTTAAAATTATTATTAAACATTTTAAAAAGAAAAAATCAATTATTTATCAGCTATTTAATCTAATTATACTAATTTTAAGTATAATTATTTATTTATAATAAATTAATGATATTGTCTATGATCAAGAAACTGATCTATACACAACGAAAAAAAGTAACATCATTATCTATAGATTTTTTAAAGAATCTAAGATTAGAATTAGATTATGATGTGGATTTATAAAAATATTAAATTAACCTTTCTATTTATATAATTTTTAGATGATTCCAATTTAATATAAATATACACTTATGAGTAATTATAAAATAATTATGAGATTTTCATTTAATCATTATAATAAATAATGTGCAAAAACAACCTATTGAAATAAGAAGTGAAATATTCCTTAAACTATTTGATCTGTCTCTTTTTTTTGGGATTGGAAATTGAACTTCAGAATGATCTAAATGTAATTCAAATACTTTCCATAATCATTATTGTTATTTCAATTGCTTTTAGAGTACTCTATTCAATTTAGAAAATTTCATGGAAAATAGGTATATTATATCCTAATATTAAGATATCTCTCCCATCTTCTTTTGGTTACTAACATTAGCAAGAATTAATAGTGCAAATAATTTAAAATAAGAGTCACATTCCTTTCTATTTTATACTCTAGGCTTTATGAATGGTCAATATAATAACACATTTAGTATATAGAATGAAAATCCCATAATATTTAAAGGCAAAATATGTGTTCAAATTATAATTTTTGTTACTTGTTTATCTCTTACTAATTAAATTAAGCTTGGGATTATATTTGTATTAATAATTTTATGTATCATGATTGGATTGAATGAAATCTTTTATAGATAAGTATTGAGTGAATTTGAAATTTAAGTTAAAGAAAATAAATAAAACAGACTCTTTAATGAACTATCATTTCAATAAATTTTAAAATCTTAAACAAAACCTTCAAATGAAGAATAAATATTTATAAAACATTCAAGAGGTTGTCCTCTTGAATCCATTGCTGAAGATGAGGAGTTACCTGAATCTAAATAAAAATAACAGAATGCTTCAAACTCAACAAAATCATCTCTTTGGGGTAATTTTGTATTCTAATGCGATGATTACATAATTAAATTTTCATTTAATGCTTATTAAAATAATTCTCTTTTATAAAACTCTGTTAGCAATTATTCATTTAGTAAATTCCTTTAAGATAATAATATCACATTTGTAGATTTTTTATCAGAAATGAAGGTTTTTAATGATATTCATTGGACTTAATTTGATATACAAAGTCCAGAATTTAAGAAATAACAAAGTCTTTATGATTGGTTATAATATCATTTAGAATAGTATAAAATGATTGAATAACTTCAATCAAAGAAATCCTTTAAATAATTAGAAGGAGTAGATCCTTTATAACTAAGTAATCTTTCTAATCAAAAATCTTTATTGATGGATCTTATTATGGAGAAATCTATTATGGGATTATCATCTATTCCATATTAATAAAGTTCATCAGAAGCAATAAATCTGAGAAATAATAAAATGAATCTATTTGGAAGAATAAAAACAAATAAAATTTTATGTGATTTGTAAATCAAATTTTATATTTTTGAAGAAGTATAAATATATATTTATATTAATTAGGAATCTGATGGTTTGGCAATAGTATTTTTGATGAGAGATATTGATAAATTAGTATAATCAATAAAATAGAATGTTAAAAATGTTGAATTATTGGATATTGCTACAAAGTTTATATAGAATTAAGCTTGTAAAATAACTGATATTCATAAATGGATTCGTGAAATAAAGAGTCCATCTAGTTTAATTGAAACAGATTAATTAAGTCGATTGGGTACTTCAGTTCGAAAAAGGACATATTCATTGAGTTCTAATATAAATAGTGTTGAGGAAGGATAATCAGATATATCTGAGAAAGTTTAGATACGCAAGTCAAATCATTTATAATAATTCTTATCAAAATTGTAATTTGATTTCTTTTAAGTTGAATAAGATAATTTTAATTTTGTTGAAGTATTTTAATAAACAGAAAAGATTTGGTTCGATAGAAAAAAGATAGATATATCATAAACAGTTCATTTACTATTTGATCAATTTTAACATAATCATATACTTATCAAATATGGAGTTAAGTTGATGTTGATTGACAATAATCTTTATGATAAAAATATAATTACAGATGCAAGGTTAAATATAAATTTATTTATTTTAGAAAATTTAAATAATTATTGATTAATTTAATTAATAACTCTATTTAAGCATATTAATATGAATAATATTTGTAATAGCCAAATGAAATTGAAATTAGTGTATGGAATTATTATGAAGATATCCATTTTACTATAACAGATTATGGTTGTGGACTTACTTAAAATTAAATAAATCAATCAAGATTGTAAGAGTGTAAATTAGGTTTGGCAGCATCTTAGAGATTATTGTATTAATTAAGTGGTGGAAAAAAGTAATTAACTATATAATGTATGAATTAAAAAACAAATATATCCTTTTAATTGCCAAGAATTTTAATGGAAGATAAAATTATATAAAATAATGAATTTGATTATGAATATATTAAATTTATTAATTCTTGAGTATTTTATTAATTAAAAAATAATACAATTCATTAATGTTTATCTAAAAATAAATGCAAAATTCAAAAGTTTAATAATAATTATCTGAGACAGAAATCTAATTCTCTATTTAGTAGTTTAATGAGGATATGGAAAATGAAAATTTAGAGATTGAAAAAGAAAAGTAGCACTTCTCTAACTTATACGAAGATTTAATTGTCTACTCCATTAATCCTTAAAAAGAATCACAAAATCATAAATTGTAATATAGTTATCTAATTTATTTTTTTAGAAGAAATATAGAGATCAACTAATTTAGACACAAATCTCACAAAGCTATTAAAAAGCAACAAAAAAAATTAAGAAATTAATAAAACCATAGAATCTATAGTAAAAAAAATATCAAAGAGACTTTAATGAATTTATAATAATAGCAATTTAAAACTTTGCATTTTACAGAAGAGACATAGATTTCATAAGGGGAATGGCAAGAAGATCATTAAATTTAAGTTCAGTAGCATGTTGTTATTTCCCTATGTTACTAGATTGAAGATTAGAGCAGATTGTTTGATTATCTTACATGTTAGATTTAATTAACTAAAACTTGAATAATATTGTCAATATCAATATTAATGACAATTGTATTGATTTAAATAATTATTAAATCAACACCAATGAATTTTAAATGAATTCATATCTGATACCATATGCAAATACACCAAAAATACCAAAACTATGAGTTGACTTCTTGTTTCTGAGATGATTCAGAAAAAAGGTTCAAATAAAGTGCTATCATTATTGAAGTGCCAATGCTTTTATCAACACCTATAAATAATAATATTTTTCTTATATACTTTCATTAATTTTATAAATGAAATTATATATACATTCTGGAAATGCTGTGGAAATTTATGAATCTAAATAAGGAGAAACTATAGATCAATTATAAAAAGCATTAGGAAGTGAAATAATTTTCAATAATAGGTAATGTATCAATATTTAAAAGTAAGGACTATTTTAAACACTTCAATGTTGGTCAATAGTTTTTTCAATGATAATGATGATGTGATTGTATAGAAAGTGAAACCTATACCAGTTTAATAGAATGTTTAAGTTGCTGCATAAAAGCCTATACATTATAACAATATAACAAAATTTGCATTTTGGGATGCTGATGATATGAATGTTAGGTAATTATTGAATAATTATACAAGAGTTGTAGTTGAATTGAAAGATATAGCAAAACATCCATTAGAAAAGTTTTAAGCTAGATTTTTTGAAAGATCATTTGAAATTAAAATTCATGATTATTAAAATAAGAATTGGACATTTGGAGTTGCTAGAACATAATGTAAATTAGATGCTGCAAATAGTAAATTCACACTCAAAGGTGATAAGATATTGATTACATTAAGAAAGATAAAGAAGGAAGATAATTGGTTTTCAATTCACAAATAAAAAACTATAGGTGGTGATGATTCAGATTGAGTATATATAATTATAATAACATTATTTAAGAATTTAAATTTCTTTTTTTGATATTAATTGATATTACAGTTTTAGTTCAAACAATTAAATTTAGAATAAAATAAATAGTATTTTATTTTTATTTATTTATAATGAATCAAAGTTAAGTTAATGAAGAAAACTCACCTAATAATATATATGAACATGCTTCATAAAATATTTCTTAATACTTGTAACGCGATTATTATGAGAAATTCAAGCTTGGTTAAAATCTTTATGATTAATCAATTACTTTATCAAGATTATCTTTGGGAGAAAAAACAAGCGAAGATTATAATAATAATACATAGATAGGATTAATATAAATTTAGGAACGTTTATCTGATGAGATTTGTAAAAATTAAGTAAATTGTTGACTACAATTAGCTAGCTATTAGAGAGTAAAGTAACATAACTGAATAAGGATCTCTAGTCAGCTATGGACCATACAATAATTCTATAAAAATAAAATGAGAATTATATATAGATGTTGTAATAAGCCAATACATAATTATAAAAATAGATTAGGAATTATGAAATAGAAAAAAAAATAAATTAATAATTAATGAAAAAAAATAGAGAATTATAAGAAGTAAATAAGTATAATCTTAATCTAATTAGTAATCATTAGAAATAAATATAAACTTTACAAAAGAACAAATAAATTTAGAACTTTTCTGATTGCAAAAATATAATATTATCTAAATGTCATTAAAAATCGAATTAATCAATATGTTCTTCAAATAGAAATAAATAAAAAGTTAATTAAATTAATACAGAAGAATCTACAGTTAAGGATTCTTCTTTAAGTGAATTAAAATCTAATGATAATCATAGATTTGCTGAATCTGCTCAGCAATTTTACAAAACCTCAAATTTATGGTCTCCTATAAAATATTCTTCTCCTAAAGCTCAAAATTTCAATCTAGAAAAAAAAATTGAGTCTACTTTATCATAAATAAGAGCAATCAAAATGTAAATTCAACAATTAAATTAAAAATGATATATTATTATTTATTTTCATTATATTAAAGCCATCAAAAATTTATAAAAATATTTTTATTCAAATAATTATGCTTTTCTTTCAACTCACTCTTTATTTTTCAATAATCAATTTAATTTAATTGTATATTGATTATCGTATTTAATTTCATTCAGATATAATTAGTATTTCTTCTAAAATTTATTAGATTCTTTTATGATTAATAATCTCTTTTCTTGCTAGTGTATTCATTTTCATCAACCATGATAATAAACTTTAAAAGGATCTATAAGCACTCAACCTTTATCATCTTAATCCATATTGCATATAATGATGAAAAACATAATCACTTCTATTTTCTTTTTGAATAATCTTCTTAAATCTATAAAGATACTGCATTAAACAATTATATTTTCTAATTCATCATCAGCTAATAGTCTTTTTTATCCCAATATATTAGTAAACAAACAAATGTATTATTTCAAAAAGTCATTCAAATCGCATAATCTATTTATTTATATATTCTCTTTTTATATCTCTTCTACACTCCCTATTATAAGAGATTTCATTCCTATTTCCAATGTTTTATTTCCTAAATTATATGCTGTAACAATTAAAATGAATGTTATTATTATATTTTATATAAAATATTTTAAATAAGTTTTAATAATTTATGAATATACTTTCAAAGCTATTTTATAGAGTTTAATAAACTTTCATTAAAAGGAATTTATTGGATCAAAAACTAATAAATTAATTTATGTAATATTTAATCAAGAGTCAACCTTATGAATTCTATTCAAATATTCTCTTATAGCTTTGATTCTCTAAATTAAATTTAAGGGTATCATTGATAAAAGGAGTGTAGTTCTTCTTATCTAAAATAACTTTATTATAAAAATTACTTCGTTATTTATTTTATTTGCTATTGGCCACCAAAATAATAGATACACCAACACAAGCACAACTAAGAACACTATAAATATTGTCACAGTTGTTGTAGTGTTTGTGTCTATATCTTTCTACAAACTTTCATTAAAAATGATAAGTAACTACTAAAATATTGATCTTATATATATGTCTTGCATTTGATCTATTTAGAAATATTAGAATTTATACTTAATTCAATAGCAGAAATATCGGTATACATAAGTGATAGAATCTTATTCTACTAAGTATTGGTTGTAAAATTATAAACAGTTCCAGCTATTGCAGTAGCAGAGGAATCATTCAAAAGAGAATCATAAACTGTAAGTAAATATCTCAGATTTTCAAAGTGTCTTGATAATGCTAGGGCTAATGATTCATCTACTATTCCTTTAACGAAAGCCTAACAAGTAACCAAATCTACTCCAGCAACCTTGATTACTTCATTACATGCTCCAGCTTTCATTATTGAATCAAAATAATCATTATAAATAGAATTATGATAACCTAAATTTAATGAATGATCTTTTTGCATATTAGTATTCAAATTATAAAGATCTTTGACAAAGTCTGTAGAAATAGTTTTAGATACATTATTTTTAACAGGGAAGTTGGAATCCCATAACATTTATCTAAATACATTATTTGCAAATGTGATAGAAGGAACAGCCATAGAGGTAGCATTCATTTCTTAAATTAATTATTACATAGAACTCTATAAATTGGTTCCAATTAAATAATGGGCTATAAAATAAGCTATTAGTAATCCAATAGAAATAATGAATTTTATATAAAAATTCCTTTTATCTTTTGAATCATACTTATACTTCTTTCTTTTCTTTCTTCTTCCAAATTCTTCTACAATACCTTCTCCTTCTTCATTTTCTTCAAATGATAATTCATTTTCTTAATTTGCATCTTCATCTTCCCCTATTTGAAGAGTATTTGAAAAAGCTTCACATTTAGCAAATAATTATTTAACCTTTGCCAAAGGTATCTCTAAAAATAGTTTTATAACTTCTTCTTAATTTTGCGAAACTAAATTAAAAGTACAAGCAATCCATGGTATTGAAATAACAGTAAAAACACATGCTACAATCAATAAAATTAATAAAACATTTGAATCATATGCTAAATCTATTAATTAATTAGTATAAAGATCTACACTCTCTAAAGTGGCTTAATAATAGTCATTCAATAAATTATATCTAATAAAAAATATGGAATCAGAATCTTAATCAAATTCAGTGATATCATAATTCATAATTTCAAAAGCTTTAGATATAATTTATGAAGTTCCTTAATTAATATCAACTAATTAATTGCTTTCACTTCCACTGTTATCTCTACTAATCATTTTAATAGAATTAGTTGTCATTAATTCATCTTATCTTCCACTGACTTCTGTGGATGATTAAATTTTAGATTGAATATCTTTGAGATCACTAATTGTTGTATTCATATTTAAAAGTTAAATTTTCACTTTATCATCTGTACCAGGTATATTTATTTTATTTAATCTACACAATTCCATTATTTACCATTATATTCTTTATCCTAAAGCAACTCTGATATTTGAATCTTGCATCATTATATATCCTTCTTGAATATCCTAAAATAATTATTACGTTAAAATATAATCCAATAAACCTAATATACCTAAACAAATAATCAATATAGCTGCACTCCATTTAAAACAAACCATGCTACTTTAATTAACATTTCTACTCTCTGTCAAGAATTAAACAAAGGTTCTTCTGGATTTATAGATGTTAGCATGTCCACCTTCAGCTTCTTCTTCATCATCTTCTTTTTAAACTTATTACATTCCAGTATTTCCTCCTTTTTTTTAATCATTTTCTTCTGCATCTTCATCAGAATCTTAATTTTTAAAATCATCAACATCAAATAATTATCCATTAATATATTTCATAGTCCTTATTCCTAAACCTAAATCCAATTTTTCTTCTTTTTCCCCAATATTTGAAGATGGAGTTTTTTCATCTTCTTTAATTGGTTCTCTTTATGAATAATCAAATGTTTCATCTTATTTAACACTTGAAATAGCAGACATCTAAAAATTTTAATCTTAAGTATATTCACCAATATAGATATGTTATGATTAATCAAATTAAAAATAAAATTTAACTTACTATGACTTTTTTATTTGAGATTATTCATTAGGATTAAGAAAAGATTTTTCTTATCTATTATTTTCAATTTTTATTACATAACCTTATAATTTAGAATCTTTGAACATGATTTCACCAGCAGTAATATTAAATTTGCCTTATACTGTTTAATCTCTATTTTTAAAATTAATATCTGCTTCAGCTCCTGTTTTATTAAGATAATCAGTAATATTTTCTTAAAAATTTGTTATTATATCACTTACTTTCATCTTCTTTTTTGTAATATAATTCAAATCTACATGAAACATTGTTATAAAAGTGGCTGAAATATTTTCAATTTCTTAAGTTGATCCATTTACAATCATAAAAGCAACATTTTTAAACACTTTTTCTTATCTCATAGCTCCAAAAAATTATGCTCCATGAATAAATGAAGGTACATATCTTACATAAATGAAAAAGGGAAAGATGTATCCATTTTTAGATTTACCTATTATCATTCTTTCTCTATTCATTATTCTACTTTCATATGTTTATAAATATGCTTCCATAAATTAATCATGTGATTGAGCAAATACATTTGGCATTAAAATATTTACTTTTCTATTAATTAATTCACTCTTTGAATAACCAAACATTTTAGATGCTGACATATTAAGTCCTATGATTCTACCAAAAGTAATATCTTCAGCTGAAATACTGATTAATGCAGTTGATTCATTAGGAAAATCATTAATATTATTTGTAATTTTACCCCTATCCATATTTACAGAATAAAAATTCTTCAATCTTTCTAAAACCTCTTCAGCAGATTCTTTATCATATAATATATCAACTAGATATCTGGAATAAATCATCATTAAATTTGGTGGGACATCCATATTCATTTTAATTATTCTTTTCCATGAATCTTCTAACATTTTATCTACATACATCATTCTAGTTCCAACATCATATAATTTTCCTAAATCTGGTGTGTCTTCACTTAATTAAGACCAAAACTCTATGTGTTAAGATGCTGATTTCTCAATTTAAGCTCTTATTTCTCTTAGATTATTTTCAGTTGTAAGTTCATTTACAGCATCAATACCAGCTGCTGGATTTTTAGATGATTTTGAATTTTCAAACATTTATTCTTCAATCAACTTTTTTAATCTATATATAATGAATTATTCATCCATATATGGTTTTTCTTATTCTGCAGCTACTAACTCTTATAATGCTTATTAATTTGATTACATTTTTTCCATCAAGAATAATGAATGTGAAATTCTTAATTCAGTACAATTTGGAAATCTTGTTAAGGATAAAGTGAATATTCTTTCCAAGATATACACAAATACAACATATTATTCTTTGATTTCTTCATCTTAGTTTTAGAGTTTAAAGTTTTTCTAAAATTTAGCAATCTTCTTATTTCCCATGTTTTTAGCTTAACAAGGACAATCTTCTCTTTTACAAATGGTTCTATGGTATTCTACAAAACCATCTAGAAGAGTGGCTATATTTCTATCTGTATGATAATAATTTAAGAATTTAGTTAAGTATTGTAATTGTTGTATGGCTTAATTTAAAGAATCAAATTTATTTGAATCTATCATCATTATATCATATCGATATTCTTTTCGCAACATTACAATTAACAACAATAATGGACTGCCGAATACCCACAAATACGGTGCTCCTTCATAATAGGTATCCTCTACGATGATGCCGAAGATGATCATACATATTGTCCACATGATGATGGCATGTTGTGAATTTAACACTTTTGAATAATAATAGTTCAAATATACACTTGATTTATTGAATGAGAAGAATTGAATGACAGCAAAAAGAGTTATTATTATGACAACCAAAATTCTCAACTCACTTACATTCAATAAAGTAAAACACAATACTAAAATTATTTTGAATATCAAAAATTTCATATCATCTCTCCCTGAAATTTTGCAAAGAGGATTATTAGGTTGAAATCTTGATTCATAGAATGTCATCGTAACTAATCCACTCACACATATTAATATTATGGCAGCAATAGCTGATAAAAATGCATGTAATAAATAATTACCAGTATAACATTATAAATCACTATAATATCTATGATACCCTGTTCCTGAATCACAATAAAATATGGTCAAAAATAAATGGAGTGCTGGCATAAAGAATATATAGTTTAGAATTTCAAAAAATATTTTTAGTACAAACAAAGGTCCAGTCAATTTACCAACTGATGTTGTCTATGCTTTGATTGCTATAAAGATAATCAATACTATCAATAGAAAAAATAACCCCATTATAATATATAGTACGAGGATAAAACTTGGAAATTCGACATTTTTCAAATATGGAGATATCATGAAGTAACCAAAAAATGATTAAAATGATTCAGACCATGATTTCACTTTCCATAATGATAGAAACTAATTTTTATAATAATTATTATTTACATCATCACTGAATGCAAAGTAAAAAACTTAAAAGCTTTCTATCAGCACAAAAAAAATGTAAAGAAATAAGGGAAAGTTCTCTCCAGATATCAAGTAGTATATAATCTCAAATAAAAGATTCTTGAAAGAATTTTACATCTTATCTATGGCTGATTTATCATCATCAAAGATTGAAATTCCTTACATTATAATAATAATAATAATTCAAATAATAATAATATTCATTTCACTGCTTATAATATTTCTCCTCCAATAAATTATTATTTCAAGTTAGGGTATTTTTATATAATATCCATAGGTATCATATTTAACATTCCTTTAGTTCTCCAAATCTATTTTGATAAATTATTCAAGTATGGAGTCCAACAAAAAATAAATGCAGCAAACATTAACACCAAATAGACACTAAATTTCATTTATTCAATTGAATCACTATAAGATAAGAAATCTGCAATGCCTGACATAAATTGATCTGTTAAATAATCACATGCAGGTGAAATATAATACAATAACCTATGTAATTTATCATGGTAAGTCTAATTGTTAATTGTAGATATTAGATCTAAATTATAGTTTTATATTCACCTGTTCTAGTTTGTTCTGTATTCTTCCAATAACTAATCATATCATTTGTACTCAAAGCAACTGAAACAAAAGCTGTCTTTAATCCACTAGTAAGTAAACCTGAATCAACAGCTGTACATCCTGATTAATCAGTTTAAAAATTGTCTATAAATTATAATTATTTATATTTACTTATACTAAAATCATTGGTACATAAATTGTTATAAGTAAAAGCCTAAAATTTTGACAAGTATGAATCAAATTAAGAAGGAAATGATTAAGTCAAAGATTAGAACAAATTTCTTTCATTATCATACAATCTACTTTGGAACTCTGTTCTCATGTCAAGTGAATCTTCCAATTAAGTCTAATTTGTTACTACTTCTTCGAATGTGAAGTAAACATTATATTTAATAGATATAGGTCTTTTGGATGAATATTGAAGATGATCATAAACCTTTTATACATCCTCCAAAAATATCAATTCTAAATTAATATCTAAAATGAAATAAGCAATAAAGATTAGAGCAAATATTAAAAATTAAACAATAACTACTGATTTATTATTATCTTTTGAATTTAATAATTTTTAGGAACGTAGATTTTCTATTTCTTCTTCATTTTCTTTTTTATCTTATTCTTATTATTATTGTTATTTTTAATCATTTTTAGTAGCACCTTAAGTAAAAGCAGATGGAGTTGCTTTATTTTCAGTTGGTTTGGCTGTAATTGATGTATGTATAGCATTAGAATTAGGTTAACCAGTTTGTAATACATTTTATCCACTTCCATTTGATCCATTTTATTATTAAGCTTTCTTTTTATCACTTCTATCTTCTTCTTCATTATTCATTTCAAAAACATCTTTATTTTATGTTTTTTCAACCTCAGGAGGTTAAACACTAGGTTAAGGTGGTTTATCTTCTTTATCAATCATTTCTTTCTTTTCATTTTTATCTTCCAAGAATTCCTACATATAATTTTCACATTTTGCAGCTAATTCTTTAATTTCTTATATTGGAATGATACCAAATAATGACATAACCATATTATTTGTTTTATGCACTTAAAATACAATAGGAATGAGGATCATTGCAGATACTACTAAACAAAATATACCAACACCCATAATAACAAAGAAGGTTACTTAATAATTTTTGATTTCATCAGAATAAAAATCGAAGAATCTTTGTGCAATATTTTCTGATCCCTTTCTCAAAACAAATAATCCATTGGTCATAACATAATAAAAATTCTTTTATGTATTATCCACTGTAGTTACAGATCCATTAAATGATGCTGCAGAAGAATTCCTGAGTGAAGAAGCTGATGTAATAATTTAAAATAATGCATCATTAAAAATGTTTTCATAACTAAAATTATAATATAATTTAAATACATTTTCTTTTCTCCAGATGTTAACAAAAATGATACTTAATAAGTTTCCAAATTAGTTGATTCAGTCATTCTTGCCTCCATTTTTATACGAGCTTTTATGACATCAAATTATACTACTTTTAAAGTATCTACTAAATAGGATAACTAATTAATAATATTATAATATTACATTAGCTTTTATATATGTATCTGCAGTTGTTGAAGTATATCCATGTTTTTCTGCTATGTAAGTACTATTTCCTAACATCTAAAGTAATCTAGTATAAAAATTGACATCTGCCATAATATTATGTCTCATATATGATAAATATATGGAATCAGCACCTTCTTAAACATCTGAACTTTGACTCATTCTATATCCCAATATTAATGCACTCAAAACAATTAGTATTAGCATAATAAACCATACAGTTCGTTTCAGAATACGTATATATTTTGGTTCTGTTTTTTCAGATATCAAGGCTTTAAAATCTTTTAATTATCTCATATCATCATTCACTGAACCACCTGATAAATTAGATTCTCCTTCAGATGCATTTACATCTTCTTAAACTTATTATTCATCTTTCATAACTGTTTTCATTTAATTCTATTATGCTTCTTCAGCTGCTGGTTCCATTGATCTTTATTATTTAATTTCTTCATTTTCATCAACTTCATAGAATCTGATAATTTATATTTTTTAATCACCAAATTCTGTTTCATCTTAAACAAAAGCTTTAATCTTATATTTTTTATATCTTTGCTATTTTTATAACTTTTTACTCTTAGCTTCTTCTATTTTTGAATTCTAAACTTATTAAGATAAATCAACAGCAGTTTCTTTATATTGATGATTTTAGTTTAGCATTTATCCTAAATTTGAATCTCCTATCTTTGATTACATTTATGAAACTTATTATGGAGGTTCATAAATATTTTCTTCTTCTTCTAATGACATCTCATCATCACTTTCACCTCTTCCCAATAAGAAATTTTATTGAAGTTAAGATGTGTCAATAGTAGTAACCAAACCTTAAGATTTGAGATCATCCTAATTTTTTATATCCACTAATTCTGGAGCAATAGCATCAATAGTAAATTCATTAGTGTTAGTTGAATTACCATATACTAAAGAAGCTGGAATACCATATCTAGTATAACAGGATTAAGTAATTCCTAAAATTGCTTGACTATTAACATTAATAATAATAAAATGCCATTCCTAATCAATTTCTTATTCACTTCTCAAATATGAACTACCAGGTTCTATGTCTTTCAAAAATCCTACAATCTAAATACCTTCATCTAAATTAGGTAAGACTTTAATCATGAGAGTACATGGTACTAAATAATTATTCTTATTTTAAGCTAATAATATTCTTTCCTATCCAATTACTTTAGAATCACTAGTTTCTAAATAATTCTTCATAAATTGATCATGTTAATCTGCATATACTTTTGGCATAATTCTATTAACATTTTATCCAATAATATCTGATTTAGAAAATCCTAGAATTCTTGTGATTTCATTATTAACATTAGTAACAACACCTATGTTATTATAATTACCTGAACAAGTTACTATACAAGTATTAGCATTTTCACCATATTTCTATCTTTCTTAATCTAATCCTAATTTGTTGACAGCAGTACTCTTTTATATATATTCTGCTTTTTCTAAAATTCTTTAACCTTCTACATCATCATTAACAATATCTTTCAAAAAGTTACCATATACTTATAGACATTTAATATGATTTTAATTCATTTCTTATAGTTTTTTATAGAAATCACTTGTAGATTCAACAGTATTTGTAATTTTAGATCCAAGTGATTATAATTTCTATATATCTGGATTTTCTTCTAATAATTCTCTCCAAAATTCCATATGTAAAGTAACACTTTTTTCTATACTACTTAGGAAATTAACAAATTTATTTTAGAATACTACAATGATATTGACATCTACTCCTTTATTTTCAGATGTTCTCATATCATTTTCAATCATTTCTTCTTCAATTAAATTCTTATATCTATAAATACTAAATTCTTCTTGTAAATTTGGTTTATTTTCTTCAGTGATCATTAATTCAAATAATGCTTTAAATTTATTCTTCAATTTCTCATGATGTATATATGAATTTAATAAATGTAATCTTGGACATTTTGGATATCTATCCAGAGCATCAGAAATAACACTCTTTATTAATAAATACCATCTTTTCAATTTTTATGGTGTCTCTTCATCTTTCAAATTATCAGCTACCAATTATTGACAAACACAATTTTCACTTGGTTTTCCACAATTTTTTAAATGTAATTTTAATACACCTTCTAAAACTATTCTTGATTGAAGAATTTCACGATTTTCAATTAAATCCATAAGATGATTTATATATATTTCTATATCTGTCTCTTTTTTAAATGATTTTATTGGAGTTTTTAATAATTGTTATTGTCGAAATGTCAATAACTAGAAGTAAACTAAGGACATCAATGGCATTCCTAAAATCATATAAAACAATCCAATATCATCAACTGATCCTAAATCAAGAAATGCAGTAATGACTCCAACCAAACTAGCCCAAAACAGTAACACTTCTTAGACCACAATAAATCCATATACACTCTTATTATAATAAGGTGGAGATCTGTATCTTTAAACCAATAATAGTAAATAAAATGCTGCCAATAGAGATATGTACACTTTAGATATTTCACCATTAAAATCCAGAGTCACATAGAGTGGAAGAACAATTTTAATTAACTGTCTAACCAATGGAGTTTTGGATTGTGGAGATGCAAAAGGAATAGGGGAACTTGGATTGAGTTCAGCATATAACAATCCAAAATAGAGTACATTGATTAGGAATAAGATTAAACCAATTATCTATAATGATTTATTATTTTACAGCCAATGATATATGCAAGAAGTGTAGACCAGCATAACATTCTAAACCATCTGAGAATGGAGCATCTGAATTGCAATAAATAGTGGCAATGAAAGCATTAAATATAGGGATTGTCAGAATAGTATTCAATAGTAAGCCATATAATGAAAATATTTTTAGACAGTATGTAAGAAAGGTACTTGGCTTTCTCTTATTGGATGTTAGTTTGAATGTAATTATGATTAGTAAGAATAACATGAGAATCTGAACACCAAAAGCCTATAAATAATACAAAAAATCAAACTTACAATGTACATTACTATTAACAGTACATTAACTCCACCGTTGAATATGATATAATTAACTTAAAAGTATTGCAATGCATTACGGAAGTACTCCAACCACACCGTCTAGAATAAAAATTCTAAGTTTGGATGAATCGAATAATACAGCTATATATTTTGTCAATTCAAAAAATACAAGTTGGATGAGCTCAATCAATATTAGGAACTTGAACAAGAATGGACTACAAACTTGATTCTACAACAATTCATGTGTGAGTCCATATGTCCATGTTTTTATTCTGTTCTCAAACCGTTCCCAAATGGACTCATCATAAAACACTCGTCGATTATTCATAATCATTTTCGATATATAATAAAATATGATTAATAAGTAAAATCAATTACCTAAACACCCTAACATCTCATTCAAATAATACTGTGAATAGTTCGTTAAAGAAAGTCCAAAAGCTAAACTCAACAAAACAACTTATGTCTTGGGAGACCTACCATTAAATAAACTAAGAGAAAAGCAAAAAGAATAATTCAAATCTTTTATCCAAGATCATATTTCTTTGACTAGAAAGATTAGAGATGATGCAGAATATGATGCTACAATATATATGGGACTTACTTCTAAATGGCAAAGAGTTAAAAAAGATTATTTCAAATAAGAAATCCCTAGTATTAAACATGAATTGGATATGCGTAATATCAAATAGAATCAAGAACTCAATTTCGATTCATGGAGAAGGATTGATTAAGTTAGTTAAAAAAGAGTAAGAGGAATCTCAGTTGACTCAAATATGAAAAAAACTAATCGTAAAACACACACAACAAGTTTTCGATTTTGATGATGATAACTTTCTATATATTTATTTTTTGCTCAATACTCTTTATGTGATGTAATCAACAATCAAATAAATTTATTTAATTAATTTATAATTATAAAACAGTAATCCAAATTCATTCTTTCTATATATCTTACATAGCATGATATCTATCCTATACTCAATTAAATACAATAAAATAATTGAATCTATAAAAATGATTCAATTTATACTATTATATAATATAATATAATTTATTATCTTCTATCTCTAAATTAGAGTAATAAATGATAATATTTAACTATTACTTAATTTATTATAAACAACTATATGTTTATGAATGGTTTTGATAATCTAATTTGATTAAAATTTTATATAAGTTTCAAGCCTAAAAATGAAAATTATTAAAAATTCGTTAAAAATATAAATGGGTAACGAACCATCTTCTACAAATGGCAAGACTGATTTTCTCACTCAGGATTCAAGTTGTGGACCTACTTTAATCAATCAAATGTAATAAAATCAATGGAGAATTGGATTGCAACATCCTCATATTTTATAGACATTGGGAGGTTAACCTGAAGGAGATTAATTTAGATATTATTTTGAGATTTGTCCAATCACATTAGCCTCTTTACTATCAGAGAGATATGGAACAAAATAATATTTCCCAGAAGAAGATTTATAAGCATTATTATTAGGAATTGTTAGTGCTTTAAGTTTTTTATAAGAAAAGGGAATATCACATGGAGGTATTGATTTGATAATTATCATACAGATATTTGCACATAAGAAATATTTTTTGATTCAAATAGTTCTAGTTTTAAAATATTAGATTCTAATTTGATTAATGGAAGAGGATATGCAATTTAAGAATTTATAAGTGGTAAATTAAAGTATTTGGCTCCAGAGATTATAATTCAACCTACTCAACCAATGTCAGAATATTAATTACATAAAAATGATATTTGGAGTTTGGGTATGGTTATTTTAGAAGCAGGTACATTAAAATCAAGTGATATATTATATAAAAATGGATTACAACAAAAACTTATTTAAGATAGAATTAATGAAATTGGTATTATATATGGAAAGTAATTTGCAGATAATTTAAAAATAATGCTTAATTTTAATCCAAATGAAAGATTGGATTCAGTTAATTTATTTAATTTTCTTCTTGAATAATAACGAATAGCAAATGAATCTGAATAATAGATATAATAATAATAATAATAATAGTTATTAATGAAACAATAATAATTATAATAATAATAACTTATATATTAATAGTAATAATAATAATAATATTATTATGAATAAAAGATCTCTAATTAAAGTCCAGTTAATAGATAATAATAATAATAATAAAAGAATTATTAATAAAATCATTAAAATTTTTAATACTAATAATAATAATAATAATAATAATACTTATTCAATTAAACTCAATAATCGTCCCCATATAGAAATTAAATATAAATTTAACCACATATTTTTAATTAATAACAAAGATCTAATTATCATTAATAAAGACCTTCATAAGATTTCATGATGATTCAACATGAAAGAACTGTTTCAATAGAAAAAATGCCTAGTAGAATAATAAAAAAAATCATTCATCCTGATAGTAAAATTGGTTATTAAGATAGTTCAAATTCAGCATCTCGTACAAGTATGTATTATTAATTATATTTTTTAGTATAAAATTAATATTGGTAATAAAAACATACTCCATAAAAATCTTAGAAACAATCAAGCCCTCTATAAAGATAATAAAACTCAGGCTATTAATCATAATTTATATAATAGAAATATAATGTTATTGGTAATAAAGAAAATTAATTTCCAAATAATACTAATGATTAGTTTAGATGGAAATAAGACATTGGACAATCAAAATTAGTTATTTAATAATATAATTAATAAAAACCTTTAATTTAAAATGAAAAAAGTGAAGAACCTATAAGGAGAGTAATAGTTTAATCATAAGCCTTAAGAGATAACTTTGTATGAATTTATTATATAAATAATTATTATAAGATGTTGCCAAAATTACATTAAAGTTCATCTGTGTAATCAGTAAGAACATCTGAAGATTTCAGTTTAAATGAAGCCAAAAGAAGATAAAAATAATTAGAGTTGGAATCTTAGACAGTTGAAAATAGAATCAAATAATTAAAGAAAGAAAATGAGAAACTGTCAAAAAAAGTAGAAATGGCAGAACAATTAGCACTTGATGTGTATGCTTCTCGACTTGCATAGAAGATGAAAGTAATTATATCAGGTGTAATAAATAAAATAGAAAGAATAAAAATAACATCAACTATCTATGATAGATCCAACTAAATATTAGTAAACTTAATATGAAAGAATGCATCTTAAAAAGATGAAATCAGAGGTAAGGGAGATGAAACATTAAGATGCATTATTAATGAAAAATTCCATTAAATTTGAATTGATGAGAACAAATTAAGAGCAAATTAAAATTGCCTAAAATCTCAAATTAAAAGCTTCATTAAAGAAGGAAGAAGAAAAATTATCATAAGCTGTGATTTAAGAAAAATTATATGAGAAATAATAAAAAGTGAGATTAGAATAAGAGAGAGAAAAATAAAAAATTATTATGGAAAATGAAAAATAAGAGTATTCAATCAAACAATTAGAAGCATAAGAATTAAAATTAGTTGAAAAACTACAAGCAACATAATAAAGAGAGTAAGCTGTTAAAGAAAAATTAATGGCAGCCACAAGATTGGCTCCTGAAGATTTTGATAGAACATATTTAGGAGGTCAATCAATAATATGTGAATAAGAAAAACAAGTAAAAATATATATTAAATAAATAAGGAATAAAAATAAGAAGAATTAAAAGAATAGTAAGAATAATAAGAGGGAGGTTAATAAGAAGAAGGAGGTTAATCTGGTGAAGGAGGTTAAGGTACATAAACTGAATGATTTGATTTATAATGAAGAAAATCAGTATATATTTCACAAGTAATTTTCTTAATTCAAAATAATATTAATAAAATGGATAGATCAACTCATTCAAATGCTAGACCTGCTAGTGGCAGCAAAGATAAAAATGACTTAGGTAAAAAGGAGCATGTCATTGCTTAGTTAGAACAAATTCTAATGGATCGTTTGAGAACTACAATCAAAGATATTGAAGTAACTGATTTTTGATATATTAATCAGGTTGAATAAGAAAAATAAATGAAGTAAAAATAAGATCAAGGAAAAAATGATTAAGTTGCTGTTGCCTTATGGTCAAAAATTAAGGGATGGGCAACTGAATAACCATTTAGTAACTGATTTAATTTAAATTTTTATAGAAAAAATAGCAATCTAGATTGCAGATAATCAAAAAATACCATAAGAAGCAAGATAACGATTCTCTAAACCCTTTTAAGATTAACAAAAATTGATTATGAATATAGAATAGGATAAGTCAAAAGTTAAAATTAAATTAAACGAATACTATTAAAATTTGGCCAAATCAACACAAGATAATTTGAATTCTGTTAATGCTAGTTTAGGTAGATTAGCAGCTGCAGGTTGTTGTGGAAAAGGGGAAGCTTTGAGAAATTTTGAAAATGAATACAGAAAAATAGAATTAGATTTCATTTAATGGGCAGCATTACCTAATTTAGAAAATAATAATGTAGATATTTTTGTAGTTAAAACTAATCTTAATTATGATGATTTTAGATAATTCCTAATTAAATCTTTAAATGATTATTTTCCAAGTGCAGCTGGAGAAACTAAGATTATTGAGAAACCTGTTGATAAAATAGTATATATAGATAAACCAGTTGATAAAATTGTATATGTAGATAAACCAGTTGAAAAAATTGTATATGTTGATAAACCTGTTGAGAAGAAAGTTATTGAATATGTTGAGAAAGTTAAAGAAGTTCCTGTTTATAGAGACTAACCTATTTAAGATGATAGATTAAGAACAGCGCATGAAATGCTTTATGGTATTGGAAGACCTTAAAATGTTACTGAAGCTTTAAATTTGTACTATGAATTGGCAGAAGTTAATTAAGATGTTAATGCTTTCAATATTATAGCCTAAATATTTTCTGAAGGTAAGATCTTTCCAAAGGATTTGAACAAAGCATATACTTATTGGGAAAAGAGTGCTGCATAATAAAATGCGGAAGGACTCTATAGAATTGGTCGTTTACTATTAGATTAATTAATTGATGGATAAATGTTATCTTAAGGGAAACTATAGACAAGAGATGAATAGAAATCAGAAGCAGTTGTATTCTTTTAATAAGCAAGTGAATAAGGTCATTTAGATGCTCTTGTAGATTTAGGAGAGATATTTGAGAATGGACTCAAAAGTGAAGATGGTGAATCATGTAAATATTATATATCTTATATATTTTAGATATATAAGAACCTAATTTAGATTCAGCTGAATTTTACTATACTTAAGGAAAGAAAGTCAGATATCCTAGAGCTATTAATGCATTAGGGCTCTTTTATTATAATCATCCAGAATTTCAAGAAAAGGTTGTAGGAAATAATTATCGTAAAGCCCTTAAGTATTTTGAAATAGCCAAAGAGCTTGGTTATGCTAATTCACTTTATTGGTTGGCTTAATGTTACGAATTTGGATATGGAGTTGGTGTCAATTAAGAATAAGCTAAAAGTTATTATAAAGAAGGGGCTTTGAAAGGTGATGTTGCATGTAGACTCTAATATATGCATTATGTAATGAAAGATTGTAGTAATTCAGGAAAGTAGGAAGATTATTTATTTGCACATTAATATTTGATTCAAATTATGATCTAAAATCCTGAAATTACAGAAGTTTATTTCTATTTAGGGCATCTTTATGAATGTGGATTTGGAGTATAAAAGGATCCACAAAATGCAATTCATTATTATTTTAAAGGTGCAAAATTAAAGAATCCTTCTTGCATGACCAAATTAGGAGATTGCTACCATAGTGGATTTGGTGTTCCTCAAAATTAGAGAGAAGCTCTTAAATTTTATAAAGAGGCTGCTGAATTGAAGGATTCAGAAGCATTAATTAATATGGGTCTTATATATGAATAAGGATATGAAGGAGTTAGTATAGATTATGCAAAGGCTTTTAATGCTTATGAAGAATCTTCAAAATTAGGTAATGCAAAAGCTGATTTCCATTTGGGTTTAATGTATGAGGCTGGTAAATATGTTAAAAAAGATGTCAATTATGCTATTTAAAGATATTAGAAAGCTGCTTAGATGGGTTGTTAAGAGGCTAGGGATCTACTTAAAAAAAAATAGATACCCATGTTGTATGATGATTCAGTTAGTGGAAATATCTTTTAAGAAATGGGTATAAAATTAATATATATTTTTAGGTATCCATGCTGCCAATAGAGATGCTATTATGCTCAATTAAGTTATACCTTAAATATAAAACCCTTTAGTTATTAATATTGGGAAAAAAACTAATTAATCAATTATTGCTTATAAATCTTAACATTAAGAGATGGGTGAAGGAAAAATGGTCAGTATTTTAGCACATCCAAATGCAACTTAATCTAATTATGTTTAAAGTCATTATTAAAAACCAGGCTTTTAACATTGAAATCAAAGCAAATGATTTTTTTATATAATAATTTAATGAAATGAATTAAGTTCTTCTTCTCAATAGATTACAATTTAAATTTATAGTAAACTAAAAATCAACAGCAAATATATAATATTGTAATTTAAATAAATTTCCCTTTATTCTAAACAAATATATATTTCAAATGTTTCAAATTATTGAATGAATCATAATTAGATAAATTTAAAAATTATTATGTAGGAATTAGAAGAGTTCTTAGAAAAATAAAAAGACTTAAATATCAAAATGATGAGAGATATGTTACAAACACAAAGTCTAATCCAGCATAATTTGTCTATTGGATTAGACTCTTTAAAAAAGTGCATCGAAAATTTACCTAATAAAATTGTCCCTAAATAGGGATTGTAATCTAGAATCACTATACAAAGACAGAAGTATTAGGTTTATTTGAATTAGCCAACATCAATTTATTTTAAGTCAATTGGGTCATAAGAATTTTATATCCTACTTGAATTTAGAGGAAGAGATCAAGGAAATATATCGAGAGAGGATGTTCAATTTGTCTGTTAGTATGAGAGATATGAATGGAGATCTTATAGAGGATGAGGACTGTCCTATATTTTTAAGAATGTAAAATTCCCTTATAAATCAGATACACATCGGAGAAATTTCCAAAAGAAGTTTATTCCAACATTAGAGGAAAACCAATATTTAAAGGATAAACATAAATACTTCTCAGAGGAAAAGGTGAATTTTAAAGAATCTCAATCACTGAAGTTTTATCATCATATAAATATTATATTAGGTTTCCTCTCATTTCCCTTCAGGAAAATTTCTTTTAGTGATATTTTCTGAGAAATAATACGTCAAACCCTACATAATTGATAATTTAATTGTTAAAGCGAAAAAATTGCTCAAATGAATTATTATAATTTATATAAAATATTATTAGAAATTGTTTTATTTATATTAAAATATATTTCTCTTAATAAATATTCTGATAATAAATTTTTGATGTAAAACTATAATTAATTAATTCAAACTTGATTAATGTAAATTAAATAAATTGTCATAATAGAAATATTATTTTAAGGAAGTTTACTTTAGCAATAATAAGGTTGAAAATGTATTTATTATTATAATTATATTAATTTATTACAATAAAAATTAACACAATAATTAATATAAACTAAATTTTTATAATGGTAACTCTACTATTTAATATGAGAATTAAGCATTATTAGTATTTAAGAATAAAAATATTGAAATTAATCTTTATAATTAAATTATATTAAAATTTGAACAAAAAAGATTGATAATAATTTATATCTTCTATTTATAAGAAATATATGATTTTTTTATTATATTAATACATAATCTTTCTGGAATTATACTATATTTTATGGGGTTGGAAAAGAATTATCTGGTGTATTTTGAAAATTTCTAAGGGATTTTAATTGGTAGAAACTATTATTATAAGTGAATTTGTAGCCTTTTTTATGGATATTGTAATTTTTATAATTTAAAATTATTGATATGATTACTTAATTACTTTTTATTAAATTTAACCAACATATTTTAAAATGTTGTCTACCTTAAGTAATCTTACAAAAAGTCATTTTTACACCTTCAATTAATGATTTTAATAATAATTATCTATAAACATATATATTGATTAATTTAATTAATTATAAAAATCCAAGATATAATTATAGAGTAAATTAAAGAACAAAAAAAATATATTTTTGTGACATTATTTTTCAGTTGATTTATTATTGCTACAAATATAATAGATGATCAAGTATAAGTTTAAAATTTAAATAATTTCTTTGTATTTATATATTACTTTTAGGAATCATCTTATAAGATATAAATCCATCTTTTGATGAAATTGAGTCTTATAGGATCTAATTAATATTCAAATTTAAGCATTTGGGTGAATAGTAAAGAACTTTATTATCATATCTCTTTTGTAACTGTTAGACAAAGAGGATATGTTAAATTGAATAGGAATTATTATGCCACATATAAAAAAAGTATTTTTTTCAGAATTAGGAATAATTTAGAATTATCCATAACTACCAATTTAACTTTAGAACTTGAAAAAGTTAACAATCTCCTTATTACTATTAAAATAATCCATAATATCAACTTAACAACTATTATAATATATATCTATATTTTTGATATATATTCTAAAATGGAAGGAACTTATTAATTCAAACATTTAAATCATTTATCTTCCTATAAGAATAATCTATTGATTCAATAAATTCAGAATCTATAGATATTAATTAATTACATATAGAATTACTCTTCCATTAGATATTTAATATATTAAAAAAAGAGATCAAATACAATACAATAATTTTATTTAATAATATTATCATATAACAATTAATTTGAAGATTTCATATAATATACTTTATCGTTTAATAGTAACTAAGATTTTTTCCTTAAAATTCAATTTTAGTCCTTAAATACTACTGTAATGTCATTAAACTTATTATAAATATGTAATTCTTAAGTATTTGAGATGAATAAATATTTATTTAAGACTTGTCTTTTAATGATAGTATTTAATTTATATTTAATTTATAAAACAATGAAATCGAAAAAGAAAGAAAAGTCATTAATCAAAGAGCTTGATGCAATTAGATCTTTAAAAAATGAAAGCATAGATTTGAGAGAGTTGGAAGAGAAAATGGTTAAATTAATTGAAAAAGCAGCTCAATATTATCAAGATTAATTGGATAATAATATGGCTTAATTTTATTTTGAATATGGTAGTATTTTAGTTTAAATATTGGAATAATCTTAAGATTCTGTAGAGAATTCATTAAATTGTGTAGAGATATCAAGAAATGATAGAGAATTGAAAAATACACAATTGGCTTTTGAAAATTTAGAAGCAGCAAAAACAATCATAAGAAATAGATTGGATAAGTAAAATATAGAGATGTATAAATTATAAGAATAATTGCAATGTAAATATAATTTATATATTAAAAATAGAGATTAGATCGAAAATTAATGAGACTGAATTAGAAATGAGTTTAATTTTGATAAGAATAGGTGATCTTTAAACTTGGAGAGAGGATTATAAGGATGGATTATTAAATTTTTATGCAGCATTAGATATATTGAAAAATTCATATAATTATAAAGAACTTAGTGCAGTACATTTTAAAATTGGAAATGCAATTCTTTTATAAAATGATAATGGTTGTGAAAAATTGAGTTTAAATCATTTAGAATAATCATTTCGTTATTGTTATTAATAACTCTATAATAAAGAATGTGATTTAGATTTAAGTGAAAAGAATTTATCAAAGATTATTCTTGATAATGATTTATTAAAAATGTTAATAGAAAAAATAGAAGATACTTATATTTAGTTAAATGAAGTAAATGCATGTTAAAAAGAGATAGAAAAATGGAAAAATTCAGAACCAATTTTGTAACAGGAAATATAATATTTAGGAAAAATAAGTAGATAATCAAATGAAATAAATGGTATTCAAATAAAAAGAAAAATTTGAGCTTTATTAATTATTATTTTCTGTTTTTCATTTTTAATTATTAAATCTAATGAATAGAAATGGACTTGAAAAAATTTGTAATTAAGCTACAAATTTTTGGAAATAATAATTCATTCCATCACCTAAATAAGATTAAGATGTTTCAACTAATGTTGGATCTAATATCTTAGAAGAATAATCTATTTTTGAGATATCTGCCAAAAAAACCGAATAATATCTCTTTCCTGATATTGAAAGATATCACTTTAATATTGAAAAATGTGAATAACAATTTCCATAAGATTTATTATAACAACCTCAATAATTCGAATTGGAAGATAATTATGAAGCAGAAGCTAGTTGTTCATAATGTTCAGATTGTTAAAGCAAAAGAAAAGACAAAAAAAAATTAAAACCAAGATCTTGCAAATCAAGTAATTATATTAACTATATAATAGCAAAATAAAGATTTACAATATCTGAAGAGGCATTCATTATGGAATAAACTAGAAAAGGAACTAGCTTTACAGATATTGCATAATAAATACCAGGCTCAACTGTCAATTAAGTCAAACATCATCTTCTAAAAAAACTAAAAATTTGTAGTAAAAACACTGATCTTTAAGGAGATAATATTGCTGAAATTATCTTAAAAATATAATAATTATAACAGTAATCAGTATTAATATTTTAGAAATGAGAATATAGATAATGCTGTTAAAATTTAAGAACTCAGATAACATATATCATTTATAGAAAATCATTTGCATCACACTAAGTAAATGATTCTATAAAAATATATGATGTTATTTCAATAATAATGACAATGAGTAGATATCTTTCATATTTTAATCATTTAAGTAGAAATAGAAGATTATTTCATAATATTATTTACTTATTAAATTTCAATTTCTAAGAATGGAAGTTATTTGTTCCTTTTAATTATTTTACAAAACAGAAATTTAAATTAAATCTCTTTATATCAATAAGTCTATAATAATAATATATATTTTTATTATGCTATTTTCTATAAATAGTGAAAATAATTTTCAGAAGAATTCTAAATAAACTCTTTTTGTGAAATCATTAGTTCTAAGTTTTTAAAAGAAATCCTTAATTTCAGTTTCATTTGTAAAAAATCTACTTTCTTATGAAACTTAGGATAATTATTTGAGATAAAGCATATTCATATTTTAATTTGCAATATTGAAAACTAGTAAATGAATATTCTTTTTTTCTATTAAACTCTTCAATCTATCAATTGACATTTAATTATAATTATGAACTCCCTCACTAAATATACAAACATATCTAATAGTATGTTCATCTTTTTCTTCATCAATGTTATCAATATCAACTTTATATTAATTCTATTAAAGATTATCTTCAATTCTTACCATATTTTCATTTAAACTAACATTATCAAATTGTTATTCCTCATATTACTTCATTGCTTAACTAAAACCTCCTGAAAATGTCTTTCCTACTCTTGGAGAACTAGTCTTACATCTAAATTCCATATCAGAACATCTGAATTCCTCTTATTCAATTTGTTATTTAATTTAATTAGATTTTAAATGTAAAGATAATTATTTGCTTTATTCAGGCTTATCTTTCTCAAACAAAGAAGCTATAGTAATTTCTAAAGCTGAGAAGATGTTACCTTCACCTCCTGGCTTTATTAAAACTTTCTCTATAGTAGATTCTAATAGTTTTTTGTAGGTTCCTTTTAATTACAATGGGAATATTTCATGTAAAGATTCATTGAATGCATATAGTCCAACAAATGAATCATCATTTAAAGATTAAACAACATTTTGACACATATGATGAGATAATGTAAATTATTCTGTAGTCATTTCAGATGAGTAATCAAGTAGAAATATTAATTCAAGTCTTTTTAATTAATTTTATTATGAAAATTTGATCAAACAATTATGATCAACATTACATCTTTTAAATATTTTAGTTAATGTTTTTAATACGAATTTCTAAAATCCAGGATCATAATGACCTTCAGCTTTTAGAATAGAAATAAATTTATAACAAGCTTCTACATATTCTCCTCTAATCATTAATAATGATGCCTAAATATAAGTATATATATACTTCTAATCCTGTTAATTTTTCTCTTAAAATTTCTAAAGGAATTTCTCTAAAAATATCTACAAAATCAAATATTTCAAGTTATTAGATTTCAGTTTTATTTGCTTATAAAATTCTTAATTTTGTTTCAGCTTCTTCTAATTCCAATCTTGCTTTTTCTAACATTCCAGCTCTTGCAAAACAAAATGCTTTTTTTGTTAGAATATTTATTTTCATATATTAAATAGAAAATGAATCAGGTAAATTTTAGAGATCGTCCATAATATCATTAAATTATTTAACACTTTCATTTAGAAATGTTGATTATGATTTTGTCATACTATAATTATAAAGAATACAAGCTAATTAGTATTTTCTAAAGACAATTTTATGTTCAATAATAACTTATTTCTTTGAGTATTCTTCATTATTTTTTATTTTAGTAATGGGACTATATTTCTTAGGAGTTCCTAAATTTTCTAATCTTTCACTTAGTAAATCAGAATTTTCTTCTTTTATTGGATTTTTTTCTTCTTATAGAGGTTTTCTTAACCAATTAGGAGTTTATCTAGGTGTTTATTAATGTTATATATGAACTTCAGATTCAATAGAACTCTTTAATTAAGTAGTTTCATTTTGATTTTTAAATTTTTAAGTAGTTGGTCTTCTAACAATACCATTCTGAGAATTTTATATTACTTTTGTTTTACTTTCTAAATCTTTAATCACTTCTTTCATGACTTTTTCTTCTTGTCTTTGGAATTTCTATAAAACATTATTCTTCAATCTAAGATATAATTTAATTAGTTATTAATCATCTTATGGTTGTGCTGCCTGATTTGCATATTATTCCATTTCTTTTAAACTTTATAGATCTTAATTAGCTATTAGAACTGACTCTTCCTATTCATTCATAGCTTCAAGGTATCTTTAATTTCTCATATGAATTTTAGCAATGTTATTGGCACAAATACCTACAGCAGGATTATTATAATATTTTTTATAGAATCGTTTAGACATACTTAAAATAATTAAAGCTTCAGCTTCATCCATATCTTTAGATCCCTACAATAATTTATTATTTGAATATTTAATGCTATTTAAATAATTGATTATGACTTCATAGAATTTCCTTATTTCTTTATTGTTAAAGAGATCTTTATAACTCTCTAAATTAAAATCTTGAACTTCAAGATATTTCATATCAACTTTAGTTAATTTAATCAATTAATTAATAGGAACCTCTAGAGAAAGTGCAATTACAACACCTTTTCTCCAGAAATAAAATAATAAAACTAAATGCAAAGCACAAGCAATAATAATTTCATTCATTAATACTGCTGTAGCTTAATCATTTTGACCTGCCAACTATAAATAATATGATAATGACATTGATTATAGATAGATCATAGAACATTTAGTTATTATATCTTTGGTTAGAGTAATATTTGGATAGTTTGGATGTACAAAATAATATGAAGAAAAAAATACAACTCTTTATTCTCCCATTCCATCATATAACATTCTCCATTATCTAAATTCTATAGGGACTGTAACTAATGTATAGAGTTGATCAGTAAAATCATCAGTTTAATTTGGCCAAATTGATAAGGCATCTTCTAATGTACTATTAAGTAGTTATCCATCAGAAATGATATTAATATTTCCATTTGTTAAAAATGAATTAATAACTGGTGTACTTGAATTAATTATTGCAAGTTCTCTTTTCTTTTAAACATGTAATTTGCATTCATAACCTTATTTTCCAGCTCTCAATCTCCAAACTTCATTATTTAAGTCTAATTTAGGATATGCAATTTGTGAAGAATATTGACTAATATAATCAAAACAATCATTATATGCTTTACAATTTGATATCGAAGTTTCATACCAATCCTTTGATGAATTGACACCTTCACTATAAAAGGATATACCTAATCCATTTTGACATAAGAAATGAAAATGATCAAATGCATTATTTTTAGCATATATATGTATTAATTTTGATAAAGGAGAATAATATTTTAATAGTTAATATTAAACAGTATAGTTTCTTTACAATAATTACAAATTAGTAATATTATTAAAATGCCAATCTATTTAAAGTAAGCTCTGGTCATCTAATTATTAATAATCTTCGATATAATTTATAATATTTGAAATTGCATAAAGGGAATTAATATTAGGTCTATTTGATCTTCCATAGTAATATCTGGCAAATCTTATTTTACTCTAATCTAAAATTATTATCTAATACCAAAGAAGTCTCATTATAAATTCCTTAAGACAGTTTTTCGCTTTCAATTCTATATTCTTCATCAAAATATTAACCTAATAGCAAAACTAGACTAAATAGAAAATAGTAGAGTGATAAAAACACAATCATCAAAATAAGCTTAATTCTCAACTTCATGAAATTAATATATTATAATAAAGAATGAATTATATCATAGCTAATTTAAAAAATTCTTAATATTATGATTATGTATCTAATAGAGTTATTGAGAGTGTATATATCATTAAATTCTTAAGTCATCCATTATTTAAGAATTTCAGTATTCTCTCAAAGAATTTATAATAATTATTATTATTGATATCCTCTAAACAGTTTATATACTATTATTAGACTTTTCGATTATAATAAGAGAGATTCTTTCGATATAAAAGTTCCCATTGAATATAAATATATAGATTATTATAAATTGATCATAATTTAACTTCGTTTTAAATTGTATACATTTCCATTACTTGTTCCTCTTATTTCTTTGAGCAATATTTATAAAGTAATATAGTCAAAACAAAACTTAATAAAATAAAAATTGCAAGAAGCCACCAAATATGTTACTTTTTATTATTTGAATTATTATTTATTTTGATTTATTAGTCTTAACCTTCCTTAGAACTCTATGTAACATAAATGGAGAATTATTAATTTTCAAATAATTAATTCATTTATGTTTGATTGAGTTAACTAACATTAATTCTAAAGAGAATTTTATTAGTATTTTGAATTAAATATTTATCAAATTGATATTCATAAGTATTATTAATTCTACTTTATACAAAATATGATTAGGGTGGTAATTTTGGATCTGGATTTCTTTGAGTTTTAAAATTTTGAACATCACATTAATAACTAATTTCAAATAAATCATTTTTTGTAATATTAGGAACTACATAACCTTTATTAAACTGATCCCAAATTCCTGTAGTATTTTAATCTTTAATTATACTTGTATTATCACTTCTTATAATTGTTAATTTTGTAATTGAATAACAACCACCAAAATTTAAAATTAATTCTTTTTCTCCATCCCATTTTACAATTAGATAGGGTTTAACTAAATCTATTAAAGATAGAGAAGCCATGAAATTTCTATTTATATTACCATAACTTTATTGATACTTAGTTAGTATCTTTTCATCATAGAAATGTAAAGGAGGCCAATTTTATAATATTTGATTAGTTGTTTCAATAGTTCCTAGAGTATTACTTTTAGGTTATTTTTAAAATCCTGCTTCAATTAAGTAAGTCAATGCTCTAGCATTAGAAGATGGTTTACTATATTCTTCTGAATTTCTATTACCACAAGAATTAGTTTTTTCCCATCCTGCTGCATATGCCCAATCTTCATATCCACCATTTACTTCATAAACTAAATCAGTCATTCTACCCATACTATATTTTTGAATTTAAAGATGAGTATTTTCAGCTGCTATATCTTTCATAATCCTGGCAATCATTTCCATAGCATTATCATCTGGAGATTCAGTGGCTAATCCATTTTATTTATGATTATATGTTCCCCATGAATATGATATACTCTAAATGTAATAATTTAGAAATTTACATTATCACCTCCATGAAAAGTAATTCCTAATTAAATTATATATTTGTTGTAAACTTAAGCTAAACCTCTAGCAGCATTAGTCTAAAAACAAATACTTGATGGATTATCAATATTAAAATCTCTATTAGCATCTTTTCCCATTTCCTCTCTTACTTTATGATAATATCCATAAGGATTTACCATAGGATAAAGTATAATTCTTCTATTATTCAAAAATTCTAATTTTGATTCACTTGTAAGATATTTGGCCAATTCTGTGACAACATTTTATCCAATAACTTCATCTCCATGAAAACCAGCAGCTATTAATACTGTTGGTAAATCATTAACATTTGGATTCTAAGCAAATTCAGCATAAAAAAATTAGCATTCTTCATCTCCACAATCTAAATATCTCAAATTATCTAAATTCTTAGTTGGATAATATAATTTAAAGATATCAGTATGATCTACTTCTAATTTTTTAAAGGTATCTATGATTTCTTAATATGAGTAATATTAATAAGCTGAAATCAATGACAATAATGTTAGAAATAAAGAATTCATTTTATTTTTAATATTATACTTATTTATTAAATATAATATATATCATCAAATAGATTTTATTCTTAAATTATATAAAGACTTGATATGAATAGATATCTATTTTGTATATAAAAATTAATACTTCTAATAAAATCATTATAAAATTAATTTCCTGTATTAATTTAATTAATGATTGAAGAAGAATATAGACCTGAAGATAAGGCCTCTATAAAAAAGAAATACAAAGTATTTTAAACTCTAGCTTCAATGATTAGATAAAGAGGTTACTTTGAATCTACACCAGTTATTCTTGTTGAAGATGAATCTTTTGAATTATTTGAAGCTAAATATCGTACTCAAACTTTACCATAAAGTATTGTATGCTTTAAAGTATTTTAATTAATAATTTAATAGAGAGAAGATGAGACAGATAAATTACTTATTATTTTTTACACTAAATAAGCAGCTCTAACTTTTGAAGAAGCAAAAAAATATGTTCAAGATTTTACTAATCGTTAAGTTAAGAGTCTAATAATGGTATTTCCAACTGACCCTTTTGCAACTAAACCATAAATTGTTGATAAAAAGGCAAGATTATTTATAGATTAAGTCAATTCCACTTAAACTTACTCATTTGAATTATTTGGAGAAGATGATTTAGTATATGATGTTACAAAGCATGAATTAGTGCCTTAACATATAATCTTAAATGATAATGAAAAAGAAGTAAACTTAAATATGATAAAATTTAGTTATTATTAAAAAAATATGGTTTAGTGGATAATTAATTGCCAAGAATTTTATAAAGCGATCCAATAGCAAGATTTTTAGGACTTCATCATGGTGATGTAGTAAAGATCATAAGAAAAAGTGAAACTGCAGGATTATATGTTACCTACAGAATAGCCATATGATTTGATATATAAATTAGCTAATGTCAAATAATATATAAGTGTCAAAGTTTTAATTCATTTTAAAACCATGTGTACAAATTTAGAAGATTCAGAACTAAATTTTACATGTTTTGGAGTTATCTTTTCATCAGAACTTGAACTATGAAATGAATCTCTATTCTTTAAAATACCCTTTCTCTCTATTGATTCCTTTGAAATATTAAGCTAACTTGTATTTTTATTTATAGAAGCAACTCTTTAACGACAAAATCTAGATTCTTTCTAAACTGTTTTAATATCTCGTTGTTTTAGTCTTAAAGCAGATCCAATCTCTTAATCTAGTGGAATATCTGACTAAATTATTTAACTTGGAGGACTTTTTGTTGCTTTCTCAATATCTGCTTTTGTCTTAATATCTAAAGTACTCAATCTCTCATAATTTTCATATAATGCAACAAAATTTGATTAAATTTCCAAGTCTAAATCACTTGACATTAAATTAAAGATAATATATAATCTAAAAACCTTTATTAAAGATTAGAAGAGTAAACTTAATTATTGATATACAAATGAATAATAATCAATTAGATTAAATATTTTATGGTAATTAAATTTTGAATGTTTCATATATCAAATCATTTTGAAAGATTTAATTTTTTATCCTTTCATCAAAGCCATCTTTGCTAAACTTCTAAAAATTATTTAGATTAAATTTCATAATCTAAATGCGTATAAATAATAAGTATCATACAAATTGATATTCAAATCAAAATTAGTGTCAATTCAACTTTTTTATAATAGAAACATATATACCATATTAGATAATCTCAGACCAATATGATATTCCTACTATAATCAATCAACAAAAAACTAGCAAATATAAATCCAATAATTCCACCTAAATATAATCCTATATCTAACTATTCAAATCTTAGGAATAATTATAATACCTTAAACTTAATTCATAATATTTACTTAATAAATATATAAAAAGAATATTCAAATTCTTATAAAATTAAAAATGATAAAACTTATGACTTATTAAGGTCACTCTATTTGAATGTTAATTTTGATTCAAAAATGCCCTTAACATATTCGATATTTTAATCATCTTAAGACTATTGATTCTAAGTAAATATTAATAAACTTTTTGACAAATTAATTCTTAAAAAAATCTTTAGAGATATAATAAAAGTTCTTATTTTGTTGAACTTGTACTTAATTCTTAAATAAATTCAATAGGAATGTTTATTCAAATTTTATTTAATGAAATACCATAGATTTACAAACAACATTTTTTCAGTTATGAAAGAATATTAAAATATGAAATTCTTTATGTTGTATATTACCAATTTAGTAAATATTATTCTAATCAATTTGATATTCAGGATAATGATATGAATTAAGTTTCAATTTATGCCACTTAATTAACTTTTCCATTTAATTATCATTCAAATGATAATCTAATAGGAAACATTGGCTATTTAAATCTGAGATGTCTACTATAATAGTTATACATCATTATTCTCATCATCATGCCATAGGATTTTACTTATTCATTTTCTATCTCCATTATTATTTATTACTAAGTATTCCACTTTTCTATAAAATCTAATTGTATTTTCAACTTTGATTCCTGTTAATTAATTAATCAAGTATTTCTCTGTTGTTAATGTTAATCCTTAACATATTCTTTAATTCAACAACCTCTTTTAATCTGATATAATACTAATATTTCCTACCTTTAGAATTCAAGAGCAAAAGGAATGCTATAAACACTGTTGTTTAGGCTAACTATTAAGGTTTATCAGTTAAAGTTTATTCTATTATTATCTTTTGATTTTCCTCAAAAACTTTTATGTCACTAAGTAGTGATTAAAATTCAGCATAATGAGAAATTTCATTTTCAGCTTCGCTCAGTAAAAGTAACATCTATTCATTTGTACCATCATCTATTGTCTCTACTATTGCAAGTATTTATTCGATACAGGGATGATATTCAAATAATAATGCTCCTGCTTAAAATATTAATTCCTATTAATATAATTCATTCCTAGAATAGTATTTCCTTAAAAGTAATCCTCAATAATAACCATTATAATATTCTCACTTTATCCTATCTATAAAATGAAAATAATAAAAGAAATATCTATAACATTTTATAATTATCATACCTATAATATTAAAAACTATATAACAATAAATTTTTGATTTCCATTCAACTTTATAATGTGAATAAATTAGGGATCCATTTATCATCAATAAAAGTTAAATAAGAATATTTCTGATTTATGTATAGAACTGGATTTAATGTGAAATAAATAATAAATTAGACAGATATATAAAGGAAAGTCAGAAACTTATACAAATTTATTTATAAAACTAATTCTCTCATTTAATAAGGATATGTCTAAAATGATATTAAACATATATTCATAATATTATTTCATTATTTGATTCAAAACATCAATAATAAGTAGAACATTTAGAATCTATTTTTATTAAAAGCACACTAATTCTATTTAACACTTTTTCTCTTAAGAACCAATTAAAAATACATCATTAAATTGAAAATAAATAATATAATTGTAAGTGAGAACTTCAATTATCCTATGGTAGAATCCAATTTAATCGTAATGGTTAAAGAATATACATTTATTTGGAACTAAAGGTTAAATAATCTAATTAAAAAAAGTTTGATCGTTTTTGTTATTTTATATTTATATTACAAAGAATTGACGCATTTATTAATAAAATGAGCAAACAATATAAAAGCATAAATGATTTGCCAGATTGGGTTAAAATGATCACAGGTGGTATTGCAGGAAGTGTAGCAGAGGCTATTACCATTCCAATTGATACAGCTGTATGTTATTTATTAATATTTAAAAATAGAAGGTACGTCTATAAATCCAAAAACCAGATGCAAATGGAAAATATAGATATCATGGATTATTAGATACAACTAAGAAGATATATAGTGAAGAGGGAGTATCAAGTTTGTTTAAGGGTCTGACAGCAGGAATTTAGAGACAATTAGTGTTTGCATCAATCCGTATTGGATTGTATGAACCTGTAAGAAATAATATTTGAATTTAAAGACGCGTGATTTCTTTTGTGGCAAAGATTTTAAAGGAGACCCTCCCCTGTCTAAAAAGATATATGCAGGTCTAGCAACAGGTGGAATTGGTATTTCAATTGCAAGTCCATTTGATGTGATAAAAGTGAGATTTTAAGTGGATGGAAATCTACCAGTTGAATAACGTCGTTATAAAAACTTGACAGATGCATACATTAAGATTTATAAATAAGATGGGTAATAGATAATAAAATAATTTAAGGTTGCATGGATTTTGGAGAGGAGTTACTCCAAATATTATTAGAAATGCTGTGATTAATTGTGCAGAATTAGCTACATTTGATCATATTAAGGAATCTTTAATTAAGACTGGGTTATTCCATGAAGGATTAACATGTCATTTTGCATCAAGTGCTTGTGCAGGATTTATTGCAGCAGTTGTTGGATAGCCAGTAGATTTAATTAAGACTAGAGTTATGAATTAAAATGTTGGTGTTTTAACTGTTGTAATGAATATCATAAAAAATGAAGTAAGAATTATAAATATATAATTAATAGAGATTGTTAAATCTATATAATGGATTTTCAGCAAATGCAGGTAGAATTATTACATGGAATATTTGCATGTTTGTTACATTAGGTTAAGTTAGATTATTTGCATTAAATAATTTCTATAAATCACCTGAATGATCTAAATTTTATATATAAATCATGAAAAATAATTGAATAAGTTTTCAATTGGTTCCAATTAAAATAATTTAATATTTGAAATTGTTAATATTTGTTAGAGCCCTTTTAAGGTTTCTTTACTTAAATAAACATTTAGTCTTTTTACAGATTCTTAGACAGGAGTTTCAGCCTTTTTCTTATCTAATAGAATATCTATCCAACATCCTTATATTGAGGCAATATCTAAAGTATTATAATGAGAAAAGTTTTGCAATAAAAACTAAATAAATTAATAGTATAAATACTTTAATATCTTTATGAGTAATTGTTAATGATTTAATAATAAGTTTATCAACAAGAACAGTTGGAAATTTCATTGAAGATTTCAAATCACAAACATTTTCTAATATAATTGTCTTTAATTTCTTATGATTTTATAAATCTACTCCTTTTTTGAAATCTAAATAGAGAACTTCTAAGTCTAATTACTATTATAAAAAGAAATTGAGTGAATCTACAATTCGATTATCTACAATAGTAATTTTTATATATAATTTCTTAAGTTTCATATCTATTGATATCAATTTTTCTATTAATTAATTTTAATCATTCTTGACTTCTAATTTAATACAAGTGATTTTATGTTTCATTAGTTCTATCAAAGCCAAATCATGAATTTCTTATTCTTTTATTATAAATTCTTCTATTGATGAATTTAATAGAATTTCTTAAACATCTTAAGATATTTATGGTTAAGGAATTCCTCTAAAATCAAATTTTAATTCTAATGCTCTTAATCCAGTATTTAATTTCATTAACTCAGCAATATCTTCATAACTTCTAAACCATAAATGAGTAATTTCTCTAATTTATGGTCTTTTCTTTTTACCCACTAAAGATGTCATTTAAACTCGTTTATATAAACATGGATATATTAAATATTTTAAATTTGTGCATTTTGCTAAGTTTAAATGATTGATTAAATACCTATAAATGGTTTAAATGCTTTCATTTTTGTGTTTTATGCTTAAAAATTTAAAGATTCTATTGATAAGATAGAAAAATAATTAAACATTCTACAAACAAAACGACACATCAATTTTTCTTTTGGTGTTAAGAATGCAAATATTTTACAAAATACAATCTTAGAAGATTCAAATATACATTTCTTTTTTGCTCTAGTTTTTCTAATTTTTTTACTTATTTAATTCATAATATTAATAATTATATCAAAATTAGTGTAATTTATCAACTATTTTCTTAATGTTTGAAAAACAATCAATATAGCAATCATCCATTTCTAAAGCCATTGAATATTTGCAATTGAATAGACAATCTTCAATACCATTTTCATATGTTTTAGTAACTTTTTTTAAATAATTTCTTGGAGCTTCTCTCTTTGCCAACCATTTTTCTATGCATTCTTAATCTTAACATTTGGCTATTTCTTAAACACTTCTTATATGAGCTTTCTTAATTAAAGGATTATAATATGATTCAATTAATTATGACCATTTATCATGTATTTCTTTTTCTAATTCCTTAATTTGATTCTTCTTATCCATTAATAATAATTATTATGGATTTGATATTGATAATTTTTACACTAGGATATTTGGTGTAACATGCTGGAGCTTATTTTTTGATTAAATACATTAATGAGAAAAAGAATATTTAAGGATTAGCCTTAGAAACATAAGTGATGTATTTTATTGGAGCTGTGATGAGAATACTTTATATAAGTGACACTAGATTATTAAGTTTCTTTTTAATTTGGATTGAATTGGTAATCTCTATTGTCTTGAGTGCATATATCTTTTATCTTTTTCATAAATATAGGTATATTCATTTTCATTTATTTATCAATAGACATACACGTTTCCATTAAATATCCAATCCATACTTTTCATATCAAACTATCATACCTATATGTTTAATCTTATCATTCTTTTTTCATCCAGGAACTAAGAATGAAAATTACTTTACAGTTCAAATGTTTGTATCTATGAGTATGTTTATTGAAGCTTGTGGCTTATTGCCTCAAATTTATGTGAGGTAATTTTATTTAGAACACAATTAGCAAAAAAATCGGTTCTATTGAGGCAGACATTTCTAAATATCTTGTTGCTATGGGATTTTCAAGAGTTCTTAGATTAGTTTTTTGGGTTATGAATTATATGGCTGGAGAAAAGTTTGTATATTTAATACTTGCAGATGTAATACATACAGTCATAATTGCTGATATAATGTTCATATGGGTTAAAGATAAATAAAAGGGAGCTATTTTAATATGATAACAATCTGTTTAAATAAAATTAATTGTATATCATTATTACAAAATATTAATAATTTTTATGTTAATTACAATGATATTTATTGTAACCATTAACTTTATTTACATAGATGATATCATATAATTAATATAAATATATAAAGGAGAATCATTCTAAAGGTCAATTCAAAGATCTGACCAAAAAGACAATTCACTAAACTAAATTTGAAGAAAAAGCACTAAAATCTGGAGTTACTACACTAAAAAGAGATCCTTAATATATTGAGTCCCCATAAGGATAATTACTATTGTTATTTTTATGTTAAAATGAGAGTAAACTCATTTTCTTTAACGATTCTACTTTATCTAAACCACTTATATAATCAAAGTCTTCTATAAATTTTATTTCTTAATGTTTTGGAGATTATTCAACCATTAATTCAGTTTTATCAATATCCTTTTTTTCACAAGTTTTACAGATTTATCCCATATTAGTATAAAAAATTATATCAAATTATTACAATAAACTATATGAAGAAATTTCAAATACATCATTATAATATTAAAATATCATTTATAATGCAATACAAATTCTCAAATAGAATAATGACCAGAATTCCAAAATGTAGTAAACTCACTATTTTTTTGTACTTTAGGAAAGTCTTCATATTCAGCAATAATATGTTTTTATTCAAAAGATACCTTTTTAAATTAATTTATATATATTACTTTCAAAATGGTTTCATATTTTTATGCTGGACATTTTCTTTATTTCTCTAAGAATTCTTATATTTATTTTTCATTTTCCTCTTCTAATTTACATTTTGTAATATCCAAAATATTAGTAAAAGCCAATAATGTTTCTAAAGTTGGAATATCTAAAGGTTTTAATTTAATGTATGTATTATTTTCAATTACTAAATAATCAAATCTCTATCTAAATTATGTATTCTATATTTAATCATAACAAGAAAATGCATATAATATACGAAGTTCTAATTTAAATATATTATTATTATACATGGTAGTTTTGTAACAAATGCATTAAATACATCTTGTTTAACACAATTTGATTCATATGTACAAAATAATAATTCTAATATTTCAAGATTTTTTATTGATTCTAAAAAATTTAAGAAATTTTAATAATGTTCTTCTTTAAAAGTTGGTCCCCATAATTTTATTTTTAATACTTTTAATTATTCTAAAGGTGGAAATTCACTTGTTGAAAAAAAATTGTTTATCTCTTAAATATGAAATGATAAAGAAACTAAACTTCTACAATTCTCCAAAAAACTTTTATCTTTTATTTCCATTACAGATGATAAATCTAATTATTTAATATTTTCAAGAGGTAACCATTTAAGTGATAAAAATTTATTTATTCCAACAGAATTTATGGATGTATACTTTTGGAAAAACTCTTTTAAATATTCTTATTAAGATTATGAATCATTTAAGAAATCATGGAAAATAACTTAAGTCAAATACTGTGGATTTATATCATCACATAATTTATGTTGATCTGATGAAATTGGAGGTAATTTTATTTTGTTTAATGATGAAAATTGTCCTATAATTATTTACTATAATTAATGTACTGATAAAATTATTGAATTATTGAAACGTTCCTTTTTATACTTATGTGACCAGAAACTTTTTCATAAATTATTAAACTACAGTATTGCATTAATGAGAAACTAATCTCATTTACAAATGCTAAGAAGGTGTTAAAAATTAGAAAATCATATCCAATATACCAGGTATCAATGGGATTATAGATGATTATTCTTCATTCAATTTTACTCTTCTTCTTCCTTTACTAAAATCTTCTTCCTCATCTTCAAATTATTACATCAAAATTTTATTATGCTTTTTATAATTATTTAATAAATTAATTTATATTTTATTGAATTCCTTCTCTTTTAAAATATAAATATCTATAATTTAACAATTAATAATAGTAACAATATTTTATTCAAAAATAGAGTTCTACTTTTAAAGATATAATATATTAAATAAATATAAATAATATATAATGAAATTAATTGAATTCATTGTTTAACTTTTACTATTTTCAAAATGCCTATACTCTTAATATATAGATAATATTTATTAAATATTTATTTTAAATACATATAAAAAGAAGAAAGAAACGATTATTTTATTTAGTATCAAATAAATTTAATGAGTATTTCATTGTCTGATGTGAAATTATTCATTGTAAAAAACAAAGAACCAATTATCATCAATATCTCTCAGGGCCTAGAAACAATATTTCATCTCGAAACATTAGCTGGTACACTAAATTTAAAAAAATTAAGAGCAATCTCCCATTAATATTAATTTACCTTTGGTGGATTCAAAATATCCTTTGAAAGTAAGAGTCAATAACAAATTTGCACAATTTAATCCAAGTGAACTTGATAGCTTCTTATATTACAAGTTGCTACTCTAAAATGGGTAATTAGTAGAAGGAAAGATTTCATCAAATGATGACTACGCTTTAACTTTTAAAATCAGACAAATTGCTAATCCTATGACAAATAATTCATCCATGTTATCAAACTCTCAATCTGTTAAAAACAAACTTTACTCAATAGAAAGAGGAACATCAGAATATTAATCTGCTTCATCTTTAAGACATAGTATACCAGAAGTATCTTTTAGTTAAGCTTAAAGGTTATTAAATTTATATCTATTATAGATTTACAAAAGAATACCTCAATACAACAGAATATAATTACAATTTACCTGGCTCTATTGGAAGTGGTAGAAAAGCAAGTTTTGGTTATGGATCTAAATAAATTGCACATGCATATGTTCAAAGAAATGCAGAATAGAATCCTCCCCCAAATGCTTATTTTCTAGGAAACCCCATATTTTTCCGTAAAGAAAATAAAACTAATTTACCATAAGATGAGAGATGGAAAAATTAAAATGTTGTGACTTTACCTGGTCCAGCTTCTTATGAAACTTCAAATCCTGTAGGGACTGATAAGGTAAATTTAATTTCAAATTATATTAAAGCCTGCAGCAACTATTGGGATAAGATTTAAACCTGTAACTACTTTTAAAGATTCTGTACCAGCACCTAATTCTTATGAAGTCAACAATAAACTCATTGAACAATCCAGATTTAATAAAATTTCATTTGGCTATGGATAAAAAATTGATTTCACAAAAAATAATCAAACTCCAGGCCCAGGTGCTTATGATTAGAAATCTGTGTTTAAAAGAAACACAAATTAGATTATCAAAAATCTTACATAATTACGTCATAATGATTGATGAGTTTTATACAATTAATTATTTTATATAAAATTATTTATTAAGATTGATCTGATACGAAAGCCAGAATAAACTATCTATTTTATGTAATAGATTACAAAGGCTATTATACTTAATGAAAATTATAAAGACAATTGAATTATTTGAGATTATAAATGATAAAATTTATAGTATTAAAATTTTTATTTATTTATTGTATTATTATTTTAAAAGAGTTATTGTAAATAATTCTTACTTTTTAAATTAAAATCATCATAATTATCACAATTTTTATATAAGTTATAAGAATATATTTATTATTAAAATAGAATTTAGATAATTTTAAGTATATTGAATTAAAATTAATAATTGTTATATATTTAATCTAAAACTAAAAAAATTTAGAGTAGTATATGATATCTATTAATTAAATAAATTCATTATTTTAATTCAATATTTTCTTTTCAGAATCTTTATAGCTTTTTTGATATTATTTTCTATTATTGGAGTTGAAAATTCAATCTTAAAGGTTGTTTTGAATAACTAAACAATCTTTTCAGAGTACCTGTTTGATTTAATTACTCAGTTACATTATGAGATCTCTAAAGGATTTCAAGCATATAATGTTTTTATTTTGTAATAAATTTAAATTATATAATTCAATAAAACTTTAACATATTCTACTTTAATTTATATATACTCATTAAATTCATTTGATAATAAATGTAATTGCCGTAATAATCAAATATTTTACTAAAATACTAGCATAAATGTGAGCCATCTTCTTTTAAGTATACCAGTTAATATCAGCATCCAAGATTAAGACTTTACTTATAAAACTGTCAGCTCCACTTACTTAGGGATTGAATTTTTTGATAGCTCCCAATAAAGGTTCAGCTATAGTCACTATACCAACAACTTTTATGTTTTTCTGCTTAAGCCATTGAGTACACTGCTTATGTAGAAGAAAAGAAAAGGAACCCAAAGAATAAGTTCTCTTTCTAGTCAATCTGTAGAATGTTTCAACAGACTTCTTAATATATTTTTTTGGTTCTGAAGCTGCAGTGAATTTTCTAAAATCAAATGTTAATACTTGAATATATCCCATATTTTAAATAGACTATTAGTATTTAATAAGATTATAGAGTTTTAATGGGATATCTGTAATTTTAATTTGTAATAAATTTCAAGTAATGTTCTAGATATATAAATTAAAATTTTGTATTCATTTTTTATTGTTAAATATGTAATTAAGGTTTTAAAGGAAAATAGATAACAGTTTTTAAATTATATATATAAATTATCTATAAAATAATGGATAAATTTGGTACTTCCTTTCAGTCTGTTGAGGGACCAACTGATGGACCTAATCTAAAAAATGCTAGATTGGTAGGGGTATACATTGGAGCTAATTGGAGTGTACCATGTTAAAGATTTACACCTTCATTGAGTAATTAATTAAATTATTGAGCAGTCGAATTTTACAATAAAATAAATGAAGACATATAATAATTCGAAATAATTTATCTTGGAATGGATGAGAATGAGGAGAAATATAAAGAAATAGTAAGTGATATGCCTTGGTTATTTTATGATTTCAAAGAGTTTATAAAATATTAAGTGTATTATGAATATAAAAAACATATACAAGGTAAGAATAAAAAAATATATATAGGAATACCATGTTTACTTATTTTGAATCCGAATAATGGTTAAGTGATTACAAATTAAGGTAGAGGGACAATTGAAAAGGAAGGTTAGGGAGCATTTGAGAAATGGTTAACTTAGATGAGCTTCAAATGATATATATAAGAATAATATTTTTGGATACTATTGTATAATTGTATTCAACATTTCAAATAATCTTCCAAACTTTCTTAAGCATATTAGCCAGTTTTGGCGATGTCAAACACTTTCTAAAATTGCTAATGACACTTAGTATTCCTTTGACTTAAAAATAGTAAAGATTGTATACACTCCCAAAAAGCAATCAATGAATGATAATGCACTATCTTTGCAAAACTCTGGTTCAACATGCTTTCCTAAAGGTGTTGATCTGCAAAGATTAAAACTTTTTCTTTGGTCTTTGCATACTTGATTACCTTTAATTGAATAGATCATTAATGATAAGCTAGATAGTATATTAATAGATACTAAACCTTTCATCATTAGTATATGTATACAAATCTTTTGCAATAGCTTGAGAAGCCATATTTATTCTTATAATATAATTAAATATATATATTTATATATAATATATGAATTATTAACAACGAAACAAAAAAATCTAAACCAATAAAGTTTTGATTTTATGAATCAAATTATTTGAGTTCATAATTTACTTAATACAAAAAGCATTCGAAAAAATAGAATTAAGTTTAATGTAAAATTCCTTACTTGAATAACTCTGTTAAGAACATTAGGAACCAATTGTTGCTGTTGCCTTTAATGAATAAAACACTATTAGTTAAGGATTATGTCTTAAATGTTGGCCATAAAGTTACAATAAAAAGGTGTTGTTAGTTGAAGATGTTTTAGATATCACAAAAAATATTAAAGAAGAATACTAATAATTAGATGTTGATACAAGAAAAAATATGAAAACACTTTATTAATTAATGTAAGAATTAGAAAGACTAAAAGTTTTTATGAAATAATCAATAAATGAATCTATTAAAACTGTTAATGATTGGATAAAGAATATATCTGAATAAGATCAATGTGCTAGATCTTCTATTTCAATTCTTAATTTTGATCTCAATACATCATTATAGAATGCTTAATAGTAGGTCTAGGAATTATAAAAATAAAAAGAAAAATGTCTATAATTTATTTAACAATAATTAAAGATATTAAAAGATAATGATCATTTTAATAATTGTATTAAATTGCTTTCCATTATTAATGAAGAAAAATTTGATCCACCTTAAAATTAAAATGTATTATAATAACTTGATAAATCAATAATTACATAAAACAATTTAATTTGTTAATAACATGATACTGAAATAATCATGGTAGATTTAAACTAAAAACCTAAAATTTAAAAAAGATTGGCATGTGTATATTGTATTTAAAATTATCCTACTTAATATACAGCTATTAAGGTTGCATAAAAATTGTATAGAAAATAAGAAACATAAAAAATTTAAAATCTTAATAAATATTCTGAATCTATTGATCAAATTAAGTAATCATTCAATTCTATAAAGATTGCTTATAGAAATGTAATCAAAGATGTTACTAGCTCTTTATCTTAAAATAATAAAGAAATTAAATAAAAAGCTGAAACATATTTAAATAATCTTAATATTGATTGGTAAGCATTAAAGAATGATGAAGTCTCAGAATTAGCAGAAAAATTATGTTAAAATGAATAAGAAGATATAGTAAAATCATAGATTTATATAGATTTTATAAAAATCAATTAAGAAATCAATAAAAAGATTAATGATGCATTTAATAAAATGAAATCAACCTAACATACAGGAAAAAATTAAATTAAATAATTGATGATTATAGATTATTTCTCTTAAAATGATATTTAAACAGATATAAATTGTTAACATAATTCAAGGAAAGAAACTTTAAATAAAACTCCAAAAACATTATAAATAAAAGATAGTAATAATAATAAAATTAAAAATTAATTAGAAATTATACCTTTAAATAATGATTAAAAAGAAGATAGTAAAATTAAAAGAAAAAAAAATAAAGAATAAAATTCCAATAGAACCAATTAGGAAAAAATACAAAATAAAATTTAAAAATAATCTGACATTGAAAAATAATTTGATGAAATCTTTAATAATTAATCATAAACTATTATTGAAAAAAAGTTTCAATTTATATTAAATAAAATTTCAATAATATAGGAAGAACCTTGTAGATCATTTTCTTTTAATTCAGATTCTTCATTACTTATTGCAGCTTGTGAGAAATCTATTAAACTTTTTGTATTCAATAAAGAATCCTTAATATTACAATAGACTTTTAATGATCATCCAAGTCTAATTGTATATTGCACATTTCTTAAAAATTAAAATAGATTCATATCTGGATGCTTAGATGGATCTATGTTAATTTGGTCAAATTGTCAAGAAAACAAATAAGAATGGTAATGTGAATAAAGATTGGCTGGTCATACAGATTATCTTGGACATATTATATATAGTAAAATTGAGAATATGATTATATCATGTAGTAATGATAAAACTATAAAATTTTGGAAGAAATCATAGAATTGGGAATTACATTAAACATTAAAAGGTCATAATTAATATGTATGTAGCATTAGCTTAAATGAATCAGAAAACAAATTGATATCAGGTGCTTATGATGATTAAATTTTAGTAAGTGAACCATAAGGTAAAGATAAACAATGGACAATAATATAAGTAATTAAAGTAGATTGGGGAAGAAGATTATGTTTTATAACTGATAATTTATTTACATTTTAACCTTGTAAAAAAGATTTCATGCATATATATGAATAGAAGGAATCTAAAAAAGGTTTTTATAAATCAAAGGAAATTGCTGTTAAATCATTAGGATAAAATTGTCTTTGGCTATTTCCCTAATAATTTAGTAAAAAACAGGGATTATTAGTAAATAAGAATTGTCATACAATTAATATTATTAGATGGAAAGGAAAAAATAAGTTTGTTACTGATTAAGCTATAAATTTTGATACAAATGAAATTTATGGTTCAATAACAGATGATGGTGATTGGCTAATTACATGGGATGATAAATCAAAAGAAATCCAAATTAGAGGTTTGAAATGAATAATAATAATTATCATATATATATATATTAAGATTGATTTTTATCCTTAATGTTATTTCACTTCGATATCATCTTTAAATATTATAATTAATAATGAAAAATAAATCATTCAAAGATATATTGGGATTATAAGTAGTTAAAGTCTAACTAGTTTGTAGACTTTAAATAGGAAATAATGATGAACCAATTCATTATGGAGTAATTGTATCGACAAAAGATAACTAAGAAAAATACTTACTTCATAATGGTTATAAATATGGAAAAGATTAAGACTTTATTTTAACTAGCATAAAAGATATAAGTAATGATTGGGAGATTTAATAAAATTATTTATTACAGATACCAATAAAAATACAAGAGTTATTTTAAGCTGGATGTTGTGGATAAAATATGAGATATCATCCTTAAAATAATAACAGCAAACACGCTTCAGATAGAATAATAACAAGGGTTAAAGATTTTATTAATTCCAAATAAAATATAGGTTGAATGAACTTCCCTTCCTTATTGTTAATTTTTTATAATTATTTCAAATAAATTTCTATTTATTTTTTTTGGTAGAGTTTCAAACATTTAATATAATAGTAGTCTTTTTTCAATTCATAAATACATAAACTCATTATTATATGAATCTTAAGTAAAGAGGTTGATGCCATAAACCTGAATTTACAATATTTAGGACTTTAAAAGTTGAAATTTTAAAATAAAAAATAAATGCTTATAACCTATTTAATCAATTATTAATTCTTTCCTTTATATTATATGTTTATATTTTTAATTAAATAATGTTAAAATAGGTGAAAAAGTAATAATAATAATAATAATTCTCATGATTTTAAAGACATTTAATTTGTATCATTTTCTAAATAATAAGAGTTCTATTAAAATGGTATTTTGTGAAAGAAATATTTTTATATAGACAAATAGCACATTAATACTACAGAAAATATGAAGTAATAATTCTCCATTATCATTGCAGGCATAATATTATCAAAAGATTACCCTATGACCATTATAATTGATATACAGTGCACTATAATCAATGATATATAATATGCTATCTTCATATATTTCCTATAAAGAATATTGTAATTATTACATGACTTTTTATAAGACTTAACTTGAAATCTAAATTCTACAACATGATTAAATTATTATTATAAGAATTAATAATGATAGAATCAACCAGTCTATTAAATTTAATAGTTTAAGACTTTAATCAAGGGTGAAAATCTTAATTCTATATTGGCATTATACAAAGTCAAATATATAAAGAGGCATAGACAAAATTGGAAATATACAACTAAATACAACCTGATTTAATAATGGAACTTTGACTTTAATTGGTAAAGTATTAGTAAATTCTTAATAGATGATATTTAATATTCCAACCTTGCATGCAATGTAAGCAATTTAATTAATATAAATGAGCGAGTGATCTAATCCTTATAACCTACAAAAGCTTTATTAATATCTAATTAATTCAATCAAATTTAATGTGATATTAGTTCCAATAATTATTATATAATATGTAAATAATAGTTTCCATCTACAATCAATTGATTTATCAACATAATATTGAGAGATGTTTATGCTAGAATAATACATAAGTTATTGTTCAAATTTATTCTTTTTTTATATTCTCTGTTTGACTTTTTTCATTTTTTAATTATCATTCTAAACCATAGTGTTAGATTATTCTGTATATTCTTTCAAATTTTGTGTGATATGCAATTACGAGTTAGAAATATCAGCAATTTCTCTAATTGTAGGTAATCTATCCTAAAATTCTTTAGGTATTCTGAAATTAGTTTTTATAGATTATTAATCAAATACCTCTACAATTTTTCTATTCTTTTTTATTCACATTGTTTTAGTTTCTCATTAAACATTTATTCTTCCAAAATTTAATCTAACTACGTTTCAGATTGAGTTTATTGAAATTCTAGTTCAATGACAGTTTCATTTTCAGGGCTTGTTTTTAGTACAACATTTTCAAAGCTAATTTATTCATTATTTTTCATATAAAAATTAGATATTTTAGAAAATTATTAAACAATTGGGAATTATATTTAAAGAAAGCCAATTTTTGAAATTGATCTCAAATAAATTTGACTTTGATAATAAATTCAATTTACTTTATATGTTGTTGAGTTTTAAATATTCAATTATATATTATTGCTTTATTTTTATAATTCCTAGATAATTTTGAATAATAAAATTAAATGAACTTGTACTTTATAAATATAACATTAAAAANAAATTTAATAGTTTAAGACTTTAATCAAGGGTGAAAATCTTAATTCTATATTGGCATTATACAAAGTCAAATATATAAAGAGGCATAGACAAAATTGGAAATATACAACTAAATACAACCTGATTTAATAATGGAACTTTGACTTTAATTGGTAAAGTATTAGTAAATTCTTAATAGATGATATTTAATATTCCAACCTTGCATGCAATGTAAGCAATTTAATTAATATAAATGAGCGAGTGATCTAATCCTTATAACCTACAAAAGCTTTATTAATATCTAATTAATTCAATCAAATTTAATGTGATATTAGTTCCAATAATTATTATATAATATGTAAATAATAGTTTCCATCTACAATCAATTGATTTATCAACATAATATTGAGAGATGTTTATGCTAGAATAATACATAAGTTATTGTTCAAATTTATTCTTTTTTTATATTCTCTGTTTGACTTTTTTCATTTTTTAATTATCATTCTAAACCATAGTGTTAGATTATTCTGTATATTCTTTCAAATTTTGTGTGATATGCAATTACGAGTTAGAAATATCAGCAATTTCTCTAATTGTAGGTAATCTATCCTAAAATTCTTTAGGTATTCTGAAATTAGTTTTTATAGATTATTAATCAAATACCTCTACAATTTTTCTATTCTTTTTTATTCACATTGTTTTAGTTTCTCATTAAACATTTATTCTTCCAAAATTTAATCTAACTACGTTTCAGATTGAGTTTATTGAAATTCTAGTTCAATGACAGTTTCATTTTCAGGGCTTGTTTTTAGTACAACATTTTCAAAGCTAATTTATTCATTATTTTTCATATAAAAATTAGATATTTTAGAAAATTATTAAACAATTGGGAATTATATTTAAAGAAAGCCAATTTTTGAAATTGATCTCAAATAAATTTGACTTTGATAATAAATTCAATTTACTTTATATGTTGTTGAGTTTTAAATATTCAATTATATATTATTGCTTTATTTTTATAATTCCTAGATAATTTTGAATAATAAAATTAAATGAACTTGTACTTTATAAATATAACATTAAAAATGTATAAATTATAGATTAAATATATTATTGTATATATATTAATATACTTTTTAAATATCTATCTCTTATCATTATATTAATTTAATTCTTATAAATAATTTGTTTATTAACTTTGTTCATTCCATTCATTTAAATGAGTCAATAATTATTCATTTTTTTAATTTAATATATACACATAATAATACAAGTTCTAATCAGATATTAATTAAAAAAGAAGCAAACTCAATATTGACATTAAACAAGAACAATCAAATAATAATTTCTTGATATCTAGAAATAAAAAATTAAAGATTTTAACTATATTCAATGAAATCCTTATATAACGAAATGGATAAAATACTTCCTTAAACTAAGACAACTGGTGCCTTATGGTTAGGTAATATAAAGGCAGCTTAAAATATCGTTAGGCTAAACCAAGAAAACATTAAAACAGTACTCACAATAGCCAATAACTCAAATTTATCTTATCCACAACATCAAAGAATGAGACATAAAGTAAATAATCATAAGTTATAAAGGTTTTTGAAATAAAAGACAATGTCAATGTGAATATCCTTGATTTAATTGAAATAACAAATAAATATATAGAAGAGTCACTCTAATATGGTTCTGTATTAGTTCATTGCATGGCAGGAATTTCTAGATCAGTTTCTTGTGTTTTAGCTTATTTAATTCATAAAAATAATTGGGATTATGAATAAGCTTTTCAGTTTGTAAAGTCTAAAAGAAATTGCTCTAAACCTAATGAAGGATTTAAGAAATAATTAATTTAATATGCAGTAGAAAAGTTACCAAAAAGTTAGAATAAAGATGATAATTAATAAAAACTATTAAATGATTTAAGAAGGAAATTGTACCTCTCCCCAGATGAAATTGTGAAAAAAACTTAATTAGTGAAGTCGCCTTATAAATAAATTACTTCATTAAATTAAAATTCAACAGCTGAAGAAAAATAACAATATCGTTAATAAATGGCATAAAAATTATTTGTAAGTACATTTTTTAAAGACAATTTACATAAAAATTCTTATTCATTAACATAAAATAAGATCAAAAGTGGTCAACCTGTAACTAAAAGAGCTTAATTGAGCATGTATCATTCAATATAAGAATCAGATTTTGGATTTTTATCAGAGAGATTCAACAAAGCATGATTTTTTAAATTATTTTTATATCCAAATATTTCATTTCAATTAAATTCATTTCAAATACAATTTATAATAAGAAAACTTTAACATTTTCAGATAAGAATATTAAATAAATTAAATAATTTTTTTCTATTTTAAAGATATAAGAATTAATTTTGTTATCATTAATCTAAGGAATCCATAAATTAAAATTACGAATTTTACTTTTAATTAACTCTTTTTCTTTTCCAATCATTTACAAGGTTATTCGAATTTAAAAACTCTAATTTATTATTCTAATAAAGTTTATAATAAATACAAATTGCATTTATCTTATTTATTCATTCTAAAATTAATCATAATTTTGCTGTTGAATTTACCAGTAAAATTATTGTAATTTAGGTGAATTGTTATCTAAATTAGGACTATAATTCCATTAAGGAGAAGTAAATGTATTTTAATAAAATTGAAATTATTATGTAGGTGTATAGGTCATTGGAGTTTGATTAATTATAGAGATAGGTGATATAGCATTATAATTAGATTAAAATTGTTTCATATATTATTCCATCATCATTTTATATTAATATTGATGGTACTCTTCCATTTAATTTCTATAACTTTGATAGATTAATTAATTCTAATTTTATTATTATTATTATTATTATTATTATTATTATTATTAATATTATTATTGGGAAATTTATTAAAACAGATTGTTTTAAGTATTTAATGTTTAAATATTATTAATTACAGGAATCTAATTTTGATATTATATTTATTCTTGTTAATCTGAATAAAGAATATCATTTTATAGTTAAAGACATTAAACATTAGGGTTATTATCATTATTTTCTATAAGACTGATTTAATTATTTTAAATTATGAATTGTTAATTATTTGATTCTGTTTAATTTTTGAAGGTTTTGATATGAATTTTGTTTAATTTCTTTTTCTTTGTTGTTTTTTTAAGTTGCTTACGTTAATTATGCAGTTTTCTTGGTTTATACTTCAACTCTTAAAAAGATTGTTTTTTTTAAATGATAGGATCTCCTGTAACTTATTCATATGAAACTCCTAATTTCTTTAGATAATCTTGTATAGCTTAAAGTTCATCTAATTCTTCATCATCTTCATCTTTGTATATCTTTTACATTAAACTTTTGAATCTTAATATATATAAAATTGAATACCTATTTTTCACTTAATTTTCTGTTCTTCCTTGTAATATAGTTGATAGTTATGACCATCTCTTACCATTTTTTACAATATTAGTTAATAATTGAAGGTCTTCAGTTTATGTCCAATTAGTTCTAAGTTATATAGGCTTATACTTACTTATTCAATTTTGGGTTTAGATAATTCATCCATCTTTCTCTAACTTATTTAGGAGTTCGTATAAATTATCCACCATTTTTATTATATAATTCCAAAGCTATAAATGTCCATATATGTTTCTCATCTTACTCACTATTTTGTTATAAATATTTTTACTTCATCAATGAACGGATAATGTCATCTTCTTAAGAATCCCAATTAATACTCTTTTATACAGGGTTTATTAGCGTAATCCATCGTTATTTCAGAATGGTTTCATCAGTTTATAAGATACTTGCAAGCTCAACCCATTCTTCTTTGTTTGGGTTAATGATTTTTTCATTTTTGAATTGAAAGTACTTACTTAAGACCCATATGAACATCATCTTACATTACTTATCCCATTTTCTCTTTTTACCTTATTTTTCCTCTTAAACTAATCTTTTATATTAATATATTGGTTTCTTACTTTTATACAATACCATCAAAATATTTGCTGTTAGGATTAATGAAATTTTCTTTTATTTTAAATTGATTTCTATAATAAAAAGGAATTTCAGCATTTTTGATTGTGCCAAGTTATGAAATGAATTTCTGAAACATATATTAATAATAATTTAATTTAGAAATACTGGCAAAATTCGTAAGAAAGTAAAGGTTTATTATTAAATGTTAAAGCATCCCAATCCTAAACATTGTTGGTAGCTTTTTAATAATGAAATTTTTGCATTAAAATTAAATGTATAAAAGTTATATTAATTTTTTAATATAAAAATCATAATTATATATATATAGCAAAATAATAAAAATAAGTCCAGTTTATAATTTACTGATATTATAGGTTTTAATAAATTATAGCTCTAAAGTACTTAATCAAGTCAAATATGAAAATCCTGCAAGTGTAAGGGGGCTATTTAAAATTTTGTTAAATTTTGAATTTGATTTATTATTATGTTTCATTGAACTTTATAATACAGTTTTTGCATCCATAGGTGAAGTTCCTAATTTTCTTTGTGAAACAACATTATTCTAATCTCTACTCAGTTTTCTTGAGATGTTAATTTCTTCATTTAGAAAGGTATTTTTAGGTGGAGAATTCTAAGATCTAGAATTGTTCAGTTAAGAAGTATTCATTGATCTTGAATTTCGGTTCTTTAATTCTCTAATCTTATCTTAAATGTCACTAATTATTATTATAATCCAAAATACCTTGTGATTGAACTTCCATATTCTATTTTTATTGGACTAGCATAATTTTGAACTAGAGATATTTATAAAGGTTATAAAATATTGAAGAACCTTCTAAAATCCTAATAAAATTGAGCTTGTTTTTTAGAAAGTTGTTACAATTCATCTTACATTTACTTGAATAAGTTCTTAAATAGTAATTTTTATATTTACAAGTTACTTTATTGATAATTATTTATCTTATACTATTCCATCTACTGTAGCTACTAATTATTTAAATGTGTATATATCTTAACTATCCTAATTTTTTAAAATTGCTTTAATTTCATTCTTAATTATACTCATTTCTTCAATATCTAATTACTTAAACTATTTAATATGATTACCTAAACTTCTTCATCTTTTGTAAGTTCATTCAAATATGTAGTTTCAATATTAGATAATTGATTTTAAAATTCTTCTTATTTTGAATCTAAATACATATGCAATGCCTTAAATTCTGTGTCTATATCATTTTTTTATGTTTGACATTTATCTTTTACTTATTATTTATCGAATTGAATATTTCTAATCTTATCTAAACTTCTTTCAACTGCTAAATTTAATTTTTCTAAACAAGGATGACCTTTTATTGTAAGATCCTCTTAAAGTGGTTAAACATATTATCGCTTCTCTGTTGTAAAAGGTTTAACATTGTAATTTGGTTAAGTCTTTGAAGCATTTGATTATGATTCTTTTGTTTATTGAACTGCTTATAATGATTCATGATCTAAAACTGTTGGAGCATTACATTTTAGACAAGGTACTCCACTGTCATCTTTATGAATAGCATGTGAAATGCAATATAAACAAAATTTATGTTCGCAATCTAATATAACAAATTATGTTGGAACAGTTTAACATTGTTCACATATGACTTCATCTTCTTCAGACATTTTGATGTTATTTTATGAATAATTTTATTTATTAACAACTTTTAATTTTAAATTATAATAAATATTATGCAAAATCAATACTTTGTAAAAGGGTTAGGATTTAGTCAAAAATAAGAGCCTTAAGAGACTAGATCTTATGGAAGAATAAAAAAATCTCCATATTCAACATATAATAATAGAAGTTATAATTTAGTAAGAAAATTATTTTAAAGTTAGAATTATCACGATATTAGAATGTGTTAATATCGTATAAAAAAGATGATACTTATTCTCAATAATGCAATTAAGAATTAGGCTGCAACAATGTTCAAATATTTAAGGTAGTTTTGTCAAGTTGAATTAGTATATATGTACAAAATAAATAAGAGGAAGAAATTAAAGCCTAATTAAGAGTTATCCAAGAAGGTTTATTGAGATTCTAACATGCTATAACATTATATAATTAAAGATTAAAAGGCACAGGATTTTTTCATATTGCAAAAGTAGATGTAATGTCCCATTTGAAAAAAGAATTAAGAAATCAACATTCTTAATAGTATTAACCACTTACTCATCAAATATTTAGAAAATGGTTAAAGTTAACACTGGAATTGAAATTGAATAGACTTCTAAAATAATAATAATAGAATATGATAGGTTTTTATAAATTTACTTTGTGCAAAATAATAACAAAATAAGAGTCATTAAAAGTATGGAGTTTTAATAAATTAAGAATTACTCAAAGAAAATCAAAATTAAACAGATTAATAATTAACTTAGGTTTATAGTATTTGAGAGTGAATCTATATAATGCTGAAGAAGCAACATACATATATATAAGGAAACCACATTAATTAGAATTAATAGAAGCATTTTAAAAAATAAAGAATTATAAATATTTCAATTCAAATCAGCATTACTTTATTTTAATATTAGTCAACAAAATCAGTAACAACATTAAATTACATAAGATAGTAAATTAAATGTATTGAGAACTTTGTTCTTATAATCCATAAAAAGAGTTGATCACGATTTTCATTGTGTTGTACCAAATGAATAAAAACAATAAATTGATATAGAATTAGCTAGATAATTAGTTCATTGCAAATTAGAACATTAAAAATTATAATAGAGATTTATAAAAAAATCAAATTTACATCCTACTATTGGAATCTTTGAAACAATCAAAACAATTTTATATAAATAAATGATACCAGTTTTCATTCGAATACGAGGAACTCTAAAATAAACTTAAATATAAGATATTGATGTTTAAGATGGAATTTCAAAGAATTTAGTAAATTTTATGTTTATTCAAGAGTATTTTAGCTAGTAAATTAAGTGCAAAAATTAAAACTAAAAATTTTAAATCTTAAAATTTAGATATTCATTTAAGACTTGAAACAATATTCAGAAAGAATTATATGCATGAAAGAAGATTAATAATGAAATATTTAAAAAAATGGCAAATTAATATTACATTTCCAGTTTAATTATATCATGATTATGAAATGAGATTAAAAGTATTGTAAAATGAAAAGGTGAATATTTTATACTTATTTTTATAGGAAGTAATAATGACTGATATTGAATAATTAGAAATATTGAATAATGAATTAATGAATACTATGAATGAAGTTAAAAAGAATTTCTTATCAGATGAATCAAATTTTAATACTTCTAAAAAGAATGATTAAAAATAAATTGAAATTCAAAAATTTGATATTTAAGATAACTTAACTTCACAAAAAGAAATCAAAATAGCTTTTGAATATGTTGATTATCTTAAAGAGGATGTATAATATATAATATAAATTAGAATATTAATTTAAAGAAGTAAGTTTAAATAAATGATTAACTTATGATGAACGAAGTCTAAAAATTAGAATAAGAACTTTAAGTAAGATATATTCTAATATGAAAGGAACTCAAAAATTAATTATCAAATTGAATTTTTTGTGTTATTTTCTTATTCATTTATTTATAAATATAATTTTTATTATAAACACATAACAAACTTATAAAATGATGTAAATTGGATAATAGTAGGCTAGCTATTATAACTCAAATTCTCTTAAGTCAAAATCAAGAATATTGCTAAATCCTATAGTTTAATCCATTTCTAATGTATAATCACTCAATAATATCTCTTAAAACTGTAAAGTTTAAGATCATTTATTATAATTCCAACAAGGCTATAATAATGCAATTGATGAAACTATCTAATCAAATTCTAATTGTCCTTCTAATAGAAATTATCAAGAAACTTTTTTCATAATTAAAAGTTCTCGTAAAAATGATGGAAAATATTAAAATTTAAAATTATAGAGTACAAGTCTTTAGAAATCTTAACCTAAAGGTATATTGAAATAGAAAAGTATTTTTAATCAATAAAATTTTGATATGACAACTTTTAATACTAATGATATCACATTATTGAACACCAAACGAACTAAATTTTTTAATTAAAAACCTTCTTTGCCATCTTAAGTATCTTTCCATCCTTTTTTATCAGAAAACAATTAACTTAAAAGAGTTTCTTTTAGTAATTAGATTCATTTTAAAATGATTGATGAAAATATCTGCATTAAACATAAACGATATGTATTAGCAGATCTTAATGATAAAATTTGATTATTAATTTATTTGCATTTAATTTGAAATTCAATATTTTTATATGTAATAAAACATTATATATTAAAAAGAATAGATAACAAAGACTAAGTCCATAATTGCTAGAATTTGTTCTTGTTTAAGCTTCTTAAAATTAAAGTAAAATCAAACAAAACAAGAAAAATATCAGCTTGGGATTGATAGTCCTAAATCTTCATTTTTAGTACCTTTTAAAAATTTATTTGGTTAGGGACAACGTAAACTCATAGTTCTCGATCTAGATGAAACATTAGTCCATAGTTAATTTTAATTAAAAAATGGCTATGATTTTGCAATAGATGTAAAAAGAGAGTTTAATCTCAGATTATTGTCCAACGATAAATATTCACTGTTTATGTAACAATACGACCAGGAGTTTAATAATTCATTGAACAACTTAATTAATATTATGATATTGTTTTTTGGACTGCAAGTCTATAAGAATATGCAGATCCAGTTATGGATTTTATTGATCCCAATCATATAGCTATTGGTAGATTGTATAGAGATAGTTGTACACCATTATAAATAGGATTTACAAAAAATCTAAATAAGTTGGGCAGAGATTTGAAAGAAATTATTATAATAGATGTAATCAAAAAGATTTATTAAAAGAATTCTGAAGTGTCTTATCATTTAAATCCAGAAAATGAATTTTAAATAAAAGATTTCTATTTTGATAAATAAGATTAAGAACTTGAATTAAATATCCCTTTTTTTATTTGGTTATCTTAAGTATTATTGTGTAACTATAAAAGTTGCCAGATGTAAGGCCAGTTGCTTAATTATTTAAATAGTTCAATAATACATAATCTGATGTTTTTAAAATGAAAAATACTACAAATCTAGGTACCTAATTTTAAGAAAATGACCCAAAGATAATTTAAAGTCTTTCAAAATCCTTATCCTTATAAAAGGCAAGAATAATGCTTTGTAATTAAGTCTTTAGAACATTAACTTTATCAAAGGAGGATGATGAAGATGAATTAGACGAAATTAAAATCAGAGATAAATTAGGATTAAATTAGCCAACAGGTCAAAAAGGAATTTAATAATAAAATTAAACAGACGAAGATGATCAAGATACTTAAGCGATGGCACATTGAAAAACTAAATTTGGATTGTTTTGTTAATCTATTTAATTAAGTCCATCTTTAATCCTGTTCTGTTTTAAAGTAGCTACTATTAAATTTTTAATGATTCTGTAAAAAGTCTTCAAAAATGGGTTTGATTTTGTTAAATTAATACTTTTTTCTTTATTGTATATTATTTAATTTTTAATTTATGTTGATCATTTAACTCTGCTACTATTATAAATATATGAATTTCAATAAAATATTGTGGTAGAAAAGAATTTTTAAAAAATGCTTAATTATCATAACAAAAAATGAGCAGTTTAAATGTCATTATCTTTTAAGATATGCCTCTAAAGAGAAATCTTCATTATCTGATTCATTAGTTTCAAATCCTGCATAGCAAAAATCATTTGAATTTATTGGTAATGATTTTAGTTTTCTTTGAGTTGTACTTTTATACTATTATCTTTCTAAAATAACTGATTATTTGGAACACTGTGATAATTTCAATTGATTAAACTATATTTTAACTGATTTAGCAATTATTTTTGGAGATTATGTAATAACTTTAGAGGGACTTATAACAGCTTTTTTATTTTTAGGACAATTATCCATTGATATTGTTCTTTACTTTTCAACAAATAATTTGGGTAATACAAGCTTATAAGGCAATTATCTAGTGGGATCTTGTTAATTAAAAAAATACTTAATGACAAGGATCGTTTAGCTCTATAGGTTAACTATATAATACAAGACATTAATATTAAATATGTACTGATAAATAATATCAAAAATAAACCTTTTTAGTCATGACGCTGTAAAATCTTCAAATGTCAATTTTCCCATATTGGTTTGAACCAATCTTTCTATATATCTTTTTTATTTAAGAATTATTCTATTACTTCAGCCTAGCCAAGTATAATTCAAATATTATATCTTCAAAATTATCTTCATTCATTTCTGATAATATTTAGAATTATTTCATTCAACTACTATGTAAAGTTTCTTAAGAAGGATGATATCCAAAACTAATTAAAAATTATTCTTAATCATTGGGAACTTAGATTCCTGTTTAATCTGAATCGTATTACTCGAAATCTTGTTTAGTATCTATAATGTCTGATTCCTATTGAGTAAACCAATATATTTATTACCTTCAAATCTTTGGTTATAAAATTTTAGGCATTAAATTCATTTGAATTGCATCCTTTAAAAGAGGCTCTTCCATTAGCAATATACTCATCTATTATTTTTAATTCTAAATTATTATAGGACTAACTATTGCTCTTAATGATTCTTTAATTTTGGGGATTTAGTTAGTTGAATTATTAGATTCATCTTGTTATTTATTAGAACTATCGATAATAATAGACTATTTAGTTTTATAAGGATTCTATTATTGTTTAATTTAGATGGTTACATGAGAGGTTTTATGTTTTCATCAGTATATAATAAATGATAAACTTAAAACTCTTTTAGATTATTAAAAAAAATATTTAATGAAATTAAAAATATTTGTTCATTATTTATCTAAATATCTAAAACAATCGACAAATAACATTTATATGTATTTAATGAAATTAATTTTATTAAATATAGGTCTGAGAATATTTTTATGAAATTAAAGACTTTTTGTAAAAAGAATTAGATGAAATATTAAATTCTTTAAATTTACATATATTGATAAGTATATTCTTTTATGATAATGATCAAGATGGAAATTGATAGAACAGTAAATATATGTTAAAATCAAAAGAAAATATTATTCAAATTTATTAAACTCTCTAATGTTATTTTCTTCTTTACTATTCATCAGGTAATGGAACCTATGGTTTTGATTCTAAAGGTTATAAATTAACATCTAAGAATTAAGCTGGAAAGTACTTTTCTTATTTGTAGGTGGTGTAGCTTATGATAAATTGCTGCTGTTTATATTGCTATTAAAACCATATTGACTATTAAAATTAGGTACTGTATTTCCTCGATTATCAATTGGACTTAAGATTATTTTTTAATTAGGTTTTTTTTCATTAAACTGTTGATTGGAAACTTCATTCGAGTAACGTTATTTTCCTTCTTTTTCTTCTAACATCTAATAATTTAATTTTATCTTTTCTGCAACCAATTATGCTCTATCCAACTAAGGTTAACTTATTCCATTTTATTTTTGTTGAGATTCTAAATTCTCAATTAAATTATACCTTTTCTTTGTGGCATAGGAGAAACAATTCTCTAATTTTATTCAGGATCATTATAATTATTTTTATCATATTATCGAGAGTTAATTTCTAGTATTCTTTCAGCCTTTTCTTGTTCAATTAAATCGATGGCTGGTTTTAATAATAATAATTACCTTATTTATATGGCAAATTAGGAAAATTGACTTTCTTTGCTTTAAAATTAAATGCAGGAATCTTATATTCTTAAGAATCATCATCCCATTCACATGCTGCTTAAAGAGATTCCAATTCAGTTTGATTAAACATCATTTTAATTATGCCAGAATATAATTTTATTTCTTTCTCTTAATTTCTAATAGTATCCAATAAATCTTCCTTTTCATATTCAACTTCTTATTTAAGATCTTTTTATTCATTTTAAGCCTCTTCCAATTTCTTTCTTAAATATTTAACAAGTTTCCTCAATTTTTCAACTTCCTCTTAAACATTTTGATATTTAGTTTCAATTTACAAAAGTTCTTATTATTATTATTCTTATTAACTAATTAATGCTTCATGTTCTTTTTTTTATTAATCAACAGCTTATCTCAATTTCTTATATTTCTTTTTTTCATCTTCAGTACCTCTACCTCCTTATACCATCATTTATTCCTTTTCTTTCAATAAATCTTCCAATCTTTTCCTTGCTTAACGTTCTTATTCTGCTTAATATTCTTTCTCTTTTACTTCTAATTCAATTCTTTCCTTTTCTTACAATAATTAATTATTTTTCTCTTTAAATTCATGTAATTCTTTAAGTTTTTCTTCTGATGGACCACCTCCACCTTAAATTTGATTATGTAGTTTATTTCTTTCTTTCAATTTATCATTTTCTTCTTTTAATCTTGCAAGTTCTGAATTATTTTCTGAATTTCCAATAGGTTAATAGATATCAAAAGATATTGGTTAACCTGCTGCTTATTTTGATAACATTTCTTTAAGTCTTTTGATTTCTTCAGCTTATTCTTTTAATAAAGCATCTTTTGGATCTTCATTCACTTTAGGTTAATTTTTAATCATTTTAGCTCTTGAAGCATATCTTAAACTAGATAAAGTTTCATCAAAGTTAAAATCAGATGGACTAATAGCTGTAATCATAATTGTTTTAGTATTTCCTCCCAAAGAATCTTATAGTAATCTTGTTAATTTAGAATCTCTGTAAGGAATATGCTATGTTTTACCATCAACAAGGGCTGATATAACATTACCTAAAGCTGAAAGTGATAAATTAATTTTAGTTGCCTCTTTTAATCTATCTCCTGTTGCTTAAGTTTTTGATTATCTTTCACTTCCTGCCAAATCTACCAAGTTTAATTTACCAGCAGTAATTCTCTCATTTCCTTTTGGATCTGTAACAGAACATTCTATATATACAGTGAATATGCAATGACTACGACTTGATTCCTTATTCATAGCTGTTGCTCCAACTGATCTGTTTTATGTACCTAATTACATAAATCTATCCATTTCTTGAGTAGTCCTAACAACTGCTATGTTTAAATCCTTAATAAAGACACCTTATTATCCTTCTTTTAAATCATATTTCTATTTAACATCTTTGCTTAATAAATCATGTATTTCTTCATTGTAAATTTCTATATATGAACAACGAAGTAGAAATTTTTTGTTAGTGTCTGAGTTATTATTAATAATGTTAATTATTTGATCAAAAGTTCTAGGTATGATTCCTTTCATAGTATCCTAATAATAAATTATATTATTACACTTGATGGATCTCCAATCATAGTGAAGGTTTTACCACAACCTTAATAATAAATTGAATATTAATACCTGTTTAACCATAAGCAAATATTGTTCCATTGTAACCATCTGCTACACTCTCTACCAAATTGAAAGCAGTTTTCTAATAAATAGATAATTGAGGTGTTTCTGCTCCAAATACGTAATCATATGTATACGATTTTACATCATTATCTTATGTCTAGTATACCAATGTTTAAAAAACAATACATTTCGCAATTCCACAGTATTAGTGTCTTCATAAACTACAACACATGGCTTGCTTCCATTCTCTTTTTCTCTTTGATTGAATGGACGCATTCTTACAATAACTTTGACACATTCTGCTGGCATTTATTTATATTTTATTAATCAATAATATAGTAACAGTTGACAATTGAAATTTATAATTATCATTCATAATTACATCAATTTAAACAAACAATCAAAATTACAATCAATCATCTATTTTTTTTATTAATCGAGGTCATCTATACTTATTTTGACTTAAGTAAATATTCAACAATATCATCTCCTTTGATCTACTCATTTATTTTTGAAAGCAATACTACTATTATTAAATTTATTCAACTTTCTTGTAATTTCAATTTATGGTTTTCATATAATTGAAAAACCTTTTTTTTATTAATTCTGACCATACGAAATAATTAGTCATTAATATTGTATATCTATAGCTTAATAATTTTGTTAAATTTAATGCTATTATAATAAAAACTATCTGAATAAAATATGATTAATCCAAGGATATGCAACAGTTATTTTTCAAAAAAATAATTATTTCTAATTCTTATATATTCCTTTTTATCACTTAAAATATTTCTATAATCAATTATAATAGATAAACGTAATCTCCCTTTAATGATATCAATTCTTATTTATTTTTTCAATATCTAATTATCAAATTCTTATTTTATTATTACATAAGCTTAATATTTTTATTATAATTTATGAAATTAAGTATTTAATATAATACAAAAATAAATTCATTCATATAATTATGTTCCTAATTGTAAAACTACATAATTTTTTCTATTAAAATAATCTAAATAACCAAGAATTCATTATTAATAAGGATATTCACTTTTACATAATGTATTTTAAAATAATTACAAAAATGATTAAGTTATTGAATTTTAATGTACCATTGAATCATAGGTCAGTTGAATTGATACTTAATAATCTCAATATTTAAATTTAAATAATATATTTAACAAAAATCACTTTCTATTTTCATTTAGATATCCCATAATATTAATTAAATTTAATTAAAGCTTATTAGTATTTAAGAATTATGTTATAATTATATGAAGATAAACTCGGTCTCGTTCGTCTGAGATTGATGAAACAAACGTCGCTATTCTGATTAAATTATTAATTTTTACAATAAATCAATTCTAAATTATTATTGTAAATATACATATCCATATATTTATTAATATCTTTAAAAAAATAATATAATTTATCTTCCATTTTTTAATTCTTCTATATTTTTAAATAGATAATAAAAGTATTTTGCAATTTCATCATTATACAAGTAATTATTTTGACTTTCTTATATTCTGGACCTTCTTAGAGATTTTCAAATATTTATAAATTGGAACAGAAATTCTTAGCTATTTTAAGAAATCTTTCAAAATATATAAATGATCAAACAGAAGTAAAAAAAAAAATATTATCCTCAATAGTTATAATAAAATGTATAATAAAATAATAGATTAATATTAATAATAATAATAATTGTTAAATTTTCAATTATTTTTGGGGGGTTCATCCTCTAAAGGTTTAGTAGCTCCACAACTCCAGGATCTTTTAATTTATGTAATTTGTTTTGAAGTCAGAAACACAGATCTTCTTCTTTGAATCAAACTATTAGTTCGTTTTCTTAAGTTTAATAAATTGGAATTTACTTATTCTCTTGCATTATTTATGCAGAATGGATAATTTCCCATTTTTTTTCTTAAGTCTTTTATAATGTGGAATCTTTTCTATTTGCTGCTGTTTCATCTTCTTCATGTATTATTTATTTGATTTAAACTAAAATAGAAATTATTTAATTAATACCTACTTATTCATGTAATTCAATTTATTTTTTTTTATTGCTATTACCAGATTTTTAAGATTGTAGATCAATTTCAGGTTGACTAAGAGAATGTGTCAATTTAGATCTACGACGTCGTTCTAGACGCATTTGAAATGCATCTGATTAATTTGCAATTTCATTTTTAATGATAGTCTCTATTTTGATGACTTAATTTGTGTGATTGTCAACAATTCCTTTAACTTAAGCCTCAATCAAAAAAAGGATATAATACCTCTTTTGATTCAGTTTAACTGTAAATTAGATCTAATTCAATTCTTTTAGTTTATTCTTAAAATTTTGCTCTTTTAATTTGATTGTCATCTTGTGGTTTATGAGATTCTTCATATTTAGTAGTTGCATTAATAAAGGAAGGTTTTAACATTAAAGCATTTAATTTTCTTTAAAAGTATAGATGTCTTCTATCCTTAATGGATTCATAATATTCTACTCCTTCCTATATGGAATTATATAAAATGATTTTACCATATATAATGAAATCAAATCTTAAATGAGTTCAATTTAAATTTGATCATTTAATTCTATTTCCATTTCAAGATTAAGAATTTGATCTGCAAAATTCTTAGGTAAAGATTTTTTTGTGAATTTCTCCTTTCCAAATTTAAACATTTATTAATAAAATTATATAAATAAATGTTCATTATACTTATTGACTTTGATTTAATGTATCAAAAGCCTTATCTGCATCTTTCTTAATCTTTAATCTTCTATAACCTCGTTTGCATTATTTAATGGTTTCTTAACAACCTAGTAGCCACAACAAAGATCCTTCGATTGCCCATAGCACAAATGAAAATGTTATTGCTACAATATCTAAAGCTCTTTGTTTTTCAATTTGATCTGCAAATCTACCATAAATAGTCTGTATTGATCTTAAATTACTACTTCTTCATCTTTTATGCACTACATTCCCCAAAGTTCATCCAAACTATCTAGTAATTGCATCCCATAATCTAAATTAACAAATGATAAATAGGTCATTGTGCCAGATAATGCAAGTCTCAGTAAATAATCTAAATATGTTAGAGTCTTGAGACTCAATGGACCTGAATAAAAACATAAGTAATACCAACACATCTAAAAATATATGGGATCATGGGTAATCCATAATTGCAAATTAATAAATAAACAATTACTAATATGAAATTAGCATATTCAGTTTTTCTATAGTTTGATAATGTATCTTATTGTTTTTAAGCTATCAAAAACATTTCTCCATTACATTCCTAATTCCAAAAGGGGTATGGTTTATAGAACAAAGCTACTTAAATATTATAAATACATTTTGTTCCATCTGAATCAATAAATATATCTCCAGCATTATTTATTTAAAAGTATAATTTATCAGTAATGCTATTAACTTCAATATACTCTTTATCTAAATCCATACAAGATTGAGGTTATTCATCTAGATTTTCATCATATTCTATTTCTGGTTATGCATTAGTTTCATTTTTTGTTGCACAAGGTATATATGAATCTATACGAATTAAACTAATAGGCATATTATCCTTATTTGTTTCTTTATTGGTTGTAATCACTTATATATTTCCATCATTTATTTCTAATTATATACTATTTATTGGACAAGTGAGATCAGAATCTATACAAAAATACATCTTGTCTATTCCACAATCCTTCATGTTCCTATCTTCACAATTGTCTGTTGAATTGATTGATTCAATTACATTATGTTTTATTTATTATCCACATAAGATAAAGCCAATTTAATATTCGCTAGTACTCCATTAATGAAAACTTTAGGGTGATTATTTAGGTATCAATTCTCCTTTAGAATTTATATGTTCCTTAGTACCTGGCCAATTAAAGGATGTAAGTAATATCCAATCTTCAGGACATTCATTTGAAGAATAGGCTTGAATAGATGAATATGCATATTATTCCCAAGCCCACATTTCATTAATAAAAGCATATTGTCTATTTTATAAGGATGTATCTCCATCCACAGAAGCTAACCAAAAGAAATAAAAGAATAGTATTCTGCAACAAATATTTGCTAATAACAGTGTTATTCTTGTTGCTTTATTTGCAGTATTCATTATAAAAAGTAAATATTAATAATTAGAAGTTAATCTTTTTAATAAAAAAAGAACAAAAAAATATTTAATTCATTATATTATTTTTATTCTAGTCATAGAAAGATTATAATGCAAGTTATATCATCTCTTGCTAAACTATTCTAAAATTATATATAAATTCTTACTCTTCTCCATGCTTAAATTGCTTCACTCACTACTTTCTCTGCAGCATGTTCTGGATTATCCTTTTCAAAATATGGAATCACTAAACTCATCACCTAATTATTAAACTATATACCTCTTCATTACTCAAATATTCCCAAACTCCATCTGAAGCTACAATTATAAATTAATCATGATTAGTCAAAGCAAATTCTTTTATTTCTGGTATTGCTGTTACACCTGCTTAAGCTCCAACCTTATCACCAAAAGATCTAGACATTGCTAAACCTGGGGCTTGAATATATTACAACCAAACTCTAAATGGTCCAATTGGATTCCCATGATAATCTAAATTAAACAATTAATATATATATATATGTACCTCTCTATTATTCAACTCTACCTCCAGCATCTACAATATTTTTTATTTCTTCAGGATCATCTGGTTTATGATCTCTTGTTAATGGTACAATTTACCAAACTTAATCAAACTTACAAAGTATTGCTCTTGAATCACCAACATTTGCTGTGTAGATCTAAAAGTATATTATTAAATTATCTAATTACAATATCTTTTGTTATTAGAACTGATGCAGTTGTAGAACCAGAAAGATTTGTATCTGTATCTGAGTTCCATATTTCTCTATTTGTAATTGTAAACGCTCTAGCTATTTACTATTTTATATCTTCATGATTATCTCCCAAATACTTGTGTAAATGTTTAGGAAGAGCTTATTTAATAAAATTAGACACAAGATGACCATTTAGACCATGTCCGTCTGAAACTGCGAATAACTTATAACCTATACTATTGTGTTATTATCACAGATCTATACTTCTCAAGAATTTTAGGACAAATAATGGCAGAATCTTAATTGATTTTTGTAGCTTTATTAATTTGACATCCTGCCTTAGTTCTCATAGCATAAATTATAGTTTATCTTCTCTAATATTTTGGTGTAATTGACTTTCTTATCTCAATCTTCTTACGTTAAAGTTAATCACTTGCTGCCAAATGATTTTATAACTAAGGTAATCGTAACTACTTTTATTTTTCTGTAAACACACTACTCTACTCAATCATTTTTATTTATGGTAAGAAGAACTTTGATTTATTGTTAAAGTCAGCACTTTCTGGATATCGTCCTGCTATTTATAATGGTTTTAAACGATGATCTCTTCTTAGATTATTTAGAGATTATGATTAATGGAACATATAATTTTATATATTTTAATTAACTCATCATGCTTCATTGTTGCTTAGTTTCTCTATTAATATTCTTTAATCTTATTCAACTTTCTATAAACTATCAAGTTCAATCTAATATCTATCTAATTCAGCCTTTCTTTCATTCAAAATATTTGATAACTCCATCAACTTCTTCTTTCTATTTTCTTATTCTGTTTCTACTTTATTTCTCTAACTAATCTATTCATATATACCTCTCCTATTGCTCTTAATTTTTCAATCTCTATTTTTTTTGAATATTCTTCTAATGTCTCATTCAAATTTTGAACCACCTCATCTAAAGCAAGAACTTTCTTAATAAAATCCATGCTCTCTATCTTCAATTATTCTGTCTCTCTATACTTCTCAGCATCCAATACTCTAATTTTATTTTATTCATCAAATGTAATTGAAATCTCTTCTGCCATTATTAATAATAATGAATTTATAATGTGAAGAGCCTTTTTAATATAGACAACTTCGATCCCAATCTCTTAGTCCTTATAATGATTCTAATCTTATCAAGTAACTTAAAAGATAACTACATTATCCTCCCCAAAAAACCATGTTATTGTAATCTTTTGAGTATTTACAAAATCAAGAATAAATTGAAACCAATATAATTAGTTCAGGTAATTAACAGCTTGTAATTTACATAAGATTCTATGAAACACTATTAAAAAACTATTAAAGGTAGAAAGAACTCATTAATTTTTGAAGCAGACTCATATTCAATCAATTAAAATGTCGGATAAAGTGAGGGAAGCAATTAATTTAACAAAATCGTACCAAAGATTATAGTTGTTAAGAACTTATAATAAAAATTAACTAAGAGAAAATAACAACCCATAAATCCTATCAATCCTCAAGATTGTAACGATGAAGAAACCATTCAACATAGTATAGTTGGATAGAATTAAAATAATGGATCTACTATTGAAACTAAAAGAGAACATATATCATTATTACCTTAAATAAAGAAATCCAAAATATTAATGGTCGATGAATAACCTATCAAAAGATCAGCAAGATATGAATAATTAATGGTATTAAAATACTAATTTTAGAAAAAAACCTGTGATGATTAACTCATTGAATTATAGTCATTAATCAAGAAAATGTAAAAGTAACCAATCATAAAGAAAGAGAAAAAAGTAACATTTCTAATTTGAAAATATATATTTTTATTAACTATACTCACTCTTACTATTAAGAAAAAGATAATCTAAAATTTATTCAAAAAAAACTAAAGTTAACTCTCATTTAGTTTTATAAGAATTTTATATAACTTTAATAAATTAATTTACTAAATTATTTAATGATTATAAATATAATATAATTTAATATAATAATAGAATGATTATATAAATAAAATTAAAATCTAAAATGCAATTAGTCAAAATCATGGTGAAGTTAATATTGTTTCTCTTAAGGAATTTTAATTTGGAATTTTTATTGTATTTTAAATTCTTTAACAACATTATAAGCATGTTTCTTTTATTTTTTCTATTGAATCAAAGATTAATTTATTTATATCATTTTCATCCTTTTAATAATAGTTATCCTCACTTAAAATAACTTCATCATTTTAAATTGATTTGCTTAATACATCAACATAATCTAGTATATCCTTTTGAGATTAATTAGCCCATGTTCTACCCATTTAATTGATTACTTTATTTACAGATCCATCAATAAAATTTCGAAATTCTTTAATATTCATCATTAATTCTTCATTTTTTTATTGACATGTGCTATTAATTAAAGTTAATTATTAAATGACAATTTATTAAGTTTCATAATGCTTTTATTATATTTATAAAAATTTTGATTTTTTAAGTTCCTCATATTTTTTCCATTTTTCAATTACTCTACTTAAAGAAGAATAGGGAAGAGTATTTTATTCTATACAATAGATACATGCTAATCTATTCTCTTTTGCTCTTTAAGGATTTAAATCAAATGCAATAATTTCTGTCTTATGCTTTTAACAAAAGATCTTTAACCCAGGAGTTGACTATTAATAAGATATGATTAGATTACAATCTAATTTTCATCTGAAGCTTCCTATTCTTTATTATAACAAATTAATGATGATACTTCCTCTTTTAGTTCATCCAAGTATTTTAAATATTAATCGAATTTTAAATTAGTTTCTAGTTCAGTTATTTGTGAATAAATTGTTTTACGAAATAGAGAAAATTGTTAATCAAGTAATTTTTGAGCTTCATTAATTTTATTCAAATTATAGATATCTATAATTTTAATATTCTCTTCTATTTATTTTTATACATCCTAAAGTCTTTTTATTTCATTTTAAATTGTATTGTTGATATCATCTAAAGTAGTAGTAAGTTATCCTTTTTACATTTCAATGTTCTCAGAAAATTAATTTAGCACTTCAATATTTTGATTAATCAAATTTTAAGTTTTTTATTCAAATTCAGATTTCATCAAGATTATTCTCTTTTATGCATCAGGATTAGTATGTATTGCTTTGTCATTAATCTTTAACACAAGACATTTACTACAAAAATATCGACTCTATTCATCGCATTATGTATTAAGACTTGTAGCTATTACATTTTCATCATGTAATTAACATTTTCTATTACAAATTTAGTTATCCATTTAATAATTAAGATTTTAGATATTTTAAATATTTTATCAAAATCCTCTTCTTATTCTAATTCATAAATGATATAAAATAGTTAATAGAAAATAAACATTAATATTTGTTAATACTTTATAAACAACAAAGCTATGTACAATAATAGAGAGGATAATATATGCTTAATTCATCAATTATAAATCGAAGCTATTAATATGGATCTGAATTCAGATTGTCAATTACGACGATATTGCAGTAAATGTCTTATAGAAAAAACTTATGATGGCACTTTATGTATAAATAGTGAAATAAATGATCATATATAAGAAATTAAGAATAATTTTTTAGAAAAAAAGGCATTTTATTTGAAACACAATATAAACACCATTGAAACCATTTAAAATACTGTCTAAAACTTAAAAACTAATTTTTCTTCATCTTTTAATAAAATCTATGAAAATTTATAAGCAGAAAAAAAAAGATTATAAGATTAATGTGAATTTCTACAGAAAACACTAGATCTAGTTAATTTAGATAATTTTTCATAATTTAAATTATCAACCAATGAGAATGTATATTAGATTGAAAGTTTTAAAAATCTAATAAAATCATCTTTAGATTAGATTAAAAATAATGAAAGTCTATAATTTTGTATTTAGGAAATAGATAAATTGGAAGAAGAAAAGGAAGAATTAATATTTACTCGTTAATTTAATAATGAGGAATCAAATATTATTGTAATTATACTTTATAGAATTAGGCTACTCCAAGTTTGAAAATATAATGTTAAGAACATAAGAAATAAATAATAGCATTTGATATGAATATTAATCGTGCTAAAGAAAATAGAATGGCTTGTATACATTGTATTGAACAAAATCCAAATTAATATACTTCTCTTAAAACAGTATAGGATAAATGGAAAAAATTTGAAGAATTCAAAAAAAATCAATACCAATAGATACTTGATTAATATAAAGAAAATAAAGATCATATTTTAGAATAACTTTAAATAATAAACGAAGCTCATCAAGAAATGAATCATTAAATTACATTGAAATTAAATGATTATTATTAAAATTTAACTTAATAAATAGAGTAGATATTTAATTAGATGGGTAAAAATTGGGCTATTTGTTAACAAAAAGAAATATATGATAATATTGAAAATTTAATAATACCTACTTGCAATTAAGAATTCTCTTGTAATTTATAAGAATATTATACTAATTAAGAAAATTGTGTTAATTTAAATATTTTTGATTCAATTAAAAAGATTAAAGAAACCCTCAAAGAAAGTTTTTATTAAATTTTTTAGCTGATTAAAATAAATTCTAATTTGTAGATAAAACAAAAAGAGATATAAATTTATGATAAAATCACATTTACTAGATCTCCTTTTTAAATTAATTCTAAATAAGTAGATTTAAGTTTATCTATTTAAATTCCAAGTAAATTAAAAATAAAATCAAAAGAAATATAAATATAAATGCTTTAAAAATAGAAATACTTTAGTTTTGAAAATTTACCTTCATAAAAAATAGCATAAGATGAAAATTGTTATGCTTTAATTTTTAATCCAAATAATAATTTATTAGTGGCAGGTTGTGGTTCAAAATTATAAACTTTTACATTCATTGATGGCTCTTTAAAAAACTAAAGTATTATAGTTTAACATTAAAATAATGTATCAGCATTATGCTTTATAAAATTTAATCAGTTTATTTCAGGTGATTCAAAAGGATAAATATATTTTTGGATAGAACAGAATAATGATTGGATAAAATAGTAAGAAATATTATTGGAACATACTGAATAAATAAATTAAATAATATTTAGTGCAAAATTCAATTAAATAATTACATGTAGTAATGATAAAACGATAAAAATATTTGCTTTCACTTAGAATTGGGTTTGTCAATAAACATTAGATTCTCATTAAAATTATGTATGTTCTATAGCCTTAAACTTATCTGAAACCATGTTGATATCTTCTGGTTCTGATAAATAATTGAAAGTTTATAAAAGAAAACATAAATTTACTTTGATGTAAAATATATAAGTAGAAGATATTATATATCGCCTTTTATTTATAGAGGAATTAAAATTTTGTGTTTAAGTTTCATCTAGTATTCATCTTAGTTTTTACAATTTTGATGAAAAACAAAAATTATTTATACTGAGTTAGACAACAGAAGTTTAAAATTAAAAGAGTTGTATTTAAGGATTTCCAATTGGTTTTTGTAAGTAAAGTTCTATGATTATATGTAAACATGGAACTTACATTAATATATTAAAGAAAATGAATAATTAAATTTATCGTACTGAATAATCTATAAATTTTGACACTATGTATTTTTATGGGGCTATGAGTTCAGATGGTAATCATATAGCAACATGGGATTATAAAACGAAACAAATTTAAGTAAGAAAATTAATTTAAAATTGAATATTAGAATTTAAATTTATTATTAGAAGAATTTATAAAATAATATCTATATAAAAAATATAAAAAATCATTATAAATTAGGCAATTTTGATGATAAAATAGTATTTGACCAACCTCCTTAAGAGTGTTCTTGAGTAGAACTATAATTTTTATTTGATCTCGATGAAGAAAGAAAGTTAAATTGAGACAATTCTTCAAGAGGAATAATTTTTAATAATTTAAGTTGACGTTCTAGAAGACTTTTATTTTTTGTAGAATGAAATTTTTTAAAATTAAATTAAATTGGAGGTAAATCTTATGTTACAACACTTAATTATTTTTTATGTTATGATACTACTTTAGGAAGTTCTCTTTAAGTTAATAATTCTTTAATTTATTGATTTGCCTATAATTTTCCAATTTTTTAAGCTTATTTAACTACTAATTCTAAATCATTAGATTCAATATTTGATAATGAGTTTTCTTCTAATGATTCAGTCACAGTTAAAAAAGTATCATATTTGACTTTACTTTATATTTATACTAATTTAGCTAAATCTTAAAGTTCACTAGCATCTTTCATAAGCATATTTCTGAATAATAATGGTTATAAACCATTAATAGTTGAGAAAGATTTTCTAATTTTGATTGTTAAATCAACTGAATTTTATCTTTTAAGTTTTCTATAGAATTATGCTTATGCTTTAAGAAATAATGAATAGGCTTCATCAGCTATAGTTTTTTTTTCAGTTTCTTATATTAATTATCGAAAAGCTTAGAATTTTATTGCAATACTTTATTCACTGAGAATCATTTTTAATTACTTTTCTCTTTGAACCAAGTAACTAATATGGCTTAGCATTGCTCCAACTGATAATGGAACATATTTTTCACTATATTCCAAAGTTTTTAGAATCTTTAACATCATAATTCTAAATGCTGACAAAGCTTCTTGATTTTCTGTAAGACCTTTGAATTCATCTAATGATAAAGCCTTATCCTTATTATAATCAATAAATTGATAAATGGTTTATAAATCGTTTATACTCACTCCATATCCATAATGTTTGAAGAGTATAAACAAATGAGCCAAAGTAAGAACTCCTTCATTATTGCAATCTAAAGTCTATATAAGTATATGAATTGATTTACACTGAATATCTATTTTAGTTCCATCTATAATTTTCTTTCTTCAGGATAATAGAGATATTGTGGTTTGACTTAATCAGATCTTCTCTTAAACCATTAATTAGTATAGAAGTTATGGAAATGATTTCGATTATTTAATTAATCAAGATAATTTTGGCTAGCTTCATCAATGATTGGTACTTAGTCCCATTTAACTTTGTGATATTTCATTATTAATTATGATGAAATTTTTTATAGTATCAATTCTATTCACAACATTACTCTCATGTCAAGTTTAATATAACAATGACATTAAATTTGATTTCAGCAAAGTATAAGCAAATAATTTGGCTTATGGAAATGATGGAAATTCCTTATACATAACTTTATGTGGACTATTAAATTATAAATGTGAGAAGTCTGAATCCACTAGAATCTTGGAAGAAACTAAATCTGAAATTAGTAATACATCTAATACAAACACTGAAACTACAACAACAACAACTACAACTACAAGTACAAATGAAAATAATACTAATACAAATACACCAATTGATACAAATAAATAAGATAACATTAATAATAGTGATACTACCACCTCAACAGATACAAATACTACAAAATCAGATGATAAAATAAATGAATCTTAAGTCATAGAAAATAAAACAGAAGATAAAGATGACGATAAGGATGATGCAAATGTTCTTAAATAAATAGATAAAGATTAATCATAATCACTTATTGTTTCAGAAAAGAATACATGTACTCCTTACTCTGAATAAAGCAATGTAGATTAAAATTAATTAACTTTATTGGTAGAAAATAAACCATTTAAAGGATTAGTTATAGAAAGAAGAGGAATCATAGAAAAAGAGACTTTTAAATTATAATTGAAATGTTCTCAATCAGATATTTTGACTATAGAAGACTCTAATAAAGATGGATATTTATTTATCCTTACTTCATCATCTGGTTGTCCAATATTAGTTTATAATCCTGTTACCTAATTTTTTATTGATTTTAAATGGCTATTTACAATAATACTTTGGATAGTTGGAATATTTTTCTTAATTTTAGGATACTAATTAGCATAATTATCATCTATGATTCTTGCTTCTTTAATGGGTTTTGGATTCACAACTATTGTTATTGGAGAAGCCACATTAAATAGTGAATCTAGTAATGCAGCTTTATGGGTTGTAATAGGATCAGGAGTATTAGTAGCTTTTATTTATTTTAATGCTTCAATGTAAAGATTCTTTTTCCTTTTATTTAATTTTGGATTTAGTGTTGGTTTAATTTTATCTTTAATGATTCAATCCTTATTTTACTATACAATTGAAACAGATATGATGTTCTTTCCTTTATCAATTTCTATAGTTGTATCTGGTGTGATTTTAGGTTTACTTGGTCTTAGATTTAATCTTCAAATGGGAATTGTATCTACTTCATTAGTTGGAGTAAGAATAATATTATAACTTAGGCTTACTGTTTAATAAGACCTATAGGATTTATTGCTGGAGGTTATCCAAATGAATTATTGTTAACTAAATAAGCTGAATATGGATTTGATATAAATATTGGTTATTCAGTTTATGTTTACAATATAATGATCATCTTAGTAGCCATACTTTGTGGAATATACTAAAGAAAATAACATCTAAAAAGAGTGGCTCTTGATGATTAATTGTAAGCTGATATCAAATACTATGAAATGGGTAATGTGGAAGATGAAGAAAAATAAGTAAATCTTTTACTTAATTCTATAGAAAAGATAAAGTAAAAATAGTGATAAGAATGTGACAGTCATTTTTGCAAAACATCTTGAAAATTAAGGTGAAGAACTATAAGATAAAAAACGACATTCACATTTAACTGGAAGTGATATTAATGATTGATTATTAATGATTGTTAATATAAATAAACTTTAACATCATTATTTTATGTAAAAAATATAAATTTATCATTCAATATATTACTTTCTAATCTAAAATTACTTTGATTTTTCATCCCATAATATTAAATATAAAGAATCATTACTAATTAATCCATAAATACCTTATGTTTCAAATTAAATTGTTTATTCAGCCATTAATGAACAATCATCCTACACTTTAAATAAATTAACACAATTTCCATTCTTACATAATAATATTTAATTCTATTCTTTATATTCCAACTAAAACCATCTACTACAATTGCTATTTATCTTATTCACATCAAATTCCTTTGTCTTTTCATATTCTCCATTCTCATTTTATTATTAATATAACCACATTTTTTATTATCCTTAAGGTAGAAATAAGAAATTATTATTTTTAATGAAACAAATTCTATAACCATAAATTTCATTCTTAATTGTTTATTTTACCTACCATACTTATTCAATATTATCTTTAACAATTATTAATATTATGTTATCAATTCCACATGATACTAAAACATTTTCAGAAGAATTCAATGATATAGCTTTAACATTATTTTGATGATTCTCTATAGTCTATACACATTTCCATTATTATTATTCAATTGTATAAATTTTAATACATTTGTCATCACTACATGTTATCATTTAATTCTCATCTTTATTCATTATTATCTAATTAACATAATCAGAATGTTCTTTTAATTCAGCTATAGATTTCCATTCATTCTCTTCTAATGTCCAAAATATTATTTTTCCATTAAAATCTCCTGAAACAAAGGATTTACTTTTATTCATAATATAGATTGAACTTATATTATATTCATGTTTATCTATTTATTAAACAAGTTCTAATTACCCACAATAAAATTTATAAATCTATATTGTTTTATTGCAACCTGCAATCAAAAAGTCATTCTCTGTTGTAAATCCTATTGCTCTAAAATTATCATTCTATTTTATTGCATGATTTTACTACATTATATAATTTAATTATCCTTAAAATTCTGAAATTTATTCTGTTTAAGTTTATTTAATTTATTATTATTTTTATTCTTCTTGTATCTATATATTTAATTATATCTCATTTTGCTTTAATATAAGTTCTTTATTAGGTAATTTTATAGCATTTAAAGATAACATATCCTAATCCAAATTAATTTTTTCTGAAATTTTTTGAATTATATTCATAAAGGTTTCTTTAATTTTTTAAAGTGAATTATAAATGTTTTAATTTAATCTAATTTCCTACTCTAATATTTCATTTTCTTATGGAAATGATATTTTATCATTTAATTAAGTATTTGACAAAATTTCAAGTATATCAAGAATTTTTTTGTTTTATAAATTTTACCAATCTTCATTAATTTCTTGGAAGGCTAAGTTTGCTATATTATTTACAATAGATTGATGTTCTTTTAGATTATCAATAATTTAATTATTTTTCTATTATAATTCTTATGTGAAAATATTTAATTATTATAATATTACCTATTTGTTATCATAGTTCTTTTATTATAATGATTCCATCTTTTTTTATTTTATTTATTATAATTAATTCCATTATTTTTAGACATATGTCAATGAAAAATATTTTATTGGACTATCTTCAATGCAATAAATGCAAGCTAATCTATTTTCCTTAGCTCGTTCTGGATCTAAATCAAAAGCTATTATCTCTCTATTATGATTTTGACAAAGTACTTTCAATCCTGGAGTGTCCTATAAATTATAAATAGAATTTATTACAATATAGTTTTCATCACAATTTTATTATTTTTGATCACTTTAATAGAATTCCTACTTATAAGTTTAAATTTCAAAAGAATCTACACATTTAAGAAATTCTTCTATTTTTTTGTGATTTGATATTTATAGTATCTGAGATTATAAAATACTTTTAAATAGAGTTTCTGAATTTTCAATATCTTCATTATGTAGTTTTGGAAATAATTCATTAAAATTATAAACATCAATTGATTTGATTGTTTGATTCAAATTATCTAAAAGACTTGATTATCTCTCACTTTCTTAAATAATTTATTATGTTATTTTATCACAAATAAGTACTAAACTTATTTTAAGTTCATCAATAAAATTTTAGAGTTAGTTTAGAATATTTTAAGTTTTTTGAAAACTTTTTGTTTTTACTTATAAATAATCTGTTTTGATATCATCTAAATAACTTTAAGCAACCTCATTAATATGTATTGTTTATTCCTTAGTTTTTTGTATTAAACATTAACAACAAAAATGTATATTTTCTTGATTACAACCCTTTTTAATATCAGTGGCAATAATTAATTAATTATGAACTTTGCAAATTCTCTATTCTAATTATAAAGACATATAATTATAATACAAATAATTCTAATTTCTATAGAAATTTGTGAATAATAATATAATTATACTATTTTTGAATATTTATTAATTAAATGAGTGATTAAGTTATCGAATATTTATTAGAACAGAGATTAGGATTTGGAAAACATTAATTGAGATAATTCTTAATTATAAGTTTCATTGATTTCCTTGATGGTGCTGAATTTCTTTTCTTATCATTACTAACACCTACATTAAAATAAGAATGGAATTTATCAATAATTGAACTTTCAATATTTGGAGGATCATTTAATATAGGTTTAATGATAGGTTCAACTATTTGTGGATTCTTAGCAGATAAGATTGGAAGGAAACGTATTTTAATAATAGGAACAATTTTGCAAGTATTTTATTTATGATACAAAGACTGCAGTCGTTTTTCTTACAGTATTTTCTCAAAACATAATTCAAATGATTTTACTAAGACTTATGTATGGAACAGTCATAGGTATGAATCTTCCTATTAGTTCAATATTAATGATTGAAGTGACTCCAAAACTTCATAGAGGTAAAATTATAGTGGCACTATAAATAATGATATTGTTAGGAAGATGTTGGATAATGATTTTAGGATATATATTTATGGAAGGTATTTCTAAAGGTAATTGGAGAGCCATCTCTTTATGTAATAGCATTCCATGTTTGATTTGTTTAATTGGTACAATCTTTTGGATATAAGAGTCTCCAAGATTTTTGATTTTGCATTAAGAAATACAAAAAGGAATTGATAATCTCAATAATATTGGATAATTTAATAATTCAGAATTTGAAATGTTAACTGATAATGAAATCTTGAAATTAAAAGAGTGGGCACAATAATAACATTTACATCACTAATAAGAAAATAATTCTATTAAATAATTGTTTAATACAGAAAATCTGCCAATCACATGGAGGAATTATTTGATATTCTTCTTGTTTATGTTTACTATGTTGGCTATCTTTAACATTTTACCATTTATTTTGGATGATGAAAACAAATCTTTATTATAATTATACATAGTAGATATTGGTGAGATCCCTGCTATATTTTTAATGTTATATAGTATAGATAATTTTGGTCGTTTATCAACTTTATTATTTTCTACAACAGTGCTCATTCTTATTCTATTTTCTATTTGGCATTGGAAATTTTCAATTATAATAATGGGACTCATTATCTTTAAATTTTGCTGCAAAATAAATTGGGGAACATTAAATGTCTTATTTGCTGAATCTTATCATACTCTTTACAGATCCTTAGGAGTTGGAACAACAATGGCAATGGGAAGAATAGCAGGATCATTAGCACCCTTTGTCATCTTCCCAATCTACTTCAATAATAATTATTTGCCATTTTTAATATGCAGTATATGTAGTTTTTTAATGCTAATTCTATTAATATCTTATCCAATTGACTTAACAAAAAAGCCTTTAGATTAATTAAAACCCAAATGATTTATAAATTATATTTAATATTAAATTTATACAAATGAAATGCTAATAATGTGATAGAGTACCTATTACATATTGGTGTTTGGATAATATTTGTGAGAAGAGATTCGTTTGTGATTAGTGTAGTAAGTACCATGGGCATAAAGAGAAGATTTCCTAATAAATTTAGGTAATCCAATAAAACTAGTATATAGAAAAATAAAATAAAAACATGGATAAAAACTTTGTAGATAACATTCCTAAATATAATACACAGGACAACCTGTTATTAAGAATTCATAGAAGAAAACTTTAATTAATAAGAAAATTTAGAAGTGCTAAAAAAATAACATAAGCTCTATTTCTAATTTTTCCAATCGAAACCTAAAATCCAACGTGCAATTCTTAATTTAAATAATTAATTAAATGATATCCCCATCTCTAATATCCATAAATAAGATGACCCTAAATATATCAATAAAATCAATGTTTGTAATTAATAGAATATTATTTTAGGCAAAAAATTATTATAAGAAAAATAATTATTTAAAGCTTAATAATAACTTTTTTAATTAAATCCTGGAGAATCTGTATACTTTTAAAGTATTTATTTCAATGTAGTATTTAGTTGAATGTTATATACTTCAAAAAAAATTGGACGATGCTTTAAAATTGTCAAAAGAAACTCTAGGTAGGATACAAGAAAATAAATATTTAGATTTCAATTTATAAATATAATAAGGTTAATTGTAAATTCTAATATTTAGCTAAAATTCTACATAAATTAAAAAAATACAAAGAAGCTATAGAGGTATTGAAAAAAGTAAAAGAAGAGGAGTTGGATTAAATATAAAAATAGTTTTATTATTTGCAATAAGGTAATAAATTTAATTAACTCCAAGCAAAAACTTATTAAAAAATAATCCAATACTAAGGTTTAGGATTTAATACAATCATGAATATAAATAATTAATACAATTTAAAAAACGGTTCTTAAATTTAAATATCATTTTTGGATAGAATACAAAAATAATTAGAGGAGGAATTTAAAGATTTTAGTACTTAAAACGAAGATAAAAAAAAAGAAATTTTGGAAAAAAATAATAAATAAAAGTACTTTATTGACAATTTTTAATTTAGTTTGGCTATAGGTAATGTAAAATTTTATTATAATAGCTAAAGCGAACCTTCTAAGAATAAATAATGATGAATTATTTTTATATGATAATAATTAAAATTAGCAACAAAATGACTAAAATCAAGAATAAAACAATTCAAATTAGCAGCCTAATTCATCAAATCAACAGCAAATAGTATAAAATTAGCAAGTAATAACTATTTATTTAAATTTAAATCAGAAATTCACCCTTTAGGATATTGAGCTTATCTATAAAGAAGTTTTGAAAGAAGATGTTCTTAATCAAAAGGCTCTTTTTGGATTAAGTATTTTTAGTATTATACTTAGGTTAAATTTATATGAAATAGATAAAATATGTAGAGGCAAGAGAAATTTTATATCAACTCTGTTAATTAAATCCTAAAAATAGTAAAGCAGGTAAAAAATTATTTAATTTAGAAATTGGATTAATTTACATCAAACAAAGACTATTAGAGTAAAAAATCCAGGATGAATTGGACTCTAACTTTTCATACACGGAAAATTGCTTAAGTTTTATTTTCAGAAATTTTTAAAGGTTTAGTAATTAAATTTTTCCAGAACAACATTGAGATATCATAAAATTATTATTTATTTTAGAAAACAATAATATTTTCTATTTTTTGATTAATTTATATTATGGAAATTGAGTAAGTGACTTTTTCTTGTGAAGTGATTAGAAAACATTTAATAGTGAATAAACATTATTATCTACAGCTATTATACAACAAAATCTTGATTAGAGAGAATGTATAGTATATAAGATCCATAAATTATTAGTTAGAACATCCTGCTAAATATGAGATTGAATTAAATCTAAAAGGATAAATAAGTTGGAAAATAGGAGATGATCATAAGATTAAAGAGTTTGGCATCAAGTATAACAATAAACTAAAGTGGTTTACAGGAATATCTGAATAATTACACTAGTTAAAATAGCACATATCAAATAAAATATTCATGACTGGAATTTCAAATTTCTATTCATCTCATGAATAAGTTGGAACAGGAGCATCTTGTAAAGTGATTTTGATTAAAGATTATACTACTCATATATGTTATGCAGCTAAATGTGTTAGTAAAGAATACATTAGAAAAAAGAAAACATCTGATAGATTTGATAGATTAGTGAATGAAATTGAGATATTAAGAACATTAAATGCACATCCTAATTTAATTAAATTGTAGGAATTATATGAAGGAGAAAATAGTTATTATTTAATATTTGAGTATTTGGAAGGAGAGACTCTCCATAAATATATTAAAAATAGTGGGCATCTAATGACAGAACCTACTGTAAGAAGTATACTTTAAGTATAAGAATTCAGTTAAATATCTTAGTAATTATTGTTAGGAATTAAAATGTGTCATCAGTAAAATATAATCCATAGAGATATGAAGTTAGAAAATGTTGTACTTACAAAATTGAATAAAACAGAAAACATTAAAATTATAGATTTTGGATTAGCTATTTTTAATAATTCCAAATAGCCATTTTCTATTTGTGGAACTCCTGGTTATATTGCACCTGAAATATTAAATTATGAAGATAATAAATATAAGTCAGAGAAATTTGTATATACTCCTCAGATTGATATGTTTGGTATTGGAGCTATGCTTTATAGAATGTAAATTTATTCATTATTTATTATAGAATGACAAGAGAACCTTTATTCAATGCTGACAAAACTAAAGAATTATTACATAAAAATTAAAAATGTCTATTTGTAAAACGTACTATATCTCAATATTCTAATATTCTAAATTAAATTCTTTTTGGATTATTAGAGTTTAATCCAAAAAAAAGATTTTCTGCTGATCAAGCCTTAGAATTATTATAATCTCAATAAATCAATTAAATAATTTTAAAACATGAATCAAACAGAAATATTAATTTAACTCAGGAATTTCAAATCCCTATATTTACAGATGTTATTTAAATTCCTTATCTATTTCCAAATAGGAAAATCAAAAAGGAATTAGGTTTTGTTCATTCTTATCATATCAATGAAGATAGAATTTGTGGATTTGGGAAATCTTATCTACCTTCTTTTAGTATAAGACAGAGTCTGGATGTTGATCATGATAGTTTGATAGAGGAAACTGAAAGAGATTAAGTTTTAGAACTATGATTTGATTTTCAAAAATATATTATAATTTATACAATATTATTATCAAAAATTAAAATCATTGTTAAAAATATAATAATTTATAGTAAATGAATGAATTATAATTCCTTTAATATAGATATTAGTTGAGAATAAGAGAATAAAAATCAGCAAAAGACTTATGGCTTTCAACTTATTGCTGCTTTTTGTATATGCTACTAAAAGCATTCAATATTACTGGGAAGATGGCTATGATGCAAATTTATGATTTCATTTATTCAACCAATTTTCCATTAGATCCTGATCCAGGACTAGTAAGTTTTGGAAATATTTAGTACAATCAAATATTAATTTTCGTAGATGGTTTTGTTACGAAATGGCTGCTCCTTTTAGTTTACCTATGATTCCACTGCTTTTATAAAAAGTATAATTCAGATACATATTTTTCTTTTCATCATTTGGATCTATTTTATTTATTTTGCCCCTTTAATTTGCAACAATTTGTAAAGATTCTGATGAGTCAATCTGCAATATCTATGTTATGTGGACATTTACAATAGTTTTTTCATTTGTTTCAGGATTTTGTAAGACCTTGCTGCTTTTTTCAATGCTTTATTATTTATCTAATTTAGCAGGTGGTCGAGAGAAGATTATTTACTATAGTTCATTCTATTTTATGTATGTATATAGATTTTTATAATGTAAAAATAGACATTAATTTTAATGGTTGATTGGTAGTTTGATAGGGAATTTGCTAGTTGATTTTTGTAGTAGAGGATCATTATTAGAAACATTAAAACATGTTTATATTATATTGATAATCAGTTCTTTGTTTTTATGTTCGTTATTTTTAACAATTCCAGATGAAAAAAAGAAATCGAAGTTTAAAAAGTTTAACAAAATGATAACTTAATTACTTATTTAAAATGGTAAAGAGAATCAAAAGATATTAAGATTAGAATTATAAAAAATGAATTAGAAAAACGAATCTAATTAATTATATAATAAATTAATTGATTTAGAAGAAGATACTGATGAAAGAAAGAAGATTTAATAAATTATGGATACATAAGTATAAATGATGTAAACTCAGTAATTCTTTACAATTTAAAGTTTTTCATATGAGGAAAATAATTTATAAGATATACTGTCAGAAAAACCAAAATCATCAGATGATTTACATTGGGTATATGCTAGTTAGAAAACTATATCAATAGAGGAATATGTAAAAAATAATTATTTTGGAAATTTATATTTAACTTTATCTGTACTATGTTTAGATGGATTCTATTATTTTATTATTTTGATTTTTAATGTTGGAAGTATGTTGTCATTTTTATTATTGTAATTACCTAATCTATTAACAATAAATTCAGTATAGGATCCAGAAGTCAGAGCTGCAACAGTCTATGAAGGATTTTTGTATGTTGGAATAGGATAGATATTTGGATGTTTTTATATGGGATTATTTGGAGATTTCTCACAAAAAATAACGTAATATAATGTATTATATATTAAGTGGACTATATTATATTCTTGGAGTATATTAATTGGGTTGTTTTTTAGCATGGGGAATCTATATTTATTAAATAGACTTTTTAGTATTTGTAATGTCATTCATCTTAGGATTCAGTTGTTCAGCTATGATGTCAACTACTATATCATTTTAGATAGTTTATTTTCACAAAGTATAAATTATAATTTCAATATAGTTTATCTACTCAGTAGATTTGATGTATATAATTTTCAGTTTCTCTTTCTCTATCACCTCCTTATTATATATTATAACTAACTTTTTCGGAAAATTTAATGGTTTGATATTGTTATAGAGTTCAGGAATATTAGGATTATTATCTATTTGGAGGATACATATGAAATTGAAGGCAAAATTGAATAAATAATAATGACTAATTATTATACAATAACAAATGAATAACTTGGATCAATTCTTCAAGAATGTTGTTAATGAATTTAACCATTAAATGTACAATCTTTATTCCTTATCTATTGAATAATGTTCAATGAATGCTCCTAAATCATCATTTATTCCAAACCCTTTCAAATAATCTACTAAAGCCAATTGTAATCTCTATTAAATAATAATTTATTGTAATAACCTCATCTAAAGTGATGAAATCTGGTCCTGAATAATCTTATAATCCTCTTTCAAATCTAGGAATCTTTTTATGAGCCTCTAAATCCTTAATTAAACTTACTAAATTAACATTAACCTAATATTATATAATGAATTTATACTTCTCCTTATGAAGTAGTACATTCATAGCATAAGATTTATCCATTACTCTTTTAGAGATATACTGTGAAGTCAGCATAATCATTGGGTGCTTCTTATTATTCTTCTTCTTCTTCCTCTTGATTTTATTTATTATTCTTTTATTATTCTTATGGTTCTTCTTCTGCTTCATCTGAATTAGGTTGTCTTGATTAGAATTGTACAATGACTTTAACATCACCCACTTTTTTTTCTAATGTGACTTCATGATCGTTCTCACTGTCAATTAATTAGAATCCAGCCTTTTCAATATATTAAATAGCTGAATCATCCTCAACATAATTTGTTTTTTCGTATTTTAATTCTTTCTCTACTATTTTTACTAATTTTTATCCAGCTATTTTTATTATTTGATTGAATACTTTTATTTACTTTTTCCAATTATGTACAAAATGGAGCAAAAACTTTTGTCATATTCAATGGCTTGATGGTTCTTAACAATCTAAGTGGGATTTTGGAAATCATGTTATAAATTTTTAATTGTGATAATTAATTTAATGTAAAATGTCTAATAATTATTATTTCATTCTAATTTATAAATGAAACAATCAGAAAATAAATAATAAATAATTCATCAATATTCAAACAATTATAGTAAATATCAAATTATTTCTATTGCATTATTATCAAAATACATATTTACATATAAAAACAAAATATATTTATATAATAAAATACTTAAATAAATTAAAGAAATTAATATATATATATGGATAATATTATAATATATATTCTTTAAAAGATTACCAAAACTTATTATGTTAATGATACCATAAATATTGATATGAGATAATTTCTTTTATTATAAAAATATATACAAATCAAAAACACTCTTCTTTTAATTTCTTCTCTCCCCACATATTTATTATATCAATCTATTAATTAAATTTAAATCATTACTCTTCTGATCAATGTTAAGATTTTACGAGCTTTTTTATTGTCCTTAACGACTTCTCCCAAATCAGTTAGTGAAGTAGACCAAGGATATGCTTTATTTCTTAATAATAACTAAAAAGATTAGTAATATTTTTACTTCAATAGTAGTAATGTTATTTTCTTGTATTGCTAAATATAAAGGAGTTCTATTCATTATATCAATTGCATCAACATCTGCATGATATTTAATTAATAATTCTGACATTTCATACAATCCTTTTTTACATGACCAATGCAAGGCTGACATATTAAAGAAATCAAATTCAAAAACTAAGTATTAATTTTTCTCTAAATATTAACGAACTTTCTCTAATTAATTCAACTTGACAGCATGTATAAATTCTTATGAATAAGGTTTTTGATAAGGCTTTTTAGAGAATATTTATTTTTAGAGCATCATATTAGTTGTGACATTCATTTCTTTTAATTTTTTTAATGCTCTAAGTAAACATTATCTTAATTATTTTTTAGTTCTTTTAGCAGGTTTAATTTACTCATTCAATAAATTTTCATCATTCATCGAATTAATAACATTTCTTGTTTTCATTACTGAAGAATTATCAAATCGATTTTCCAATATTATTGGAGTCTTGATTGATAACATAGTGCTTTCATCAATATCAGTTTATTGAAATGCTCTATCTATTCTACTAGTTTATATTTGCATCTCAGTTTCACATATATAATCTGATTCTAAAGGTATTTTACGATTTCGAAATGTTGAAGCCTAAGGAGATCTTGAAAGAGTTGTTCTATTATTATGTAATGGACTTGAAACAAATTTTATTCGGAATCTAGGGGAACTGTTTTTACATATTTAATTCTCTAATTTGATTGGGGCAATCTTCCTTAAAATATTTTCACTTTATGATGTTTTCTTTTCTCTAATATTCCCTCTTTATCTCTCAAGGTATTCTTTAAAAGAGAACTTTCCTCCTCCATCTTAAAATATAAACACTAAATTACTTTAATTTCCAATTACTGTCATACTTTATACTTCCATCAATTAAGGTCTAGGTTATCTAGAGATTAAACTATATATTATACCTAAATTCTGCTTGTATTTTGCAATAGCTTTAACCCATAGATTTCTTCATTTGCAATTATATTTTTTAAGGTTTGGTAGTATAATTTTATTATATAATAATATATAAGTTATAATATTACTATTTGCTGTAACAATTTAAATAATTATTGACATATTTTTTATATAAGATCAAAATTCCTAAATTTTACTAAGAGAGAAATCATAATTCTAAAGATAATTATATAATATGAAAAAGTAGTTATTAAATAAATTATGAATAAAAATATATAATAAAAATAATTAGAATTAAGAGTTTTTACATTCTTATATTAATAAAGTTTTAGAAATAAAGAGACTCTTAGAAAATTGAATTTATTATTTATTAAAATTTGCCATTTTGAGTATTCAATAAAAAAATTATTCAGATTTTATATCGTAAATATAAGTATGTTGATTATTCTTCAAAGTTCCAATTAATTGACAAAATTACTTTAGAATGGCTAAAGTAATAATTATTAATAAATTAAATATTTATTCATTAGAGAATATTTTTTTAATTTGAGATTCTTAGTTTAAATGTAGTTAATCAATTCATTATAAAAGGATATGGTCTTAAACATCTTTACTTTCTTTTACAATTAAAAAGTAAGTAAAAAAGATGTTATTTTTTTATTATTTAACATGATTATCATGTCCCCCTTAATTGGATATATATGATGAATTTTAGAAGGATTTTCTAAAAATTATGATTAGTTCATGAAAAGTAATTATCAACTTAAATAATATGAATTAGTTTGAGAGTAATTAAATTGGAAGCAGCTCTGATTCACCTAGTAACAAATAAAAAGAACAAAAAATTATAATGATTTTGAGCTTCTTAACTTTTAAAAATATAGTATTTCCTAAGATATTAAATCATTTATTCTTTTCTGAATAGAAAGGAATAATCAAAATAAGAAAAACAGATTAATTATTAAAATTATTGACAAAAACTTATAATATTGATTTAATTGAAAAGTTTTCAATAGATGTACCTGAATATACAGAAATAGAACTGATAGTTAAAATTTTATAATTATGTTTAGAGAATATTGCTTCATTAACAGATGAAATTATAAATAGTAAGGCATTCTTTAGTTTTTATTATAAATTATACGATTATTAGAAAAAGAAATAGAATAATAATATAATATTGGAATATGTATAATAAATAATATAATAAACTCCAAATATATAGATAATTACTGAAGATTTTAAGTATTTCATTTAATTTAAAGCATAAATGATTTCAATAATACAATCTTTAAAGTTAAGAATTCCTTTGACTTCATTACTTTTATGTACAAGATTTTATATGAATAGAAACACTTAATAATTCTTTATTGAATTCTTAATAACTAATGAGGTGTATAAATAAATTTATAATAAAAGATAACTCTCAAATTTTAATTATTTAATGAATATAGATTAATTGATTAATTAAAATACTTTAAGTTTATCTGATATGAACTATTATATAGATAAATTTTTCCCAAGATATGAGGATGAATTGATTGAAACAAATTTTAATATTTTTTCTAAGAATCTAGATTTAATTTTAGAATAAAAGAAGTATATGATAATAGATCTTTAGTAGTTGATTGAATCTAAGAAATTTAAGGAACTTTATAATGAACTTTAAAAATATCGTCATTAAGTTGATTAAGCAGATATATTTTATTAAGGTTTAAGTTAAATAATTTAATATTGTTAAACTAGTGAAAAATCAATAATGGATTTTAGTCCAGTTAATATTCCATCTTTCATAAAAAAGAATTTCTTTAGAACTCATGAAAAAAGAGAACTTATTTAATAATAATAAATTGAATCTCTTTTAATATTTAATAAGATTTTGACTGAAATGATTAGATTTAGATTTCCATTTCCAATTATTATTTCATATTTAGATTTGAATAATTCAAATATATTAATCAATATTTCAAAAGAATTAATTATATAATGTTAGTAAGATAAAGTGTTTAATTTATTTCTTGCTTTAGTTCATTATAATTTTTAAACTTTAGCAAAATCTCAAACTTATTCCAAAGCATTTTACCATTCTTAATTAGAAAAATAAGAAATGTAATAAGAAGAAATCATTTTTTAAATGTTAGAAATAATATTGGAATTTAAATACTTAATAAAAAATGATTTAGAAAAGATTTTAAATGAAGAAGACACAAAATGTAAAATTAATAATTTTATTAAATATTTAAAAAATAAGAATATAGATTAAAATAAATTTGAATAAAAGATAATATACATATTATCAGAGTTAATACAGTTTGATGAAGCAAAAGTTGTTGATATGAACAATTATATATAACTTAAGAATTAATTATAGAAAACAATATCAGAAATAGAATATAAAACTACTAAATAACCATATTAAGAAAGAAGATTAGGTAAACCTCCAGGATTTTATCAGTATTAATAATATATATAGAAAAGAATAAGATCAAATACATAATAATAAAAATAAATTAAATAACCAAAGGATTAATATTAAATTTAAAAGCATAAGAAAATAAATAAATTGATTTCTGAATAAAAGTTAATGGAAGAATTAGAGAGTATTTTAGTTTGATTATTACCAATTATACCTAATATTCCATATATATATTATTTTTTCAAAAATTAAAAAATCTTTATTATAATTATTTCAAGTTTTTTAATCATATAGTAAAATGAAGTATCTTTCAGGTAGTTAAATTAAAGTTTGAAAAGTTGCATTATAAAGATAATATATATTGCTGTGTATTATTTCAAAATTATTATATTATGTTAATTAGTTAGTCCTTACATTCATTGAATAAGGATAAAGAATAGAGAGATTATAATTAAAATCTGAATAAAAGGTATATCAATAAAATACAATAGTAGAACAAGTTAAGAATTGATGAAAGGATAAACCAATTCTAAAAATTGTTAATTGAAACCTTCTTTTTTTCAAATGTCCCCACTCTAACCAAATGATTTGTAAAGTAATGATGAAATGAAGATACCAACTCTTACAAATATTGTATCCTATAAAAGCAATGATTAACAGATACATATATAGGAATCGAAAAAGGTTATATCAGTTCAAGAAGATAATTCATTATTATCTCCTTCTGTAATGATAAAATCACATTTATTATCAGAAGCTAAGAAATAAAGTTATGACTATGGAAAAGTGAAAATGATTGTAGCCTAAATTAAGCAACGATTTTTAAATTCCATTCATTTTTCAAAATATAATGATCCTCTTATAATTCATGAATCAAAAGAAGGTATTATAAATAGTATAATTAACTTAGTATCCCCATTTTATTATTATTATTTTACTTTGTTCATGTTTTTAACAACATTTATCTCAAATCTCTTTACAATTATACTAATACCATTACACAAAGTATTTAATCTTTAAGAATCAGTTACTTAGATATTTGTTTATTTCAAGATTTTAGCAATTCTATTAGATTTATATTTTTAAAGAGGTCCTTTTAAATTATTTAGAGGAAAAATAACTTAAAATTACAAGAATTAAAATAAAGTGTATTTGGATTTGTTTAGGCTAATTATATTATTAATTAATTATAATTTAAATTTTGAAAGTCGACTTTTAACTATTCTATTGTTAATAATCTTAATCATACTGGAAATGATAAGAATAGCAGAACCATTTGAAAATTTATATATATCAACCCATTACATAGTGATAATAATATAATTGTGGATATCTATAATTATTAGTTTGACATGTAATTTAAAGAGTATATATATTATTTAAATAAGAGTATTTGATGATGACGATGATCAATCCTTATCTTTATATATAAGTTATTCAATTTCAGTATTAACTCATAATGGAAATATTAGTAAATATTGATTTTAATTTAGCATTATATTTGAATGAAGATAATCATATAGTAGTTTCAATATTTTAATTGATATGCTATTTTTGTTATGTTTATACATTTATTCTATTATTTATATGGATAAAACCTAATATTGAGATCCAAGAAGAGAAATAAAAATTACTTAAGGGATTCGTTGAACATTTTCAGGAGAAATGTAAGGATTATGATTTGTTGAGAAGATGTTATTCTTATTTAGAATATAGAATAGATGTAAGATATTAATAAAGAATAGAAAGGAAGATTTAAGTAGAGGCAAAGAATAATTAATGAGAAAGTTAAGTCCATCTTTATAGGATGAAATAGATCTAGCATTAAGAACAAAGATGGTAGAAAGAATAGATTTAATGAATAAGTTTTCTCCACAATTCAAATAATAATTATTGTACATGATTGAATAAGTAACATTTAATCCAGAAGATAATGTTTTAATAGTAATATAATAAATTAATAATAAAAATAGGAACATTAAGCTGAAGATCTGAGTTTGTATTATATTTTAAAAGGAGAAGTGAAGGTTTAATTTTAAGGTTCTTCATTGGCAAATAATAAAAGATCAGTTACTAAACTTATAGAAGGTTAGGCATTTGGATAACATTCATTTATTTCAGGAATACCTTCAAATATAAGTATTTTTAGTTGTGGTGTAACAACATTAATGAAATTGAAAAGGTCTGATTTTATAGAAATATTATCACATTATCCATAAGATAATGAGAGATTCAGTATGATGAAAGATAATTCTCATTATAATCAATCCTTATTTGATTGTTATTATTGCAAAATTTAAGGTGATTATATTGTAGAATGTAAACATTTACAATATTTTCCTTAACGTCAAAATGTGATTGAGAGATATTTATATAGTAGCAAATAGCGTAGAAAACCTATGATTAGAAAATAAAAGAGATATTTAACATTAAGAAATCTAATTTGTAATTAAGAGAGAGTGAGATCTATTATTAATAATAAATAAAGTTAAGATTGTATTTCTGAAGAATTTCCAGATTTTTCATAACTTCCTTATTCTGAGAGTAAGATATAGAATTTATATTTTAGATTAAATAAATTCAGTTAGTTAATTAAGTAATTCTACTCCTTTCTAAAAAGTTAGTTAAGATTACTAAATATCAAATAGTAATTTTAATGTAGAGAGTATAGAATAATTTAATAATGAGGAAGAAGAAGCTGATGAAGTTGGTATGATTATACCAAAAATGTAAACAAGAAGAAAGAGAGATGATTCAAATAAGACATCTAATAGAACTGCTGGATTTATGGGTGGTAATCCTGGAAATTGTTCATAATTAGATAAAGATGAAAAAGAAATCCTTCTTTAATTATAAGATACATAAAATAAAGAGGCTAAATAATTTATTGTAAATTAAGCTAATCGTAATTCTTAGAATATTATAAGTTTTTAATATTCAAAAGAAATGAATCCATAAATATAATCAGATTATTTATTTTTAGAATTAAATTAATAATAACAAAATTAAGAATATAATTAAAAAGGTACTTTGGGATAATTAAGTAATAGATCTAAAACTTGTACTAATTCAATTTCAAGAGATATATCAAATAATCCTTCTTCAAATTCCAGATATAATAGATCACCAAAATAATCAGGATAAACAAGAGATATTGTTAGAAAAACAAACAGTATTAATACACTTTCTGATGATAATAAATTAAAATAAAAAAGTGGCACAAAATAAAGCAATTTATTTTAACAATCTTAATTTTAAGCTTTAACAGCTCCTGATGTATTTAAATATCTTTTATGATATAATAGAATTAAGAATAGATTTTAAATGATGTGATATTTAACAAATTTGAAAGTATGATGAAATTTAAGATATATTATCCTCACAATAATTTTGATTGTGTTATTAAAAGATATAAGAATTAATTTGAAATGAATAATTTCAAAATAAAAAAAATTAACTTTTGTGGGTATTCATTAAAATGTTTTGTTGCTTCTAAAATCAAAAGAATATAAAAAATAATAAGAAGATAGTGAAAATAAGCATTTATTAAGATGCTATTTTGATTGATACTTATTATTATATTTAAATTAATTAACTCTAAAACAATGATCACATAATTAACCATTCTTGCTGGGATTATGTAATTTAATAGCTGATATATTAATTAGCTCTGTTCTATATGCTGGATGCACTCAAGCAATAATGAATCTTTATAAATCGAATCAAAATTATTAACAAATCTCGGATGAATTTGATTTCCAACAAGAAGTGTCATTCTCCTTTTGGTTTAAGTATGAACCCAAATCAAAAATTTAAACCTAATATTTTTATGGTAGCTCAACCCAAACTCAATAAGTTGTGTCTGGGTCATTACTATTTAGACTTTATGATGAATAGGCAAAATTGTTCCGAATATTTTCATATTTCGATATCAATAATTAGAATCTATAAACAATGATAATTAATGTTGATGAAAATATTTCTTCAACTGAAACTTTTAATTTAAATTTTTTAGATGGAATTTGGCAATACAAATTCTATAAAATAACAACGGATGGGAAAATATAACATTTTATCTATAATTATATCGATGACACCTATACCATAATAGAAGATAAATTTCATATTGCATAAACAAAGATTTTATTAAGCATCGGAGGTTATGGATATGTATTTTTTGAATTTAATTTAAGTTTTCAGATTATTATTAAAATTTATACTTCAATGCCTTCCCTGGATTAATTTCATCCTTAAATGTAAATCTAGGTCCCTTAGACATAAGTATTCCTTAATTTAAAGAAAATCTAAAATCATGTATTTAAAGTGTTCTAACTTGTACTCCTATAAAATAAACATTAATTAGTGGGATTTAGACATCTTAAACCTAGATTTTAAAAAGTAATTTTTAATTAGAAAATACATTTGAATTTAAAGGTTGGTATAAACTGTCAATCAATAATGTATATATAATAATTAATACATTTAGGTTAATAAAATTTATCATTTGTTACAAATCCGAGATTAAAACATAACAACATTTAATATAATTGATTCAAGAGATTTACTTTTAGATTTGAGATATGTAGTTGATTAATAAAATGTTGAAATATAATTGACAGTCTAATCATATGAATAGCAACTATATTATTCTAAGAATGAATAAGTAAAAGTAGCCTCTACTGTTATACTTGTATCTTAATGGCATTTTATTACAATAATGTATGATAGAGAATAAAATGAAAAAACTGGAATTGATATTTAGTTTCCTAATGAGGCTTTAATAGAATTAAGATACTTGAATCCTATATTATTTTTCACTGGATCAGATTTATACTTTTATTTAGGATCTAATAATATATTATTATAATATTTTTCAGGATAATTAGGAGAACTAACAATTAATTCTTGTATACAAAGACCATATAGTTTTAAATTATGTAAAATATATTGATTGATAATTTATTTTAGAATGTGACACTACTTGTAAAACTTGTGATGGACCAACATAATACTATTGTAAAGAATGTGATGATAATGATAATCGTATAAGTTCTAATAAATAATGTCTTTGTAAAGATAATTATTTTTCTTTTTAAAAGAAATGTCTTTGTAATTCAATTATAAATAATTAGAAATTTCAACCAATACATTTTTTTAAATCTAAGAAATAAAATAAGATTAAACTCAATGTTACTTTGGATAATTTTTAGTAAATTACATAGATTAAATTTATTGTATAGACTGGTAACTTAATCATTTAATAATAGTCCTTTTTCTCAAATTGGAACTACATTACTTTGTGGAGATTGTTTCGAAAATTAATAAAATTGGTAATATAATATGAAATGCACATATAATTATGAATTGAATGATCCTAATAATGTAGACTCAACTTTTAAAAAAGTAGAATAAGATCCATAGTTATATATTGTAGATATCAATTCAGGTTCAATTAATAATTGTATAGGATGTAAGGAAATATGTAATGATGATGACTGTAAAACTTATAAATATACTAATTTTGGTTAATTGATTAAAGTGAGATGCAAACCAAGTAATCTATATATGCATAATTAATATAGATTACTATTATAAAGATGGAGAATGTACTTTATGTGATCAATTCTGTAGTATCTGTTCAAATCAGGTTTGCACTTAATGTTAATCTAATTACTATTTCAATTCTATCCTTTAAAAATGTTTATTATAAATTTATACAACTAAATAATGTGGATTTAATTGTCTTGAATGTATCTATTACCAAAATAGTAACAGATGTTTAAAATGTAAAGACTAATATAAAATATCTGATGATGGATAAAATTGTGAAAGTTATGAAATACCTAATTGCCTTAATGAACATAACAAGAAACAACTTAAATCAACAATACCATACTTATTTGATCCATTAACCTAATATATAACTTAACCTTTTTGTAGTTTTTGTTCTCAAGGTTATAATAATTATGATACAATTAATAATTAATGTAATATTGAAACTATGCCTACTTCTTGTAGTTTTTAAATTGATAATACTCATTGTATATTAGGTTCAGATTCAACAATAATTACAACTTAATGTAACTCTCCCTGCACTCTCTGTATTAAAGATAATGCTGAATTTATTCAAGAATATTGTGTTTAATGTTAGGTTGGTTATTATATTGATTTGTTAACTGGAACTTGTAAGGTTTGTCCATCTAATTGTAAAAATTGCTAATATAATTTATTACCTTAGAACAATGATAGAATTTCTATATCTTTAATTACCTTCTATTAATAAGGATTATTAAAGTAATATTTGGATTCATTACTACAAATACCATAAAATTTATTTGAATTAATATGTAAAGATTGTCAAGATGGATATGTAACTCATAATGATAATTGTATAAATGAATGTCCATAAAATTGTTAATAATGTGAAGTAATTAATAATTAGAATGTATGTATTTAATGTATAACTATTACTTAAAAAAATCTGGGTGATAAATGTTTAGAATGTCCTGCTAATTGTTTAGCATGTTCTGAAAGGAGTCAAGATGAGATCTTTAAAATAAATCCTTTGTTTGATTAATCAATATCCACTTTTAATAAACATTCAAATAAATGTTACAGACCTATCTAAACTAAACCAATAATATCTAATCAAATTGCATTAGATTGTAAGACTTATGAAAATTGTTAAAAGAGTTTTAGCATTTAAATTAATGTTTATTGTTAGAAGGAATAATTTGGTGAAGAAAGTTAAAGTGCTACCGAAGATTATTCTATTTACAATTATTATTTGGAAGATTTTATAAATAAATTTGAATTAAACTTCTTGAATTAATAATTTTTAGAATAATTGAATTAATATCTAATTTAATTAATATCATTAGATATTAAATTAATATCAAATAATTAAGGATGTTCTTTTGATGATACAAATTTTATTTTCAATTAATAATTTGTTAAATATATATTTAATCTCAAGAAAGTGAATATTAAATTTTATTCAGATAATTTATTGTAGCTCTATATACCTGATTTATGGCAATTGTAAAATTATACAACTATAGTTTTTTAAAATATTATATTTTTCGGAAATAACAAAATTCAAATAATAGATGCGACCTCTTATTATTCAGAATTCCAAATTCAAATCATAGATTGTTAATATACATCTTTAAATGATGCATAAGGGATTAATGCATTTTCATTTAAAGTATAAAATATTTAATCTATTATCATATAAAATTTTAAGATGCTTCATGTTAAGCTATTTGATTATGGTCTATTTAATATTTAAGTTTTTACATCATCTTTTAGTTTAGAAGTCAATTAATTACAAATATAAGATACAACTTTATAAAATTTAACTCTCTTTGAAATTTAAAATCCATAAAATTTAAATTTGAATATAATGCTTTAAAATATTGAAATCAAGGCTATATTTTATAATTCATCCATTATTATAACTAACAAATAGAGTAAAAATATGGGATTACTTAACTTATTGAAATTCAGTTTAGTTAATAGTTATTTATATGGATCCCACTATTTGTTTAATTTAAAGACTTAAACTACAAATTTAGTTGATTTTCTTTTAGATTCAAATACATTTTATAATGAAACTTCTTTTATGTATTCCTAAGGATTTAATTTATAAAATGTTAAGATAACAAAAAATATTATCTATTTTGGCATATTATTTACAAATTATGATGAGAATTATATTTAAATTCCCTAAGCTTTATTAATGACGTGGAAATAAATTTATTTTGAATAAATCACCTATTATAATTATAATTAATTTATAATTATAAGAAACAATTCAAATACAGAAATTATTGTTGAAGATTTTTAAATGATAGAAAATATTTTAATTAAAGATTCTTTAAAGAAAAACAATTATTAAAAATCTCTTGTTCATTTAGAAGGCAATAAATTAAATATTAATAACTTAAAAATAGTAAAATAGACAGGTATCATAGAATTGTTTTTATAATTTAATTCAATAGAAATAAGATAGGGTGTATTAAAATAATAAGATGGTTCTTAAATAATTATTTAGCCTTCTTTATCTTGTTTAAATAACTTTTATGATCTACAATTATATACACCTATTATTGAAATATAAAATTCTTAATTAATATTGATTGATAGTTTATAAATTTCAGGTTTAAGTGTAGTTAATAATTATATGATAGGAATAGAAGAGAATGATGGTAATAAGATCACAGTTATGATTTAAAATAGTTAATTTTCTGATAATTATATTTTAATTGAATCCTCTTAAGTAAATTCAGGTATAATCAAATTTATTTCAAAATCTGAATCTAAAATTACATTTTAATTTTGTTAAATAATTAACAATATTTTGTATTCATATAATTCTGATTAGAATTCATTGTTAGGTACAGTATTAATGATTTCTAATCTTTATGGTTCAATTGTAATTAATAATAATTAATTTATCAATAATTAAGCAATAAATACAACATTTTCAATTTCATATTTTTATGGATCTTAAATAACTGTGAAAGATAATTATTATAAAAATAATAACTTTGATAATCTAGAACTGATTTATAATAAAATAAGTGATTCATTTGCAGAAGAAGTATATATTGAGTAGATCAAGGAAATATATAAAATAATATCAAATGGAGGAAATGGATTTTATAAAGGAGATAATATATTAATATAAAATTGTATTTTTGATTCATCAACAGCTTTATTTGGAGGTGGATTATTTATTTAAACAATTAATAAAGGGAGAATAAATATTAATAATTGTTAATTTATAAATTTGAAAACTGATTTATCTGCAAATTTAGAAGGAAAAGGAGGTGCATTATGGATTGATGGAACATTTGGTGAAATTTAAATGAATTTAAATGATTGTACATTTGAAAAAATAATGGCTAAAGTTTTTGGAGGAGCAATTTATATTGAAGCTTCATAGAAATTCAATAATTTTGAAATCTATAATCTTAAACTTAATAATGTTATGTCTCTAATGGGTTCCTTTTTTTATGTTACATTTGGGGATGTAGACAATTCAAATTTACATGTAAATAATATTGTTTGGACAATTGACTCAAATGTTATTAAGGAATATTTTGGTGAATTTAAAGGATTTAAATCAGATTATAGTATGTAAATAAAGTAAAGAGGAATGTTAGTAGTAACATAGAATGGAAATATCAAATTAGAAAATTTTAAAATATTTTCTACTTATTATTTTGGTCTTATTTCTTTGATTGACTGTTTCCATTGTGCAGTTCATAATATTTTGGTTTATTAACCATAGAGAATGTATTATAATGCATTTTATTTTGGTAATAATAATTTAATTACTTAATCCTACATCATTCTGAATTAAATTTATTTTGATACTCTGACTGTCTATCCTTATTCATCTACTACTTATTGTTAGAGAGCTATGGATATAAAAATTGCATCAGCACAAGTAAATTGTAATCAGAAACAGTTTTTGAGAAGAGGGATATAGTCTGGAATATCTGACTCTGACTTTGAAAATAATGCAGATTGCAATTTAAATTTATTGCTTTCATACTCATTAAGTTCAGTAGGAGTAAGTGTAATGGATATATTTCAAGGATATCGATTAGATGGAAATAAGTAGTCTCAGATTTAATAAATAAAGAGTATAACCATACTTTCAAGTATCTATGATTTTTTGGATTTCACTTTTGATTTAACAATATCTTTAAATCCATTAAATAATAAGACTTTACATTTAAGTAATATATTTTCTGTTGAAAATTCTGGGTATGAATACATGAGAATTATGGATATACCTGAAAAATAGCGTTTACTTTAATAAAGCAGTTAAAGAAATTCTATAATTTATCCAATCTATATAGAAAATTTTGTAAATCATCTAGGAAATTTTTGGATATATTCAGGTTTTGTCATATAAAATTATCAGGCTATGTTCAATAATTATATCCTTACTAATAATAGTTAAATGCAATCTTATTTATTAGATTGTAATAATAATTTTGGGAATTCTCATTTTTACTTTAATATGTTAGTTACTGACAATACCTTATAAGAGGTTAATCTATCAAATCCTCTTAGAATTAGTGTGAATCCCTACACACCTGAATTAATAAAGAGCAATACAATTATCTTATATAATTATAGAAAAGATTATTCAACATTAACAAATATAGCTGAATTTAGAGCAAAAAGATTGGCTTTTAAGTATGATGGTATTAAATATCTGAGATCAGTTGAAAAATTTAGAAATGATACAAAGATTATTGATGAAATTTATGTAAAACCATATAAAGCACCAGGTTTAGAAAATTTAACAAAATATTTAATGTTACCTAGTGGATAAAGTTATGAAAATTATTCTTATTTTGATAAAGTAACAGAAACATTTATACCTTTAAATATAAATATGTCAATTACATTATTGAATTCTTAAATGGAAAAAATGATTTTGTATTCTGGAGTCATTTATAATTTAACTGTAAAATATAGAATAATGAATGAATCAAATCCAATAGAAAATACATCATTTACTGATCTTTTAACAATAAAAGTTACAGATCTTTCTAAAAATGAGAAATTCATTAATGAATTAATTTTAGATTTTGATCCTTATTCAGATCCATCACTTTATTATTAATTATCATTTTCTTGTAATTTTGTATCTATAATGAAATACTCAGATTCACATCCTTATAAAGTAGAAGGTACAATAACAGATTATGAATTAAGAGTGAATGTAAGAACGTATAAATGTTAAGTAGGAGAATATATGTATTTAAATTAATGTAGATAATGCGATGCAACATAAAATTATTTTTAGGTTTTAGAAAGATAATCTTTTTGTTATTTTAAAGATGATGTAAGCACAATTCAAGTTTAGAGATATACTGTATAAATGAAACCTCATTTTTGGAGATATATATTCAATAGTACTAAAATAGAATATTGTTATCATTTAACAACTAATTGTTTAGGAGGATGGAAATATGGTGATCAAACATGTATTCAAGGTCATATTGGAGCTTTATGTGAATAATGTGATCTTTATAATACAAGAGGAGATGGATCATATTCTATAAGTTCATAATATAATTGTGGAAGTTGTGAGGATGTAAAATGGAATATTATTATTATTGTTATTATTGCACTCTTGTATATTAATTAAAATATTTTATAGCACTTTAACTTTGGGTATTATTACTGTTAAAAGTAATGCAGATGATACAGATTCATTCAATTTATAAGTTAAAGCACTTGCTGCCTTTGGTGTTCCTACTAGTATTAGAATTATGTCTACTATTTTAATTAAACTATTAACTAACTATGCCTAGATTATTTCCAGTATATTCACTTTTTAACTTACATTACCACCTGAAATTTAACAATCAACTAATAGTGTTGGTAATCCTACTCAAAGTATGGTATATTCTTTAGATTGTTTTTTGATCAATTTGTCAGATATGACAATTATGTACTTGGAATTTATTTGGATGTTATCAACACCCTTTTTTTTCATTTTTATCATCTATTTTATCTATTTTATTTTAATTTTGCTTAAATTAACTAAATTTAATATTGGAGTCATTAGTACAACCCTTATTTACTTTTATATATACATGTAACCTAACTTAATATAGACGTATATTTAATTATATAATATAAATAGTATGATATCCCATTTGAGTAGAAGATCAATATCTGGTGTAGAATTTGTCTAAGGAAATGTAGCTTATTTATTTTAATCCAATACTCATCAACAATGGTTAGTATTTGTTATAGTTCCTGTTCTCATAATCATTGGACTTGCAATCCCTCTTACTTTATGGTATCAAGTATTTAAGAATTACAAGTAAGGTAAACTTAAAGATGTCAAAGTAAGAAATACATGGGGTTTTTTATATAATGAATACAAAATAAATGCTTATTATTGGGAAACTATTAAATTAATATAAAAATAAACAATAATCATAGCTCTCAACTATTATGAAGATTAAGTAAGTATCAAAGCATCATTAATACTATTAATTGTATTTATATACCACGTTCTTAGTAATAAAATAAATCCATACTCTGTTCTTAAATTGAATAGATTAGATACTTATTGTACTGTTGTCTGTTCTATATCTATCATATTGTGTTCAACAATATATTCTGCATAAGTTGGAGGTTAATATGAAATTGTGTGGCCTTTCTATATAATTACAGCTGCAATAAACATCTTATACATTTTAGAACTAGTCATTGAAATCATATTTTCTTATTTAGCTTAATATTAGGAATTATTTGATAAAGTCAAAACATTTATCAGAAATAAATGTCCTTATCTTGTTGATAACTATCCATGTTTTTAGAAACTATTAATCACAAAATAAGAAAAATAAAAGAAGGTTAGAGAGATTTGGAAGAAAATTAAGTTACCTATAATGAAAAAAGCAGCAAGAGTTATTAAAGCAAAAGAGTAATATAAAATTTTATTTTTAGATTTACAGAAAATCCTTCACCAGAATCTTACTATAAAAGACGGGGAGGAATCTCTAGTCCTAGTCCTATGTTTTCATATAGAGGTGATGGAATCAAGGGAGATATGATTGATTCTTAATCCTAATTGAATAGTTCGATGCAAAGGAGATAAAATATGAGTAATCCCACTATCAGATTGGTTGAAACTCTCTATTAGCCAAGAAATGAAGAAGAAAAATTAGACCCTTAAACTTAAAGAGATGAATTCCAAGTTGCAGAGGATCCATTAAGTCCTCGAATAGTTTATCTCAGTTTCAACCCAAGAACAAGAAGCGTACTTAGAGAATGATATTCATTTTTTCCAAATCATTATAAATATATATTAAACAATTTCAGCTTAATTATGATTTTAATCTCTAATAGAAATCATCTTCAATAACGCCTTGCAATAAGGTAATATACGGAATAAAATCATAGAATGTTAATCTTTCAGTAATTAAAGATGTTTTCTTAGAATACAGATTGCAAAATCTATAATAAACTAATCAATGAAAGTAAAATTTATATAGATAAAATCCTTAAATTTTATGAAAGATTAATATTGATAATTACTAAAATAAAGTTAATAATTTAAATTTTTGGAGTTAATCATTGAAAATTTAATAATATTTATAATAATGTTAAAGATAAATTAGAATGATTTTTATGAATTCAGAATTGATAAAATAAACATAATATGATTCTATTTAGAAATCTATTTTGCAAATATTCTTTAAAATTATTAAATTAAAAAGTGTGGACAAGGTGTCTTCAAATTTAAAATAGATGCTAAGAAGAATGTAAAAATTGAGAAAATAAATTAAATTAAGCTATAAGTCTTTTGGATAGGATGATAAAATAGAGAAAATGTTTAATGAAGTTTTAAATTAAAAAATAAATAAAATGAAGACTACAGGAGAAATCATTAGCTATAGCTAGATAATCTGAATAATCATCATAGATTTTTAAGGTCTTTATAAGTTAATAAACTATCTGATTCTATAATAAAATTAAATTGTTTTAATAATCAATCATTAATTGTATGTATTATTAATCTAATGATGATGAATTTTTGCATGATATCATTCAATATTACATCATTTAGAATTAAATAATTTTTGAATGATTAAGTAATTGCTTGCTATTGTGGCAATTGGAACACTATCAATAGTGCCTTATCTTGACAACATAGATTATAATCCATGGTTTGAAGGAGATACATTCGTCGTTTCCACTGATGGAAGCTTAAAAAGAATTAGTAGATTCGATCCAACATGGAAGCCATAATCAGCTTATGAGTAATTATAAATTTAGATAATTCTAGAGATTATCATGAACAAATCTATCAAGAATAAGAAAGATAACGTAAAGAAAAAATGTCAGATTTCTTAAAAACTACAGCCCATATTTGTACAAATGGAAAAGATCATACCAAAATGAATTTATAGACTTATATGAATGAATTTATCAATGGTCCTTGCTAACCAGCTGTCTTAGTACCTGGTTTAATTGGTACAGCTTTATAGGTATATATATTGAATTCTATAGTTAAACAGGTAAAAATTGATTGTGAAACCTTGTAATCTAAAAGACCTGATATCTTTGAAAATTGTGGTTGGTAAACTTGTAGTTCATCTAAATTCTGGTTGAAAAAACCAAGTGAAGAATACAGAATGTGGATAGGTGCATTAAGTGGTCCATTTTCAATTGCAATGACCAATAAGAAAGATAAATGTTTTGGAGATTTTATTGAACTATATTATGATAAATCTAAAAAGGATCCAAGAGAAAGATATACAGCTGCTCCAGGTATTGAAATAACTTGGGCTGGTAATACTCCAAAATCAATGGATAATGAATGTGGAACAACTGCCATTTAAGAAATAGCCACTGATTCTGTTATTAAAGCAGCTATGTGTGATCCTAAAGGATATCATGTTTTCTCAGATACACTTAAAAATATGGGATATATTCCAGGATTAACAATGCAAGCAGCTCCATATGATTTTAGAAAATCTATTGCAGCTTCAGAATCCCAATAATATATTAAAAAGTCTGTTGAAACATTCTACAGATTGACTGGAAAGAAAACTTATATTTTTGGACATTCTTTGGGTTCACTTCATTCTACATAAGCAGTTTATTCAATGAGTTAAGCAGAAAAAGATAAAGTTGCAGGTATTGTGACAATAGCTGGACCTCTATTGGGAGCAACCAAGACATTCAAACCTTAAGTAGGTGGAGATGACAGTTTTATGTTTAAAGTCTTAATCTTGGATGCTGGTATTAACTGGTATGCTTAAAAGAAGATGGCTCGTACTTCTGCTAGTATTGTTGATTTGTATCCAAAAGATACATTCACAAGATTCAGAGGAGAACCATGGATGTAAGAAATTCTTGATAGAATGGATTGGGATAAAGAATTCATTTCAACTGGTAAGAGACCAACAAGACCAAATCCATTATCTTGGTTCCCAGAACCTGATGAGATTTGTGGTGCCAATTTTGCTGACAGATCTAATCATTGTTAATTATTAATGCATGACATGAGTGAACACTTTTTAAAAGTCGTTGATAAATTGTATTATTCAACTGAAGAATCTACTAAAGAAGCTATTACTGATAATATTAATGCTAATGATGCCAAATAAATACTAGATTATGTTGAAGAAACTACAAGAGTAAAAGCTAATAATGTTGAACATCCAGGTGTTCCTATGGTTGTAGTCTATGCTGCACATGAAATGACTCCATTCTAATTTGAATATAAGAAACAACCTAAACCTATTGTTGATTCTACTGATGATTTCTATTTCCCAGATCATATTACTAAAGCTATTGGAGATAGTACAGTCCTTGCTTCCTCATCTATGACTCCAGGTATCAAATGGATTTATGAACATAAAAATGGATTAACTAATATTCCAACTAAATTAGTTGAATATTGCTCATAATATAATGGAGATTCAGTCTCTTCTATTTATGATTCAAAAGATGCTCAAGGATAAAAACTATTCACAAATTCAGGATATTTAGGTCTTACTTGTTCTTGCAAATTTGGAAAAACTGTATATTAATTATATTTATCATTTTTAGGGAATCGATCATTGTGGCCATGCCTGTATGATTTAAGACACTTTGTTTATTGAATTTGCTGCTGATGTTCTAACCACACACTGGAAATCTGCAATTTCCTAAACACCAGCAACAGAAACTGAACTTAAAAACATCCATGAAGGATGCACAAATTTACATTGATTATATCAATACGTCCCAAATAATAATTTAAATAATAAAATTACACTAAAATTGTATATCAAATCAGTTTAATTACAATTTCTGACTTATTTTCTATTAATACTTATTATCAATTGTGTCTTCACTAAATTAATAGGGTTATCTTTATTAGTTTATTTTATTATCTTTACAACAAATTAATTTATCATCTTCAAAAACACTATTATAATTAAAAGGCTTTTTCATTATTTCATATTTTAGAAGATTGGATTGTTGGAAAAAATTGAAATTTAATATTTTAGATTATTGTAAAAGCTATAAATATAGAGAACCTTCTTAATAATTTAGATATTTTTATCAAAATAATTAAGCATAAGTAAAATCCTTCAAATCATTTAATCTATTCTTTAAACTTGTTATTTAAGAATATTTCAATTTTAGATAAAAATGAAACTCTATCTATAACTTTTATGATGTAATCTCTTATTAAATTATATGATAATTATATTTATTTCTACATAATTCTAAATACTACAATCTTTATGAATATTTAATTTCTCATATTTTTGGCTAATAACAATTAAGATTCCCATACTAATTTAAGGAGATACCATATAAATGAAATGAATTTATGTAAATAATGATGATGAATGTTAGTAAAATATAGGATTATGAAGCTTTTTTATAAAAATTAAGAGGATTTCATAATGATAGTTTAATCTTTTTAGGAAGTTTTTAAGAATAACAAATAATTTATAATAATATTTAAATTATCAAAATCAGTTTTTATTAGTTTCACTTCATATACTATATATAAATTCATATATTTATAAAACCTTTAATTTACATAATTAAGGATAAATGTCATAAAGCTAATATTAAGATATAGAATTTTTAGTTTTCGGAGATTCAAGTAAATGATGAATTTTTAAATTAGATGTGGGTAAAACTTCACTTCTTAAGTAAATAAGTGGAGAAAAATTTGAAGAAAATTATTATCCTACTACAGGAATAGAATTAATTATAAAATAAATATAAATTGGAGATGAAATATTGAAGTTTCGTTTATGGGAATTTCCAGGATATTCAAATTTTAAATAGTTTGCAAGAATGTATTATAAAAGGGCTCAAGGACTTATATTACTATATGATATCACAGAGTAATAATGTCATTTAAATTAATAAAGTTATTAGTCATTTAAAAATATAGAAATACATTTAGAAGAAGCAATTTAACATCATGATTCACTTTTGAGTATCATTTTAATTGGAAATAAAGTGGATAAAGATAGTAAGAGATAAGTTTCAATAGAAGAAGCAATGGATTATGCAAATATAAAGGGAATCCATTTTAAGGAAATAAGTGTTAAAACTAAATAAAATTTAAATTTAACACTTGAATAATGTATAATTGATGTTATTGAAAAAGCTAAAATTTAAGGTATCGAATTAAAAGTAATTTAATAAATCTATTACTATAGAAATCTCCTAATAATAATTAAGAGACTGAATCATAAAGTCTCAATATAGTAAATAAATTAAAGTAGAATCTGTAAAAGTGTTATTGAATAATATAATATAATATAAATTCATTAAAAAAATAAAATAATCATATAATTTTAAGATACTAGCAATATTATTATTTACTTGAAATCATTTATTAGAATAAATATTCCATAATTAAACTTATTATAATATAGAATAAATAAAAGTATGATTCAAAACATTTTGCATTTAATAAAATTCATATATATATATATTATCAAATAATGGATTTATAAGTATTAAAACAAGTGAGATAATATAAATTTAGAAAAATATTAGGCACTGGATCTTTTGCAACAGTATATTTAGGAGAAAACTTAAAGAAAGAAATTTTTGCAATAAAGGAAATCAAACTTGATATTGCTGAAGGATCTGATGAAATATAAAAATTGCATACATATTTTGAATAAGAAATAGATATCTATTTGAAAAACAAGCACGATAATTTAGTGTGTTTAATAGAAGAATTTACTGAAAAGTAATTTCGTTATTGTGTATTCGAATATTGTGCTAATGGAGATTTAAATAACTTTGTTAAACAAAATATACTTAATGAATAAGAAGTCAAGACAATATTTACTTAAATTTTAGAAGGAATGAAATATCTTCATGAAAAAGGAATTGTACATAGAGATTTGAAATTAGACAATATTTTGATAGATAAAGATAACAAAGTAAAAATAGCTGATTTTGGGTTTGCTAAATATTATAAATAAAATGATATATTTGTTTCATATTGTGGAACTCCAGCAACAATGGCACCAGAAATATTAAAGTATTTTATTATTATCTAAATTTAAAGTTAAGAACCTTATGATTTTAAGTGTGATATTTGGTCTTTAGGAGTGATTCTATATTATATGATTTTTAAGAAATATCATTGGAAAGGTAATGTTAGAAGCATAGTTGATTTACAAAGACAATACAAAAACTTTACTGTAAAATAATGTATTTATATTAGGTTTAATTTGATAATAAAATATAATTATCAGATGATGGAAAAGATATCATTAGTAATATGTTAGTTCCTGATAAAGAAAAAAGAATTAATTATTCAGAATTGTTCTCTCATCCTTGGTTAGAAGGAAAACTTAATTAATCTTAAAATTTATTAGAATCATAATGTATAATAAAATAAAAATTAACAATAAAATCACCAGGATAAATAATTGGAAATATAATTAAATAATAAAGAAGGATTAAAGGAGAATTTTGTTCAATACTTGATTAATGTATAAAAGATTGTAAAAATGGAGATTTAAAAGAAAGTTTTATAACTTTTAGAAAGTAAATTAATTAAGAAAAATTTCAAGTAAAATAAATATTAATTAATTTAAGATTACAATTTAAAGTGGAGATTTGGTAGATAAACCAGAATTCAAGGTTTTTGATTATAAATATGAATTATTTGAATTTTTGAGCAAACTATATAATTAATATGGAATAGATTAAAGAGAAACTGCACAAAAAGAATATGAATTAATTAATTTTTTAAAGGAAAACCCATTATCTAATAGTATTACCATTACATTTGATGGATTAAAAACATAAGATGAGATTAAAATAGTGAGGGAGTCAATTATTGAAGAGGAAATAAATAATTTTGAATATGAAGATTGGAAAATGGATACCTTGGAGATCAATGAAATTAAGGAAGGCTTAGTTGAGTGTATGAGTAATGATAGATTCAGATTTTACAAGTTAGATTAGTTGTATTAAAGTAATTAAAGTAAACTTAATAATATATTAAATAAAAATTGAATTTTAATAAACATATTTAATATACTTAAATCTTAATTTGTTAGTCAAGTTATATATAATATCATTATTACTTAGTACAAGGTGTACTAGCAATATTCTTCTTATTTATTAAATGATCCTAACAAAATAGCTGAAATTTGGCCAATCCAAGGATTAGCAGGAACATTAAATATTTGATATGAGAATTATAAACATATGTATTCATCTATTAATTCATAGAATTGCAAATAAAAAACAATTTATAATTATAAATAATAATATGATTTGGGGAAGAGTTACCCTAGCTTATACTTACGACAATTGAGACTTTAATTTAAATATTTACCAATTCATACTTGTTTAATTGCATATTTCAAATTTAATGAATCTGAAGGATTTTACAGTGATGCCTTAACTTATTATTTAAAAAATAAATCATAAATAAAATATAATTTTTAGTTTAAAAAGGAGTCATTAGAGAATAAAAAGGTTATAATGATGTAATTAATGATAGAAATATTCCTTAATTTATTATTATTATATTTATTTATTCAAGCTTACGATGATTCAAGAAATAACTAAAGATTTATTTGTCTAAGTAACTAATTTCTGATTAAATAACTAACTCATTCAATAATAATCTCATAATGTAATTGAGTTATTAAATTAAACAGGTACTCTGAAAATTGAAATGATTGTTTAGTTATTCAAAACAAAGTTTAAAATTAAATTTTAAACTAGCTATAAAGATACTGAACACTGAACAGAATATATTAAATTAAAGTAATGAATTTATTTAATTAATATATATCACATACTACTTTAAATTGTGTTAGTTTAAGATTTAATATATAATACTTATTAATTTTAATTCAATTTTCTTAAATTTATCTAAATTCAAGATCTAAATATCAATATATTCTTATAATTTATATAAAATGAGTAATAATGATGATCATTTTAATTAAAAAAGAAAGAATTTTTTACAATAACTCTTTTAAAATAATAATACAATCAACAAATAAAAATTTATAGTATTAAAATTTTATAATCCCTATTCTCAAATAAATTCAATTCATTATATATCTATTTTAAATGAGCTTAGTATTAGTAGTAAGCAAAACATGTCCACATTGTATAAGAGTGGTTTTAACTTTAAACCATTTAAAAATTCCTTATGAATTGAAATATATAGATATGGAGAATACACCAGATTGGTTTATAAAAGCTAGTCCATTAGAAAAAGTTCCAATACTTTTTGTTGGTGATACAATCCTTTTTGAATCCCTTGTGATTATAGATTATATAAATACACTTGTTCCTTCATCATTACTACCAAATGATAATTTATAAAGAGCATTGAATAGAGCAAGAGCAGAATTTTCATAAGAAATAATTGAAATTCTTTGGAGTTTGTTCTCAGCAAAAACATTAGAAGTACATTATAATATGATATATAGACTTTTAATTTATATATGAAAGAAATGAGATAGCTATTCTCTTAATTAGAAATATGGCTCTAATAAACAAAATTTATATCAGACAATATTTTAACTCTAGCTGATTTTGCATATGCTCCAATTTTTACTATATTACCTGCTTTAAAATAATTTATTTAATTTGATATATTTGATGGATTTCCTAGATTAAGAGAATATGTTGACAATCTTCATGCACTTCCTTAATTATAAATGAGTTTAGTAGAAAATTATGATCTACTCATCTAAAAGAAAATATAATCACGAGAACCATATTTTTTAAAGTAATGAAATATATTAAGAATTTAAATCATATGCAATCTTTTATTTGAGTTTTATGAATAGTTTATTTGAAAATATATATCAAAATAAATTTAAGAAATTAAATCAAATGAGTTTGAAAATTCTAAAAGAAAATTTTCATTAATTCTTAAAGGAGCATATTTATATTTTGAATCAATATTAATAAATCTTAGATTTTTAATTAACTTATATTGTCTAAATCTAAGATTTATAAATAATTTATATAATTATAAGTTTTAGATTATTATTCTTTAATAGAAATACAAAGAATAGTTACAATATTTATTATTTAGAGTAATATATATTTGTTAAATTAATTATAAATATAAAATTTCTTAATGATTATTGATTAAGATAATTATGAATATATATTAAAATAATCATGGATAATAATTATAAAATAATTATACTTAATAAAAATAATCTGTGAATGTTTTTTCTATTTATTTGTTTTAAGCTGCAGGTTTAACAAGTTATTATTATTTTGGAATTATGGAGTAAAGCTTATCTAACTTGATATTTATAATTTAATCCCATTCTTAACTTTTATATGGTTGCATTCTTTATTTGATTTTAGAGAATAGAATATTAAAATCATTAGGCATTCTTTAGAAGTACCTTAAAATTAAGACTGATATATCTGAAATTCTTATATTATAAAGAAAGGCACCAAATAAACAATTTTCTGCAATTAATCTCTATTAAATCTAAAGAGTAAAAATGATAATATTTTACATATTAAGAATGACTGAATTAATCATAGGTTTAGATATCTGATATAATCTTTAAGCAGGTCATCAAGGATCTTTTCTCTTGTATTAATAGGGCACAATTAATAAACTAAATAAAATGTGATATAGAATTACATCTAATATAACTCCAAATATTTCATCAGTTATCATTTATCTAGTAATTTCAAATTCTAATATCCATTAGATAACATAAAATAATTAAGACATTTTGTGAATGTAATTACTTAAATCATTTAGATTGATATATTTGAATATTAGTAATATTGATTAATATATCTAAATTCTAACTTGTTTTTTACTTGTTGTTAATCGATTTAAGTATTTCAAATTTTAGAATATCTTCAATAATTATAGTAAAGGTTTATAATAGAGCTTATAAATATTTTAGATACTTTTTTGTCCTAATTGTCTTTCTTAATTGAATTCTTTATTTATAGAATCTAAATGAAATTATACTTTTTAAATTACAAGTAAAATCCATTCATAAAGTTGATCTATCATAACTTATTTCAATTAACCAATTTATCCAGTAGTATTTATCATCATTCTAGTTAATTTGAGCATATCAAAATTAATTGATTATGCAAATAAATTCAAATAGGCTTTATCATCAACAATCTACATAATGACACCATAAAGACTCCTTACATTTTCATTTAACATACTCTATAAGATAAAAACTATATCTCCAGTGTTTTAAATTTAATCTAAAAATTATAAAACATCATTTTTTAATTTCTATATTAGTTAATCAGATGTTAATTAATCTTTAATGGATTCATTTTCAACATTTAACAAATACATTTTGACTTTATGATAAAAGGTAATAATCTTTTAATTAGGAATTATACGAAATTCATGAAAATCAGAAAAACATTCTTTAGGTATGTTAATTTAATTTATTTAATAAAATACATCTTCCATTTTAATTTTTGCATTGATGAAAATCTTTAAAGATTTTAAAATCAATTCTTAATCATTAAATAAAAATATTCTACTAAAATTAAAGATAGTTTTTCTATCAATTTACATTTTCTATATAATATCTTCAAATTTAATAAGAGCTTATTGATCAAATAGTACTTTCCAAATCTTATATAAAAATCTATCTGTAAAAGGTGATTATTTTTTTAAGTATAAGAATGCAAAATCAAATGCTTTACTATAAAGTTCTTAATAATGAAATTGTTTAAATAAATCTAAGTTTATTGGATATAGAAATTATTCCATCTTGTAAAATTATAATTTATTAATAACATCTAATTGATATGTTGTACATTTAATTGATGCAAACAATCCCATTGCATAATACTTGAATGCCAATTCTTAAATATTCTGATCTTAATTTAATTAAATCATTTAAGCAAAAAACTCTAAATATTATTCAATCATAAAACAACTAATTTCTTTCAAAATATGTTTGATATTGTTTCTTAAGAATTTATCATTAATCCATTAATTATTTTGAATAATCCAAGAATTAAAAAAGCTTGCAATAATAGGCATAACAAATGAATGTAATTAACTATAGTCATATTATCTTTAAAATCTAACAAGATTTCTTAAAAATTTAAGTCCTACTTAAACAGCTTCTATAGTATTTAAAGTTTTGATTAAATTTAAATTAAGTTCAATCCATTATGGAGTATGATTAGCAAATATAGTCTTACCTGCAAAATTAAGTAAACTAATAGAATTAATTTTAGATATGTCTGATACCATAATATTAGAAGTGATTTAATAGATAATATCTATACTTTATTTATCATTGGAATAGTATTTTTAATAAATTTTACATATTTTACCAAGAGATTCCCATATTTTAATGTTTAATGGTAATAATTCAGTTAGTTTAGCAATAAATTATTAATATTTAACAATAGACCAAACCATTTTAATATGATTAGTGATTGGATCCATATGATCTAAATGTTAATTTTGTATCATTTTTTCAAGTTCATTTTAATCTAATATTTAGAATTTAATTTCTTTCATTATAGTTTATAAATTTCTTTTATTTTTTACTTCTGCTCTTTTAATTTTATGCCAATCCTTTTCTTTAAAATCATCTCTTATTTCTGAAGATAATAATAAATTTAATAGATCAATTGCACTATCTAATAATTATAAATCAGGATTGCTATTATTTCCAATTAAACTTGTAGTAATAATTTCAAGAAGAGCATCAAGATTATGTTTAAAGAATTATTGTCTAACTATTTTTTATTTTGAATCAAGTATCTTAAATTCTCCAATTCGATCTTATGGTTATAATCTTCTTAATACTGTATCAATGATAATTAGATATACTTATTTATTCATTACTTAGGCTTATTCTTTAAAATATTAAACAGGTATTTAATCATAAAAGTGTAATACTATATTGGCAATAATGGATGCAAAAAAATGATAGACTGGACGTGAATGAGTTGTAAATCTTTTTATTCTATTCCATGCAAATTCAAATATCTTACCAAATTCTGGTGTATTTTGATGGTTTTAATCTATAAAAGTGGATACTAAGCTTCCTACAATTTGTAATGTAATTTCATTATCACTTTAATCTGCCAATTAACATAATAGTATGAGATTATCTTGATTCATATTTTTGTGTAATTGATCAGGATCTATTTAATATGTTTCATAGAGTTGTCTTTCAAAGTTCATTTTAATTTTAATTCAATAAATAAAACATGACATTTCTGTACCTTCAAGGAAAACTATTTTAGGGTTTTTTAATAAATTAATTAATCTAATTAATCTAATTAACAATACAATAATCATACATACATAATCAAAATGATAATGAAGATAGAATAACATAATAATCAATAATACTATTTATATATATAATTTTAACATTTCTCTATCATAATTTCTTATTTAAATAAATATATATATATATTATATATACAAAATATTAAAATAGTAAAATATGTTAGGAGGAAATTTAGAAATACTTATCAACTTCAATTCATTTCGAAATATCGATCTATTTGATTAAGGATATTATGCATTAAAAGTAGAAATGAGTTCAGAAAATGCAGAAGTTGTATAACCTTATCTTGTATTATCATAATCTGGAGATAAATATGAAGAGTCTATTTAAGATTCATAGTTTTGTTCAAAAGTATTTGATATTTAGTATTCTGAATAATACATTCAATTAGATAATGCTTGTTTATTTAGAATACTTTATTAAGCTCATCCAAATAAAAATACAGCAATTAAAGTGAATGTAGGTTTATTATATAGTTAAACATTGGAAGGTGAAACTCCAATTTTATCAATGTAATAAGTTAGTAATTTTGAATGTATAATTAACAATGCATGTGAAGGAGTATAATAAGGAGTGGATGTTATTTTTGATAATAATCATCTATGTACAACTAGGATGTACATATATACAATGATATTGGATTATAGATACACAGGAGGAGTAAATGGATTTTAGGAGTTTTTGAAGATTAAAACAAATGATTGTAATACATTCTATCTAAAATTTTAGTTGATTAAGAAGAAGTCAATCGATTTATAGGAGAATATGTAGATTCTCTTGGTTCCATATAAACCAAGTATCGTAATTTATTAATATAAATCATAAATGAATTGAAAGATAAGAATATATAAATGTAAAATTTAATGAGGATTCCAATTGTTTAGACAGCCAAATTCAAAGCTAATTTATAGACAAAAAGTTTAGGAGAAGATTGTTTAATGATAATCAATTAATTAGGATAGTCATTATTTTAATTGTGGAATTAATTTTAATAAGTGCTTAAATATTCAAGGAATTATCTATTAGAATGTGTAGATTAAAGATTGTTATAAAATTGTAAGAAACTTTCATCAGAATCAGTCATTTCGAATTAGGCTACTTTTGAAGAAATTTAAACATAAATATCTTTACCATTACTTAAATAAAGAGAAGAGATTTGGAATCAGGCAAGAAAAAATTCAAAAAATTAAACACCAAATATTTAATTATTAGATTAATTCTACACATTACCTATTACTTTACCTTTCTTTTTTGAAGATGTAGTTTCATCATAATAAATTATAACTTAATTTCAATAAAATTAATAAAATAGAAAACATGTTCTTGTATTAGTTCATGGATATTAAGGTACTTCAGCTGATTTATAAACTTGGAAAAGTTATTTAAAAATTAAATTTCCAAATCATTTAATAATCTAATCAGAAATTAATTAAGATGATACAGAAGATAGTATCACTGTGATGGCTTAAAGATTGGCTTAAGAAATATAGAAATAAATTAGTGATAGAACTCATTAAAAATAATAAATTTCAATATCATTTGTTGGTCATTCTTTAGGAGGAGTCTTGATAAGATGTGCACTATAACATTTAAGTAAATATTAAGAATGTATGCATACATTTATTAGTTTGGGTTCTCCTCATGTTGGATTAGGAATCTAATAATCTACATTAATTGATGCAGGATTATGGTTTATGAAAGCATTTAAAAAAGAAGATTAAAGAATATGTTTAAATCAAATGACTTTATGTGATGAAAAAGATATTTCAAAGACCTTTTTCTATAAATTATCACAGAATTCTAAATTTGGATGGTTTAAGAATGTGATTTTGGCATTTTCACTCTAAGATAATTATGTTCCATTCTCATCAGCTAGTTTAACTCGAATCAAAGAATAAGGGTAAAAAACTTATTTTATATTTCATAGTGAAAGAGCAATTGCTCATAACCAAATGGTAGATTAATTGTTTCATTAAATACCATCTACTTTAATTAAAACTTCTGTATTCTTTCCCAATATGAAAAATAATCTTGACAAAATGATTGGTCGTGCAGCTCATATTGAATTTATTGACAACAGCAGCTTTATTAGACTGTTTATTGATTATTATTATGAATATTTATTATGATTAGAAAAGAAGAAGCATTATTATTTTTTTCATTGAATTAAATCCCATTTATAATTCCATTCAAAATCTATTAGAAAAGGAGACATAAATTTGGTCAATATATAATTGAGCACTATAATAATTAAAATTAATTAATGAGTTAGTCTCCCATTGTCTTCACTAACAAACCTTCTAAACCCCATCCTTTAGATGATAGTGTTTGGAGATGGGGATCAGTTTTGCCAAAACTACACCAAAAAGATCTATCACCTTAAATCAAAAGTGAACCGCACTACTTCAAAAATAATTAGCTTGAAGATAGTTAAACCATCAATAATTATACAGTTAGATCTGTAGTATTACCTGAAGTAACTATTTATTATAACATTATTAGGAACCTGAATATATAGAAGTGGACTGGAATGCATTCCAACTCATCTCTTTTGATTGATTCCAGCATATTTATGAGTAAATAATGACAAATATACATATATTTTAAAAGGATAATGTCTATTTTCACTTGTTTGATTTTAATCTAATACAAATGTTTAGTTATTTACAACCAAACTCATTTGTTTTTGGATCTATCCTATCTTTAATCATCAATGACAAATTACCATAATTAACTCAACCTTATATTTAATTTAAATTTCTCAAATAATCCTTCTAAAATCCCAAAATCAAAATAGTAAAATCTCTATCTTATACCTATAGACTATAAGTATATATTGTGAAAAGTTATTTAGATCTTTAAATTTAATTCTTTTTTCTTTTAAATTCAACTCTCATATATTCAAATTAAGAATCATTATATTTAAATGCATATATAAAAATATCATCATTTTCTCTATAAATAACTATAAACTTATTAAGGGTGGTTGTAACATTTTAATGAAACTAATTTTAATGATTAATATGACAGTAATTTATTAATAAAACTTACTTATAATTATTTATATATTTAATATAATACAATATCATATGTAATTTATAATTAATTTTATGTATTGAATTATAAAATAATGTTAATGATAGGATTCTATATTTAAAGATATTTTTATTTATATCTGGATTAATAAAATACTTTTAATAGATGTCAAAGAATATTAACTTATAGTTCTTTGTTTACAATGACTCTAGTAAGAGTTTAAAAGGTGGATCCTAATCAAGATACTTTTTTAAAGCTTTGAAAAAATTGAGCTTCAATTTATGTGATAGAGCATAAAGAATTCTGAATCTTTCTGGTAGATTAAGCTCAGATATACCATTCAGTTTTATTTATTAAATGAATTTTTTTTTGTTTATGGAAATTGAATAAATAATTTAAGGCTTAATTCTCATTGTGAGATATTATAAGATTTTATTTTTATGGTTGATTATAATTAATTAATTAATCATTTTAAGTTAAAATATATTAATTCTCATATATTATGAAGGGTATAAAATAGAATTGTTATTATTTAAAAAAATACCAGGATTTTGGTTATTAAATGGAATTTGAATATGAATGTATGTTAGAATTAAATGAATACTAAATTAGAGACTATACCTGTACTTTAAGAGAAATGTAAATTTCATTAAAATGAATAAGCTAATTTAATTTGTCTTACAGCATCATGTTTAAATTAAGGATTTTTCTGTTTTTAATGTAAGAATCATCATGAAGGTCATAATGTAATATAGGGAATAGAATTCTTTGACTCATTAAAATAATTAGTATAATATGATGGTTCATAGAAATCATCAAATAATGTGAATTAAGTGTCAGCAAGAATAGTAACAGCTATGTTGACAACAATTGATGAATTAGAAGCATTAAATTAATACTTTTCTGAAACACTTGGATAGATTAGATTATAATTTGAGAAATATTGTCAAATATCAAATGATGTGAATGTGATAAATAACTTTTTGATTTTCTCTTAAAAAGAAACAATAGAACCTTAATAATTCAAGGATAAATTTGAAGAATGTTTAAAAAGACTCTGTCTTAAATTATAAAAATTACACATAAAATCTACAGTAACATGTTAATCTAATTCATTATTTTTACCAGATGAGAGATTATTTTAGGAATATTTAGAACCTCTAATATCAACATTGAAAGGAATAAAATTATAAGCTGAATCTAGTTTTACTAAACCACTTTATTATAATAAATTAGATTTGAATTTTAAAAATGGATTAATGCCTTTAGTCAATTCATTTTTTGAACCTGTTATATTTGAGACAGATTAACCAAAGGAGGAAGATAAAGTGTTGGAGAGGTTATGGATAGATAAGAATGAAACAATGAGGAAAATGTTGATGATGAAATAGCGTACAAAGGAAGAATAAGTTATTGAAGATGAACCATATTCATATGGAAATGGAAGATTGGAAAAAGTATTTGCTGTAGCTGGATCTAAAGTTTGGTTTTTAGATTTTATTTATAGTAAATTTAAACCAACTTCTAAAAATTCAAAAATTGAACCAAAATAAGCATGTATAATATGTAAATGTCATCAGAAATTTGCTAGAATAAATGAATTCTTGAATTGTAAATATGGGGATCTATATGGACCATATCATTTAGAGGCTAGATTATTGGATAATTTCAAGATGGCTTTTGATAAAAGAACTAATAAGGAGTACTTGATTGATAGAGGAGGTCTTTATTTTCATGATCTTTGTGTATATTGGTCATCATTGGTTGAATATGATGAGAAGAAAGGAACTATAGATTTTGAATCCTTATAAGAAGCAGTAAAAATATCATAAGAGACTTATTGTTATTTATGTAAAAGGAAAGGACCTACATTGAAATGTAATAATGAAAATTGTTAGATTTGGATACATTATTATTGTTGGAAGGAATTGGAACCATCTTAATAATACTTGGATAATTAGAAATTTAGAATGTTATGTTATTAACATGTACCAGCAAAGTATCGTAAACCAGTATGGGCTTCTTAGAATTTATTATTAGATGATTAATAATTGGAGAAAAGGGAATTTAAGGAATTTAGATAAAGTTAGTTTGTTAAATTTACATATTAAGAAGCAGGATAATCAAGATATATATAAAAATTAGAATAATAGGCTACAAAATAATAATTTGAGGAATGATTTATATTTAATTAGTATTAATTATCATACTTCATTTGCATGAATCTTTGTTGTTATAATTCTATTTTCTGAATTTAGAAAGTCTCCCTCTATATTTAAACCCAAATGAAATAAAGCTTTTGGATAAAAATAAGTAAGAACAAATCCTCCAAAGAAACAGATTGGAATAGTTTAGAAAAATATTACTGCTGATAAATGTTCAGTAACTATAAAAAATACAAATGGTTCTACTATCAATAATAATACTAGCAAAAGTACAACTCTATATAATTTTAATGTCCATTTTAATTTTGCAAAGTTCTAACTAAACTTACTTTCATCATAAGTGCCTCCACATAATTTAGTACCTAATAGAATAAAGAATATGAAAAGTATTTAAAAACTATTATTGAAACAATTATTTTAAAGTACAGATGCACTCTTAAATTTATAAGGATTTATTTATGATGTACATTTTCTAAACATAGCATCTAACCATATTTAAATTTCAGCATTATTGATTAGAATTTCATTACTATTCAATCTATAAAAAAGATAAGAAATCATGCTCCATATAAATGTTACTAATATTGAAATATATATAACTCTTCTTCCTATTCCAGGTCCTCCTGTTACTAAACATGTTTTAAAATAGTTTAGTAATCTCTCATGAATATAAGTCATATAATTAATCATAATATAACCTGAATAAATCCAACCCAATAAAACTTAACCATAAGTATGTGCACCAAAAAATATTCTTGAAAATCCAGTTACCAATGTCCAAATGATAATTATTGTTATTATTATTACTCTAAATAATTTTGGATATTTTAAACTAATTTAGATTTATAAAGTACTTTTCCTAATCTCGCCAAACTGCTGGAAATAGTATACATGGTAATAAAAAACACATTAATGAAGATTACATAGCATGACCAGATGGTTTACCAAATTCTTTATTGCATTAAAGTCCTTTTATGTCTTCTTCAGTCCAAAATGGTCTAGGCTAATGATATATGTTTTTGAGTAGAGAATTAAATGAAATAATGAACATAATCATGCAACCATATAATATAGCCCCTAATTTATTTTCTCTGAACATGAATACAAGTAAGGCAATACCTGGAAAAATGTTCAGCCAATTAGAAAAAAATGTCATTATTTATTATTCTCCTTTAAATTCCTTATTCTATAAGTAAATTGTCAATTTAGTATTAGATTCCCACATTAATTCATTAAGAATGATGTCAAGTATTATATAAATACCTAAAAATAGAGTAGAAAGTATAAAAGTTCGCATTTTATTTAAATTACTGGGTGTATTTATAAAAAAGGTTATATTTATATATATATATATATATTATTATCAAGAACTCTTGGCTTACAATTCAAAAGACATTCTATTAAGTAGCAAATTAGAATACCCATCTGGAGCAGATTATTCATTATCTATTATTTATAAGAAATCACCAGGCACAGAAATCTTTAAATAATATAATATTTTAGAGTACACAACAGTTATAATTAATCCCCCTAATATTGATACTGGAACAATCTAAATTATAGATTCCATTACTTAACCAAATGCTTATGCATATACTGAATTAAATTCAATCAAGAAAAAAGGAATCAATAGAGCAACCAAGATAATCAATATAAATATTCTTAATGTTTTCTACCATAATGATAGTGATTTATAATGATATCTGAATTGATTCTCTAAATATATTCCTTTACTAAGTTTTATTCCAATTACAAAACTCAACATAATCCAAATATACAAACTCATACTAAAGCATATATTTTATAAAACTAAAGGACTATCAATTGTGTATAATGTTGTTTAATTCTCACACTTTTCATAGACTGCAGTCATCCATAACGTAGCCTCTGCTGGACTTATGAAAACATATCTATTTAATTCTAGAAATATAATAGCAACACAAGTCCAACTGAATGCAATCAAACCAATAATTTATATTACTCTAATTGAAATACCTTTATGTCCCATTTACAAACATTCTGTTAAATAAGTCATGATTCTATCATGTATATACATCATATAAATTATAGAAATATATGCTTGATAAACCCATCCTAGAATAATTTAACCAAATGAATGAACTCCCATAAATACTCTTGAAAATCCAGTCATAAAGGTCCAAAAAGTAATAATAAATATAAATATGACCCTTATGTATAATGGATACTTGTAACTATGGTTATTAATTTTATTACTTCGGTTGGTCTTTCCAAATTGCTGGAAATAATATACATGGTAATAGGAAACACATTGCTGATGAAGACATAGCATGACCTGAAGGTTTACCAAATTCTTTATTGCATTCATAAGGTTCAATCTCTTAAACTATAAAATATGGTCTTGCCTAATGATAGAGATTTTTCAAAAAAGAATTTGAAGCTGCTGAAAATAAAATCATCAAACCATATAATAATGCTCCTAATTTATTATCCAATACTAAAAATGCTATTCCTGCTATGCTTGGAAGTAAAAAGAGAGAATATGAGAAGACTAAGAACATGTCTTTTTCACCAGGAAATTAGTTTTATTGCAAATATAATGTCAAACTAGTGTTTGCATCCCACATTTCTTAATTGAATATAAGATCAATTGCAATGTATAAAAACAATGCAATTGTTGCAATAATAAATAATTTCATAAATTAATTATTATTATATATAATGGTCTTTTCATTTAGAGATGGAAATAAATTTGAAATAATTTTATAATAAAATATAATAATTGTAATTTAGAATATACAATTGCTATTAGTAATATCTTTAATGTGTTAGTAATAATATTTATCATAAAATTAATGAGAAACTTTAATCATGTATCATTGTATGCTTTCACAGCCAGAGCTATTCATAGTCAAGTGGCTATCATAGGAGGTGGAACTGCAGGATTGAATGTTTCTGCTTAATTAGTGAGAGATGGTCACTATATCCCATAACAGATTCGTGTGTTTGAACCATATAAGATGCATGCCTATCAAACAGGATGGACTTTGGTTGGTAGATAATGATTATCTAATCAAGGTGGTGGTATGTGTAAAGCTGATTAAACAATGAAGCCTATGGAAAAGGTTCTACCTAAAAATGTATGTCTGAGTGATTGTCCAGTTGTGAAAATTGATCCAGAATAGAATACAATAGTGACAATGGATGGATAGAAATACACATATGATTAATTGATTGTGGCAAGTGGAGTGCAACGTGATTATGCATCCATTAAAGGTATAAATTTATACATTATTTAGGTGCTTTGGAATAATTGAATAATCCAGAAGCACCAGTAGGAAGTATATACTATTATAGATATGCTCAGAAGATTGATAAAATGATTAAAGAATTTGAAGGGGGAAAACTAATATTTTCAGAACCACCTACAAAATGTGAGGGAATTCCATCAAATATTGTGTTCTTAACTCATGAAAGATTATCAGCCAGAGGAGTCAAATGTGACTTCCATGTATACAAAGCCAATGATTCTATATTTGGAATTCCAAAATATTCATAAATACTTGGAGAATTGGCACATGAGAAAGGATTACATTGTCATCTTAAAAAAAGATTAATAGAAGTTCAAGATCATAAAGCCATCTTTGAGGATGTTGAAACTAAACAATAATATACATCCGATTATGATTTCTTACATATTGTGCCACCTTAAGTAATATATGCATCTAATATCTTATTAAGAAACCAGCTGCATTCATTGCTGAAAGTGGATTGGGTGATTCAGATGGATATGTTAATGTTCATCCAAATACACTTTAACATGTACGTTATGCAAATGTCTGGGCCTTAGGAGATTGTTCTTCACTTCCAACATCCAAAACTGCTGCTGCTGTGATGGCTTAGACTCCTATTCTTATTAAAAATTTGATCAGAACTTGGAAGTTGAAATAGCCACCTCTACCAGATTATGAAGGTATTAGAATTTAAGATGGCGTCAAGGTTACACCTCTTGTCCTGTTTATACATCAAATAAGAAAGTGTTGCTTGCCGAATTCAAGTACAACAAATAATTAGATGAAACATTCCCAGTCTTTTAATCATCTGATAGTAAAGTCATGTACTTGATGAAGAAGCATTTCTTCCCATTTGCTTATTGGCAATTGATGGTTAGAGGTCTTTGGGGAGGTAGAGATGGAATAAGATTATTCAAGGGAGTCTGAAAAATATCCTCATATACAATATATATAATATTAAAATAATTACATAGTCTCTTATCAAGAGTTAGTATATGTATAAAACAATAAGCTCATAAATTTAATTCATAATATAATTCATATTTAAATAAATATTTAATTTATGAAATAATAAAACTTTATTAAACCTTTCCCTGCTTTTAATACCTTTATAAATGTTTTAATGGCTTCTGGACCTATCTTATTGCCAATGAGCTCTGCAAAAGTGGGTTATGGTTATGCCTCCATATCGCTTACAATTTGTTGTCTCATCAGTATAATAGCATGCGATTTCATTGTGGAGGTAGCTGAATAATCTGTATTTAGACTAGGCTCTCTATTTAGCTGATCAAATTGATAAAGAGACCGATTTGATGAGTAGATTGAATATTTAGGCAACTCATACCGTTTCTGATTCGACAGAAGAAATATCGTCATCTTAGCCAATGGAATCGAAATATGCTTTGTAAAGTCAATTTGAATATGGATCTATGGCTAAATTGTTTTATGGAAAATGGGCTGAATACTTTACAGTATCGATTATTGTGATCTATTTATATGGAGCAGTAGTAGCAAAAGGAGTGATGGTTGGAAATTCCTTATCGTAATCATCTATATATTAATATTCACAATAGTTCAGTTTTTAAAGGTATCACCCTTGTTGAATAATATTGGTTTTGGATAGTCACATTTTTTGTACTTTGTGGAATACTTTCGTTCAAAGATGTTGCTAGCATTTAAATAGTCTAAACAATTGTTGCCTTAGCTCGTTATTTAACAATTCTTTCCATGCTTATAGGATCTATCCAATAAATGAGCACTTCAAAAGAAATTTAAGAGATGCAATGGTTCAATATTGATGCATTACCATAAATGATTTCAACTGCAATTTTTGCATTTTTGATGCATCATTCATCACCTGGTATGTTAAGACCAGTTAGACCATCTTCAGCTATTAGAAAGATAATCTTTATCAGCTTTATATTTGGTTTATTCACTTTTCTATTTGTATGTTTGACTGCAATATTGGCATTTCCATTTAAAGACCTTGCAGCAGCCAGCTTTTATAATTAACTATTTAATTAGGGTAGTTTGAAATGGGCTTATTATATTATAAGCTTTTATATGTTTTTAAATATAGCAGCACTACCTGTATTAACTATTACAATTAGAAAAAATCTGATGAAATTAGTTGTTCCTCATTTAGTCCCTAAAGATAATCTAAAAATTACTTTACCAAGTGCTATATTCACTTTACTTATTGTTGTACCTTGTGCATTACTTGCCATTGGTAACTCACTTTAATATAAACTAAGTGCTTAAAGATGACATTGAAATTATAGTTGGTCTAACAGGAGGAGTATGTGGAGTATTTATTTTATTGACCATTCCAGCTGCTTTAGTATTACAAGGTCGTAAAAAGCATAATGTCAAATACTCAGATAATCCATATATTTCCAAATTCTAACATCCTTTCTGGATTTGGGCATTGATTGTACTTGGTTGTGTGTTTGTGCCATACAATCTCTACATGCAAATTAAAAAGATCATTGACCATTATGGTTGATCAAATTATTTGTCCCCTTAAATACATATATATATTATGATATTTTACATAAAATTATAATAATACTCAATATTTTAAAGCTTGATTCAATTGATTTTAAGTTTCCTTATAAAGTTATTCGAAGTTTACTTATTCCAATATTAATAACATTGCTATTCCTCTCAGATTATGGGCTAAGAATCCCCCATAACCCCAACTGAAATTCCATTCTTTCATATTAAATTTCAATTTCTCCCATAAATTCTATTTTTTTGATGCTTCTTACTAAAACAAAATTGATTTCACCTATAAACGACGTCTCACACTATCAATTGGATATATTAATGCATATGATCCCAAATAAGCTAATTATTAATTATAAGGTGTAATTCCCTCTAAAAGTTAATTCAATCCCACTATACCATAAGCAAATAACAATGTCTATACACATCCAACTGTAAATCCTGAATATAATCCCTTGAAAAATCCACTTTCTATTTTAATATTAAATCTAGTCTCTTCAAAACCTACATACATTCTTTTCTATCCAGGAATTTAAATTTCAGTTGCTTATCTCACTCTTATTGTATCAAAAGGATATGAGAATATAGAAGTAGTAATACCACAAAGTGTTGCACTAAGTCCCATTGATAAAAGCTTGAAATTCAATTTATTTATATACATCTTTGTCATAAGTGACTTATTTGATATTTTGATAGAAAACATATTATGCATATACTTAAGGTAACCACATGTAAATTGCTGTTAAATTTGATCTAAATAATCCTTTTGGTCCCTCATTTGAAATTGTTTTCTTAAGAAATTAATAAAAATTAGTCATCTTCTCTTTGGAACTCAAAGTAAGAATATCTTAAGTCTGTCTGATTAATTTATATCTTTCTAATGGAGCTAAGAGTGTTTTTATTATGGATGTACTAACAAACCCTTGAATATATTCCTCCATAAATAAAATGCAATAATAATAATTTTATTAATTTACTCATTTGACAATCTTAACTTAATGTTTATGAAATTTGCAATACAATTTATTTTTAGAAACTCAGAATATCCATACTTCTATTTAAGAATATAATTCTATTTTATTATTATTTCGATAAGTATTAATAGTCAATATATTTATTAATTATGCTAAAAAATACTTAACATAAAAAATTACCATTGTAGAAATATCTAAGTAGATTTCGTATATGCACTCTCATCCTTCTCCTGAATATATTCATAATTGCATTAATAGTCCCACTAATTCTGGGAGTTTACCAAATCAACACAAATCTAGTCTATCATTATTTTGAAGAATCTGCTATGATAGCATTCATAAATCAGAATAATAGAAGTTTAAATTCTATTATGAATTCTTAAGTGGCTTAATTAAAAAGTATGATGAATAGAAGTATTATTATTGTTTATTATTTAGCTGAGAGAACGTTGAATAGCTTATAAAAAATGTATCTTCTTGGCTAACATTATAATTTTACTATAAATCAAAATCCAGATATTTGTCATGCTTAATTTGAAGATGAAGATTAATTCAAATATAACTATGAAGGCTATTGTGTCAATATATATGATATAGAATTCAAGGAATATAAGAATTTACCTGAATATGAATACTTTTAGAGGGATTATAAATTTGTATCCCTTTTGAATGAATGCATAATGTAGTTGGATCCTACTCAATTATTTTTACCAGATAATATTTATTTTAGTAAGATTGACAGAGAATTTACAGCTTGGTGGCCTTAATGGAATAGAATATAGAATTATCATCCCTCTTAAAGAACATGGTATATCTAACATTTAGAGAATTATGATTTAAATCCTAATCAAAGTTGTTTCTAATCTGATATGTATCAATTTTTTGCTGAATATCCTGTAATGGCAATAACTACTACTTGTAGTTTAAAAGATGAAAATCATAAATTAATAGCTGTATTGGCTTCAGATTAACAATTACTTGGTAAATATTACAAACATCCCAGATTAAATGTGATGATTGTAAATGTAGATGGATTATTAGTAATTAGTACAATGGAGAATCAATTAATAGCAAATTCAACTGAACTTGGGTATTTTTATGAATAAAATGTAACTGGTTTCAATAAGGAAGATTGGTATTAAATAGTTAACTTTATCTAAAATAATTCCTTTTAATCAAATTGTCAATATTTTTCAAATCTTAATGATATATTGTGTCTTCATAATTCATTATTGAAATAGGATGTTTTCTTCTAAGTATAAAACTTAACAAAACCAAATTTTATATTCATATTGTAAATTATTATTTTATAATTTGGTTAGATTCTTTAATTTGACTGATGAAATTTAATAATTGATTGATTAATAAGAAATTATATAAGAAATCAATAGAGAGTAATATTTTAATATCCTAATATTGATATCAATAGCTTTATCTATTGTGATGATTCAATTAATCTGTGTTTAAATAATCTTCCTTCCACTAAATGATTTAATTAAGCATTCTAGAGCTTATCTTAGATCTAACTCTCATAGACTACTTTTCCGATAAAAAGAATTTTACTTATATAATTTTTATATTGATGGTTATGCAAGCAGTATTTATATTATTAATTTTAGATAATATTTTATTAGGTTTAAAGTTGGCATACAAATAAATCTATCACAGAATAAGTAAATAAAATTTTAAGAAATGTGATTAATGTTAGATTATATAGAAATTTTAGTATCCATTAAATAAAATAAGATCAAAATGTCATTTAAATAAATAAATGGATTTTGAATACTCTATTAAATTAACAGATTATCAAATAAGAAAATAAATAGTTTAGCCTTGTTTAATCAAGTCTTTTGATTATTGAAAATAAATCTATTACTATTAATATTGATTATAACAATTTTAAGATTTATATATTAGAATAATCTATAAAAAATAAATAAATTCTCAAGATTAGAAGAACATATAAAGAATAAATTAAATCATTTAATGTTTTTTTAGATCTGTTTAATTTATTTATATAGATTAGTATATATCTCCAGGTTCTCTTGATGTAACTAATCTATGTTCTCAACTATATTCTAAATATTTTCATTAGGATTAGTATGTCTTAAATTACTTGAGACAGTAGGTTATGCGACTCTTTGTACAATTTTCTTGTCTTTTTCAGACAGTTGAAATTTTAATGAGAATGTATCAGTTTCTTAAAATTATAATTTGAGTGATTCCATAAATACTCTATCTCTAATTTTCTTTTCTTCAATACGATTAAGAATGAAACGATCAGCTTCATTTAATTCTTTACCTAATTTACGAACAATTAAGTTATCTCTTGTCATTTAAATGGCATCCATTAAACGATTGACATTACGATCACTCCATAGATCTACTACTCCCATTGAACCATCATTTGCAGCATCACCAAATACATCTCTAACTTTTTTAATTAAAGGTTGTAAATAGTAATTATTTTTCTTTTCATGAGTTCTAAATCCAAATTTAAGAAAAGTCAATCTTTTATTCTTAGATTATTTATTAGCCACACCAAATGTTTAATCACGTTTTACTTAGATTTCTGTTTTAGGAATTTCACGCATTTATTTGTATGTTAAGAGACCTCTCAAATGCCCTAAAGCAAAACTAGACTTTACATTTTCTTTAAGAATATCAATATTAGGTAAGAGAGAAGGTTCACTCTTTTATTTTGGTTTGTGTTGTTATGAAGATCTAGATAATTATTTCATTTTAAATATATTAGAAATGAATTTAAGCATCTCTATATTGTTAGGATAATTAATGTTAAGGAACATAATTAATATCATATAAGAGGGTTAATTAGAGTCTAAAGATATAATAACAATGACATTAAATTCATGTGCAGCTATTTTTATTTTGATAAGCTACTTTGTGAATTACCATCTTACAAATCAAAGACTTTTGTTATTAATGATCATATAGATCATTGTAGTATTGCATTTTGAAATTTCATTTTATGAAAATCATCAATATTCATCCTTTAGCGCAATCGTATACCTCATTTCACTCTAATAATATCTCTATAAATAAAAGGAATGCTTTCATTATTTAAGTCATAGTGTATTGATTTATGCTGTTACAAGATCCTTGGTACAAAAATTTAATGATATTGTAATTTGGGAGTTCATCCTTATTTTATTATGGCAACCATTCAATCATTATTTATTACATTTGCTAAGACGAAAGAAATATCAAAAAAAGGAAGAGTTAAATTCATAAGTCCAATTCCACACTCTATCAACACCATAAGCATAACATACAGAAAGACAAGAAGAGTAGCCTACTACTAAAGTCAATCTTGCTGAAGATTTTTTTGATTGTATTCCAGAGGGATTAGTTATTTTAGATGAATTTTATAAGATCATTAGACATAATTCAAAAATCTTACATTATTTGAATATAACAGATTCATTTTTAATTCCATAAGCTTTAGATGGATTATTTAAAATGTAAATGTTTAATTTAATTTAGTGCTCAAAAAAATAGAAGTCCTTAAAAAGAGAAAAAGAAACCAATTCCATTAAAATAAATTAAATAAAGAATGGATGTACAGTCTTATTATACTAGTTCTTTAGCAACTTCATTAAAAAAATAATTTTGGATGTCTGATAAAGAATAACATAATTTTGGTTTGCAAAAAGGTGATTCAATTACTTATCCTTTTTTATAATCTATTCTTAATGATTTTAAGTTATAAAATTTGAATGAGAATATGACAATAACTTCTGAATGTAGTAGTATAGTAAAATACTAAATATTACAAGAAACATAAATTAAATAAAGACATCTTTAAATTAAAATATATGATATTAAAATGACATCATATTAAAATACTCCTTTATTTTTATTTATTGTTGAAAATATCACTAATAAGGAATAACTTAAATTATTAACAAATAGATTTAAATTTTAATAAGCATTATTAAACTCATTTAGTCATGAATTAAGAACTCCTCTTAATTGTACTTTAACTTTATTATAAGCACTCAAAAATAAATTGAAAAATGATGATATTAATAATGAATATTTAAATCCTTCTATAGTATCAAGTCAACGATTATTATATTAAATAAATGATATTCTTGATTATGCTCAATTAGAATGTCAAGATTTTTAAATAAATATTACTGAATTTAGAGTTGGTGAAGTATTTTAAACATTAAAAGATTTTTTTGAATAAGAATGTAAATAGAAATAAATTGAATTGATTATTGAAAATGATTGTTTAATATCTATAAGAAGTGATAAGGATAGAATTACTTAGGTGTTAATTAATTTAATTAATAATTCTATTAAATTCACATCTTAAGGAGGTAGAATAGTAATCAATTTAAAAAAGAGAGATAATATGTATTAATTTACTGTATGGGATAATGGTAAAGGGATCTCTAATATTACTTTAGCTAATATTTTTGAATCATAAAAAAATATGAATGCTAGTATAAAATTTGCAGAAACTACATCAAATTCAAATAAATTAGGACTAGGATTAAAAGTTAGTAGAGGTATTGTAAAATATCTATGTTAAAATGGAGATTTAGTAATTAAAAGTTAAAAGGATAATTATACATCAATTAATTTTTTTGTTGAAGATTAAATTATAAAAGTAAATGAAGATATCACTGAATAAGAATCAATAATGAGATTTGGAAGTAAACATACTGTTTAAAAATGTGAATGTCCATAAATATTGATTGTTGATGATATACCATTTAATCATATTGCAATGATTGCCATTTTGACTAATTTTGGAATAAAATCAGAAAGTGCTTATGATGGAACATAAGCTATAGAAAAAGTTATTCTTAGATTAAAAAATAAGGAATGTTGTAAAACATATAGAATAATATTTATGGATATTGAAATGCCTGGCAAAAATGGATTTTAAACTTCAGCAGAAGTAACCATTATGTGATTCATAGATAGTAGAAATTTTGAAGTAATCAAATTGCCAATCAGTCATAGTAATGTGTTCTGCATATACAGGAGAAGCTAATGTTGAATAGGCTAGAAAATGTGGAATGAAAGAAATAATTCCTAAACCAATTGCTTACAATAACCTATAACTATTAATATCGAAATATTTTTAATCATTATCTTGAATTTTACTAATATTTATTTTTAGTAATAAGATTATATATCAAATATCTTAATTTTCATCTTAATCTGCTTGACTAGTACTTTCTTGATTTTTACCTATATCATTAGTCTCTTTTTAACTAGATCTTTCATTTATCTCACTCCCTTTAATATTCTCATCTTATTCCACTTAACTATTATTATTATTACAAATATCCTATTCTTTTGAATCTTTATATTCATTTTCATGAATTTATTCATCAAAATTATTTAAATCATCTTAAACTATCTAAATATTCTATTTATTCTTCTTCTAATCTGATTATTATTCTTCTGTAGGCATTTCTATATCTTCTTATATTGTTTCTTATTTCTTTGCTCTGCTATACATCATAAATCTTCTTTCTCTTTAACTAATAAATCCTTAAGATGTTCTCTATTGATTATCAGTACTATTTGATCTAGAATTCCTTTGACTTCTAAGTTATCTCTATTGATTTATCCTTTATAATTCATGTAAAGCTTATTGTTCGAGATGTTTGGCACTCTTAATATCTATTTTTAATTGTAAAGGTGGCATCAATTTCCTGGCTGGATCAAATAATTTATGTAACATATAAAAAGACATTGTTTTCTTTTCAATTATTTAAACCTTAAAATATATTTAAATTCTCTACTTCTCTAAAGAACTCATATATTTCTATATTGGAAGCCCTAGAGTTTGTATCTAATAGTGCTGATAATGAATTAATTAATTATCTTTGAAATTGTCTTAATTCACAGTAAAGATTGCAAGCTAATTTTTTGAGAAGAAAGTCATGAGGAAAATTAGATAATGCAGTTTTTAATTAAGGAACAAGTGATAATCCATGATTTACTAAATTTTCTAATTTAAAACATTCAACAACCAAACTTCTATAAATTATTCACTTATACTTAGTTTACAATATTTATTTTCGAGGATGATTATTTCGATATGCCTTTATTTCTTACACATTTAATGCTAACTTCTAAAGATATTATAGAAATGGAATTTATAGATTATCAAGTAACCAAACTTCATTTGTTATTTATTTGAAAACAAAGGTTTCTGGTTTAGATGTAGGTCTACTTTACTATCTATATTACTTTTCGAAATATGTAAAATTAATCCTTGAAAATTGTTATGCAAACTCCTCACTTATATTTAATATCTAGTGGATTGTGATTAACATTTTCATCTTTACTGTATAAGGTTGTAAATCTTCCTCTTAATAAACCTTGAAAAAATCTGTAATATTTTATTCATCAGTTAGAAATGGAATTAGAATTTCCACATCTTCTTATTTATAAACAAAGTTATCTTTTGCTAAACTAGATTTTGTTAAAAAGCTTTAGAACTCTGATTAACCCTAAAATAGCTTCTTGAATTTCTTTATCATATTTATAATTATACAATTACCAAAAATAATCAAGAGAGTTTTACTTCTAATTTATATATTTATTTTATAAAATAACACAACTCATTATTTATAAAGATACAGAATTATTAACAATTTAATCTTATTTCATAATTCATATATCAATCTGAGTCTTCTTTAATTTGATGCATAATTAATTTTTTCTCTTCCTATACCATTCCTGGGTGTATAGTCTAAAGTAATTTATAATATTCATTTGTCTCATCTAAAAAGTCATCATATTCTTTTTTGTTCATTTAACTACGAGGACATTTACTTTTCTATTTCTTTATTTTCTTTCTTGCCATTTATATTTAAATTATAATATATAGTAATTAAAGAATTATTCACAAAAATTATAAGACTTAATAAATACATATCTAAATTTATTAAAATCTTAATTTTCTTAATACAAATATTTCATAATAATTTATTAATTTATTATACTCAATCAATTAGAATAATAATACTAAGCTAATTATTATATATCTTAATATTTTTACATTAATATAAAGATTTCATCATTTTTCTTATTAATTATAATTTATTAATCCATAAAAATAATAACATCAAATAAATCTTTTACTGTTACAAAATAGATTATTATTACTCATTATTTAGTTAGGAGGCAAAGAATGATTTTCAAGCATGTCTTTTTCTATATTAAGATCATCAATCATATCTGAAAATATCTTTCTTCTCTTAAATTTCATTAACTATAGATATTCATAATTTTATAAATTGAAATAATTAGTTTATTCTAGAATCTTTTCTGTTTTTGAATTACATTAATACAACCAATTAAATAGTTGATTTTATGATTAAAATAAAGGTGAAGCATAATTATTTATATCATATATTAAATTGCTACTAAGTTTCAGTCTTAAATCATTTATTTATGAAATATTGTTAATTTTTAAATCTCTATTTAGATTATATGAAGAACATATCATTTTTTATCTTAAAATAATTTGTAGAGCTTTACTTATTTCTTATTTATTTTAATCTGCTATAAATAATTACAACTCCTTTAAATATTTATCTAAAAATATAATAATTTTTATGATACTTCTCAATTCAGTTTTAAAATTTTAAAATTAATATTCATTTAAAATTAAAAGTACATTATTAGTAATTTATGTTTTTAATTCAACTTTTTTTTGTTTAAATTTAAATTTTAAAAAGTTAACTTAATTTTTATATTTAATTCTTTCAGATACAGGTAATAATTCATTTTATAAAATGTTTTTCAGTTTTTAAATAGTTATTTCTAAATTTCCACTTCTTAATAATTTTAATATATCTGGTAATTCATCTTAGAAATCTATTTCATTAATTAATTCAACATTTCTTTTAATGGTTTAGCTACTTTCATTAAAACAATTAGATTTTTAGAATATAGGAGCTGATTCAGCAACAGTCTCTCTAACAGAACACTCACTACCAACCTAAAGACTATTTTCATTATAACTTTCCATATCATCAATATCTTCAATTTCTTCTTAATCTATATGCTTTTAAACCATGTTCTAATGTCTCTATACCATATTTTTTTCAATTTGATTTTTCATTTGATATACATTTCTAATATCTATATCTTATATACTTTTCTTGTTATTCCAATAAGGATTTCTCTCTTAAAATATTTGTATAAATATATCTCTTTTCAATTTTTCTAGTATTTTTAATAAACACTAAACTTTATGTTGCAAAATATTTTGGTAATTTATTAAATTTATTAATAGCAAAGAAATCAGAATTAATGGCTAATAAAAATTCAATTATTTCTAAATTTCCTATACTCATAGCAGTATGACACAAACTTTAACCATTATTACTAGAAATGTGATTAAAATCAAACAATTATCCTTTTTTAATATTATGTCTTTTAATTTGATTGTATTCATATCCAAATTTAATAGCTTTTATTTATTATTTTTTAATAGCAACATCTAAAGGAGTACTGCCTTCATAATTCTCAACATTAGGTTCAGCTCCATATTAAAGAATAATATTAGCAAATTCAGTACTATTTTCATGTTTATCAAAATTCATCATTAATTAATGTAATGGAGTATTTCCATCCATATTTCTATGCATTAACAAAGCTTCCTAAAATAATTATATATAAATTGCAAACTTGATTATTATGAGATGCTAAAATGAATCTCAAATTTTAAATATCAGCTCTTTAACTTATTTGATGAATAGCATTTATTGAAAAACTTGCTCCAAATGATTTGAGGATGCTTACTGATCTTTTTTATTATAAATACTTAACCTTAATTTCCCATCTAAATAACATACTGTTAAAGGAGTGTTGTTATCAAAATCTGTTTTATTAATATCTTATGGTATAATTTAATATAATCCATACAATGCACCAATATCATCATTTAATCCTGCTTAACAAAATAGATTTCTTTCTTTATAATCAGTACCAGAAAAGTTTTATTCATTAACACTTAATAATTTCACAAAATCTAAAAAATTTAATTTATTATGTTTCAATGCATTCATTATTTTTTATTAAATTGAAGAATATTTAACAAAGTTCAATTTCAAAGGTAAAGGAGGTTTACAGTATTTAAACCAATCAAATTCTAATTGATTCATATTTTTTATTGCCCTATCAAAATTCTTTGGTAATTAAGAGATTGGATTCATTTAGATACACAAAACTTCTAATGGATATATATATGGTTGATCGAAATTATTGCTTGAAATATTCAATTATCTTAAACTCTTAATATGGAAATTTAAACTATGTAATTAATTTTATGATAAATCCAATATCTCTAAAAACTTTAATGACTCTAAAAAATTTGGAACATAAGTTAATAAATTTGAGCCCATATATAATTTTTAAAGATTCACCATTTATCTACAAGTATTATAATAGATTTACTTAATATCTTCTGGAATTTAATTTAATTTACATCTTGTTAAATCGAGTAGTTTTAGGTTCAAATATTTATTAAATGATATATAAGTATTACTTAATCCTTTCCCTTGTGCTTCTAATTTCTCATCTGTAAATAAATATTCTTATATCTATAATATTTTATTATTTCAATACTGTTTCAGCTGGTGCTTTCAAGTCAAGAGGTTAATTGATGTTTAAATTTGAAAATTGAATTTTATCTTCTAAAGTCTTTTAATTCAAAATTGCTAGATTTATCCCTCTTTAATGTTCATCAAATTCTGATTCATTATACACATCACTTTGAGAACTTTCTACATATTGTAAAGTTTAATTCATTTAATAATAAAAACAAAGTATTTTATTAATAAAATTTATCAAAATTGAATCACTTTTAACTTCTCTATTATCTTAAAAATTTATGTCATAAGATAATTCTAAATTTTTGTTTCTTTAATCCATCCTCATAGTATATAAATATAAATTATGAGAACTAATAAAAAAATTAAATTAATATCCTCTCTCAGTAATATTATTCTTAAAATCTAAACTTATCACTTATAATCTGATTATATGATCTATTTAATAATTTTGAAAGATGCTTGATTTATTAATTTCAAATCCACAAATTTTTATTTTCAATAATAACTCTATAGTTGTTCATAAGTCTTGAAACTTAACTGATAATCATAACTGAACATTGAATTATTTATATCTCCTTATTTATTAAAAGGTCTAATATTCATATAAGACATTCACAAATCCTTTAACAGAAGAATTTTAACCATTAGATTATAATGCTTTATTAGCTAAAATATAGTTCCCTCAAATATATGAAAACTCTTATAACTAATATGCAAATTTAGCTTATTTAATATTAGGATTAAATTTGAGAGATTGCAATTTGGCTTTGTATTAGTATTAGAAAAAAAAATACATATAATGTTTCAGAACAATGATTCCATTACTCTTGAGCTTATTTTCTTTAGTTTGATCATTTTTTCATGTTTGGGATATACTATAGGTAGAGGATCATTATTTAATTATGAAAAATCTATTAATGGGAGGAAAGATTGATGATGTTGAGGCTGGGTGGTTTTTTTACTATATAACATCATTAGACGTTGTTTATTTTAGATTTAACATCTTTTGTTTGTAACTTTTTTAAATTCTTTGTTTTCTTTTTATTTCATTACGTCAAGTTCTAAATATTGCATACTCATCGTTGGAGGATCAAGAGTTGATAACCTTCGTTTAACATCACCAATTTAGGTTGGCTAAGAGTTTTCACTGTTTAGAGTTCTATGCCGAAATTATACTGTCTTTCTTTGATCATTTAATCGAGCAATGATTTCCTTAATGTTATATTGCATAAAATTATTTATTGCATACACTATAATTAATCGCTCACATAAATTAATTAATCCATTTAATTCTCAATTTAAAAAACAGTTCTAATATATTTGATAGATATATATATATATAAAATAACATTAACAAATTTTAGTATATTAGTGAAATAAAATATTTATCATTGAAGATAACTTAGCTATAACGATTTAATTTTTTAGCATATTTGTAAGAATTATCGTTTAGTGAGATTTTAAGGTTTTTCTTCAACGACTAATTTTAATTTGAATTCATTCAAGTAAAATATGGATTTCTCATAATTTGAGACTACTTACATACATATCTCTAAGTATACTACCAAATATGTTAAGAGTAATATGCCACCTTCTTCTACTCCATCCAATTAATCCTATTCTCTAACATTTATCAATTTTTAGTTTAATTAATTCTATAGATAAGTAATGGAGTATCTTAATAAAGGAAGCATTAAAATATAATGACTTTGAACTTCTAAGTCACTTTAATCAAATGCTGCTGCAAATCTCTTATCTTAAAGAATTTCATTTAATAAAGTCTCATCTTTATGAATGGAATCCCACTAAATCATAATATGAAATTATTTACTAATTTATTAAATGAAATTCTAAATGTATCATTCATAAGATTGCTTTAATGTAGGAATTCACTTTTCTTTGTCTAATCAATAGTAGAATGATTCTTATTCAAAATAAATATTAGTTATTTTGATTTAAAAATAGCATGTTTGATAGTAAAGTATAATAATTTTTCTTTTAATCCTCCTTCAATAAAAAAATCAAAATGATCAACAATTTTAGCTATTCTTAAAATTAATTTAAGTAAATTTAGAATATTTTAAACAGCTTCACCATAATTTACTAATTCTTATCTTGTTTCTGGGAGATTTTTACTACTTTAAAGTCGTTAAACTGAAAGATTAGGACGTTATTAAGAATAGCTAGTTTTTGCTCTATTTTCTAAATTAGCTAATTGAGAATTATTAAGAGAAAATTATACAGATTTTCTAGAAGGTCTTACTTAAAAGCATCTGAATAAATCATGTTCCAATAATTAATTACAATTGTATCTTTTATTTTCTTCTAATTATAAACATTTAATGATAAGATCTTTAGCTGTTGAAGAAATCTTAATGTTCCTTGAAAATTGAATAGGAGTTGTTGTAATTACTTTAACAAATTCCTATTCTGTTCCTGCCTACCAAGGTACTTTTCCTAAAAAAATATAAAAGACATTATTATACCACTCAAAATTTAATAGAACATCACTCCCAAACTCCAAACATCACTTTTTTCTGAATATTTGTTTTCAGTCAAAGCTTATGGAGGCATATAAAGAGTGGTACCAACATTATAATAAACTTTTTCTTTTGGAGAATAGACCATTTTTGAAAACCCATAATCAGCAATCTTATAAATCCCTTTACTTATCAAAATATTTGAGGGTTTTAAATCTCTATGAATAACACCCTTTGAGATTTACTCTTTGAATCCTGTCAAAATCTGATAAAAGATTAAGACTGCTTCATTCTCAGGTATATACCCTCTTTTAATAATCAAGTCTGCTAAATCACCTATATAAATAAAAATAAATTATACCCTAATTGCAGTATTCAGTTATGATATATGTGAAATTAGTATTTTAACAATAACAATGCATTTTAACAATGTTGTAAGAATCTAAAACTTGTAAAGCTGTGATTTCTTATTGTAATAGCTGTCTCTCTATTTCATGCTACATTTTTGAGTGATCACAAACCTTAATTTGATTTATTAACATACTTTAATAGCAACAATCTCTCCATTCATATCATTCCTACCTTTGAATACTTGGCTTTTGTATCCTGATCCAATCAAATCATCTGGATTATAACTGTAAACACTAACTTTTATCCTCTGTTGATTGTTCATATTTTTATAATTAATTTCTTTATTTTTATTGTTCTCCAATAAAATAAACAATTTAAGATCTAAGTTGATAAAACTAAAGAATTTAGTAATTACATTTTATCTCTATTTATTTAAAAATTATTATGGAAAACTTTTTTGATAAATAGGCTTATTAAATTGAAACCGGAATTCCGATCTTCAAACAAATAGTATTACTTAAAATATAATCAAATGATGTTGTAAGATGTCATTTGAAATTGGAGAATACCTAAATTTCTTTGTATGACTACTGCAAAGAAGAATTGATATTAAATACTATAAATATTGCTAATTCTTATCTTGAATTTACACTCCATGTCTGCATGGGAAGGGGAGTCTATATCAAACAATCTTCTAAATAATTGTAGATTTTTGGATTAACACCATAATTGATCTAAATACTGAAATTATACGGAATTTAAAAAGATTTTGCGACTCAATATACAGTTATAAAGGAAATAGGAAGGGGAAGTTTTGGAAAAGTAATATCATTTGTGTAATATGAATAGGTGTATTAAGTAAAAAATGTGTAAAATAATTAACTATATGCTGTGAAAATGTTTGAAAAATAATTACTTTTGGATACTAAATATAGATAAGCAATTAGAAAAGAGATACAAATCTTACGATTAATGGATCATCCCAATGTACTTTCTATAGTAGAATGTTTTGAGAGTGAACAATGCATATTTTTGGTAGAAGAATTACTTGACAGCCATTTGTAAATAGGTGTAGATTGTATACTAAAGGAAGAAAAAGCAATCCTCATTTTAATCAAAGTTTTAAAAGGATTAGAATATATCCATTCGAAAAATATATTACATAGAGATATCAAACCAAATAATATATTACTTAGAAGTAATGGAGAACCAGTAATTTCAGATTTTGGATTTGCTGATTTCTATAGACTAGATGGAAATTATTTATTTCTAAAATGTGGAACAAATGGTTATCTTGCTCCTGAAATGATTACTACTTAAAATTATAATTACAAGGTAGATATATATAGTCTAGGAGTGGTATTTCGTTAATTATTAACTGGTTGTGCATCAAATCTGTTTGATATTAGCACTTTATCTAATGATTGTCAGAAGTTGATATAAGGAATGCTATGTTCTAATCCTAATAATAGACTATCTATCAATGAAATAAGATAAAATAATCTTATTAGAAGAATTTTAAGAAGATCTTAAATACTCAAAGCAATGTCTAATATATCAGAAAAAGCAAAGTGTTGTTTTATTAATGACTAAAAAAATGATGTTGAAACCAAAAGCTTTTCTATATATTAATCTTAAATACCTTCTCTAAAGAGTTTATGATATTTAATTAGTATATATTTTAAAATGAAATCTCCTTTAAAAGATTTTGCTTCAACATAAATTGATGAAAACATGAGTTCCTTTTGGTAATTCAAAAACATTTCAAACATTCCTCTAACCATAAGTTTCGATAGATTCAATGTGTATTCTGAAAAGAAAAAAACGTTCAAAGAGATAGAGATAGCTAAAATGAAGAGTTTAATCTTTAAGAAAAAGAAGAATCAAGTATTATGGAAATTTGATTTTAGACTGGTGTATTGATTGTTGATATAACAGATTGTATCATTTCAATAGTTGAAAATAATCATATTGGACATGGTCTTTCATTTACTAAAGCAACTTTTTAGTTTCTGATATTTGGATCTCAAATTCTTGATTGGTTTGAATCATTAAAAAAATATTGTTATTAAACAGAATTTAGTAACAAATATGAGTTATTGACTTTACTCAACAGAGGATCATTATATAAAGTATCAATTTATCAAATAAATAAGTTATACGATGCAATAAATATCTTTGAATAAATTAATTATACTGTGAAAGTATATGAAAAATAAATATTAACAAAATAATCTGATATTGATGCAATCAAAAAGGAGATTTCCATCTTTAGATAGATGAATCATCCTGGAGTAGTAAATTTAATAGAGGTGTTTGAAAATGAGTAAGGATTCTTAATAGTATATGATTCTTTTGAAGGAGGCACTTTAAGTGATATGATAAAGAAATATTAAATTCCAGAATAATAAGCAATTAAGATTATTTTTCGATTGCTAGATTCTTTAAGTTATATTCATGAATAGAATGTCCTACATAGAAATTTGAAACCAGAAAATATTTTAATAAAGAATCTTTTGGCTCCAAATAATGTTTAAATTAGTGATTTTAGTCTTGCTGATTTTTTTAGAAGAGATAATAAATATTTATTTACTCGTTGTGGTACACCTGGTTATGTGGCTCCAGAAATTCTATAAGATAAAAGTTACGATTTTAAGGTTGATGTCTATAGTTTAGGTGTTATCTTCTATACTATGTTATCAGGAGGTATTTCTCCATTTCCAACAAAAAGCTATGATGAAAGGATTTTTCTAAATTATCAAGGTCAAATTGATTTTTCAATAATTGATTCTTCATCTGATGCTCTGGATTTATTAAAATAGTTGCTTGAAATTAATCCATAGAAAAGAATCAACTCTTTTTAAGCAATTTGGCATCCTGCATTCAAAGGATTACATAAACTTAAAATAACTAGCTTAGAAACAGAAAAGAGAAATTCTTCAATTAAATTAACTATTAAATAAAGTCTGCCTCCTAAAACAATAGAGAATCTAAAATTAATTCCTTGTCCCATTAATCAATTACCTCCTGCTTCAATATAATTTTAGAGAAGATAAAAATTTAGAATTACTTTTAAAAATAATCGCCAGTCTCTAAGTAATGCTTCATCTCCATTGGTTTCACCAGGAAGAAAATTATTTACAATGCAATCTCAAAAAACACTCTTTTCAAATTTATTTGAGAAGGGGACTTCATAAATTTATTGAATATATTTTTGTATAAACATTATTGATAGATACTTTATTATAATTCGTTTCTAAATCAATAATGAAAAGGCTCAAATTTTATAAAATTAATAAAAATTTCATTTGAACCATTTACACCTTTGATTCATGCTCACATTATATTGAATTTAATATTATAAGATTTATATTTTGATCTTTTATATATATAAATCATACTTGAATTTGATAAATCAATTATATTTATGTTGAAAATATAACCTTGAAATTCCATTAATAATTTTACAGTATGAAATCTCACATATCATTTAATTGTTAATCTATTCTTTTTGAACCAGATTAACCTTTCTGGAAAAAAGTTGATAACAATATTAAACTTGATGAATTTACTAAAGAAGAGCTTTATTATTATTCTAATAAACATAGAGAATATAAGAAGAAGACTTTTGGGCGAAAGGGTTCAATAATAGTGAAATTTGGAAGCAAAGAAGTATATTTTTTAATTTAAAGTAGAATGATATAATGTGTTGTAATGTGAGAAACTCTTTAATGGAATAAACTAATCATTAACAATATGGTTTTGGACTCAAGTTCATCTAAAATACACATTATATTGAGGTTTTCGGTTAAATTGAATACTGGAATCAAGAACTAAAAAAACATTGTATTCAAACCAATCTTAAAACCAAATATACAATTGGTAGAAAAATTGGAACAGGAAGCTTTGCAGATGTATTTATATAATTTTTAACATAAGGTTTATCTTATCATTCATAACGAGAGTAAGCAAGAGTTTGCTGTTAAAATATTTGATAAGACTTCTATTAAATTTGATTTAACTTGTGTAAAACAAGAATTAGACATATTAAGATTAATGGATCATCCTAATACAAGCTAAATCATAGAAACATATGAATCATCAAAATACTTATATTTAATACAAGAGTTTTACAAATATGGAAGTCTTTACGATTATTTAATTAAAACTGAAATTCCAGAAGAAGATACAATAAGAACTACTTATAAGTTGTTAGAAGCATTAATTAGTATTCATTCAAAAGGAGTTTTGCATAGAGATATCAAACCTGAAAATATTTTACTTCGTAAACCCAATCTTGAAGATATTGTTATCTCAGATTTTGGATTAGCTGTTTATTACAATGATAATGGTAAGTACAATCATTAAAGGGCTGGTACACCTGGTAATATTGCTCCAGAAATCCTTAAGGATTTGAATTATGATTATAAAGTGGATGTATATGGATTAGGAATTGTACTTTATTAGATGTTAACTTCTAAGTAATCACCTTTCTACAATTAAAACTATCATAAGATGTTGTCTGAAAATCGAGAAGGTTATATAGATTATTCGTAAATAAAAGCTTCATCTCAAACTATTAATTTACTTACTAAGATGCTTGATCCTGATCCTTTGACAAGATATACAGCATTATAAGCTAAACAAGATTAGGCCTTTAAAAAATACAATAGACAAACTATTATAATTAAAAGAAAGAAAATAGTTAAAGATTAAACTATCTCTAGTTTTAGCCCAAGAAGCAATTCGATTTATTTTAGTCCTTCCCAATAATAAACTCCTCCTATAATTGTCTCAAGTCCTAAAAATAGTTCTTAATTCAATAGAAGAATACTGGGACTTCCATTAAGATTAAAACATGAGGATAGAAGATAATTTTTTTCACCCAACTCTAATATTAATAGTGGGATCTATAGTAATTTGAATAAAAAGAATTATAAAATTTCAAATAACCAAACCAGAAACAGTATTTATTATGGAATGATTTCTCAAAAAGCTTCCTGTTGATGAATTCGTATGATTATTTAATTTTAGTTGTTTATTATTTTATATATATAAATAAATATGAAATTGTTTCAAATTATAATGATTTTGAAGTGACAATATTATTTAAAATTTTCTAGAATACTAATTAAATAATTAACCTTTGTCAATAATAGAAATATGCAATAATTATATATTCTTGGTAATTTAAGATGCGAAATAAATGGAAAATAATATTTTTGAATTTGATATCTGAATTCATCTTTGGATTTGCTTCAAAATATTTGAAAAATAAGTGGAAGTAATAACTAATAGATAGAGTTTAATTGATTCTAATTAATAAATCAATAAACTTCTGAAATATTTTAATTATAGAAATATTATAAATAATAATAAGCAGAATGTAGATTTCTAATAAGTAAATTATAATTATGTTAATAATAATACAAGTGAGACTATTCCAATATCATAAATTCATATTTGAGGTTGTTAAATAGATTTTCAAAATGGTAATTTTAATAAAAAATGCTTGATCTGATTTAAAAAAAAGAATGAATTATCATCCTACAGGTTTGCTGTCTTAAGAATTTATTAAAAATAATTTAAATATTTATTTACTGCATCCCTATTTAAAGAATGAAGGTAATTGCTTATTCAATTTTTGATTTAATAATGCTTTAAATATAGAAATAAAATATTGAATCGTAAAATAAATCTAGATTTTGTATAATAAAAAGTATAATCATAAATATTATTACATAGATTATAGTCTTATTATTTTTTTTTCTTTTGATAACTTTCTGTTTATGAAGCAGTTATTGAAAAAGAAAATTAAACTATTTTTAGAGAATGATAGTTTGTTATTAAAATTTAATTAGCATCATTTTTATGATTTATTTTTAGATTATTTAATTTTAGATATTTATTATTCACATTTGAATATTATAATCCAAAAAAATTATAGCATGATTGATATATTATAATGAATGATTTTTTGAGTGTTAATGATTAGTGATATTTAATTTTGTTAAAAGAATGATTAATTTAGTATGTGTTAATTTTCTTATTATTTATACATAGAGATGAGGCATTATTATTTATTATTGATGTATTTATATAAATTAGAGATTAAAATTGTTCTAGAGAATTTTCATAATTAATTGAGATGATTTTAAGAATAAGAAACATTTATAGATATTGTAGCAAAAATACAAATTATCATAAGATTGTTGGTTCAATACCAGGATAGGACAATAAAGACATAAAGGAAAATTTAGAAAAGTTTACAAGAATTTATTAAAAAGTTGATTTTAAGTAATTACAGAGAGAATAGATTGAAGAATAATAAAAGAAATTTATGATGCAGAATTAAGAGGCAAGATAATTTGGTGAATCTATTCAAGATGATTAAAAGGTAATCAATGGTTATATGACAGAGGGAAATTGGAAAAAGCAACTATTTAAAATTGATGGGTATATTTTTTTTGGGGATGTTTATATATTTGGGGAAAGAAACTTATAAATTCTTAAAGAATCCAAGAAATGTATTATTATATGATGAAAACACTGGAAAAACATATTACACAACTAAAGAAGAATTTGAAAGAATTAAGGCAGAGTAAAAAAGAAACAAGGAATTCAAAGAATTTAGATTTAAGGTGTTGTCTAAACAATAAGATCAAAAAGAGTAAAAAGGAGGTATAGATTCATTATTTTGATAATTATATAACACAATTAATTATTCTTGTGGAATCATCATATACATTAATAGTAAAAATGTCTTTGATTTAGAAAGAGAGTGGAATCAGAATTTGATTGGATTTCTTAATTGCTTGCGTCATATTCATAGTATTTTATTTATCGAATTAATACTATATATAAATGAACTATTCATTCTGCAAAATAATCATAAATAAAAATCTCTTTTTTTTAGGATTTCATGCAATTCACTTTGAAATTGGCATTTATTTTAGCATATTTGCATGAGACATTGTCTTAAACATGCAGAGTAAGCATTATTATATGGTTAGACTTAAAATACAGAATACAATTTGTTGACGATTGTGAATGGTGAGACCTTCCGCTTACCATTGGGTGATTATTTCCTTGGTGATGGACTATCATACACTGTTACACCTACAACTTCACCATTTACCTAGAAAACGGTAGTAGAAGGATAAGGAACAATTTAAGGAAAAATAATTTCATCAACATCCTCATACTTCAATAATAATCCCAACATTTAAGGAATAAAATATTACGCTCTTACTCAAAGTACAGGAGGTGGCTATTAAATTTATTAATCATAACTTCCAACCGGAGCCCCATTTACTTAGATATCATACACAACTAACTTTGCATCAATCAACTCAGGAGCAACTTGTTATTCAATTAATTTCATATAAAATATGATTGTAGTAACTTGTTCAGCTTAAGGCACCAATTAATTGACATACATATTTTTTTCAGGATCTCCAGCTCCACAATTATAACCAATATATAGTTAGACCATCCCTTCAGCCACTATCACAGCAGGAGCTTATGTATAGACTTAGGCTGTTGGATAATATATAGTAACTTAAATAAATTCTGGAGCATATGATAATCAAGCCTATTCGCCAGCATCATCATCACTCTATATATTCCAATTGACTTTAAGTGTAACATAATCATACAATTTAAACTAAATACTACTTCCTTAATCTCCAGATGGAAATTAAAATACCCTTTTCTTTACAGGTATTTCCTTACAAGAAAATGGAATACGTAATTATTATCATATATCTTAGTCTTTTTTACAACATATTAGACAGGATTATCATATGTAAATTTATAAAATTTGCCAGGTACAATTCAATCATTCAATCCATTCAGTACAGGTACTTTGGGTGTGAGTTCTTATAGTGTGGATTATTCATCAAACCTCTTTTATTTAGCTATTTGGAGTGCTGAAGGTATTGTTGCAGGTGTTTATAATTCAGCAAATGCAGTACCTGTAAATAAATTAATAAAATATTTTAGTTTAAATCAGCTTAAGTTATATCAACAAGTTAAATTACTGAAGTTTAAATGTTTGCAACATAAGTTTATATGAATCCTAGATTCCTTATTGTTGTTAATTCTAATGGAATTAGTGTCTATCCAAGCATTTTAAATGATATCAACAATTGGTAATTGCTCTATTTTATGCCATTAAATGTATTATCTAGTGCATTTGATTATTACAATAATATTTTAGTAACTGTTTCAGGATAAAATGTTAATACTTATTAATTTAATAACCCAATCCTCACAACTAATATTTAAACTCCATCTTCAACTGTTTAAAATTTCACAATTACCGCAACTACTAATATGTATGGATCAAATTCTAGTTAGACATGTTCTTTGACATTATACTATAATGTCACATCAAATCTTTAAACTGTAGAAATATTTTAGGCATATTAAGTGAATAGTTCAAAAGAGACATTTGTTCAATGGGGTCCTTTATTTAATTTATATTTGGGTTCAATTTAAAATGTTAACATAAACAAAATGTTGATTGGACCAGCTATTTTAGCAGGATTTCCAACTACAAATTAAGCATATTCTAATATTGATATTCAATTTTCAAATGTTTTATCAACTCCTTAAATAAATAGTCCTTACAGAATCAACTCAAATCTTATAGTTGGATAAAAGATTTTGTATTCTCAAATGTTTTATGATACTTCCTATATTGTTAATGATAAAACAGGAGAATAATTCAAAGACACTTACCTCTAATTGGTGCAAGTCTCCAATTATATTGTCTTATTTTAATGTTAAGGTTTTGAAGATTAACCATGCACTTAAATTGCTAACATTCCAGTTAATATAACATTGGTTGAACAATTTGCTTTGAGTTTTTCATCAAATAGTTTAATAAATATAGCATATATGTGGAATGATTTTAGTATCAAAGACTAAATTTCTGTAGGACATATTACAATTTGTCAATTAACCTACCCTTCTACAACAACTAATTCAATTTGCAAAACATATAATTTTAATTCTAAATAAGCAGGCTCTACATAAGCATTATAGATTTCATTGGCTTAAGACAGTTTCTATGTTCTTTATACATAAACAGTAGATGAAATAGCTACAAATTATTTCTCTGCTTTTAATGTATAAGAATACTTTAATGCAGCTTAGATAACTGATATTACTTCACTATAATCATATTGTTAATATGCAAATACTAATAATGTTGTTATAACAAGTTTCACATAAAATATTCCTGCCTATGGAAATGTTATCTTCCTAAATACTTAGAATATTGTAATTACTGACACTATAACTAATTATTATTATTATGTTACAGCCATTAATTATAATGGAGGTTATCTTAGTGTAGTTGGATAATATAGTTATGTTTTAGATGAAATTGGAAGTGTATAAACAAATGATAATATAACATCACCATTTACTAATTACTATTAATTTACAATTGATGGAATGTACCTTTTGACACTTAATAGCAAAGGAAATTCTACTTTAAAATTTTACCCAAGAGTTGATCTTTTACCATCAATCTTTTACTCTAAAACTCAATAAACAACACCTAAATTACCTGTTAATGGAATTACATTAGAATAGTATGGAATGACAAATATAGTCTAAGTTGCTTCATCAGCTCGTTTCTTTTACGTTATGGGTCAACCTGTTGGTTCAAATACATATTCAATTTATGTTTATAAGAATACTCCTACAAGCTAAAATGCTTTGTATTATGTGATTTCAACTGATGCTAATGATCAGATAATTAATGCTCCTTTTAGTGTAACAAGTGCAATATAATATGATGGAATATTATTCAAATCTAGAGGAAATGATGGATATCGTAATAGTATACTTTTACCTGAATTTGAATTTGCTGTGAAATGCAATTTAAATAGCAATTTCTAATAGCAAATAGAATATAGTTATGTCATATTTAGGGCTACATCTTAATTAAAAAATTCTAAATTACCATAGACAGCATAAGAATATTGGGCAACTTTTGAATCCATCAATTTAATTTCCTTTACTAAGGAGACCACTACAATAGCAACTGTTGGTAATATATCACCTTCAGGATATTTATAAGTTGATCCAAGAGGATACTTTTAAGGAAATATTTAGAGCTTCATTCTATCAAATGGAACAAATTCTACCACTTTTTATTTCTTCAACTTAACTTCCCCAGTAGTAAGATAACCTCAAACCACAAACTATTAATACCCAGTAACAGCAGTTTCAGCATATATGTAGATATCCAAAGAATAAACACAACTACCTTTTGCTAACTAATAAAATTAATATTGGTTCACATTTGTTTAAACAGATAGATTAGTATATGTTACTCCATATATTTATTATAATCCCCCTCAAGATTTCGTTGATAATTCAACAATCAAGATTAATTATCCTTTGATTTATAAGTTACCTGTTTTGGACATAGCTCCAAATTCTTAAAGCTGTCCATTAATATTTGTGGATCCATAGTCTTTAGGTGTTGTTAGTGTATGTGGAACTAAAATAAATAATAAATTTGCAGCTTCATTCACATTGTTTAACACTTTGACCCAATAAGTTATGGAGACTAAAATAATATTCTTGGATTAAGCTTTTCCAGTTTTAAATTAGGTTAATCTAACAAATAATGGATCATATCAACTTTAATCAGCAACTTATTTAGATATAGGAGTTGTTGTATTATAATTCAAATACACTTATAATTTTGGTTCATCACCTCCAACAATCATAGTATTACCATTTTTATATACTTCTAATTTGAACAAGAAAATAGCAAATTACCCAAATAATACAAATACATATTTTTACTAATTCATTTAACCAATATAATCAGTTTATTAAGTACCAAATAGTAATTTGGGAAGTGAAATTTCAGTTACAGTATTTTAATTAACATCACAATACTTTGGAGGATTAAATACTTAAAATTAAACAAGTCCAATGAGTTTCGGACTTTTATGTGTTTCAGATACCAAAGAAGAATGTTTAGTACCATATTCTACAACATCATAAAACTAATCTCCAACTAGTGGAGTAGTCATTATAATTAATTAAGGAACCACTTTGGCTAATGTATTTAGTACCAACACCACAGTTAATTTCACTTAACCAAATGACTCAATTTAATCACTTATTGTAACCCCCTTCCAGATATCTTTATTCAATATAGTATCAGGTATTACATTTATATTATGTTTAGATTACACAAAAAGCTCAGTTCAATAGGTTATTTAAGCAGGATCCCCAATCTAATTTAGTAATGCAATCTCTGAAGTACCTTTAATAGCAGTCAGTCAAGGAACTGCCTATGTCTTCAAATTGTAATTTTATTTGAGTAATGGCCAATATATCCAATCATTATATGCTTGCACATTACTTGGATTATCTAATCAGAATCCCATTAAGCAAATTTCAGCAAGCAGTTCAAAAACTGGTCAATATCAAGTAGTTGCAGTAGTAGCAAATCCAATACCTTCAAATACTTAATAAGTAACACTACTTAATTATGGATTTATCAATCAGTAAATTTTATAATCATTTTAATAGATAATGTTTGATAAATCCTAAAGCAGTAACAACTAATTAACCAATAAAACCCTAAGATGGATAAGAAGTTTTAGTAACAGCTATAGGAGCAACTACTTATAAATCAGCTGAAGCTACTCCAATCTTAGCTTTAATGTAACCCCCTTCAGTAAATGGTTAACCTAGTGGAATTGCAAGAACATTAATTAGTGACAATTCAGTGATTACTTTACTTGACACTAGTCCATATCTTACCATTTCAGCTTATCCTAATTATAATCTTTAAGGAGGTGTCACTTTGGATTCATAAGGATTATTCTCAAATGTTACTTAAAATCTATCAACATCCATTTCAGCTATGAGTGTTTAAACATATGTAAACAATTAATTGATTTCTGGGGAAGGAGGATCAACAATCTTTTAACTTGGTATTTCACCAATTCCAATCAATTCAACATTCCCAGATTCAGTTTGGGATAGATACTTATGGGGTTAATTTATTTGGGGATTTTTCATGTTTATAATCATCTTAGGCACTGTTGGATACTTGTTTTACAAATCATAACCATAGCCATACGATAGATTTTGATAAATAAGATAAATACATATAAATTAAAATATTTGAATAAAATCATAGTTCTTCATAATAGATCTCCTCTTCTAATTCCTATTCTTCATCTCCATTCAATTCTTTATTCTTTAAAAGTGATGGTGGTTATAATATGCTATCTGACATTTTAAATTCACTTTATTCTTCTTCCTTTTGCTACTCTTTGATTTGTTCTACTTTAAAATTTACAATTTTTGTCTACTCACTCTATTTCTTTATGAAAGGTATGCTCTCAACATAAGTTTCACTATAGGTAACATTTTCTCTTCCACAAGTAGTTGGTTTTCTACTTTCAGAAGTCTTCAATGAATAATCATTCTATCGTAGTTCTATATTAACATTCATAATTTACATGAATATGTAAGGATTGGTTCAACAGTTATATGCATTTTCATTTCAACAGGCTTCTAAACTATATCCTCATCATCTTCATATTTTATTTAAATCTTTGGTGTTGATCTATATATTTAGAAATTAATCTTTTATAATTTATTTAATTGATCCATCATTTCACATTCTTCTCTCAAATACAAACTCAAAAATCCTTGATCTATATTGCCTGAATCACCAAGATACAAAGAATTTATTAATCTCAAAAAACTTATGTGTTCCAAATTCCATTTTGTATTATTCTTTATATAAATTATGTATTCATCAATATTGTACTTTTTATCCTCTAATTTTAATTATTTCATTTCAAAATTCAAGAATTTTATTAAACTATTCTTATTTATTATACTTTTGAAATTAAATTGAGTATCCTCCTTACTTGGAATCATTTACAATATCATATCATTTACACTTTGAGTATCTTCCCATTAAATTTTATAACCTTATCCTTTGTCTTCTCCAATAAAATACCTACTTAAAACTATAGCATCTTTTTCTGAATAATTAAATGGCCTCTTCATAAACAATTTTAGTCCTTATGATAATTAAATAAATTCGATTCCTTTAAATAAATATTGAAGTTTTGATCGAGTTAAACACATTGAAATTACTTTATACTTTAAATCTTCAAGCAATTCTTTTAATCGTTCTTAATCTATTGGATCAGTATTAATTATATCAGTAGCTTTATGCTCTGCTTATTGGACTTCTGGAAATTAAGTAAATTAAGAACGATAACATTTTGGTGGAATCAAATGTTTAACAACAGGTTCTTCTGATGTAGTCTTTTGTTTGAGTAGATCCTATATAGCAACACGATCTTATAAATCTTGTCTAATTAATAATAAATTTATTTTAAATAATACATTAGCAATTCTTTTTTAGAAAGTGTATCTTCTAAATTCTATTTAGCTTTCTGAGCTAAAGCTATTTATTATTTAAACTCTCGTTCTTAATCTTATTATTATTTCGTAGCTGATTTATATTTAGTTTCATAAAGTGAAAGTTCCCCTTTTAAAGTGTCAACTTATTTTAATACACTCCTAATTATAATCAATACATAATACTGCAATTTCTTCTCTAAAAATTCTCTTTTCTTTTATTAATATTATTCTGTCTCTGTAATGGTTTAATCTTCTAATTTCTTCTTTAATTGAGTTTTCTCAAAAGAAATCTGTTTAACTTCTTCCTTCACCTTTATATTGTCTTCAACAAGTCCTTAATATTCATATTTAAGTTGATTAATTTGCTTTTCTAGTACTTCAATTTGGCTCTCTTGGGCATTGATGGTCAACACATAATTTTTTATACGCTCCCCTATCTCTGGATCATTAAATAAGCTGTTTTCATATGGAAAGCACATACTCTTGGTCTGTCACCTTGATGGCGACTTATTGAAACTGTTTCAAGCGCATGATTTCATCTTGCTGATTCTTTATTTCTTTCTGTAATTCTACAAGTTAAGTTAATTTCACTGATTTGCATTGTCTTCTTAAGTCGTCAGTAAGCTCGAATATTTATTATGCCTATTCTCTTATCTTAGCTTTAAGCATAGGCACAATACTCCCTTCTTAATTTGCTGTTGTCAACCCTAAAGGGTCTGTGTGTAACTGATAACGATCAACTTTCTCTATTTACTAAATGCGATTCTAAAGTATTAAGAATGTAGACAAATTACTTATAACTATTAAACCAAAGTTCTCAATTTAATATTCTGCATACGAAGCATATTTGCCTCTTATTTAAATTGAAGATTCTGAATGTAAAGAGTCTCTCCATCAGCATATCGTTTAGTGGGAGGGCTTGTAACTTTGTTTTGTTTAGGAGTAAACATTAAATGAGATATTGAATCTCTAGATCGTGCATCAGATGCCTCAGATTTCAATTTCATGATTGCTGAATGAGGTCTATTCTGCATAATTTAAGTAATTAATATATCACTATTTATTTTCTTTTCTACTATTTTTTTTTTTATTTCTTTTTTAATCTGCTTCTCTACTTTCTTCAAAAATATAATAACTCTATTATTCTTCATTACTATTTTATCTTCTATAATTCAATTAATTGTTTGTATCTCAATTCTCTACATTTTTTATTTCTAATTCAGAAATACTATTTCTTATCAATCCTAATCTTTATTTTATGAATTAAAATACTATTAAACTTTATTATCTTAGATTTAGTGCCATAATATTTTTATATTTAAAATTTCTATTTCTTATAGAATTTGTTAACATATTCTTAAATTATTTTATTTTTCATTATAATTCATATTTGATTGTCTCATTATTATTAATGTGTGTCTTACTTGCTTAATTAATATTTATTTATTTTTTCTAATTATGATTCTTCAAGCAAACTTTCATTATGAAAAAGATAATAAAGAAAAACTTGCTTCTACATCTTGCAAGAATGGGAATGACCTCTATACAAATCTTCTCAAACTTATGGATGATATCAAATACAAAATCATATACTTAGATAATACATTCCACAAAGTATTTGCAATATCAAAAGTTGAACTCATCAAACTTCCAGATAAGTAAGATGATTTGGAAAATTTTATTGATGTTGTTTTTCATACATCTTGTTAGAAAGGGATTAATGCTATTGCATTTCATCTGAGAATATTGGAAATTACTAATTAAGCTATAACAATCTATAAAAGTGAAAAGATTCTATAGATTTTATAGGAAGTTTACTCTTAAAAGGGTTAAGATTAATAAGACAAGTAGGAATAGTAATCTAACTGCTATGCACTCAGAGATCTCGATTACCAGAATATGATAAAAAAACTTAATAACACACTTTATGGGAAAGAAAACTTTCAAGATTTAACTAAAGAACAACAATAAGAATAAGAATAAATTTTCAGTCTAATAATCCAAAGACCAAATTCCAATAGGAATACTTTATGTATTTTTGAGAATAACAATGAGATTGTTAAAGTCTTATCTAATTGTAAATTAAATTTCTATTACTTTTTTAGTTTAAATTGATAAAGCACAACTTTATGAAACTAATTTAGCATGGGCTGGGGAAAAAAGAGAAAAAGCAAAACCTAAATTATTTCTTAATGCATAAGTGATAGAATCAAAAAAAATGAAGAATGGTTTTACTTTTGAAACTACAATAAAGGTGGATCATAATTAGAAATCATAGAATCATTTAATATTTGTATTGAATCAAAAAGTTCTTGCCTTTTAGTTTCCGTTAAAATTTGGAGATAATTATTGAAAATATTATTAGTTTATGAGATTGAATTCAAAATTTATTAATAGCTTCTCTTATTTATATAATATCTATATTATTATATTAAATCTTAATTATTTTTATTCTTTAATAAAACTAATATTAGAAGAATCATATTTATATAAATATTCTACTTTAAATTATCTATATTCTTTTATTGTAATTTTAAAATATAATGAGAATTATAAAATAATCATATATATTTATAAAGTAAGTAATATCATATAATTTATTAGACTATAGATTGGCATTCATCAATAATTAAATCAATTTCTCTTTCTAATTTCATAATTTCAAATTTTTGAATTGAAAATTTCATTGCTAATTATATAATGTAATTAACATTTAAATTTAATAATTTAAGTTATTAGACTGAATTTTTTCTAATATTATCTTATTTATATTTAATTTTTTATTTTTGATCAATTCTAGTTTACAAAATTTCTTGAAAAATTTGTTCATGAAAGGATGAATAATATAGATCAATTTCCCTTCTTATTGATTTACGATGTGTATTATGATTCCAATCTGCTAGTAGATTTTTAAGTTTAATTCTCTTTATTTTTTCATAAGATTCTTATTTTTTTTTAATAATAAATTATTAAACTTAATTTTCTTATTCTACTACTTTACCAAATTTATTCATCAACTTTTATAATTAATTATTAGTTTCAAACATATTAGTTTAAATTGTCTATTGACTTCTAGTAGCAATCAATTCTCTAATAATTTTATAATCTGGATCAGTAACTAATGCTACTCTTCTTTTTTTAGATCTTAGTAACATTTATTTAATTCTATCAACAGCCTTTATATATATTAATAAAATATACTAATCTAAATTTCTCTCTAAGTAGTTTTTTCCTAGCTTACTTTTAACCAACAACTGATAACATTAAATCCTATTAAACACTGATATAATTTCTAAAATCTATTTTAGATTTGAATTATTATCTATTTTCACTTGATCTTCTAATTTATTAAGTTTGAACAACTTTACCTTCTACAATAATGGCTGTAGATCTTTTAAGTCTAACAGCTTATCCTAAATTAATATGCATTTATTAATATTACTTTATTTTTATTCTGCATAATCAGATAATAATATTTTTCTTCTTTTATACATCTAATATAATTCAAAAAATTGAGTAGAGTTTTATTTGATCAAAGATTCAAAAAATCTGCCTGGACACATTAATACAACACTTTTTGTAACAGCATGAGCATGCCATCTTCTTAAAGTCTATTCAATTGATTCTACTTCTCCAAAGACTGTTCCTTCCATTACTCTTAAAATACATTCACCAGAAGCATCAGATAATCTTACATCACCACTTAATAGATAATAGAAATCTGATGAACTTTAACCTATATGATATATTGTAGAATATTCATCAAATTTAGCAAAAGTACAATAAGGTAATACCATGGCAGAGAAATTTATATCATTTGCAATAAAGGGTACAATTTTAAAAATATCTTTATGAGTTGATGCAATAAGGTATTATCTCATACTCCAAGGTAAAGCTTAGATCATTTCAATAGTATTACGTGCCCAAAATGGATTATGAGATATATTAAATTTAGTAAATGAAATTAATTCTTTGAGTACTTCTTCAATCATGAATGTTTGATCTCCCAATTCCTCTAATAATATTAATTAATCTTCATATTCTTAACGTGGATTAACATTTACTAAAATGCAAGTTATATCACCAATAGTAAATGAATAGAATCCAACTCCAATCAGCATCCAGAATATTTAAAGAAAAAACTCAAAAGAAGTTTGAGCAGCAATATCTCCATATCCAATAACAGTAACTGTTTATATTGCCCAATAGAAACAGGTCAAATATTATTTTCCTATATTATAATCATAAGCATTTTCTCTTATAATCCAAGTTTCCTAATTAAATTCATCAATTCTAGCACTCCAAAACCATAAACATGCAAAAATATGAGTCAAAATTACCATATCTATAAAAATAGTTAAAACTCTTTTAATTCTTAAATCTATATTATAATCTTCTCTATAAAATAGATCTTCGTTTACAATAATTTCTTTCTTTTTAATAATATCATTTGCTGTATGATAATTTTCACGTCTTTCATACATAAAATACTTTGCAATTCTAAATAATCTCATTAATCCTAATATTTTTGTACTTTCATAAGCTTCAAAAGGTATTATAGATAATAAATCAACTATAAACCATCTTTTAATATAATAGGGTATGATCCTATCAAAAGTATGTAAAAGAGTATTATATTCATCAATATGACAACTTGTTAAGTTAAATAGTATATCAATTGCAAATATAACAGTAAGTATTTGAGTTAATAATGTTCCTACTCCCCTAATATTTTTAGATATAATACTTAGAATGCTAATTAAAATGGCAATATTATTGATGCTATACAATGCATTCCTTTCATAAAAATAATCCAAATAATATATATCTTATCATCTGGATAAAAAGGAAAAAAGTTACGATGCCGATATTTGTATTCCATATGTTATGACTTCAATTATTCAGCATATTAACGAAGTTCTTTCACAAAATTCATTGCATGGATTAATTTTCTACTTATTTATCGAAATTCACATTTTGCATTTCTTCTTTATATCTAAGAATGACTAACAAAACTAAACTTTAGATGAGAGTCTGTTCTTGACAATGTATTTCTAGATTCAGATGAAAGTGGTTGATTATAAAGTGGCAATCTATTCATTATATATTCTAATACAAATATCTAGAAGTTTTAGCATTATGAATTTTCTTCATTTAATTTTATCCATTCTTATTTCCACTTCTAGATGTAAATTCATTTATAGGAGAATCATCTCCATTTATTGGATATATTTGCATATTCTAAATGTTTTGATTAATTATTATTTACAAACGCAAGAAAAATCAAAATTTTATTATAATATTTTAACTTCATGACTTCAAACATAACTAAAAGATGTCATCAAACTAATATTTATTTACTTTTCATTTTCACTTCAACTTAATCTTAAATAAATTAATTCTCTTCTTCTTTAATCTAACTTAAAATAACATCTCATTTTTTTATGATCATATATATCTAAATATTAATATACTTATTTGATCCTATTCTTATATATCTAGATTATCAAACTATCTAAACGTATCCATTTTATAAATAATATAAATTTTATGTAGCCATTCTATTTAATTAAAATGGCATAAATTATTATATTATGTCAAATAATAATAAACATTTTCCATTACCTTAAACGTTTGATTAAGAAAATATTCCAACAATATCTAAGGTTTAATACCCTTCCTTTGAACTCTAAGATTAGAATTAATTGGCATATAATTAATATGCTCAACCTATTTAACAAGGTTTTCCAATCTAATACACATCAACATTTCATAATTGTATAATATATTTAAAATCAAACATAGCTTAAATACCAATATAATCAAATTTCCCAGTTGTTGTGAATTGTTATTATTGTCAAAAACAAATTCAAACTATTGTTTCTTATGAAGCTGGAGCAGGAGCTTATTTAGTTGGAGGAGTCTTGGCTGCTTTGGGACTTTGGTTAGGGTATCAATTAATTTAAATTATATAATTAGTTGTTGTTTGATTCCCTGTTATTTAAAGGATTGTCAAGATGCAGTTCATTTTTGTTCCTAATGTTCTGCCTAATTGGGAAGGAAAAAATTTATATTTTGAAACAGCTATCATTATCCCATAATCATATCATAATTAAACTCTATTGATCTCATTGATATTTTTTAAACATACTAGTTAATTAATATATTTTCTAATCACTTGTTGAATTAATATAAATATATTCTTCACATCATTTATTTTTTATTTATCTAAGACTTAATCATAAATGAAAAATCTATTTATTTCTTATATCATAATTAAATATCTAAACTCATTTTAAAGATTTTAGAAATTTCTATATCTATAAAGAGAAAATAAATTATGAATATAGTCATATTAATTTTTAAATTATTAAATAAGTATTAATTATATCTATAAGATATACCTTATAATCTAGTATTTTGAATATTAAAATTTGTTAATTGAAAAATTTAGAATTAGTTCAATTTATTATAAAATTTATAATAAAGAATTTCAATAATTATAAGCACAAATTAATTATATTTATATATTTATTGTTTATATTATAATTATAGCTTAAAATAAAGAATTTATTATTCTAAAAAATTTTAATTTAATGACCTTAGTATTTCTTGATATAGTTAAATATCTGGGAAATTAATATATTTTGAATTAGATCTTATAAATATTCATCATTGATTTCTACCCACCATTTCTTAAATATAGGGCCCTTATGCCTTTATTACAATAAAATCTGCTATGGGATGAGGTAAGAATCTGACTAGATTTGATAATAACCAATAGAATGAAGGGATAGAATGTACATCTTTTTAATTTTCTATTGCATCAATAATTTCAATGGCAACTCTTTCTTCTTTTAATTCTGGTAGTAGAAAATCAATTTTAGATTTAACTCCTTTAAACATACCTGTATTAATTGCCCAAGGAGCAATAAATGTACATTTAACAGGACTTTTCTTCAATTTTAATTCAACTCTCAAACTATTATGAAAACCAAGTAGAGCATGTTTGGAGGCACAATATGCTGCTACTTTTAATCCTGTTATAATTGATAATACAGATCCTATATTAACTATATGTCCAAATTTTTAAGCTTCCATTTTAGGTATAAGTAATTTGGTTAGTAGAACTGGAGCAAGATAATTAACTGCATGAGTCAATTAAAGATCTTGAAATGATTATTCTGAGAATAATTTTAGTTTAGCAACTCCAGCATTATTGATTAAAATATGTATTGGTTCATTGATTTAATTAATAGTTTCAATTATCTGCTCTTATTTTGATAGATCACATTCATAAAATGATACTTTACCTCCATATTATTCAATTGTATTTTTAAGATCGGCAATAAGATCTTTTCTAATGTCTAAGATAATTATTTTGCATTATTTCATTGCCAATAATTTACACATTTATTTACCAATACCCATGCATCCTCCTGTAATTAGAATAGTCATATTGGATTCTAGTTTGATTTTTTTTTATTTCCTAAGTAAAAAGTATGTCAGAAAAATAATGAAAAAAGTCAGGGTATAAGGGATAATCATAAATATAATATTATTTATAATTTATAATTAGTTTAGATATTTATAAACAACACATGATTTCATTCTTCATTAACTTCTACATTCTATTCTTAAGATTCAATTCTAGCTTTTAATTTTTGATCACCTTTTCTAAGCTTCTTTCTTTTTTTTAAGGCTAAAGTACTGAGATCTTGTTATTAAACGAAAACCTTTCCTCTTTTATCACCTACTTCATCATAAACAATATTTTTTTCCTAAATTTATTAATATATCTATTTACATGTGGTTTAGCTTTTGGTTTAGGTTAACGACATGCTTTCTTAAATAATTCATCATCTGCCCATTTAGTTCTTCTAATTTCAAAAATACATCTAGGTCCAATTTCTTAAATTTTAATACCATCTTCATGATTCTATTTTTATAATATTGTTATTGCTAAACTTGTATCATTTGTTGCAGTAATACTTATAATTAAATGAATTTCTTATGATTTTATATCTTAAATAGGAACATTTTCATAAAAGAAATCTGTAAAAAGATTATGTAATTTCATATGATTTGGATTAAATCCAAAAACATCACCATTAAAAATAATTAATGGTCTTGCATGCATAGGAATTTCAACAGAAGTACCAAATTCTTCTTGACTTTTGAATTCTTTTAAATGTAATTCAACCATATCTAATATTTTTTTATCAAATGTTCTTCCAATAATTAGATTATCAGGACGTTTCTTTGAATTTGATACAAAACAAAACATTGAACATTAACTTCTTTCACAAAATGTTTCTAATTGTTTAGTATCTTCAAATGGTTAGATTTCATGATTTTTATTATATGTAGTACTAAAATCTCTTTTTATCAAATGCCATTCATGTGCCAATTATCTTACACTAAGAGAAGTCTTAGGACCTCGTATGAAGAGAGTTTGTTTTGGACCTTCAACTAATTTAGGTTCTCGAGACTCTAGAATTCTTTTGCCTTTATGAGTCTTAGCTCCTCTAGGTGTTGTTTCTTCTTGATCAGACATTATAATTTTAATTTAATTTAAAGAATTTTATAAATATAAATTTAATAAATTTATTTATATATAAGAAATTTACTATTTGATTAAAATTTCAATAATCACTTTCTTCACTTTCCACATCATCATCTTCATGTTCTGATTTGATATCATTATCTTCTAATGCCATTAAATTTCTCTCTCTTTCTCTATTTTTATAAATTATTAATTATACTCTTATTTTCTTTCTTCTTCTAATAATTTCCTTTATCTAGCTTTGATTTCTTATTATATTCTTAATTATTTTAATTGTTCTTTCTAAATATCTTTCTATGTCTATGGTTCTAATCTTGGCTATTTGTATTTGTTTAAAGTAGGAGGTTTTCTGTTTTTCAATTTTTTGATATGATTACTCATTCTTATTTTGAATTCATCTTCTTTATTGGTATGTAAGTCTTTATGCTAGATGATGATAAATATAGTATGAATACTTTTTTGACTAAGAATGATGTAAGAATATCTGTAAATTCAAACAACAATAACTCATATTTAATAATAGATGTAGATTTTTCTAAAGTCTTTCTTTAATCTTTTTCAGCTGTCTAATCTTATTATTTCTTTCTACGTTTATTTCCATCTTCTCTGATTGTTTAATTAACAGAAGATTAATCAATTTATGAAATAGATTATTATGTTATTTGTCCTTCATCAGTATCAAAGTTTTTATCAACATAACTTATTAAAATAAGTTTATCTTATTCTGAAGCATTTAATAACTTATATATTTATTCTAAATTAATAGTTCTATCAGTAAATCCAAATTAAGTCTCTCTATTTTCAATAGACCATACATCAAATATAGGTTTAACTTCATCAATGAAATCTCCAATAATAATTTTAGGATGAGTAGATTTTTTAGTATCATCCAAAGATTAATTCTATTTACCCTTTTTTCTTTCAAAATATGGAGTCAATTTACTGATAATTACTCTTTCAATTGCTCTATGTAAATCAATTAGATTGCCATATTTCAAATATGATAATCTTACAATTAATTCAATAAAATGTCTAAATAAAATACATCTTCTAGGATCATGAATATCTTCAACTTTCTTTTTAAATGTTACATCTTTAAGTTAGAAATCTTGATAATTTATTTTTTCAGTTGATAAACAATCAAAAGCCATTTGTTAATGGAATAAATCATTAAGTTCTTACAAATTAATATTACTACCTTATCTACTAAGTACATCTATTTCTACATTTAATTCTTATCTATCATATTTTAATCTATAATTATTTTTAGATCCTTATAAAAAATTTCTATTCAACTCAGCCAATGAATAATTTTGATTCAATAATTTAGCCTAAATTAAAAATATTAAATTACATCTCTTGCAATTTTCCAAAAACCTTCTAAACTCAAAGAGAATGTATCTTCATAAAGCAAACTTTCAAATTTATTAGCAAAGAATTTATAATGTGTTTTAAGTGTATAATTGTGTCTCAATAACATAGTTTAAACATTTTGATCAATTTATTAAGAGTCTAATTACAATCCTTTATATAAATCTGAGAAATCAATCATATAAGAATACGGATTAGTTTCTATTGTTTTATTAAGATTAGTTTAAGTTTGATTTGGATTATTGATACCTGCTAATTTTTCAGGTCTCTTTGTAGTATTACCCAATTTATTTTTATCTTTATCTTTATCTTTATTATCTTTATTATCTTTATCTTTATTATTATCTTTATTATCTTTCTTTCTATCTTTATTGTCCCCTACTTCTTTAGGATTTTCATTTTATTAAATTACTTCACCACCTTAAGGTGCAATTTCTCTAGGTAAGATACCAGTTCTAGATTCATTTTCAGTTGTTGCATAAACCTTTATTAATCTATCTTATTTGAATTCTCCAAGAATAAAACCACCTGTATCTGTTATAAATAGAGCAACTCCATATTTCAGATTGTTTTTCCAACTTCCCATATATTTAGCTCCATTTGCATAATAAAATACTCCAACTCCACTTCTTTCTCCATTTTCCCATTCTCCTTCATATCTATTTCTCAAATATTTGGAACCTTCTCCTTTAGGTTCAATCCATAAATGAACTCCCCAACCATTTTAAACATTGTCTTTCCACTCTCCATAATATTTTTCATTTGAATTCAACCAAAACATTACTCCCTATCCTTCTTTTTTATCCATCAAGAAATCTCCATCATAATAATTACCAGAAGGATAAATCATCTTGCCTTTCCCAGATTTATTGCCTTAATAAAATTGTCCTTCAAATGTGGCACTAAATTTCATAATGGATAATTATACCCACTTTAGAAAGTAATTTTTCCAAAACCATGTCTTAAACCATTCTCCCATTATCCTTCATATACTGCTGATTTATCTGCTGTAACAAACTTGCCTTATCCATGTCTAAGTCCATTCACAACAATTCCAGTATAAGTTGAACCTTCTGGCCAATAATAAGTTCCTTATCCTTCAATTTTATTGTATGTGAATTCACCCTTATAGATTACACCAGATGCCCAAGTAAATGTGCCCTCACCTAGTTTATTGTAAATTACTAGAACCATGTAACATCCCATTATGAAACTCTCCTTCATACTTATTTCCATTTTTGAATGTAACTTCTCCTTTCCCATGTAATGCTTTTCCATAAACTTAATCAGGTTAATCCAAGATAGCCAAATCAGCATCCCACTTATCATAAATGATCTTTGCCAAATCCAATGGGATAATTAGATTTTTTGGATCCTCTTTGAAATTCATTTAATATTATAAATATTAATATAAGTAATTCTCTACAATACATATAAATATTAATATTAAATAAATGGGAAATTGCCAACAATGTGATAATTCAGACCCAATCAAAACCCAAGAGATTTTAACATCCAAAACCACTAAGTCCAAATAAAGTAAGAAATTAAATAAAAATGATCTTAAAGGAATCATAAAAATTTAAGCAAATTTTAGAGGTTTTATCACAAGAAAGTAGTATATTAATTTAACATAGAAAATATAAATTTAAATCATCTGGATCAACATCACAAAAATATGGAACTTCCATTAACTAATAAAAGAGTTCTTAAAATGATTCAGTTATCGCAGACCCTTATTAAATCCATACAAATATACAATAAATTCAATAATTACAAAGAAAACAATCACCTATTAAGAATTTAGATTAGGATGATCATAGATAAATTCTTGCTGCTGAAATTACAATTAATATTAATGAAGATGCAAGTTCCTATTCTGAAGTTAGAAGCAAACACTTAATCAGTTTTTAAATGAATGAACTTTGCTTTATCCCTCTACATAAGAAGGATCAAATTAGAGTTTAAAATGAAGAATAATAAAAACTATCCATTCTTTAATTGAGAAATGGATGCTATTATGAAGGATAATGGAAAAAAGGAATGGTACATGGATTTGGTAAATATTCACTCTCTGAAACATCATTTTATATAGGAGAATGGATTGAAAATAAGGCTAATGGATTTGGAACATTTCAACATTCTAATGGAGATCTATATATTGGAACTTGGAAAGATGGTACTGCCAATGGCAATGGTAAGTACACATTTGCAGATGGTACATTCTATGATGGTTAATGGATTAATGATTTACCTAATGGATAAGGCAAATAAACTTATGAAGGTGGATGGATTTATGAGGGTAAACTCTTTTCTGTATTCCAAAGCTAGGAAGCTTTTAAGATGGTTTTAAAAGCGGTTTCGGTTAATTAACATATCCTGATGGAACTATTTATGAAGGGAAATTCCAAAATGATCTAATGAATGGCAATGGAATTTTGAGATTTCCAAATGGAAGATTTTACAATGGAGAATGGAAAAATGGTATGAAAAGTGGTAAAGGAGTATTTCAATGGCCAGATGGAAGGAAATATGAAGGATAATTCGTAAATGATTAAAGAGAGGGGTATGGAACATTATTATGGCCAAATGGTTAAAAATATAGTGGATTATGGAAGGAAGGACTTCAACATGGAAATGGATAAATAATAAAAGCAAATGGTACTACCTTCAGAGGAAGGTGGATCAAAGGAAAAATTATTTCAACAAAATTCACTACTAATACTCCTGCTAAAGTAATAAAATTAGTTAATGAGTGATCCTATTATGTAGATATATGTCTACTTTGATTTTAATTTAATAATTATTATAATGTTTGAATGTCCAATATGTTTAGTATCATATGATAATCATGAAGCCTTTACATTTCCTTCTTGTTTTCATACATTTTGTAAAAATTGTTTAAAATCAACTTTTGAAACCAGAATAAAGGAATAAAATATAAACCTAGATATCTTTAAATGCCCTGGTTGTGAAATTCCATTTGATCAATCATTGATCTAGAATTTTATATCATAAGAATCTTTTAAGAAATACTGTGAATTAAGTATAGAAATGAATCAAATTTTTGGTTTGGAAGAAGATGAGATATTGGCGAATTGTTTAAACGAGGTTTGTAGAGAAAAATATATAATCTGGAAGAATGCAGGTTTTATAAAATTGTATTGATTTAGAATATTAGAAATGTATAAAATGTAAAATGGAATATTGTCGTTTATGTTTTTTACCATAACATAAAGATATTTGTACTTGTGAAGAATAAAAATTAATCTATTAAGACAAAGTTTATAAAGATTTAAAAGTTCTACTCAAAGCAAGTAGATGTCCTAAATGCATGATTTTTGTAGAAAAGGTTGCAGGATGTAATTTTATGACTTGTAAATGTGGTGCTAATTTTTGTAATCTATGTGATATTTAACTTGAGAGACAAGTATAATTTAGGATTTATTTTATAAGGATCATTATTCTCATTTTGAAAACAATAATCCTTCTTATGATAAATGTAAAATAAAAGTAAATGGTTAATGGGTAACAAGACCTGTAGTTGAAGAGGTTAAGAAAGTTCAAATAAAATAAATAATTAAAGAACCTGAAAATGTGAACAATACTATTCCTTGTCCTAATTGTAAATCAATCAATCCGAAAATTACAAGGCTTTAACTCTATGATAGGATTATACATTGTGGCAGTGTTAAATGTTAAAATAGAGCTTTTTGTTTATTGTGTAAAAGGATGCTTCCTCATTAGGAAATATTAAATCATTTTACTAATACATTAGAATGTAAGTTTAAATGAGTTTAATAATTATATGATTTTTCAATTTTAGTATAATATAATTATAATGTTTAATATTGTTGGGGAACTTTGGAAAGCCTAATAATATGCAAAATAAGAATGCTGTTTTGAAGTTCCTTAAACATTCTACTTATAAGGTAGTAAAATATCACATTATTTTACCAGTTCATAATGTTCTGGTAAAATTTTAAAGAAAAGGAAAGAGAATGTAACTTTACAAAGTATATTGGATACTTTTAATTCTAAAGAAAAGTACGTATGTTCATTTTAGAGATTATTAAATAAAAAAGATGTTTAATTTAAATATTTAACACGTTATGAACTAGAGGCACTCATATCTGACATTACTAACTTCTCAGAACTATATTAAGATGTTATAATTTAATAAACATTTCAGAATGAAAACTTAATTACTTATTGTAAATAAGGTCATATAACATAAATTTAATAAAGAATTCCCCTTTAATTAGAACCATTAATTACTTTAAAAGTTAGTTAATTTGCTTGTGAAAAAGTAATATTTGAAGCAAGAGTTAACAAAGTTGGAATAGCAATTGAATAATTAATAAGTCTGATTGAAGGATCTAAAGTTAATGAAATTGAATTATACATGAAATATGTTGGAGATAAATTAATTATTATGTGGAATACTAATATTAAATGTAGATCTAACAGAAGATCTTTAAATTTCATAAATTCATAGAATTATTTACATAATTAAGAATATTTTGAATAGTTCTAACCAAAAAAATAGATTACAGATGATATTACAATGATTTAATGTTCTGGTTGTAAAAAATTAATAAAAATTAATGATACATTTGAAGTGTTAAAAAATAGAATTTGGAAAATAAGAATGCATAGAAATCTTCATCATTTGAATGATTAGAAATTATATCTTGATGTAACAGGTAGAATTGTACCAAAATTTGATGAGTTTTAATTTGTTAGAGTATGTGGAATATGTTATAATAGTTTTATTGATACAATATCTAATAATATTACTAAAACTGAAAATACTTAAAGGAAATTACCATAAAAATAATAAGATTTATAATCAATTATTATGTAGAATGGTCCTAGAAGAAAATTATTTAAATTTAATGATAATCAAACATATTTAGGTAGTCGTTCAAATAGTACTTAAATAAAGGATAAGAGAATGACACCATAAATAATGAATTCTACATTTGATGAAAATTATGAGAGCATATAAAATTAAAAAATGGAAATAGATGATGATTTTGATTAATTATTGAATGAAGTTAAAAATGATATCAGAAGTTCATATTAATCAAATAAAGTTATGACTAATAAAGCTAGAATATAGAGTGCATAAAACAATCATAAATTTAAATTATATTACTAATGACATATATATATATAATCAATCACAAACTAATTTAAGTATTTCTAATGAATTAATATCAAGTTATTTTTCATTCTAAAAATATTAAATAATATAATATACCAATTAATTAACAACTCTTATATATTTTGATACAAATTTTATAGATTATTAAATTTACTGTTTGGTTTTATTATGCATCTTGAGAAAATCTTCATATATATCTTCAGATATATCTTTTTTAAAAAGTACAAATATTATTGAAAAGGAGATATCCTCTAAAGTATAACTCAAATAATTATGATCCAGAACAATAGCGTTTATAATTTAATTGATAATTTTTGAATCCTAATCTGATTAAACTTTTAAATTTGGAAAAACAATATAAAATCTGCAAATAATTTCATATATAATATCTTAGATTGTTAGAGGATTAGTGTGCCAATCTAATACATTAAGGATAAGTCTCTCATATTATATTAATTATTGTTTAGTCATATTGAGTGATGACTATGATAAAAGTGAATTAATATTTGGAGTTTCAGCATTCATTTTAGTTGCCACAAAGATTATAGCCAAAGATAGAAATCTTAATTGAGTTTAATTATTTATGGTTTTACTTTAGATTCTGCAAAGGAACAGATCATAAAGATAGATAGCTTTATGAGAGAAAGGGTTATTCAAATTCTGACAATTATCTTAAATTCGATTTAAGATAATTGCCCTTGTTTTATAGTTATATTCTTTTTCATTGTATTCTTATAAGTAAAGTGGATTGATATTATAGAATTCTTTCTAAATTGGAATAGGGGAGGATTTAGTCTAAAAGGTAATTGGTGCTGATTCATCATTTTATATGCTCTCATAGCAATATAAATCATCTTCATAGGTGTGTATAGTACTTTCAGCAGTGATTTTGACTTTCTATAACAAATTGTAAGAATTAATACCTTAATAATTTATGGAGATTGTATTAAATAGTCAATTTGAGTGAAATCCTAGGTATTTGTTTAAGTATTGACACATCTTTTGAGAGTATTTGATTTAGTGGATGAGGCAAAATAGTCTAGAGATTAATTGGAATATCTTACTCGTTGACCCTACATAATTAAGTCCTAGCATCAGTTTAAATCTTTTATTGTCCATCTTCATTAATTATTTTATGGCGAGAAATCCTTTTAATAATTGCCTTTTTATTTAAGACTAAGCGCAATTTTAAGATTTTCGTGTTTAATTTGTATTTTGGAACCAGAAAAAGATAATAGTATTTTTAAATTATAATAATTATAATATATCAATCAACAAATTTCTTTTCTTCTGGTTTCGAAGCAATAGCAACAAAACGAGAAGTGCTAAAGTATATATTTTTTGTTAAGAAACATAAGACAATTAGTTTAATCAATAAAATTAATAAAGTAGTTGCAGAAATAAAAAAGTTTGCCATCCAAATTTAATTTCCAAATACATTTTCAGGTGTATAATATTCTTATTCATCTTAAGTTTAAGTATTCTCATCTCCTTCATCTGGCAATTAACATTAATCACCCAATCCTAATATTACTTTTAAACCCTAAAAAAAAGAAATACCACCTATAGCTACCAATAGAGCTATTTAACATAATATTACAACTATTAATCTAAACCATCTATCATCTGATGCATATTTTACTCTATATATATAAAAATCTAGAATTCCAGAGAAAAACACTGCTATCAATTATCCTATAATCCATGGCTTATATGAGACTGTACAATTATCATCCAATCCATTAATTTCAATTACATATGCAACTATAACTCCTGCAATCATTAACATTGAAATTATGCATTATGCCAAAAAAGCTGCAGGTGATACATTCTTCCATAATGGAGCACTTTCACCTGTAAATTCTCCTTTCTCTGTTTTCATAATATAGGTTTTCCCCCATTAACATTTATAACATCTCTTCACATAAGCAAATAAAACACTCATTATTTAAATATTTATATTAATATATAATTTCATTAAAAGAATTAACTCAATAATCCACCAATACCTTATGATTATTATTCCTTTTCTTTTAATCCAAAGTATTTCACTCCTACTTTATAATATAACTAATTATAATAATTATAATACATCTTAGAATATTGGATCTGCATCTATAACAACCTTAAATTTATTAAATACTAAATCATATGCTTCTCTACTTTAAATTCTTATTGATTTCACTAAAAGATGAATAAATAGAGCTTCTTAAGTGACTGTTGTAGGAATTAATTCATTCAATATTTTAACACTCTCATTGTATAATCCTTGACCAAGTTTACTAATTCATTTGCTTTACAATTTTACATTAATAAATATCTAATTAAATTATATTATCTTTCTTATTCAGACAATTATTAATTCCATTTTATTAACATTTAAATCTCTGTATTTACATCAGATAATTAAATAAGATATCTCCATGCCAAATGAAATTTATTATGGTTAATTAAATCTACACCTACTTATTAACAAATTTAATCTTTATAATTTGGATATTTCTTGAGTACTTTATTTATGAATTGCACTTTCAATTTACTAAATTATGCTATAGAATAAATTGACATTATTTCAGCTTAAATATTAATAGATCATTCTTACCTATATTTTGAGAATCCAAATCATCTGATATTTTGATTACTTCTGTTGCTAAATTAAATCCTGAATTGTCTTAATTGTTTTTAACTAAAACTTTGCTTGCTTATAAATAAAGAATGATAGCTCCATCTTTATTTTATTAATTAATGAATCTAGATCCAAATGTTAATATTTTTTATTCATATTCATAGTATTTTTATTCTTTTAACAATTACTCTTATTTGATTAAGATCTATATTACTATTGAGAATTTACTTATTACACTTTATCAGAATTTGATATTTCTATGTTCATAATAATTTATATTTATTTAATATAAGTCAATTAATTATACTAGATTCTTCTTTGACTTATAATTGTGTAATATTTTTAAAGTTCTAAAATAAATTAGATTCTATTTTACTTAGATCATCATCAATAATTAAAAATTTAGCAGTTTTTATTAAGCTAACTCTCTTTAACAAAGAGCTAAAGCAATTTATGTATTATCAAGGTTTGGAGTACTCATTACTGGAATCATATTTTATTAAAAAGATGGTGGTGAAGGTCTCTTTTCAGGTGAATTTGATTTCATTTATAAAGGTTGTTCAAGATTGTACATTGATTATATCTTCCTTGTTTGATTGTAATCTCCTAAATCCTATTTACTTTTATTTCTATCTCTTGTTTTTTTCTTTCCTATTCGACCTTCTTTACGATAAGTTTATAATATGGCTTTGGCTGTAGAGAAATTTATTCCAAACTCTTTAGCTGCCTCTTTTATTGTTGATTATTTAGAGAGTATACGACGTAATAGTTAAATACGAACAGATTAATCAATAATAGCATATTTTTTATTGTCTCTATTCTTTAATTCATCATTGTTCTCTTGATGTCTGATTTATAAATGAATAAAATACTCTGATTCAGGTGTGAAACTGTTCAAACTTTCTTCCTCTGAATGTATCATTGATTATTATAAATGAGATAAATTTATATATCAAATTATTAAGATTCCCTTTAAATCACAAAATCAACTCATTTTAATTAGATACTTTTAGACAAAAATGAATCATATTATTTTCAGAATATTTAAATATCTAAATTACTAATACAAATACGTAATATTTTAGATAATTAATTAAATACTTTACATATTTAATAATAATTATATAATTTTATATATTTTTCATACTCATAATCAATACATTTACAGACTAGAAATTAATTAATAATATAATTATAAGTTATATTTCAATTAAAAATTAGTTGATAATATAAATCAATGCATTTATGATGATTATCTTAATAAAGGAGAGTTTATCTGAGAACATATTTTTTTTATATTTGTTTATTTACTTATCATTTATTTTATAGGTGAAGAATAGAATCTATAACAACTCATATCATCATCAAGTTAAGTTAATATTTTAGAAAATTATACACGAGATTTTAAAGATGATGCAAATTTTTCTACACTAAATTAAGATATATTATTTATTGGTTTTTTAGGTAATATTTAATCTCTTACTAAATACTTTAAAACAGATTTATCCTATAAATTTATTTCATTTTTAAGTATTGTATATGGTTGATCATCTGTATTCATATCTTAATCATATTAATAATTAACTTTTGAAAATCTTTCACTTGATATTTTATTATGATCATGATATTATTTTATTCTAAATATCATCTTCTTTAATTAAGGAGATACAAAAGTATTAGTCTTTTATTTCTCTGTATCATCTTATATTTATAAAATAGGTAATTTCTCTTTTTGTTCATATTTATCATTCAAATATTTAATAAGCCATTTTTATGATAAACCATATTCAATTACATCTATAAATTATTAACTTGGAATCTTAATAATTCTTGAATCACTCTTTACTATTGCTGTTGTTCTTCTTATAAGTTTATCATTACTTTTCTTATTCAAATATAATTCATAATCTCCTATTATTTAACCAACACTAAAGAGACCAATATTTTTTATACGTTTTTACTTTTGAAAATTAACAAAATATTTATTTTCTCGAATCTTTGCTGGAGCATTATTTATAATCTCTTTAATTGAAACCTGCACTTCACCTTTTATAATAAGATAAACTGAATCTACTATTTATTATTCTTTATATAATATGCATCCAGCTTATATATTTAATTCTTCTTAATTATGTAAAATAGATTATAATTGCTATTCATTTAATAAATGAAAAGGATGCATTTGTGCAATTACTACCTATCTTAACTATAAATTGTCAGCTTTTAATTCACTAAGTAATGTTTGATAAGCATCAAAAGTCAATATAGCAAATATACAAGGTTCTTTTGTTATTACAGTAGCTGTTCTTGGAATTCTTTGTTCTATAGCTATCTCTCCAAAATAATCATATTATTTTTTATAAGCAACAATCCTGTAATTTTAATAACGATGTAAAATTAACTCATCGAAAGTCTTAGTTGCTCCTATTATAATATTTTATATTTCATTGTACTTCTTCGTTTATTGTCTTCCTTTTTTTAATGAATCTCAATTTAATCATGACTTCTAATTAACACAGCAGCCTCTCCTTATAAAATAATATACATTTTTCTTCCAGTTTCTCCTTAATTAAATACTACACTGAATGGATTAAATCTTTCAATTGAAATGGTTTACATCAATTTAATTAGTATATTAGGATTCAATTTATTACGTATTTATTAAAAGTAATGTACATACTATTCGAATTTATCATACAACAATTATAATTATGTATATGATCTATTCTATGGTTCAATACTTAATATTGCTATAATTGTATCCACATCAGATAAATGTTTACGTTACTAAATATTGTTAATTTGAAATATTGAATCATCACTCTCAGATTGTTCTGAACTCTAATCAGATATAAAACTCATAATTTTATATAAATAAAATCTAAAATCAAAATAATTTCTATTTTTCTAAATCAGATCCCATAAAATTATTAGTCAATTCTCTTTTAGCTTTTTGACTTAATACTTCATGTAAATTTTATACTTAACTAACCTAAAATTCAATTAATTTTCTTTTAAATTAGTTTTCTTATAAAAATCTATCAAAACCTTCATTTGTATCTATTTCCATATCCTAATTTTTGTATCTACTTCTGGCTGTATCAAAATATGTATTTAATTCTCTACCCATTATATTTATTCTCTTTTTCAATATCTAATTTGATATTTTATGTTCATCCTCAAATAATTCACATTTATCCATAATAGTTTTAATTTTTTAACTAAAATCAGTATTAATTATATTGATAGGTGATCTACTGTCACTAAAAGTACCAATAGACGTAGTCATTTATTTGAATTCTTAATGAATAGAAGTTTATGGTGATATTTATACAGTAGTAGGTTATGAAATAAAGATGTTATTTGAAGGTGTAAATTATTAGGAAAGTGTAACTTTATGTTTCGATTCTGGAGTTTTATTTTTGGTATGAAAGAAATGTTTAATAGTATTATTTCTTTAAGAATGATGAGATTTAACTTTAAATATTTAAGCAAACATTTTATCTTAAATTTCTTTTTATTTCTTTATTTTACACATATTAATTTATCCTTATTTCTTAAATTCAGGTTCAAATTAATCATATCTTGTTTCCTTATAAATATTTACTAGATTTTAATTGTATTATTGTTCCAATTTCATTAATTATTCTAATTCTTCTTATTTTATTCTTTTTTAAATTAATTCCTTTAATATTTATTCCTAATTATCTAATTTTTATTCTTTTTTTTCTACATCCACTTTTAATAATTTCCCTATATCAATCTCAGGATGATTTCTGCAAATTTCTGTAAGAAAATATTTTACTTATTCTTCATCTTCTAATTCAACATGATTTAATTCATTTAATTAATAAGATTTCTTAGCTTGCAATTTTACTAAGTTAGCTTTTAAATTTGCTAGTTTGTATTCTTAATATAATGGACTTATTTAATGCTATCTAAGTAATTCATCATTTAAATATGAAGCTAATCTAACCTCAGGTTTAATTGGTGGAGATCTAAACTTGTACTTAAACTTTTTCTCTGAATCATCCTTTTAAACAGATAAAGACTTATGTTTTAATGAAGCTTTTCTTTTTATTTTATGTCCCTCAGTATTTTTGTCTTTTGGTATTTTTATCTTTAAGTTCATTATTCGTTTAGCTGATAAATCATTGCTGCCACTTTAAACTAATACATTCAAACTATACATCGTAGATCAGCTAGCTTTTTGTTTATAAAAAGAACAAAATTTTAATCAGTGAAATCATCATAATAAACAGGCTTTTATCTAATTGGAAATTGTTGGATAGTTTTCTTAACCAAAAATCCTTAAAAACTCATTTATTAATTAAATAAAATTAATTATTTTTAGCAACTTATTAATATAATATTTATATCGATTAACATAAACTATTGAATTATCTCTTATATTTCAAATTTTCTATTAAATTGCTATTAAAAACTATGTATATATATAAAATTTTAATAAATATTTTTACATTATTATGAAATGTAGACTTATATTTAAAATAATTGAGTTAAACGAAAGTGTTAATTGAAAATCTTATAATAAATAATATTAAACTGATAGAAAGTTTAAACTCAATAATAAAGTTAAGATTTAATGATTACTTTGATTTCAACAAATAATATATTCTTCATTCTTAAAATCTAATATATTGAGATAAAATAATGATTAACTTGAGAATAAGAATATTTTGAATTTATTACTTTTAAATTGAATTATTCTAAATAAATTTTATATACGATTTCAATTATTCTTCATTTATCATTTCACTATTTTTTAATTACGAAATAATTCTTTAGAATCAAAATAGATTGTACTTTTAAATTAAATTTTTTTGGATGACTAAATAAATATCTATTCTAATATATTCTATATTTTTTATTAGTTCAATAAAAATCATAAATACTTTAATTTCTCTTAATAAAATAATTTATTCATGCTCGATGAAGATATAATGATTTTCTGCCCTATTCATAATTATGAAATCGTATTTCTTGATATTCATGAAGGAATTCCTCTAGGAGAAAGGGCTTGTTGTAGAGGGTGTTGTAATATCAAAAGAGCATATAATATTGAAAAAGCAATAAATAAGATCAATTCTTAAAGACTTTTGGAAACCTAGATTATCAATACTAATTTAGATAAAATAATGGAGGAAATAAACTTTATAGAAAAAAAAATAAAAGCTTTTTATAAAGAAATTGAAGTTGCTTTTAATGAAGTTTTACTTTCTATAGAAAACTAGAAAATAAATCTAAAATCTTAAGCAAATATTGAAAATGAAATAAAGATTAAATCTTTAAGTGATCTTTAAAATCTTGCATTAATGATATGTTAATTAGAAAACAATTAGAATAATAATTTTTTTTAGTTCAAATAATTAGATATGAGTGTTTATTTAATAGATCTACAGAATAAATTAGAAAAGGTTCAGAATATTGTTGATTAATATATGACAACAATAAAAGCTACTAAAATTGATTCAGAATAATAAATAGTCTTTCGAAATAACTATTAAGTGATTTAAACTTATCAAATGGATAAATGGATTGATCCAATATTATTTTAATAAGATAACAATAAGGCAATTATATGTGATTGTTCTGGAATTATGGAAATTAATTTTGATAATAGCAAATTTATAGTTCAGCGTTTAATTTAGATAAATAATATTACAGGAATTTGTTTAGAAGCTAATCTAAACTTAATGATAATAGCAGGTCAAGATGCTTTAATTTCAATTTGGCAAAAAGAAAATTAGAATTGGCATCTACGTTCATCATATAAAGGACATACTTAATCAATTAATAAAATAATAATAAATGAATCTAAATCTTAGGTTATATCTGCTGGATTAGATCATAAAATTGTTATATGGAATAGAAAAGAGTTAAAATTAGAAAAATAGATTTCTTTAAAAGAACACAAAAAAAGTGTCACAAGTTTAGCTTGGAATTATTCTGGAGAATATTTTGCATCTGGAAGTGCCGATAAAAGTATAATTATTTGGAAATCTAATAATGGATAATGGAGTTTACATTAATAAATAAGTGATAAACATTAAGAATTAATTTCTGATATTGTTTTTGACAATTATGATAATATATATACAGCAGCTGAGAATGTAAATGTATGGAAATTAGATAATAGTAAGAATTATATATTTTATTTAAAGATAAAAACTTAAAATCAAGTCAAAAAATTATTTTATAATAAACATCATTAATATTTAATTATTTTATAAAAAACAATAGAAATCTGGAAAATTGTGAAAGATTAGATAGTTCATAAATAATCAATAAATGGTGAATATTATAATCAGGCAATCTCTATTAATGGTTAATTTATACTTGCTTAAAAGTATAAAAACCAAGAATTAGAATTATTTGAATTAAAATAGTTGTGATTATGGAAAAATTTATAGATTACCTATTAAAATTAATAAATTTATGTATAAATATATTAATTTAAACACTCATCATCTAAATCTGAATGTAGAGATATAAAATAACTTAGGCAAAAGAAATGTCGAAGTTTAATTATATTTATAATAATAAAATTTGTTCCAGAATTTCTATTCTTTATTTAGGGATGTTCACATCGATTAATTATAATGAAAAATCATTATGACACTTTGGGCTTAGAGAGGAATGCTTAACCTAACCAAATCAAGAAAGCCTATCATAAATTGGCCCTTTAGTGCCATCCAGTATTAACATGCTGATGTCTTTTTAGGATAAGAATAGTGATTTTAAGGCAACTGATTAATTTCACTAAATAAACGAAGCCTATAATACTCTATCCAAAGAAGAATCCAAATCAAAATATGACAAAAGACTCTAAACCAGAGACAATTTGAATGACCTGCTAAACTACTTTAAATGGTAACAGGAAGAACCATATCTATAATATGATATAAGAGATGATTTTATATCTAAAGAAGATCGAGAATTCTTAAGAAACTTTTCAAATAAACAAGACACAGAAACAATTAAAAAAAAGAGAATTCGAAAAAAAAAATGAAAATCTTACCTTTACAAATAAATTAATAAAAAAATCATAAATTGGATCAGAAATAATTATCTTTGTTAATGTGTATTGTAGCCAATCCACTCTATTATTTTTCAAAAACTAAATACTTTTATTCTAAAAATATATTTAATGTACATATTTTATCAGTAAATAGTATTTCTCCTATATCCTCCATAGAAACTAACCTAATCCCCTTCGAAACTTATATCAATAAAATATCAATTCATAAATTCCTTATATTAAAATAAATTTCTTTATGTCTCATTTTTAATTGGTTCTTCTCCTTAATATATATACAATATATATTTTTATTATATACTTATATTATATAATTGTTAGATCATATAATCATTTATTTTTTTCAATATAAAATTGGTACAATTTAAATAATGAATATTGTCCTTAAGTTTTTATTCAATGAATATCATTATTAAAGATGTTATAAAATAATAACAATCAATAAATGCATATAATAAAAGAAGTTAAATTGATAAAATCTCATTTAAATTAATAAAAATTTATGTTAATTAGATTATTCTAATTATTATTATTAAATTTATTATTACAATATTTATTTAGTAATAAAATATATAATCTTAAATTTGATATTCACATATTTCATTTAAGTTTTTTGAACGATTTCTAATTTTTGTTATATAGTTATATCTATAATTAATTAAATAATAGAATGATAAAAAGAATATTATATAATAGAATACATATAATATTTAAATAATAATAGAACTAATAGAATTATTATTCTTAATTGAAAATCAAATAAATAATCAAGATTATAATTGATATTGAATTATCTATTAAAAAAATAATATATTTTTTAATTTTTATGTAAATATTTAATGACTCAACTATGAACTACTGAAGATGATTTGATTATGGTTGAATTTTGAATAAAGGATGTTTATAATGGTTATGCTTTCTTTCTTAAATCATCACATTCAATTAATGCATTCTAAAGTGATTATGTTAATCTATCGTTATCATCTGTAAGCATGATAATTTAATCATTCATTCTACTATTTTCACCTTAAGATTTTGAATATTTTTGAATTTAAACTTCTAATTATCCTGCTAATAATGCACATTTATTTTCAAGATCATTTTTAGATTTTTCTAATTTTTCAATTTATCTTTATAATAAATCCATTTTAGCATGCCATTCCTCTTTTTCTTTATTTTAAGTAACTATTTATAATTATAATTTCTATTCTTCTACTTATAATTATTTAATAATTTAATTTTATGAATCATAATCATTTAATCTAAATTAATATTATATAATTACTTTTATTTCAAATCCAATAATTCTCTATTCTTACTCTATAATTATTATAATAATTCATCCTATTATTTATTTAAAGCTTAAATCTTGCTTTCCAATTCATTTTTGATTCCATTAAATTATTTCATTTAATTACATTCATTTTGTAATCTTTAAATTTCTTAAATAAGATCCTCAGATTTAACACTTAAAGATAATTGATTTGATTTCAAAGAATCAATATCCTATAATAAAGTAGTATTTTTTTATTCAACATTTTCCTTAATTTATTTAAGATCTTCACATTCCTTTTATTTAATAACCAAATTTTATTTAATAGTATCAATTTATCCTTTCATTTAAATAATTTATTCTTCAGATCTTCTAGCATCTCCTTCAAAAGCTGATAATTAAGTAACTAATGATTCTAAACGTTAATTAGCTTCCTTCAAATTATCAATTTCATCATTCTTAGTCTTTACCATATGTTTTTATCTTTCAATTTCAGAGGCTAACAATGCTACTCTTGATTCTAAACTTTCTTTCCAATATTAAAATTAAGCAGCTTCAGCTTCTTTAATTTTTAATTTATCTTTCAAATCATTACATTAATCTTATAATTATTAAGAATCCTCTATAATTTTAGCATAATCTGTTTCAATAGCTTCTAATTTCTTTAATCTTAAAATAGCATTTTGATTGGTAACTTTTAATTAGAAATTCTCTTCTTAAATTTCATTATTTCTTTTTTGGAATTGATTCAATTATGAAATATGTTATTCATTAGCTTATTCTAATTCTACAATAATTTTAGATCTTTCTTAAATCTATTATTCTTAACTCTTTAATTATTCTTAAGCATGTTACAAATCTTTTAAATATTAATTAGCTGTCTCAGTTGCTTAAGCTAATTAAACTTAAATATTAGCTAAAGAATTTTAACTAAAAATAATAAATAATAAAATTACTCTTTTTAAACAATATTTTATAAATCTTCCCATTAATTTCTAAATGGTATTAATTGATTAATTTTAAATTCTTAATTTTCATTCTAAGTCAAAAGAGCTTTTACTTAACTTGTTAATTATTAGTTTTTAGTTTATAATGCAAAGTTTTCCTCTTAAGATTATCCTAATTAACCTTCAACAATCATTACTTTCTAACCTAATCTTTCTGCTTCAAGGGCTTTTACTTCTGCTTTACCTAGACGATTATTTAATCTATCAACTTCCATTTATAATTAAGTCAAAGTTGCTTTAATTTCTTCTTTCTCTGATGCTGCCTTTTCATATTTATCAACATATTCTTATTTAATCTTTTATGTATTCTCTAAATCAGTTCCAATTAAATAATTTGATGTCTTTAATTTAGCAATATCTTAATCTTTTACATTACTAATGCTCTTTAATGATGCATATTCATTTTACAAAATTTAATAATTCTTTAATTACAATTGATATTTTGCAATTTTTTAATTTAATTTATCAATATCCGAATTTAATAATGTCATTTCATTAAGTTAATCTTCAATTTATTATTATAATTAACGATTTTATCCTTATAATTCAGGTAAACTCTTTTCCAAAAATCTTAAATCTGTAATTCTAGATTCTTAGGTATTGCATCTACTTCTTAATTCTTCACATTCTCTTACTTTATTTTAGAATGCTAAAGTTAATTTTTAGTTTTCTTTTAATAATTCATCAATTCTTTTTTGTAAAGGTGTCAAATCTTTATCTGCTAGTTCTTATTTTAATAATGGAATTTATGTTGCTGTATTTAAATATTCTTATTATAATTTATCATATCTGCTTTATAATGATTACAATTATTATTAAAGTACTTCATTAGATTCATTATTATTTTGACTTTAAGGTTAACTTTAGGATTGTTCCCTTAATAATTAATTGAGTCTTTCATTATCTAATTTACTTTAAGTGAGTTATGCATTTGCATATGTATATTTCTCTTCAATTCCTTTTAGATCATGATTTAATTATTCTGATTATAAGTATTTTCTTCTCTAATTTTCACAATCTTCAGTCTTTATTTATAATTGAATCTTTAAATATTATAAGTCTTGCATCATTTAATTGATTTCTCCTTATGATTTCAAATTTTATTCAACAGATTATAATGAAATTTTTTATGAATTATTTTATTCATCTATTAATTAATTTTTAAGTTATTTGATTTCATTAATTAATTTACTATTTTCAGTATTTAATAAAGCTTATTATGCTTCTATTTCTTTTAATTATTTCTTAGCTTCAGTAGCATCAACATAATAATTACCAGCTTATCTTCTCCAATCTTCAACTTCTTATCTTCTAGCAATCAATTATTTTTATAATAATCTCATTTAATCATTTAAGAAATCACAATTAGTTTATAATTCTTAGTTTAATTTAGATAATAGATCCAATTCAGATGATAATTAATTAGATTTTAATGTCCATTAATTAATTTCAGTTTTATCTTCAATACGAGTTTCTTATGTAATTTCAATAGAAACCATTTATTAAGATAATAACATGTTTTATTTATTTTATTTATCATATTATTCTTATAATTAAGCAAATTCTGCTTTTAATTATTCAATAACATTTAACAATGATTTAATTCTAGCTTCTAATTCACTTGTATCTTTACTTTTTGGTTATAATTCAAATTAAGTTAATTTTCTTCTAAGATTTTATATTTCATTATCTTTCAAAATAATAAGTTCATTTAATTTCTTATTTTCAATTTCAAATAATTTTAATTATTAAATTCTAGCTTATAAATCTTAAATTTCATTTTTATTAGCTTCTATTTAATCTTCTAAATATTTAACTCTTCTAATTAATGTTTAATTTTCATTATTTAATTATTTAATTTAAGTTGTTAAATATTTAGTTTCTTCTAATCTCTATTAAATTTAATTCTTTTCAATTTCTAAATTACCATATTTTATTTTTAATGAATCTAATTAATTTTTTCTATCATTAGCTATTTATTTAAGTTCTTCAACAGCAACAATTAATCTTTTATTTTCACTTTCAAATTCAATCTTTAATAATTTTTCATGTCTTAATTCTCCACAATTATTTTCTAATCTAGAGATTTCTTTCCTTAATTCTGTCATTGCTGTCTATTATACTTATAACATTTCATTGAGATTGCCTATTTCTTAATTTAAAACATTTATTTCCAATAATTTATTTTATAAATTAGTTATTTCAAGATTTTATTCATTAATTAATTTACTTCTCTATTAAATAGTCATACTTAAATTATTTTATTATTCTTATAATTTAACTACCTTCATCTTTTAAGCTTCTAAATCTTATTATTTTAATTCAACTTCAGTTTCCATTTATAAAGTCTTTTTTCTCCATTCATCAACCTAACCTTATAAATGTTAAATTAAATTTTTTAATTTCAAAATTTCGGCATCTCTTAATTTAATTTCAGTAGCATTGTTTCTTTAAGCTGCTTCAATTTAAACAGCATTTAATCTTTCATTAAGTTCAAATATTTAATTTTATAATTTATTTCTCTCATCCACCATTTCCCAATATCTATCTTACCATTAATTAGCCTAACCCTCAAGTCCTTTCAATTATCCTTCTACTTACATATTCTTTATTTCAATTCCTTAATATGTACTAAACTAATTTTCTAATTTATTATATTTATCTCTCCATTCATCTAATTCTCCTAATCTACTCTTCAATTATACTTATAAATTCTCTAAAATAATAGAAACCAATCATACCATAATTATTCTTTGTTTCTTCAATTGAATTATGTAATTCATATGTATTTAATCTCTATTTCAATTCATCGTTCTCTTTCATGAGTAATCTATTTTATGCATACAAATCATTGTTCTCTCCATATAATAATTGAATCTTGACCTCTTATAATTTTATCTAATCATATTAATAATATATTTATACCACTTCTTCATTTGCTATATTTTTGTCATAAATGGCCATCAAATCTAAATATCGTTTTCTCCATAATTCTACTTCATGCAAAAGAGATTGAATCCTGACTTCATAATCAGAAAAGTTTTATTAATCTACCTTCTTAGTGACAGTATATTGAACATCTAAAGGTATGACAGTCTCTCTTGGAGTAGATGATAATAAAAATTAGGATTCTCTTAGCTATGGATTCACTATTGTTTCTCGTTGAATTACAGACCCTCCATTGCGTTCTCCAAGTTAAGGAGACAAGTAACGCATATGTGATTTTGTTAATGATGACTAAATGATTGATTCTTACTTTGAGAAACTCATTTACAAAGATATTTTTTTTATTAAATAAACTTATATATATATATATATATATATATATAAATATACATATTATTTAAGATCTCAATTATATAATATACTAATATATTTTTTAAGAAAATTAAGGACCTTCTTGAACTCTAATTTATATATTAAAAAAATAAAACAACGTTAAATGAAGTTTTCTAGATCAACCTCAACTCATCTTACTAATTTAACATTTAGATCTAGTAATCCAAGCACTATTTAAACACCATAAAGTAATTCTCGTTTGAGTGAGGTAAATAATAAAATTGATGATCTATTAAAAAAATCATCAACATAAATCAACAAATAAGAATTTAAATTTCCATCATAAGAAAAAAAGATTAATTAAACTTATAATCATACTCTTGTTGTTGAATAAATATAAAAAGAAAAAAAATAATTGTTGACCATTCTATTATAAAAAGATAGCATTATAAGAGATTAATAGAATAAGATTGCATAATTAGATTTATAGAATAAGAATTTGATGAAATAATTATAATAATTCAGCAATCTATAACCCTAAATGGAATAATTGGAAGAATAATGTTAATAAATTATTAAACAGAATGAATAACTGAAATATGAAAAAAACTAAATATAAACCTCACTTAATTATCTTAAATGCTAAAATATTTAAGTTATAAGTCAAGAATTAAAGAATTCGTTGTAATAATTACATTAACAAATTAAGAAATATTATATATGCAATTATAAAGAAGACTATTATAATCTAGAATAAAGTAGGATGACTCTAAAAATGAGTGACTTTGATTTCTATATTATCTTAAGGGAATGTTTGGATTGCATATTGTATATGATTAAAAATACTGACCATTCACTAGAAAATTATTTTAATAAAAATACTAAAATATGATTTATACTATGTAATTAAAATATGAATCTAGATACTCTAATTGATTTATTTAAATTCATTCCAAGATTTATTACCTAAATCTATAAAAAAATATTAGTATTATTAAATATTATAATCATATTTCTGTAAAATATCCATTTGCTATTTGATCCCTTAATTATTCCAATTTTATCTTTTTTTCAATATCAATACTATCTTATTATTTTTATGAGGACTTTAATATATAAAACAATTTTAATTTATGATCTATGCTTTGTTGAACAATATAATTACGAGATTTTTTAAGTTCATTTTATGTATCATCTAAGTATTTTTAACCTTAAATTATGTTCTTTAGTCTCTAAGATTTCTATTCTAATGATCTATCACGATTACTCATTAAAGAATATAATTTTTGATTGAACTTATTAACTTAATTACTTTTTAGTTAATAATTTTCATTTATTGTAGTGTGAATTCTATTTTTATAATAAAAATAATCCTTTTTTTCTTAACTTTAATTATCATTATTAATTTATTTAATTTTTTATTATTTATTAATGTCTTAATATTCGTCTTCTTATATTTGTTAATCATTAATCCTAAATTTCAATTTTTCCAATCTATTTCTACAACTATTCACTTTTCTTTTATAATCTTAGATTTTTTTATTGTATATTTTATCCTTATTTCCAAAATATTCATCTATATCTGGTATATCTAAAGAATATTGACAAGACATTGGAATTTAAAGGAACATTATACATTTGTTATTCTTTGCTTATTAAAGTCTATATAATCTTTAATTAATAAATTTACTATACATTTTATTCAAATAACAGTTCTCTCAGAATTGTTTATGGATTTCTATTAATTAAAGCACTTCTATCTTATTTTGTCTCAAATTTACTCATAGCTCTATATTATCTATTAACTTTCATAATTGAATGATTCATAATTCAAAAATAAGAAAAAAATTATAATAACCTATAAACGAATATTTATTATAGATATTTTGTAAAAAATGAAATTAATTTTAACATCATAAGATAAGTTAATATATCTTGAAAAACTTAATTAAGTCTTGATAACTTGAAATAAAAATCAATTAGATATATAAACTACACTTAAACATTTATAAATATATTAGATATTGAATAACAAGAAATAGAAATTATTAACATTATGAATATGTAATATTTTAGAATTTTTGGTCATTAGTATATCAATTCCAATTTATAAATTTAATTATCAAATATGACTTATTGAAATAAACAAATTATTTAGTATTATGAAATTAATCTAATATTTACTAGAAAGAAATTGATCAAATTAAAATTTCTGTTTTTACTTATTTAATCTAAAGGTTAATAAAAATTAGAAAATTGACAATATTATTATTTAAATTATTATATGTTTAAAAATGTGAACAAACTTTAATTTTTGTGGAAATTAACAAACATCTTTTAGATATTACTGATATAATGAGATTAATTAATATATTGAAATCTGCTTTAATAAAATTAAACAAAAAATAATAAATATTTGGATGGTAAAATGTTTGTTACTAATTCTTATCTTTAATTGATATACATTCTTATTTATATTTTCATAATAAAATTAGATAATGGATTTAAAAATTGGACCATTGATGATCTTATAAATAATAAAAAAAATTGTTTTTATTTAATAAAATTAACATAGTTTTTTAAAAAGTCTTGTATATTTTATATTAAAAATCAATTCATAATAGTTAATATTACTTATTATAATGATTAAAAGAGAATATTATTATATTTAATTATGATATATAAGAATAGAAAACTCATTAATTTATATTGTAATTACAATATTATTACAAATGAATGAGATATAAGTATAAAAATTGAATAAAAGTTAGAATTTTTAAATACATGAATGATAAGATAAATCTATCATTGATTTTGGAGAATAAATAGGAAACATAAAATTGAAATGAGTTAATTATAAAATATAAAAATTATAATATTTCATGATGGACACTAGACAATTAGAAGCCGTACCAGTTTAATCTCGGAATACAGTGAAATAATAGGAAGTATGATAATATTAAGATTAAAGGATCTTTATATATCATTGCCAGATTTATATATTAGAAAATATGTGCTATCTGAAAAAATATGTGCATTGAAGAAACCATACATTCCAAAAGTAAATATGCATGATCAAACAAATTAAGAGGTATAGATGAAAAATAATTTTAGATTCTAAGAGTTCCAAAAGTTTGGTAATAAGTAATGAATGATGTACAATTGAAGGCACTTGATTTTTCAGAGAGAAAGAAATGGAAAGTAAAAGAATAATTTATATTAATATATAGATTGCTGTGAATTATTAATTGGCATAGGAAGCAAAGGCAAATCATTAGATGTTATAGAAAGAGAGGGAAGAAATAGAGTAATTTGGAATTTGTATTTCTTATTCATTATGTCAGATGGTATAGAAAGCATTTAATTAAATGGGTAATTATAATTTTATTATAGGATTAGATATTGAAGAACCAAATCAAAAGCCAATATAAAAATATTTGAGAATAATGAAGAGTGATAATTAAGAATTAGATGAATAGAGATATTAAGATGCCCTTCAAAAAGTGAAAAGATACTTATCAACTAATAGAGATATTTATGTCTCTTTGGAATCATTATTTCCAGATATGTAATAAACATATTCAGAATCAAATACTCATGATATTCATTCTAATGATAGAAGGAAGATTAAATACACAGTTGAATTCGATTTTAAGAAGAAGTATGAGAATCTATAAGAGGCTTTGTAATTGTTTGTGAATAAAGATATTCCATTAAAAGAATCTTTTGAGAAGAGTATGATGAGTATAGAGAGTTTTCCAACTTCTTTGGATATGATTTACAAACATAAAGCAAAATCATATTATTAAGAACCTTGTTTGGATCCAGAATATGAAGAATTATTATATAGAATTGGTTGTACTCCTGAATAGGTATTAAATGATGGAGAAAAGATGATGAAGAAGTATTAAATCATATGAATTATAGAATGAAGATATTCTCAAGTAATTAAGTTGTAGAATAACAATTACTTCCATAATTGGAATTAAAAGATTTGTTTCGATACAAATATAATTATATAGAAAAAGATTGTCATTTTATTTAGCAAAATGGAAAATTTATACCTTTAAATGCTGAAAGATTCAATTCACATGCTTAATCAATAACAAAATCAAATGAATTAGTCAAACAATATTTCATATAGTAATAATTATACATAATCGAATTTTTAGTTATTATTAGAAATTTTAAGGAGATTTTAATTAAGTTAGTTAAGCCTTATCATCAAATACAGTTACAGCTAATTTGTATTTGTATACTCCTAATTTCTGTGCTGATCTTTATGCTTGGTTGATATTTAATAAGAGTATTCCATCAAATTCTAAATTTATCTTACCTTAACAATATTAAAAGAAATGTGAATCAATTAAATAAATATAAAAATCTTAATAGCAATAAACTTAATACACTAATATACTAAATGATTATGAATAACTTATTTAGAAGAAATTACCAACTAAAATATAACATTTAAGATCTCTTCCATAGATACCATTTAAACAATATAATAAGTCTGTTTTCAAAGAATTACTAACCAAAATTAAATTTGATGATCCCATATAGATTAAGACTTCTGGATAAGCTGATTATTCAATGGTTGAAAGACTATCATTTTCTAATTTGAAAGAATTGGTTAAATCTGTTAACAATTCAAAAGGACACATTGAAAAAAGATATAAAAACATATATGATATTGCTAGATAAGATTGTTATCCAATTGAATAAATTAAAAAAGAATTTGTATATAATATTTTTTAATTTTTAGAGGAAAAATTTTAAATAACAAATATAAGTAGGATAAAGAATGTTTCCTTAAACTATGAAGTATAATAATTAACCACCAAATTCTGGATTACAAATTAATCAATATTAATCGAAACCAACAACAATAGAAGGTATCAATAGTACCTAAAATATTATAATGCCATAATAATAACCTCCTCCATAATCGGCTATGCCTATATAAACATAATTACCATTATAATCAGCATTACCACCCTAGGTTGCTTAAACTCCTCCAACAGCTTAATAATATATTCCACCTGCTACATCAAGACCACGTAAAACAAAATAAGAAGTTCCTGCTTAACCTCCTTAATAAGCTCCTCCAACTGTTTAATAACCAGCATCTGCAAAAAAAAATAATAGAAAAAAAGATGATACAGTAGTTTAACCAGCTTCAGTAACAACTCCTGCCAATGTTGAACCTTAAGAACCACCTAAACAATCAAAAAGAACAAAAAAATAAACAAAAGCCAATGATAAAAATAAACAATAATAACCAGAAGATCGTAAAGATGATAGTGTTTGAATACCTATTTAATTTTTATGTAATTTAATTATTATATTTTTGTTAATATTAAATATTTTATTAAATTTACAATAAATTCATTACGTCATGGGTTCTGTTGATCAGACATAATTTACATTCATTAAGAGACGCCACTTCTCAAAAAAGCGTAAATAAGAATCTAAACCACGAAATTACACATATATTACATCTGATGCCAAAAAATTGTTTCTCTAGCTCTTTCTATTTCAAAGCTACAAAATCCATGATGTAAACAATACCAAATAAATTTTTATTTAGGCTGCTAACAAGGCTGGAATCAAGTATTCTTCTGCCAAAACTATATTATTTGCACACCGTAAATAATACAAATAAGAATTGATTAGAGATAAATTGGCTGCAGTAAAATATTCTTCGAAATATAGAATTCTATACAAACTAAGTGTTGTGGATATAAACTTAAATAATCTAATTAATCAGATCCAATATAACTAATAACCAGAGTTGGCATGTGACACAACCAATTTCATATTTGTATATATATATATATATATATATGTGAATAAATTTATTAAATCATAATAAAATTAATTTTTATCCGTTAATTTATGAATATAAGACAACCACTCCAATCTTTTAACTCAATTAAAACAAGTCAAGAGTAGTCCAATAAATCAATAACTGAAATCTAAACATTCCTTTAGGAAATTGATCGACTTTAAACGGAAAATCTAAAACTTAAAAACCAAATAAAATAACTTCCATCTCTTACAATCACTTTGGATAATTAAAAAATACATCATGATAATCTAGATCTTAAAGTATACTATATATATATATAATTATTAAAGTAATAAATAGAATCCTTATAGCAAAAGTTAGAATAATAATAAAAATTGCATCAAGATGGTATCAAAAAAATAGATATTAATTGGAAATAAGATGCTAAGACATTCAAATATCAATTAGAATAACAAGATATTAATCATAAATAAATCCTAAAATAAGAATAAAATAAGTACAAAACTGAAGTTGCCAAATTATAATAAAGCCTAACTTAAATATCCAGTGCTGAATATCATAACTAAAATTTAGTATAAGAATTAGTAATTTATATATATTTATCTAGGAAACTGAATTGATTTAAGTCAAATAACTTAATAACACATTAGAATCTAAATTATAATAAACTATTTCATAATTTGATTTATTGTCTAAATAACAAGAAGTAACTCTCATTAAATAAGAAGCAATTTTTAGTTCACAAGAACAATAAATCAATTAAATTAAATAGAAACTTTAAATATAGAAAGATTAGAATTAAGAATTTATGAATCAATTACAAAAATATAAAGAATTAACTAATTCATAATATTAATCTGAAATAAAATTAAATAATAAGATTAAAGAATTAGAAAGTGATATTAAACATATGACTTAATCCTACTAAGACCAAAACATTTAATTGTAGGCAAGAATTGATGAATTGATTTAACAAATTGTAAAATATACAGAATAAAATTGTACTCTTTCAAAATCAAAAGAAAAAGATTAATTATTAATAAAAAGACTTCAGAATTATTTAGAATAAGAAAAAAAGAATAAATAATTTGAGATCTTTAATATTACTGAATCAAAAATATCTTTGATCTAGTTTTTATAATCTGAATTGCTTAAATTTAAACAAATAACTCATGATGAAAAATCAAGTAAACTTTAATTGGAACTTAAAATTAAATAAATTCAGGAATTTTATTAAAATTAATTTAGATAATTAGAATGTAAAACAAATACTTTAGAAGGATAATTTAATAGAATTAATAGTAATTTACAACTAAAGGATATATAAATTTAATAATTAGAAAATAGTAAAAAGTTAGAATAAAATAAAATTAATGAAATCATTTAGAAAGAATCTTAAGAAATTAATCAATTAAAAGATTAAAATGAAATCATGATTAATGATTTATATAAACAAGCTGAAAACCAAAGAACCTTAATTTTACAGAATAAATAATATTAATCATTTGAGGAAAAAATTAAATTAAATAATATTACTATTTATGAATTAGAAAGTAAATGTAATCTTCAAGATTAAGAAATCTAAAAACTCAGACAAATAGTATTAGATAAATCATAATTATTTGAAAAGGTATAAAACTACAATCTAGAATATTAGGAAATTCTCTAAGTCAAAATCAAATGATAATCATACTATAAATAAGAAGATAAATAGATTCATCTTAATTTTGAATAGTTAATTATCAAAAATTATTATTATTTTTTTTTAATTAATGAGAGAAATTAGGAATTCTAAGTTGATTTAATTTTAGTCTTTTTAATGTTTAAATGAAATCATATATATAATCCTGCTTTATGACTCATAATTCTTAAAAGATTTTAAATTCATCGTCTCTTTTTTCATTCAAAAGTTAAAAATTAATAACTATTTTCCTTAATTGATTTATAAAAAATTTGTAAATATTTAGAAATCAAATATGTATTGTACTTATAAACATTTTAGAACTAATATAATCTAAATTTAATTCATTCATTTGATTAATGTTCGAGACTATTGAGAGTAATAGCAATATTAATAAAATTAATTTTAGATTCTTAATTCCAAAGCTGGAGATTATGATTTTTATATATTTTGAGACTTTTAGTATTTTTAGATAGACAGATCTCATTTTGAATTAATCCTATAATTACATAAGGATAATGAGCTTTTGATAAATACTCTATTTTACTCATATAATTTATGGCAGCATATTTTTTTAAATAGGAATATGACGTTTACTATATATTATTAATTAATAATATTAATATTTTTAGAATCAAAACTACTTATATTTTAATATAAAAATAAATTACTCTAAATATCCTCTGAATACTAACTTTTTTATATGAATTAGTGTATATCTATGGTTAAAATTGAAAAAATATTTTATTCATAAAAGTTTGCTCCTTCTATGATAGAAAATAGAACTGTATTAAATTTTAGAAATTATTATAATAAAGCTATAATTTAATGAAAAAAAAGGAATTATAAATTTGTTACGATAAAAATGCTAGAATTACATAATCAATATTTGAAAGGAATAGGTACATTAAGATGAATCAAGCGATGATACTAATTAGCTTATCGGAAATTATGTAATTCTATTAGAGAAATAACTAGAAATTATTAATTTAAATAACCTTTTTTTGAAATTATTTCTTCATTATTGTATTCATTTAAAAGTGCTGAATCACAACATTATATGGAATCAATCCATCTTTTTTAAAGCTGTAGAGCATAATCTTAAATATTATTTATGTAATACTTTTTTCGATATAAAATGAACTATTAGATTAATTATTTTTAATTCCTTAATCCCAACAATCAATCACCTCTTAAAACTTACCTTATATAAATAAACATTTTGCTATTAAAGTTATCATAATAATTACCTTTCGCTTAATAAAAGATCAAATCATCAAATAAATCAATGCATTTATTTGCCTCTTCTAAAACTTATTCTATATTCCCTTATTCTTCTAATGCTTTAACTAAAACTTAACTAATAATAAATAAACTTCTTTATTAATAAAAACATTTATTATATGGATTATAGTGGATACCTTCATTCCAACATTCAATGATCTCTTCCAATCTATTTAATTTCTTTAAATAGTTGGCTAATAATTACTGTATTTTTTCATACTCTTTTACTCATAAAGGAATTCAACATTCTTATACTGCTATATTTCTTTACTCAAAAATACAATTGCTTCATCTAATCTTTCTAATTTTTCTAAAGCTTTAACTTAATTAATTCCTTTTTATTGTACCTTTAGATTTTATAAAAAATAGATTATTATTTCCATTTTATATTCCATAATCCCAACATTCAAAAATCTATTTCTAACAATTGTCTTCCCCAAAACATTTTATCAAAGCTTATACTATTTCATTCATAAATTATTGTTACTTTTCTATCTATAATAATATGAGTCTGTTTTATTATTTTCAATTGCTAAATCCCAAACTTAAATGGCCTCAACTAATCTATCCTATTTTTCTAATTCAATATCTATTAAAATAAATGAATATATGAAATACATTTAAAATTATAATATATAGCTTAATTCTTGTTATTCATTATTCCTTAATCATAACATTTAATTATCTCTTCATATTTCAATTATCTTCTTAAAGCAAAAACTAATTTACAATAAAGTATTAAAACCTTTCTCATAATAAAAGAGAAAATCATTTTTATTATTTTGAATGCCTTATTCCCAAATATCAATAACTTCATTTTGAAGGCCTAATGATTCTAAAATCTTTGCTAATTATAGATTTATACTAATAAATATACTTTTGATAGTATATAATTCTACTTCATTCAAATTTTCTGATATTGCAATATCACATTATTTTAAGGCTTCTTGTTATCTACCTTAATTTACTAAACTTTATACTATAAATTAGATAATTTATACTTTCTATTAACTCAAATTATATATCTTATTTCTACTACATATGTATATGCTATGATTTTTTATTAAGTTTATTAATTAATCGAAAATAATATTTCCTAATGTCACAATAAAGATGCACTATATTTGATCATCAAGAACCTATAATTGGAATATGTTTATCGGATGTATGTGATAGTAAGGCAATATCTTGCTTTTAATGTTTCAAATAATTTCATTCTCAACATTAAAGAGAATGCAAAACTTTTAAAATTCTCTCAAATTAGCTAATAGAATATTAAAAAGCCTATTAAGAATTTATTGAAAAAGTAAAAGATTGTAAGCTTAAATTCGACGAACTCTATTAGAAATTTTTAAATCGAAGTCAGGAATATTTTGAATAGTTAAATTCAATCAATTAACTTATGAAAGAAAAATATTATTATCCTACAGATTCTGATATAGATTTTCTAAAGAATTATTATACGAAAAGAGAACTAAATTAGGAATGTAATTTATATTAAATATAAAAGCCTATTTGATTAATCAACTATATTTAATAATTGAATACTTATAAAAATAGGATTTAGATCAATTTACTTTTGAATTATAAAATTAAAAGATTCATACCGAACAAGATCAAACTGATAATTAATCAATAAATCTAAAATAAGAAACTATAGATGTTATGTTTTAATAAGGTATGTATGTAATATTCAATTTTAGGTATTGACTTATTTAAAAACAATCATTTTTAATAATCATTTGACGTTTTCGAAAATCTTTTAAAAGTTGAAAAATCTAATTAATAAGCAATTTATTGGAAAAGTATTTCTCAATGTCATAAAATTAATAGTACAATGCTTAATGCATATGAAAAAATATAGTGATGTTGTTGTAGATTGTGATAGAATTATTAAAGATGATTCCTAATTTTATGAAATATCTTTAAAAGAAAGTAATAGAATTAATAATTCTAAGTTGAAACCTTAATAAAACACCAAAGGTATGATTAAGCTATTGAAATTATTGAAAAAGAATATCCTAGAGGAGTATTTTCATTATTTTAATAACATATTCACTTGTTTAACTATGAAAACATGAACCTACAAGATTCATTAAATATAAAGAAAATCATTAATATTATAAATTAAATAATTCATGAAAATCTAAGTAAAAGTAAGTAATCATTATTCAATTTATTTGAGGTACTTTCTGATTCTTAGATCTCATTGATTAAAGAAATAAATTAGACTTAAAATAAGAATGAACTCAATGATTTACCTGATAATAAGAAAGAATAAAAATCAAATGAAATAATTGAATAAACATAATTTGAAACTACTCTTAATTCTACTTTAGAATAAGATAATTAAGTTAATTTTAATTATTAATTTGGCAAATATATAGGAGTAATTTATTAGATATATATTGAAAAGATACCACTACAAAAAGATTTATAATCTTATTAAAAACTAAACTTATAAGATAACAAATCCCCTCATGAAGAATTTCTAAATGCTCATCTCTACCAAGGTGATATTCTAATTAAGTCAGAAAATTATAAAGAAGCTATTAAACTCTTTGATAAAATTATTGAAAGAGATTCTAATAATTGGATTGCCCATAAAAATAAAGGTAAAAAGTAAAATTAATGTTAGCTTAATGTTTAAATCTTTTGGAGCTTCATGAAGAAGCCATTCAGTTTTCCAACTTAGCTATCTAAATTGATTCTTAACGTTTTGGATCATATCTTATAAGGGGTATCAATATGAATTCATTCAAGGAAGTAGTCAACTCAAATTGAATAGATATGAAGAAGCAATAGAATCATTCTAAACTGTTATAAATTTAGATAAAACTTAGCATAAAGCTTATGCCTTAAATGGTAAATAATAATTAAGTAAAATAGGAGTTGCTTTACATAATCTAGGAAGATTTAAAGAGGCTATAACATAATTTGATATTGCTCTATTCATATTTTAAGATGTGTCATATCTAATAAAAAAAGGTATATTATTGAAATAATATTAGCTGATTCATTATTTGAAATAGAGAAATATTCAGAGGCGATTACCGCGTATGAAGATGCATTACTTGCAGGAACAACAGATACTGATTACATTTATGAGAAATTAAAATCCATATAAATTAATTGATAAATTATTCTATTCTAAATAATTAATAAATAATTTTACAAGAATAATTTAAGCTTATTCGAAGATTTTGTAATTATATTTTTTAATAAAAATAAATGCTAAAATTTTTAATTATATACAGAAAGATGAGATTTATGATTTTTTGATATATTTATATATTCTACTATTGATATAACATTATTTTAATAAAAGTATATTAATA